GCAGACGCTTTATTAAAATCCTGATGCGCCATTTGCAGTTTTGCTAAAATATCCAATTTCTCACGGCTAATTCCGAGCGTCAATATGTTGGGGGGGGGGGGGGGGGTGGATGGCTGAATGATTAGCGCATGCGCTTTGTGTAATTAGGTCTGTCATTAAGTCAACTAGCGTGGTTTTGATTCCCCGGTTGTACATGACAAGGAATATAGGGTCGCCTGTCCATCCTCGTCGGGTTTCTTCTGGTCCTCTGACTGGTAAAGATCCCTACGCCCAAGCGAATTATTGAAATAAAATTGAACCATTTGTAAGTCCCGAAATGATCCAGTTTGTGTCGAGTGGACGTTAAACCCCATTTCTCTCTCTCTCTCTCTCGCACTTATATGTACTAAGATTTATTATTTAGCATTTTATTAAGAAACCAAAATGAGTGAATACAGTAGAGTTCACTTCAATTTACAAAAATGTTTTTTTAAGATAAAAAAGAATAATTTAACTATCTGAACATGAACTATAAAGTAGTTCATGCTGGGTGAAAATAGTCCCATGGTTACCGCCATTACAAGGATGTAAAAATGGCTTCGTTATATAGATACCTGGTTTGTATAGATGTTGATATAATTCTACAAGCACGAACTAATTACCTTGGAAAGACTACCAACAATTAGAATTATAAAAATAGAACAACTACACCGGATTTTGAGGAAAAAAAGGGAGAGAGAAAAGAATGGGGTCTAACGTCCACTCGACACATACAATGGCTCAGTAAAGTTTCAATAATTCGCTTGCACGTAAGGGTTTTTAATACTAGGGGGGGCCGGGAAAAAAACACCAGGTTTGACAGGCATCCCTACTTCTTGTCACGTAGCCTCACAAGCTAGTAATCGAAGGCACGCCAATTCACCCAATGACAGACCTTATGATCTAAAGCGCACGCTTCAAACTAGTCTGCCACCTGGCATCCCCACCCCTCCCCCCTCCGGATTTAGATGAAGAGAGGATATTCCCTCCCAATCCCCCACCCTCAGGACTAGAGGAAAATGACAGTTTGTTTTAAACACATTTGAGCAGAGACGAGGATCATGACCGTTGTTTAAGAAATGAAATGTGGTTTAACGTCCTACTGTTCTACTCCGACTGGGCTATTGAAGACGAGCATACGCCATACAGTGTGCTATGAGAAACATTTTGTCCGGACAGTGGCGCTACGGCCTACGCTTATATCGAATTTTAACTGCCAAGGGATTTTGTACGTGCACGTCAATGTATACACAGGACCTCGTTTTTTGTCCCATCCGAACGACTAGACAGCTGAATTTCTATATTAAACAGAACACCTTTCTTAAAGCTAAAATAACCCTTATAGTATTACATCTGTAACTGCACTGCGTGTTCCCTTTGAAGTCATTATTATGTCATCCCCTTTGAAGTTCTGCCGAGTGTTGTATACAGATCATGTACAGCCGGTAAAGGACATATTGAATTAATTACATGTTTAATTACAACACAGACAATCGTGACTTAAGAACAGTGCATACAGAATTAAAAGGTCAATATTAGATATATTATCAAAACCATCTGAGGTCATACAGTTCTAAGCACCTAAATGACCGTTCAGTTTGATGAAAGTTATAGAGTACTTTGTTACATTAGCTCTAATCAAACGAAACACTGTGGGGAGTATGCTTGGCACGAGGACCTAGTCTACAGCCTACCAAGCATATAGGTAAAGTCAGCAATGCATAAAACAGGGATTTTTAACATAGGCGTTTCTAATTTTAGACTAATTAGAGGGGTCAAAGGTCATTTTCTTACAGATATAGGTAAAGCCGACAGTGCATAGAACAGGTACTTTCTAAATAGGTGTTAGTGTGTGTGTGTGTGTGGGGGGGGGGGGGGGGTCCATTACGGATAATTCATCTATCAGTACGTTTGGGGTTAGGGTTAAGAATTTGTGGGAGGGGGTTGAAGTCTCAACATAACCTTTGACCTAATAAAGACACAATAACGTACCATACAAAACGTACACTTGTCGGCCTATAATTAGTTCTATTCCAGAACAAACACGAAGGTAGCTGACCGATATTTTAAATCCCACATCGATGATTTTAGTCGAAAACAAAAGGAATACTTCAATAAATTTGAGAAGTATGTATTCCGCTGCCATTTTCATATCTAATGAAATTGAAAATATTTATTTAGTCTTTGCTGTTATGTAAGCACACTGATCAGCAGTGAATATTTGCTAGGCCGCGACAGTCACTGATAAGGATGACATCGATGCGACTTAATGAGCCACAAATATTAACTCCTCTGACAAATTATTTTTTTTTATGTATTAGAAAAATAAATAAAGACGTTTAAAGTATTTGTAGGTAAAAATTATTACCTATTTTAGTGTGTAAATGGGTATTAAAATGAGTAAAAGACAGCATTCTGTCCGAACCAGTCACGTCTTATGTAAACCATGCACTCGCTATTGAGCCAATGATTGACGCCGCGTGATATAACGTCATGTGTTGAAGGCAGTCATCTTTAACAGAGATATTAGAAGACTTTCGTAATACTCTGTGAAACAGATTGTTATGTAAGACATAAATCCGTCTGTTTTTCTATGGGTTGTAAATGATATTGAGAGTACAACTTTGCTCTAATGAATGAAATGAAATGGAGTTCAACGTCCTACTGTTCTGCTCCTCTACTGGACTCATGAAGACTGTGCTATGGGTGAAATGTTGCCCGGGCAGCGGCACTATCGAATTCCAGCTGCCAAGAGATCTTTTACGTGCATGCCAATGTTTACAAGAGATCTCGATGTTCCGTCCCATCCGAATGACTAGACGGCTGTCCTTGTCAGGCCCTCCGTCCTGCACCACTGACAACAAGGGGAATCCACGTCGGAAATTCCTGATGAACTTTCTCGGCCAATGTAGGGATCGAACACGCTACCTCCAGGCCTGCAAACCAGCGTCTTACCCACTAATGAAGACGGGCATACGCCATACAGTGTGCTATGAGGGAAATTTTGCCCGGGCAGCGGCACTATCGCCTACTCTTATATCGAATTCTAACTGCCAAGAGATCTTTTACGTGCATTCCAATGTATACACGGGACCTCGGTTTTTCGTCTCATCCGAAGGACTATACAGCTGTCCTTGTCAGGCCCTCCGTTCTGCACCACTGACAAGGGGAAACCACGTCGGAAAATCCAGATGAACTTTCTCGGCCAATGCAGGGATCGAAATTCATAAACAGTCCGACACGATGAGAATAGGCACCTACTTGGAGCCCAAGTAGCGTACACCAGTTTCGGTGATCTACAAATCGCTGCTATGCGTTTTTCATATTTAATCCGCTTTGCGCTGTTATGGCAACTGTACTGGTCAGTACGGCCGTTCTGTACAGAGCCGAGTGGTTTGGGAAAAAAACAGTCCAGACCCTCATTCAATTGTCAATATATATCATCATAATTGTATAATTGTGGTTTAGACAAACAGTGACAGCCGCTGTAGTCCAGTGTGTGGCATTTGTCTAAATTAGCCCAGTCGGAGCAGAACAGTAGGGTGTTAAACCCCTTTTCATTCATTGATCGACTGAGCTGGGCTTCTACACTGTTTTCGGGCCAAAATAAAATTGTATCAGCCGTCTGGTATCTGTGTATTGTCCCGACCCAGAAAAGTCACCCGTCGACCAAATGTTTTAAATGTTCCTATTGTTGATTAGAACAGGTTTCGCTTTAATTTTTATATTTTACGCTGACATTTTATTGCTTTAATTCTTCCCAGTGCAAAAACGGAAATTTTGACCCTTTGACCTCCGGGGTCACAAAGAACAATGGTGAATTTGCCAAGTTTACATTTTTATTGAAAGTTTGATTACTTTCGATCATTTTCAACATATTTTCATGATGATCTCATTTGACCTTTGACCCCGAATATCTCGAAAACGCCCTAACGGCCGATTGATTAGTGATTACCACTCGGCATCGTATTCTACGCAAAACTTTACTATAAAAAAGTTGTGCCCATTTGATGGACCCCCCTCCCCGCTCCCACATTGAGCTTCCTGTCTTTAAGAAGTACAAGAGCACAATACTTAGCGGGAGGGGGGTAGGATGGCCTAGTGGTCTAGAGTGGTCTAGCTTCGACCTCTAGCTGGTCGGTCACCACTGGCTTGCGGCTGTGGTTTCGATCCCTGGTGTGAGGTACGTGGCTTGGAGAAAGGGGCACCTTCTCAACTTCATGAGTTTACTCCGGGTACTCCGGTTTCCTCCCACAGGAAAGATCACTGCGCGTGCCCTAAGATAATAAAAATAAAAAAAAATAAGACTTGTCTGCGATATCACCTTCAGTGGAAGCGGACGTTAAACCCTAGGAACAACAACAATACTTAGCGTTCTGGTACAAAGAAATTATGGGCAATGTTGAACATGCTAGAGCCGATTTGTAGTATATTTGTAGTATATTTGTAGTATATTTGAGTCACTGTATATGGAAAAAAAATCGAATGATATGAGGGCTGATTTTTAATATTTCCTCGCCACAGTCTTACATGACCTCTTACAGTCTATTGGTAAATGTTTAACAGGTGCGATAGTCGAGATATCCTCGCCACAGTCTTACAGTGTATTGATGATTGTTTAACAGGTGCGATAGTCGAGGTACATGATACCTTACAGTGTATTGATAATTGTTTTACAGGTGCGATAGTCGAGATACATGGTACCTTACAGTGTATTGATGACTGTTTAACAGGTGCGATAGTCGAGGTACATGATACCTTACAGTGTATTGATAATTGTTTTACAGGTGCGATAGTCGAGATACATGATACCTTACAGTGTATTGATGACTGTTTAACAGGTGCGATAGTCGAGGTACATGATACCTTACAGTGTATTGATAATTGTTTTACAGGTGCGATAGTCGAGATACATGGTACCTTACAGTGTATTGATGACTGTTTAACAGGTGCGATAGTCAAGGTACATGATAACAATAAGATTTATATTAATATATTTTATTATCAGGATTTAGTCGGCCAACCATATAAACACCAGTGATATAATTCACGTAGCTGATCTGTTCTATTGGCTGTAAATATAAAATACAAAACTTATATTCCATTCAGTGGTTGTAACTATACAATACAAAAATTATACTTCTCTCAGTAATCTGACAAAGTAATGAATGTACTTTACAACAGACATGATCAAATATGGAATCTACATGTATATCTAGTTTGCTAGTAATTAAAATAATTACTTACTATATTCAGTTTAGCAAGTAATTACAATCTGTTCAGTTTAGCTATTAAAGTAGATAAACAAAGGAGACACTAACACTGTTTTCATAGTCAGATATAATTAGACCAACGTTTCGAAGAGGTACCCTACTGCATATTATATCCAAAATGTTATATAACTATTCTGTATATTTAAATTTAAACCATTATCGGTTTCTGCATTTGATGTTATTTGGAATGTAAAGAATAGATTTTCATTATTCAGTTTCCTTGTATGTATAATATATGTGTATGTTTGTTTTGTCTATTGTCATTTAAGGGCAGAATTGTAAACAGGCTGCAAAGCCTAATTTTTCACCCTTTTGAAAATAAAGAATTTATTATTATTATTATTTAAGGTAATAACTAAAACATTTCAAAACAATCTCTAAGGAAACAGAGATGACGTCATAGGGAACTATGACGGAGAGTGTGGAACCAGGAGCCCGTGAAAAAGGGGGAAAGTAAAGTGCTGATGGGGAAGATTGTTTGAGGATTATTATTAATATCTAGAGGTTCAAGAGTTTTAGTTTAGCTAGTAACAAAAGTAATAACTTTGTACAGTTTTCCTAGTAATTAAAGCAATTACTTCTGACCTTTGTTAAATTTTGTTAGTAATTAAAGTAATTACGCTTAGCTTGTAATTACATATGATTGTTTAGTTTAGTTGGTTGCTAATTTAAGTAATTACTTGTGATTTAGTTTAGCTAGTAATTAAAGTAATTTCTAACGATCTATGTTTAGTTTAGCTAGTAATTACTTACGATCTATGTTTAGTTTAGCTAGTAATTAAAGTAATTTCTTACGATCTATGTTTAGTTTAGCTAGTAATTACTTACGATCTATGTTTAGTTTAGCTAGTAATTAAAGTAATTTCTTACGATCTATGTTTAGTTTAGCTAGTAATTACTTACGATCTATGTTTAGTTTAGCTAGTAATTACTTACGATCTATGTTTAGTTTAGCTAGTAATTTCTTACGATCTATGTTTAGTTTAGCTAGTAATTACTTACGATCTATGTTTAGTTTAGCTAGTAATTACTTACGATCTATGTTTAGTTTAGCTAGTAATTACTTACGATCTATGTTTAGTTTAGCTAGTAATTTCTTACGATCTATGTTTAGTTTAGCTAGTAATTACTTACGATCTATGTTTAGTTTAGCTAGTAATTACTTACGATCTATGTTTAGTTTAGCTAGTAATTACTTACGATCTATGTTTAGTTTAGCTAGTAATTACTTACGATCTATGTTTAGTTTAGCTAGTAATTACTTACGATCTATGTTTAGTTTAGCTAGTAACTGGTTTGTTTCTAGTGTTCTATCCATGACTTGTAGTAGATTTGTTGATTCAACACGGGGTAGTTTAATATTATGGTATATATAGATGGTATTATTAAACGTAGCATAAATAAAACAAGGTATATTCCCTCCTTCTGATAAACTATAAAAACCTACAAAATAACAAACATTTATTGGTAAATATTCATGATTTCGTGGTTAAAGGATAACAGAATGAAACATACATTATGCAAGCGCTAAATCTGTCTATTGCAGGTCTTTCTTTAGGTCTGAAATGTTATCTAAATTATTAATTAGACATTAATTAACTTATCCAGGCCATAATCAACTCTCCATGGCATGGGATTTCTCCGATATTAAATAGATTAGAACAGTCCAGCCATATTTTGATTTAAGCTAAAAATGGTAGAGCGAGACTTAGCTTCGATTAACCACTACAGTGGTTGAAATTATTGCACACGTGTTGTCAAACCTTCAAAGGCTAATATCTTCATTCGTAATAGAGTAATTTGAATTAAATTTTCAAATTATTCATTTTACATTATCTATTTTCGAACTATTATAGCAAGAATGGCTAGCTCTTTATCTAAATTTTACATAATGTATCTTTAATGGTTAATTGAAATGTAGGGCGGACAGTTGCATCTTTACTACCAATCTGATTCAAACATATATCCTATTCCGTTTTGTTTTTTTGTAGTTCAAAATTTTGTTTTACATGTCGTCACAACACATCAAAGGTATAAAAAAAAAACGAAACGAAATATAGATCTGTATTGTAATCAGATTGTTTTACTATCTGTTTGTGTATTTCCATGGTAACCACGGTGAACCTCATACATGCTTTTTAGTAAGATGTTGTCATATGTTGCTACATCTGAGATAGAAAGCGTTCATCCACACATTCGGGAAACGTCAGAGATGTTAAAGAGACGATAATTAACACCTGAGTGATAATTAACATCTGAGCTATTAGGGAATGAACTGTTTCAATGTTGACGCATACTCTTTAAGGGGAATAACCTAACATTAGCATGTGGATGCAGACCACCATTAATTGACTTCAATATTAATTTGGGTCACTTTGCCTGGCTCCAACTTTTTCACAAATTTTTGTGTTTCTGAAAATTTTCTACTACATATACTAGTAAACATGTAGCTATTCCGCCCTACATTTCAACATAAACAACCTCTTAGCTCTGGATCATGAAATTTAATGGAAATGAAATTAAATGGGGTTTAACGTCCTACTGTTCTGCTCCCACTGGGATAATGAAGATGGGCTTACGCCATACAGTGTGCTATGAGGGAAATTTTGCCCGAACAGCACCGCTACAGACTACTCTTATATCGAATTCCAACTATCAAGGGATCTTTTATGTGCATGCTAATGTGTACACGGGACCTCGGTTTTTTGTCCCATTCGAATGACTAGACAGCTGTCCTTCTCAGGCCCTCCATTCTGCGCAACAAACAATGGGAAACCAAGCCGGAAAATTCCAATGAACTTTCTCGGCAAAGATATTTAATGGTGGTCTACCTCCACATAAAGGCTTTATAATTACTCATCTATAATCATTATAGACTACCGGGGTTTTTTTTCATCTGAATATAAATATTTTACCTCCTGAGAAAGCTGCCACGTTTTCTTGAAATAGATAACGAACAACCTCTCTACTGTGATTTACGATATACGTCTGTCCATCCCATGAACAACACACCACTTCCTCTTTCCCATTACCCTTAAAACCAAAAATCACAATATCGTAAGGGGGAGGTGGATAGCCGAATGGTTAGCCTGTATGTGCTGTATCATAAGATCTGTCATTGAGTCAACTGGCGTGGTTTCAATTCCCTGGTTGTACATGATAAGGTGTAGGGTAGCCTGTCCTACCTCGTGGGTTTTCTAAGGGTCCTCCGGTTTCCTCCTACTGCTAAAGACCCCTATGCACAAGCGAATTATTGAAATAAAATAACATTTCTCGGTCTCTCACCAATATTGTAATTTCAGGGAATAAAACTCATTAATTCTGTGGGAAAGCATCCTAGAATTAAAACTCAGCCAAGGTCTGTGATACATTCTTATTGAAAGAGGGGGTTAAACGTCCACTCAATAAAAACTAGATCACTTCGGGACTAAAATGAACAATTTCATTTAAATAATTCGCCTTGTACGTAATGGTCTTTAGCAGTTGGGGAGACAGAGAGAGAAATGGGGTTTAACATCCACTCGACACAAACTAGGTCATATCAGAAATAACATATGGTTCAATTTTATTTCAATTATTCGCTTGAGCATAGGGGTCTTTAGCTGTGGGAGGAAACCGGGGACTCAGAGAAAACTTACGAGGTTTGACAGGCAACCCTACTCCTTGTCCTGTACAACCCTGGAATCAAAACTACACCAGTTGACTCAATGACAGACTTTATGATACAATAAGCATGTGTAGCAGGGTTCTTTTCACAAAGACGAACAAAACACCAGGTCATGGGTTCAGGGTTTAATTGTGGATCATCAATTTAGTATACAGATAAAGACCTATAAAATAGGAATTTATAATAATTCTGATTATTCTCAAGAGTTTAACCATATAAAATACAGGACTAGTGACAGAATGTGCTCCTCCTTGTAACAAGGTTAAGATGCAAGTGAGATTTGAAAGAGAAGCTGAGATGTGGTTATTTTAGTGAGTTAAAAGTGAGTAGAGTTTAGACTTGCTGTTGTAAAGATATTCTTAACCAGCTTAGAGATGGACTATTAAAGGGACAATACAACGAACACCAAATATACCATAAATAACCAATATATTAAAGGGACAATAATACAACAAATACTCAAGATACAATAAATACAAATATACACAAATATACACAAATATACACTACCACACATGCACTAACCATTCGGCCATCCAACCCCCCTGGCAGTAGAAGGAAAACATGAACCCTACATTAACATGCAGGTTCGAAGCCACACCACTTGACTCAATGACAGACCTTCTGATCTAAAGCATATGCATTAGACTCTTCCGCTCCCCCCTCCCCATAACCACTATCCCCCCGGGTTTTAAAGAAATACCAACATCCAGTTGTTCAATGGTGTTGGCGACCTCTTCTGAACTGGCAGTCACCTAGATTGTTCCTGGATGAACTCGTCTAGATTGTTCCGGGATAAACTGGTCTACAACCTTAAAAATTCAATTTCAGGGTGTTTTTGGACCAATCAATAGAAGTTAGAGTTACCCAATAGAAGTTATTGTTACATGTACTTACAGAGAATCAACCAATAGAAATTATTGTTACTTACAGTCACATCAAGTTTAGATAGAGAGAAAAGTTGATGATCAACTTGCAATGACCAGAGTATTTTATCATTCTCAGCTAAAACCAACGTTCCTGTAAATATTACAATAGTAAAATATTACAATCATCAAATATTACAATTAACCGACAATTTTAACTAAATCTGGAGCCTTTGTAGGCCGGCTCAGTGGATAGGCACTGGCTGATTGACGTCACCTCAATGGCCCGACTAGCGACTCAAATTGAAATATAATTGTGACTGATCGAGACTCGATTCGGACGTTGTGACAATGTGCGACTTAAGAGAGTTTAGGACTCGAGGGGTCGCTGTAAGGGGGCATGACTCTAACTTACCATATTCGTTGTGAATTGCAGGCCCATTTGATGAACTGGCAACATGAATCAGACCCGGCTTTGTAAAGAATTGGGGGACTGGACTGGATTCAACTTAGTACTAAAATCAGCGATTTGGGAATCGACTCGGACTGGAGGTGTGGTGACTTGGGGCTCGACTGGGACGTGAGGTCCCACGGCTTGTTACCAGCTCTGATAACCTGAAGGTCCTGAGTTAAATCCCTGTGTTAGCCCGAAGCCTACCTCACAACCTGTTGGACGTGTTTTGACACACACGGGTCGTTGAGTTTGATTAGCACTCAGACCAGCCTCGAGAAACCAGGTGAAAATTTTTGTATGTTCAGGACCAAAAGTCTCTACTGCCAGTCTACTGTGCCAAGGGGGGTTGGATGGCCGAATGGTTAGCATGTGCAGGCTGTATCATAAGATCTGTCATTGAGTCAACTGGTTTCAATTCCCTGGTTGTACGTGACAAGGAGTCAGGTCACCTGTCCAAAATGTCCCTCATAGCATACTGTATGGCATATACCCGTCTTCATTAGCTTAGTTGGTGAAGAAAAGTAGGATATTAAAACCAATTTAATATTGTCTAGATTTCTTCATAACTGAGGGGAGTTGGATGGCCAAATGGTTCAGGCCGGTTGTATGTGGCAAAGAGTATGGTCGCCTGTCAAACCTCAGGGTTCCCCCTGATTTCCTCCCACAGCTATAGACCCCTACGTGCAAGCGAATTATTGAAATAAAGTTGAACCATATGTTAGTCCCAAAATAATCTCTCTCACTATCCCTCCCTTCCTGATTTATACTTTCATGAAAATGTATCTTTAAGGCCCATATGGTTTAAGGCCCATATTGTCTCGGATTCTTTCCCAGCTATACATAAATATCATGACTTACCATCTAAGGTCGCTAATGCATAATAAGTCTGGTGATCCAAGTCTTGTTTACCAGGATTAATATTACCAACGATAACGGTGGAAATGTCACGATTCTTGGCTCGACTTAAACCAAGTGGATGATACAACAGAAACGTGTCTCTGTTAAATAAATAAATAAGACAATAAGACAGAACTGAAGGTTGCCAGGCAACTAAACAGTTTTCAAGCAACAGCTTAATAGTACGATCAGTCCATTAATGACAAAAACTCAAAGATACATTATGTAAGATTTAGATAAACAGCCGACCATTCTTGCAATAATAGATCAAAAACAGATAATATGTAAAATGAAAATTTCATTCAAATTACTTCATTCTGAGCCAAGTTATCACTGTTTGTAGTTTTGACAAGATGTGTGCATTGTGGTAACCAGGGCACTGGTATATTCAAGCCTTAGCCTCGCTTTACCATTTTTAAATTAAATTTTTAAATGGCGAACTGTTCTAATCTGATTAAAATCTTGAGTATTCGATGCCATCAAGAGTTGATTATGGTCTTGTCATGTTAATAAATGTCTAAATAATAATTTAGAAAACATTCCAGGCCTAAAGAAAGACCTGCAATAGGCAGATTTTGCTCTTGTATAATGTATGTTTAAATTAAGCAAACAATGAGACAAATTAAATGAAATCAAATGAAATGGGGTTTAAGGTCCTACTTATCTGCTTCATCAAGTTTAATGTGGGGGGTTGGAAGACTGAATGGTTAGCATGTGCGTCCTGTATCATAAGGTCTGTCATTGAGTCAACTGTCGTGGTTTCGATTCACCGGTTGTATGTGACAAGGAGTAGGGTCGCCTGTCCAACCTCGTGGATTTTCTCCGGGTCTTCCAGTTTCCTCCCACTGTTAAAAACCCCTATGCGCAATCGAATTATTGAAATGAAATTGAACCATGTGTTAGTCCCGAAATGACCTAGTTTGTGTAAAGTGGACAGTTAAGCCCTCTCTCTCTCTCTCTCTCTCTCTCTCTCTCTCTCTCTCTCTCTCTCTCTCTCTCTCTATTATCTTCTCTTCTCTCTCTCTCTTCTCTCTCTCTCTCCCTCTCTTCTCTCTCTCTTCTCTCTATTATCTTCTCCTCTCTCTCTTCTCTCTCTCTCTTCTCTCTCTCTCTCCCTCTCTTCTCTCTTCTCTCTCTCTTCTCTCTATTATCTTCTCCTCTCTCTCTTCTCTCTCTCTCTCTCTCTTCTCTCTCTCTTCTCTCTCTTGCTATTCTCTTCTCGCTATTCTCTTCTCTCTCTCCTCTCTCTCTCTTCTCTGGGGGTCGCATGTTCGTTCCTGGTCTTGGCCGGCCGAAAAAAAGGACAATGATTGTCATTCGGATGGTATGAAGAACTAAGGTCGTTGCAGGCCTACTCCAGTCATTGTTGTTTGTATTTCAGAGGAGAGCCAAAAAAAGCTCCCCTCAATCAATGAATTGAAAAAATCACTTCCCTGAAAAAAACTCTCCCAGTTTTGATAAGAAGAGTGATTTAGAAATTAAGGAGGGTGATCTTATATTAAGGAGAGTGATTAGTTATGTGTATGGAAAATGGTTCTGAAGATCAATAACTGCATGTAATGGGGTCATTCCTGGTTTCATAAATGATAATACACCCCCAATAACTCGGTCGACACTTGGGTTAGCAGCAGGTACTAGAGAGCGACCGCGCCCCTTAAAAAACAATGACTGCTACACGTTGGTCTGCATGTAAAAGATCCATTGACAGTTGGAAATCGATATAAGAGAAGGCGGCCTCATTGCTGTCCAGGCATAATTTCCCTTATAGCACACTGTATGGTGTATGCCCATCTTCATTAACCCAGTCAGAGCAGAAAAGTAGGACGTTAAACCCCATTTCAATTTTCCAATCAGAATCTTGGACATTCTAGTCACAGTTATCGGATCGCCACCAAATTAACAAAATAAACGTGACGTACCTCTGGTCTTGAGTATTACCATCTAGTTTATTAGGTGAGAGATCAGAATGAAAATCACCGTCCTTCGTTTGGCGTAATAACGTGACTAGAGTGCCACCTGGTTGTGACGCCATCACTTGTTGTCGACCATCAGATGATTTATTTATAGATATTGTCTCAGTCTAAAAAAAAAACCAATAAAGTTTCAAAATACAATTCATTAAAGTGAGAGAGAGAAATGGGGTTTAACATCCACTCGAAAAAAACTAGGTCATTTCAGGGCAAACATATGGTTTAATTTTATTTCAATAATTCACTTGCGCGGTCTTTAGCAATGGGAGGAAACCGGAGGACCCGGAGAAAACTCACGAGGTTGGACAGGCGACCCTACTCCTTGTCACGTACAACCGGAGATTCGAAACCACGCCAGTACAGCGCGCACATGCTAACCATTCGTCCATCCACCCACCCCCCCCCCTCATTAAAGTGAGACAGCACAAGGGGAGGCACGGTGGCTAGGTGGATAAGACGCTGGCTCGCTAGCCTGGAGGTCGGGTGTTCGATCCCTGCATTGGCCGAGAAAGTTCATCTGGATTTTCCGACGTGGTTTCCCCTTGTCAGTGGTGCAGAACGGAGGGCCTGACAAGGAAAGCTGTCTAGTTCTTTGGATGGGCCAAAAAACCAAGGTCCCGTGTATACATTGGAATGCACGTAAAAGATCCCTTGGCAGTTGGAATTCGATATAAGAGTAGGCGATAGTGCCGCTGCCCGGGCAAAATTTCCCTCATACCACACTGTATGGCGTATGCCCGTCTTCATTAGTCCAGTATAGGAGCAGAACAGTAGGACGTTAAACCCCATTTCATTTCATTTCATTTCGTTTCAAAAATAAAGATCTATATATATATTGACTTGAAATAATTTGGTGGTCTTCAGGAGAGGTCATTATTACAAATGTTGAATATATATGGTTAGCGCGTGCGTGCTGTATCATAAGGTCTGTCATAGAGTCAACTGGCGTGGTTTTCGATTTTCCCGGTTGTAGGGTCGGGTTGCTTTGGGTCCTCCGGTTTCCTCTCACTGCTAAAGACCCCTACGTGCAAGTGAATTATTGGAATAAAATTGAATCATAATTTAGTCCCGAAAGGACTTAGTTGGTGTCGAGTTGACGTTAAACACCATTTCTCTCTCGCTCTCTTTAAACCCCATTTCATTCATTAATTGGTACAGAAAGCAGGATTATTACCAAATTACTTACCTGGCCAGCCAGCTTCCATTTCTGTACAAATACAATCTGACCTGTAGAATAGGGTTCACCCCCGTCGGAAGTTGAACCCGACTGCCATCTAAAACTACGTATAACACGATCAGAATAACCAACAATCAACTGTGTCTGTCCATCTAAATAAATAAAATATTAGTCCCGGTATTACACATGAATATACATAATATAACACTCGACTAGATCGTTATGGTAACGTGGGCAATATTGGAGAATATTGCCCTAACAGCACCATTTTTTCATAACAAATTGTAATAGAAAGTGCAGGAGGAACGCACTACACGCAAAACAAAAATCTACAAAATAAACCTGCGGACAAGATAGAAAATAGACATTGCACCAAATAAACAAATATCAAATCAAGTGAATGGATCCGGGATCATCCAATGAAATCGACTGTTATATCGCTCCGTATTAAACACGGCAACAGACCATACCGGTAAGGGTTTCTTTAAAGATACATTATGTGAGATTAGATAAAGAGCTGGCAGTTCTCACTATAATAGTTAAAAACTACATAATGTAAAGGGAATTTGCTGAAAATTGATCCACTTTGAACCAAGAATTTAGCAATTTAATTTTCGGTCTAGCCTCGATCATCATCACTAAAGTCGGTACTATAAAAAACATAGTCTCGATTATCCATTTCATGTTTAAATCATTAATGAAAGTTGACTAGCAAATCGGATCCTAATCCAGTAAATATCACAGTCTAGAGATGACATCGACAGTTGATTATGATCTGGATAAGTTAATTAATGTCTAATTAATAATTTAGATAACATATCAGGCCTAAATTGAGACCTGAAATAGGCAGATTTAGCTCTAGCATAATGTATGTTTAAGGTCTTTATTATTAAGTATTTAAACTTGGGAATCAGGCTTCTTTGTTCAGAAGGGTTGGGTGGTCTAATAGTTTAACACGCCTTCGAGAAATCATAAGGTCTGTCATGTAGTCAATTGGCATGTTACATGACAACGAGTAGGGTCGTCTGTCCAAACTCTTGTGTTTACTCTGGTTTCCTCCCACTGCTAAAGGCCCCTATGCGCAAGCGAATTATTGAAATGGAATTGAAGTTTGTGTTGAGTGGACATTACAACCCATCTCTCTCTTCTTTGTTCAATGTAAAAGTTGAAACAGCCTTTATTGCACAAAGCCCTTACTATCCTGTTTTTATATCTACCATTTATATCTTACCTATATCTTACCATCCATCCGTACATGAAGATATGTTGTATAAAATACCTATATCTACCATCCGTACATGAAGATATGTTGTATAAAATACCTATATCTTACCATCCATCCGTACATAGAGATATGTTGTATAAAATACCTATATCTACCATCCGTACATGAAGATATGTTGTATAAAATACCTATATCTACCATCCATCCGTACATGAAGATATGTTGTATAAAATACCTATATCTACCATCCATCCGTACATGAAGATATGTTGTATAAAATACCTATATCTACCATCCATCCGTACATGAAGATATGTTGTATAAAATACCTATATCTACAATCCATACATGAATATATGTTATATATCTTACCTATATCAGCTAGTAATAAAACTTTACTGTTGGCTGGCAATTCTTGTTTATATGCTGCCTTTAATACCTTGTCTTCTTCACTTAATCCTGACTATAGAAACAACATACCAGTCTTATATTTTATTATCATTACTTAAAGTACAGATGTGACGTCATCCTTTGATATTGGCATACCATTATTTCCAGTAATGTTTTGGCCAAATTGCCAATCTTACATTATTGTAATATTGGACTCGAAAGACGATTTCATTGAAATGCATGGGTGTGATAGTGTCTGTATTGTAACTTGTTTAATGGTCTCGAAAAGTATCAATATATTACTTAAAGCGAGAATTTCATATTTTCTAAGAAAGTCAAAACATAATTTTTTCTATGTCTTTGGCTCAATAGGTTATCAACTCACTATTATACGACCATGGGCATTATTTCCCACCCTTAAAAATCATTGACACATGAAATAATAACACAATTACCTTCCTTGTTTTCCTATTGCCTCAATGCATTAGCTATTTTCAAACGTTGGAATTTGAAGTTGAAAATTATATTTTTGCCAATTTCTCAGCTGGCAATAGTGAATTATAGGATTAATAGGATTATTCTTTAACAAGGTAGGACGGTTTATGAATACCATCTATTTTAAGGCTTTATTTTAATAAATTTTAAAAATATAACTTAAAAATATGAAATTGTAGCTTTAATGTCAGGCTCTAAACAATTAAATTACCTTCCCTTCTTATTCAATACTGTAAAGTCTAATTACCTCCACTTCTTATTTAATACCGTAAAGTCTAATTACCTCCCCTTCTCATTAAAAATATTGTAAAGTCTAATTACCTCCAATTGTCGTTAAATATCGTAAAGTCTAATTACCTCCACTTGTCGTTAAATATCGTAAAGTCTAATTACCTCCACTTCTTATTTAATATCGTAAAATCTAATTACCTCCCCTTCCCATATAATACCTTAAAGTATAATTACCTCCCCTTCTCGTTTAATACCATAAAGTCTAATTACCTCCACTTGTCGTTTAATACCTTAAAGTCTAATTACCTCCACTTGTCGTTAAATATCGTAAAGTCTAATTACCTCCACCTGTCATTTAATATTGTAAAGTCTAATTACCTCCACTTGTCGTTTAATACCTTAAAGTCTAATTACCTCCACTTGTCGTTAAATACCGTAAAGTCTAATTACCTCCACTTGTCGTTAAATACCTTAAAGTCTAATTACCTCCACTTGTTGCTAAATATCGTAAAGTCTAATTACCTCCACTTGTTGCTAAATATCGTAAAGTCTAATTACCTCCACTTGTCGTTAAATATCGTAAAGTCTAATTACCTCCACTTGTCGTTAAATATCATAAAGTCTAATTACCTCCACTTGTCGTTTAATATCGCAAAATCTAATTACCTCCCCTTCCCATATAAAATCGGAAAGTCTAAATCACCTCCCCTTCTTGTTTAACATCGTAAAGTATAATTACCTCCCCTTCCCATATAAGATCTTTAAGTATAATTACCTCCACTTCTTGTTTAATATTGTAAATTATAATTACCTCCCCTTCTTTTTTAATATCGTAAAGTATAATGACCTCCCCTTGTCATAATATCGTAAAGTATATTTACCTCCACTTCTCTTTTAATATCGTAAAGTATATTTACCTCCCCTTCTCTTTTAATATTGTAAAGTATAATTACCTCCCCTTCTATTTTAATATTTCGAATCCCCGGTTGTACGTGACAAGGAGTAGGGTTGCCTGTCCAACCTCGTGGGTTTTCTCCAGGTCCTCCGGTTTCCTCCCACTGCTAAAGACCCCTATGCGCAAGCGAATTATGTAAATAAAATTAAACCATATGTTAGTCCCGAAATGACCTAGTTGTGTCGAGTGGACGTTAAACCCCATTTCTCTCTCTCTCTATTTTAATATCGTAAACTATAATTACCTCCCCTTCTCTTTTAATATCAAATAAATAACACGTTCCTTCAGCTGTTAAACAAACCAAATTATTCTGAAACAAACAAAAATAATTCTACATTCATGTCTCCATGGAATAAACATAAACTATTAACTCTGAGGAACTTCTAAATTAGCGAAAGGCTCTACTATTAAAATATACACTGATGTGTGTACATAGTGTCAGACAGTTGAACGGTTGATGACATATGTTCAATAAGCACACTAGTATAAAAGAAATGAAATGAAATGAAATGGGGTTTAACGTCCTACTGTTTTGCTCCGAATTGGGCTAATGAAGACGGGCATACGCCATACAGTGTGCTATGAGGGAAATTTTGCCCGGACAGCGGCACTACGGCCTACTCTTATATCGAATTCCAACTGTCAAGGGATCTTTTACGTGCACGCCAATGAGTACACGGGACCTCGGTTTTTCGTCACATCCGAACGACTAGACAGCTGTCCTTGTCAGCCCCTCCGTCCTGCATCACTGACAAGGGAGAACCACGCCGGAAAATCGGGATGAACTTTCTCGGCCAATGCAGGGATCGAACACCCGACCCCCAGGCTAGCGAGCCGGCGCCTTACCCACTTAGCCACCGTGATCCCCTAGTATAAAAGATAAATGGGGTGTAATGTCCACTCGACAAAAATAATTCATTTGCGCTTAGGTGTTATCAGGGGTGGGAAGAAACCAAAGGACCAAGAGAAAACCCACGAGGTTGGACAGACGACCCTACTCCATGTCATGTACAACCGGGAATCGAAACCACGCCAGTTTACTCAATGACAGACCGTATGATACAGCGGACACACGTTAACCATACAGCCATTCAACCCGCTATATTGTTGTAGAACATGTTAATTACCTTTCCTTGATTACAGATGTCACCAACTCCAATACAAGTTATCTACAAATACAACAATACAAGTTATCTACATAAAAATACAACAATACATAAAAATTAATTGATATACTGACATACAAATATTATGAAATGGGTTCTAACGTTCTACTGCTCTGCTCTGACTGGGTAGACGGACATATGCCATGCAGTAAGTGTGTTATGAGGGAAATTTTGCCCAAACAGCAGCTCTACGACCTACTCTAGTCTTATATCGAATACGAACTATCAAGGGATCTTTTAAGTACATGCCAATGTGTACACAGGACCTTAGTTTTTTGTCCCATCCAAACGACTATACATTGTCCCTTGTCAGACTGTCTGTCCTACACCACTGACAAGGGGGAACCACACCAGAAAATCACTGGGATTGATCAGTTAACAAGCCACAACTTACTCATTGAGCAACTGTGGCTCCCGATACCTATCAAGATTTACGCAACTACGAAAACATTAAAACTTACTATGCCAAGTCCTGAACTTTTCCGACACGTAACTGGATTACTTCCCTTGAATACGGCTAAATCACCATCGATATTCCCTACAATCAGCTCATTTCTCTACAACAAAATAAAAGTAGTATCACAATATCTTCTTTTGGCATTGAGTCATTGAACACATTAACACATGGTACAGTTTTAAATTCACTCTTGAGAATGATTATTCAACCTGTCAGTTTCAAATAATTGTTTTGACCAGCGCTACAGAGGCGGATCAAGGAATTTGTGCAGGAGGGAGTTAGCCAGGTTCCTGAGACAATGTGTCCCCCCCCCCCCCATCACCCCCACCCCCTCTGAAATTTTTTGAGAAATACATGGTCTCTATTGTCATTTAGGCCTATATATACACATTGAACTTTTTAAACAGAGAAATCCAACATCCTGTTTGACGTCAATTTTTATTATGAATTAATACGATGACAATGTGATTCAATTTCATTGATGCAAAGCAATAATTGTGATATCACACATGTCTATATCATTATCTCACGCTTTATCGTCCCACCATCTGACGATAAAGAACACAGCCGACAGCCAAGACACTTTTCTCATAAAAAGTGTTGTTTTACAAAAAAATTGAATTAGCTAACCAGGGGCGGAGGGGATTGTTGGACTCTGGATCTGCCCCTGTGTTATTCAATTTTTATTTGGGTCTTTTTGGGGGCTCCACTCATTCAAGTATGATTACCATGAAACATGGTTTGCTTGTTTCTTGGACAATTACACACTGATTGACAGACTTTGATGTTTTACAGGACATCACAATTCTTAAATTCCAGCGATAACTTCACACTCGGTTCCAGTATCACAACGCCCATTTCAGGCCACACCCAATTTATATACATGACATATTATAGACAGGCCCGTAGCCAGTGGAGGGCAATACCCCCCTGAATAAAAGTTGCTGACCATAGCTCTAAAATACCTACTGTAGACTGTGCCTCCCCAAAAACTTCACTGCCCCTCCGCAGCCAGCAAGCTGGCTACCGGCGTGATTATATAACATAAAATAATTAGCAATATACATATATAACATATAATACAAGTTCATATTAAAATAGGGGGTTAGATGGCCGATTGGTTAGTGTGTGCGCTTTGTATCAGAAGGTCTGTCATTCAGTCAAATGACAAATGGCGTGGTTTCGATTCCTGAGTTTTCTCCCGTGTAATCCCACTGCCAAAGACCCCTACAAGCAAGCGAATTATTGGAATAAAATTGATCCTGTACTGAAATGACCTGGTTTGTAACTTGTGTGAGTGGACCTTAAACTCCCATCTCTCTCTCTCTCTCTCTCACACACACATGTGTACATCAGTCTCACGGATCAGTCAATTCAATTCACCTGGTCGTTGTCAACATCGCCTAAAACCATTGCCTGGTTGAATAGATTTCCCTTAAACTCCACTTCGATCCTCTCCACAAATGATACCGTTCTCCACATCATGGCACGTCAACGCAACAGTCTGTCAGCCATAAAAAAAAACATCTCAATACGACATAATCAGTTGTTTTTTTCTCAACACTGTTTTACTTTTACTTTAGTCTTGAGTTCAGTACAGGTCAAGGGGTGACAACTCGCAGCATATCCATCAGGAATCAGACCACTCATAGCAGCACTCGAATCAGGGACAAACCCGTAATTCTCTATTCGTTGACTTCAATGTTAAATGCATTTGTTTTTGACATTCCGATGTCCGACTGACACTCAAGCCCCGATCACTTGAAAATAAAGGGTGTTTTCGTGCAAAAATTTCAAAACCTATACCCGTCTACAAAACAACTCTTTGTCAATGACCAAAATTCCTCGGCAGTCCCCGTACTGTGCTGCTTACAGGGGAATCCCGGGCTGAACCAATTTAAGGCAAAATCGGATTATGGTTACATGGGCCCTTGGTATTTGAAATATATAGGCTACTAAACAGCAAAAGAAAAGTCAGGTTGGTATTTTACTCTTAATAGACGCATTGCATAAAACTTGCCTAATGTGTTCTCGATGATTTTCATGTAACTCATGATGCACGTGCTGTTCACTGGGACCAACCCTATAAAATGCACCCCCATACCTGGTGCAGCATGCCACGACTCACGACAGCTCAGAGGAACCAGGCGCTTGGAAGACTCGATCGACGCTGGCCACACTACTCAAGCCGTTGCTAATCACCTCAGGTCAATGTTCGGACATCTACAGGCTTCAGAAACGCTTCACACAGACATCTGAGACTGCACGTCAGACAGTTGGAACACATAGAAGACCCATCAATACCGATACAGTGCACCGACATCTCACCAGAGAGAACATCCATTGCCGTCGCCCTTAGCGAGGAGCGATATTCACCCCTCGCCATCGACGTTAACGTCTACAGTTTGCTCAACAACACCAGAACTGGCGACACAGGCAATGGAGAACTGTTCTGTTCACAGATGAGAATCGGTATTGCGTATCAACTGCAGATGGCAGGACCAGAATATAGCATCGACGTGGCCAGCGCTATTCTGACCAACGTGTCATTGAACGAGACAAATGGGAAGGTCCAAGCATAATGGTTTGGGGTGGAATCGGCCTGAACCAGAGAGTGGGTCCTGTGGTGTTCCAAAATCTTGGTCCAGGAAGAGGAGGCGGCATCACAGCAGTGCGCTACATCGATCAAGCTCTCAGACCCCACGTCATACCACATTTTGCACGTCATCGAAACAACGTTTTCCAGCATGACAACCTCCTTGCCCACACCGGGACTTTCTACAGCAGAACGGTGTTAACGTTATGCACTGGCCAGCCCTTAATTCGGACTCAAACCCGATTGAACATTTTTGGGATAAAATTCAGAGGAGACTTAATAACGTCGTACCGAGACTAAACACAGCCGATGCATTGCGCCAGGCTTTTCTGAGAGTGTTGTTCCAGGTGCCAATGGCGTTCATCAATCGTCTGGTCCACTCCATGTACAGACGCTGCGCTGCTGTTATTGACACTCGCGGTGGACACACCAGATACTGATGTATAGACTGTGTACAGACTCTAAAACCTTCTCGCGATGTCTTGGAATTGTGATGAATTAATCACTAATGTGTCTACTTACTGTTCACAAAAAATTGTTTTGATCCATTTTTTAGAACGATTTGATCAAAGTGCCTCTCTGATTTTGAAATCGTACTGACGTTTTTTTTCCTGCTGTTTAGTATATAAGGGACTTCCATCAATACAATTACAATCTAGTATATTTTAAACTTAAGGCCCGGTCCCAGTGGCCGATGGACACAAAACGTATGCAAATAGGACAAAGCGGACGAGCAAACTTTCGGGGGTGGCTCCATCCGTTTTCATCCGCTCCAGAAATGGACAAAATTGACGAAAATTTGCGAAAACAGAACGGAAAAGAACGAACGTGGGAAGTATGTAGCGGGGATGTTAAATGTATGTTCATCGGAAGCCTACCGGATGAAAACGGATGGAAGTGGATGACAGCCCCGAAGGGGTTAGGCAAACTCCAGACATCCTTCAATATATCAGATACATCCCAGATACAAACGCTTTGTCCGTTTTGAAAACTTTATATACGAGATACATACGCTTCCATCCTTTCTATTTCCGTTCTACTAACGATGTATAGACGTTCCATGTACCTTATCTTTCCTCCCTCTTTCCATTTTCAGCTGGGGCGGATGTGAGTTGCGAGGATGCAGAGAGGATACAGTGGACGTTTAACGGATGATAACGGACATGGAACGTTTGGTGCTCGTATATGTCGCGCATTTACATCGTACACGGCAGAAAGTTCATCCGTTATAAAAGTTTTGTGCAGCTCAAAACTTTTTGCGCGGATGAAATCAAAGTGAACGGATGCTCGATGGATAGAACGTATGAAACATGTATGCAATGAGTACACAACGGATGCATGGCGTTTTCAAACGGAGGGCACGTTTTTTTCCCCGTTTTACATCCCCTTTGCATCCGTAAGTGCAGTGGGACCGGGCCTTTAGCGATTTCCTTTGCGACTTTATGCGTTCCACTTCAAAATCTACAAAGAAGAAATCATTCATTTGATACAACAATTAGTAGTTAATTTTCATTTCTGTTAAGTAATTTTGGTGCTCTTCACAAATATAGATTTTCTCTGCTAACTTCAGCCAAGTCAGCAACCCTCTAGAACTCCAGCAACTTTCTGGTTAAACAGGTAACAACGCATATACACGCCGGGACCTCCAGGTTAGCAAGCCACCGTGGCCCCTTAACACCTGGCGAAATACGAATTCAAAATCCCCATTCGCACCTTTGGAGAGGATGGAGATCCGTGGCGAGTGAAATGGTTCAACCCACTGGGGTGCACTTAACACCACGGAGGACGACCAGAAACTAGGTTAGCAAGCCACCGTGGCCCCTTAACACCTGACGAAATACGAATTCAAAATCCCCATTCGCACCTTTGGCGAGGATGGAGATCCGTGGCGAGTGAAATGGTTCAACCCACTGGGGTGCACTTAACACCGCGAAGGACGACCAGAAACTACCGTAGCGCGACCGTGGAGAATCAGGATAAAGCTAACACTACGGAGGACGACCAGAAGCTCCCGGGGAGAATCGGGATAAACCTAACACTACGGAGGACGACCAGAAGCTACCGGGGAGAATCAGGATAAACCTAACACTACGGAGGACGACCAGAAGCTACCGTGAAGAATCGGGATAAAGCTAACACTACGGAGGACGACCAGAAGCTACCGTGGAGAATCGGGATAAACCTAACACTACGGAGGACGACCAGAAGCTACCGTGAAGAATCGGGATAAAGCTAACACTACGGAGGACGACCAGAAGCTACCGTGAAGAATCAGGATAAACCTAACACTACGGAGGACGACCAGAAGCTACCGTGAAGAATCGGGATAAACCTAACACTACGGAGGACGACCAGAAGCTACCGTGAAGAATCGGGATAAAGCTAACACTACGGAGGACGACCAGAAGCTACCGTGGAGAATCGGGATAAACCTAACACTACGGAGGACGACCAGAAGCTACCGTGAAGAATCGGGATAAAGCTAACACTACGGAGGACGACCAGAAGCTACCGTGAAGAATCAGGATAAACCTAACACTACGGAGGACGACCAGAAGCTACCGGGGAAAATCAGGATAAACCTAACACTACGGAGGACGACCAGACGCGACCGGGGAGAATCAGGATAAACCTAACACTACGGAGGACGACCAGACGCGACCGTGAAGAATCGGGATAAAGCTAACACTACGGAGGACGACCAGAAGCTACCGTGAAGAATTGGGATAAAGCTAACACTATGGAGGGCGACCAGACGCTACCGTGAAGAATCGGGATAAAGCTAACACTACGGAGGACGACCAGAAGCTACCGTGGAGAATCGGGATAAAGCTAACACTACGGAGGACGACCAGAAACTACCGTGAAGAATCGGGATAAAGCTAACACTACGGAGGACGACCAGAAGCTACCGTGAAGAATCGGGATAAACCTAACACTACGGAGGACGACAAGAAGCTACCGGGGAGAATCGGGATAAAACTAACACTACGGAGGACGACCAGAAGCTACCGTGAAGAATCAGGATAAACCTAACACTACGGAGGACGACCAGAAGCTACCGTGGAGAATCAAGATAAACCTACCACTACGGAGGACGACAAGAAGCTACCGGGGAGAATCAGGATAAACCTAACACTAACTGTAGACAGACGGTGGTGATATCGTTGTGGTACCGGGATGTGCCGTGGCCTACTGTGGTTATAACCGAACCGCTTTCCCGCCAAGATGGCCCCCGGTTCGCAAATACGGCCAGTCTCCGAGGAGGAGTCAATAGATTTATCCAAAACACCTTTAATTACCCAAAACACCCTGTATTTTGAATAAAACAAATTAACACATCAAACATACATTATGCAAGAGGTAAATCTGTCTTTCTTTAGGCCTGAAATGTTATCTAAATTATTAAATAAAAAATTAATTTACCTATCCAGACCATAATCAACTTTAGATGGCATCGTTATCCTGTAGTGGATTATGGGCCGATTTACTGCATAACTTTCCTTCACGATTTAACGATTAAATGGATAATCGAGATTATGCTGTTTATCGTACTGACTTTAGTAATGATGAACGAGGCTAAGCGGAAATTTCATTCGCTTAGTTCTTGGTTCATAGTGGACCAGTTTGAATGAAATTTTCAGCAAATTGCCTTTAAGTTATCTAGTTTTTAACTATTATAATGAGAACTGCTAACTCGTTATCGAACCTCCCATAATGTATCTTTAATCAAGGAAGCAATTTGCTTAAAATACATATCTATATTTCGTTTCGTTTTTTTTTTTATACTTTCGGTGACCTCTACTACATGAAGTTCTGACTGGTTGTAGTGGAAGGTCGCGTCAAGGGTCATACGAGCGGCTTTTGACCCTAGGACGCCAGACATTTGATTAACCAATCAGCGTTTGTGTTTTCTAGTGGGTTACCTACAGTTCAGTGAACCTCGCGCCAAAACTTCGCCGTAACTGACCGTCTCATTGCTAATGATCCCTCACACCATCCAGAACGCGGGATATATAACAACTCTTCCAGATCCTAGTGTAGTAAAGACAAGGAAAGCAAAATTTTGAACTATAAAAAACAAAACGAAGACGACTCGTATTGTTGATTTCGAGAATTTTGAGAAGTACATATTCTGCTTTTATTTTTAAAAAAAATTGAAAAAGTTTAATTATAAGTTGGTTTTTTTTAAAATTAATTATCACTGTTTTCTTTGTTGTACAGACTGCCAGACAAGGGCAGCTGTCTTGTCGATCAGATGGGACGAAAAACCAAGGTCCTGTGTACATATTAGCGTCCACGTAAAAGATCCCTTGACAGCACACTGTATGGCCTATGTCCGTCTTCATTAGCCCAGTTCGGAGCAGAACAGTAGGACGTTAAACCCCATTTCATTTCGTAATAAGATTACGATACTACATAATTTGCATAATCATATATGGTAGCTCTTTATCTAATATATTTATCGAGGCGCAGACCAGGTGGCCCGCAAATTCTCTGGGTATTAGAAAAGGCGTGTCACGTGATCGTCGCAAGCCCTATTATTTTGTCTGGGCTGGATATAATGCATGACGTGGGTAGTAGGCTACAATCATGGCTAAAGCAGGAAGATGAACAGCATATTTTATTACTCTCTCTCTCTCTCTCTCTCGCTCTCTATCTATCTCTCTCTGGATTGCTGTCGAACAGGTTACCACACATTTCATGTGACACGACTGCAGACCGCAATTATCAACCGATTTCAATGAAACTTGCCGATTATAATTACATTAATAATATCTCAGAGTAGCCAAAATTTAGAAGTAATTATTGTAAATTGTTGAAATTCAATAGGCTTCGTGGTTTCATTATTTTAAATAATGCAGATAAATTTCAGAAAGATCGATTGATATTTTTTGACGTTAGAGCGTTCACAAGGTTCAATAAAGTGAAACAAGGGCCACAACTCTAGACATAATAAACGGAAATTGTTGAAATACAATTGGCTTCTTCGTTTTAATAATTTAAATAATGCATATAAATTTCAGAAAGATCGAAAGTTAACTTTTGACGTTAGAGCGTTCACAAGGTTCAATAAAGTGAAACAAGGGCCAGAACTCTAGACATAATAAACGGAAATTGTTGAAATACAATTGGCTTCTTCGTTTCACTAATTTAAATAATGCATATAAATTTCAGAAAGATCGAAAGTTAACTTTGACGTTAGAGCGTTCACTAGGTAAAAACAAAGTGAAACAAGGGCCATAACTCTAGAAGAAATAAACGGAAATTGCTGAAATTCAATAAGCTTCTTCGTTCCTCTAATTAAATTTTGCAATTTAATTTCACAAAGATCAGATGTTAACTTTTAGCGTTAGAGCGTTCACAAGGTTCAAACAAGGGCCATAACTCTAGACGTAATAAACCGATATTGTAATTAATTAGGTTTCTTCATCTCACTAATGCACACTACATATATCAATTTTAAAACAACTGGATGATAACTTTTGGTGTTAGAGCGTTCACAAGAAATTGTGGAAGATGGACGGACCGACGGACGGGGGCGATGGCAATATACGTCCACATTTCTATGTGGGCGTATAAAAAGAGTGTTATTGTGTCCCAAAAAATGTGATGGACTGACTGACGAACCCATTTTAATAGTCCCCTGCTTTCTTCGAAAAGCAGGGGGGCAATTACAGTAAGGATAGGTTGCCAGGCAACGAAACATACGCCCCCAGCAGCTAAATCGTCCGGACAGTCAACAAGAGTTGTCGCTTATTTTTACTTTTTTGGTAATGAAACATTTATAATAAATTAAAATCTGATTAAGAGTAACAACTTATTAAGTAATTGTCAGAAAACCATTAGAATTTGTTTGGTTTTATAATGTTCTGCCCCATGCTAACGTTTAATATACGAAACTTTTAACATCATGGATTTAGCTGTTCAAGTCATAAAAATTCATTGAAAATCAATATACTTGTTCGTCTCAAGACCTTAAACTCTGTGTATCGATCTGAAGTCAATCGGAAGATAACTTTAGCCTCTAGAGCCATGATCAAGGGCCATAACTTTGGCAGTAATTATCGGAAATCGTTGGAAATCAATATGATTCTTCGTCTCATGACCTCAAACACTGTGTATCAATTTAAAGTCAATCGGATATTAACTTTAGCCTATAGAGCATTTACAAGATATTTTGAAGTGATCAAGGGCCATAACTCTGGCAGTAATTATCGAAAATGGCTGAAAATGAATAGACTTCTTCGTCTCATGACTTTAAACACTGTGTATAAATTTAAACTCAATCGGATATTAACTTTAGCCTCTAGAGCGTCCACAAGATTTTTCAAAGTGATCAATGGTCGTAACTCTGAAAGTACTTATGGGAAATCGCTGAAAATCAACAGACTTCTTCGTCTCATGACCTTAAACAACCTTGTATAAATTTAAAGTCAATCGGTTATTAACTTTGATCTCTAGATCGTCCACAATATTTTTCAAAGTGATCAAGGGTCGTAACTCTGAAAGTACTTATAATTGGAAATTGCTGAAAATCAATAGGCCTCCACGTCTCATGACCTTAAACACTGTGTATAAATTTAAAGTCAATCGGATATTAACTTTGACCTCTAGAGCGTCCACAAGATTTTTCAAAGTGATCAAGGGTCGTAACTCTGAAAGTACTTATAATGGGAAATTGCTGATAATCAATAGGCCTCCTTGTCTCATGACCTTAAACACTGTGTATAAATTTAAAGTCAATCGGATATTAACTTTGACCTCTAGAGCGTCCACGAGCATTTGTGGACGCCAAACCGGCCGACAGACGGGGGCAACGACAATATACGACCACATTTCAATGTGGGCATTTAAAAACAGAAACGATTGAATGTCAATCAGTTTATATACATTCATATTACATTATTATATATGTTGTGACCCACTTGTGTCAATTTCTAGGTCCCAAATATTAGCCAAAATGAAAGAGCACCATAAGTCTAGGAGTAATTAAAGAAAATGCTGAAATTACACAAGCTTCTGTGTTTCACTTAAATGAACAATTCTTATGATTTTTAACATATTCGATGGTAATTAATTTGTCATTAACATATTTGATGGTACAGTAATTAATTTTGTCATTAGAACATTCACAACATTCTACAAAGTATTCAATAAATGCAAGATTTGAAATCACTGGAATTCAATAGTCCACCAGAAAGTTATTCAATAAAAGACTGTTGCTGGTGGTTCAATCTCCAAATGCTCAAGACCACTAGCCACTGTTTCTGTGAAACATTCTATTTCATCAGAATAACTTTTTGGTAATTTTCTTTTCATGGCATAGGCATCTTCCCCATCAGCATAATACTTGGGTTCAATTTCACTTATTTCAAATTTCAGAGTGTTTGAATATAAATGTAATGCCGCTCTGTTACTTTTCCTCACATGGAGTGACACATATTCTGCCTTAAAACATTCCACCATTGCCCTTGATGCCTGGTCCATAAGTTTTTGAGCTAAACCTAATCGTCGATAGCTTCGCTTGACTGCTAATGAAGTAATGTGTCCATGGGGTATTGCATCCTCTGGGTCCTCTTCCATCTTAGCCAATACATAGCCAACAATTTTACCATTGGATGCCTCGCCAACATAAGATAATTGGGGCCAGGATAGCCCGTGGTAAAAATAATATTTCATTTGATAATTTTCTGGTAGGCAAAGTAAATTACAATGCTGCATATTCATTAAATCTTCGGGTCTTGCACATCTGATATTCATTGTGATTAATTTCTGGTGATTGTAAAAGCAATCCACTGATTACAGGAAGTCTAAATCAAATAGTCAGTCGAATAAACGGACACAGATCACTAAAGATTTGACCATTAACTTTAATGTTAATTCTCCCAAATTTTCGTTGAGTAGAACGCTTTCTACCACAGATGGAGAAACATGTGGCAACCTCTTGCCCAAAAGCACGTATGGGGTTTACCATGAACAACTTGAGATACACAAGCTGGAAGTAGAGACAAGTAAACATGCAATTTTTGACCCTACATTTCAACCTAACCAACCTATCAACTCTTGTATCCTTCCGCCTCAAAATCTTGAATATTCACCAAAACCTGGCAGAAAATGTATTTTCAAACCCTTTTCTTCGATTCAACATCAATTAGTCAACAAAAATCCCCATGCAAAAGGGGTGAAAAGGGAAAGGGAGAGATAGACTAAAAATAACTTTGGCCCTACATGGGTGACTTGGTGAGCGAGTCCAAACCACTGATCTATCTATATATATATATATATATATATATATATATAGATCAGTGGTCCAAACCAGTCGATGGCTTATTAAAATTTTGGAATAGTTTGTAATAAATATAATTTAAAGAAAAAACGCACTAATTCAAATATCGTTTATCATTGTTTTTGTCTATTTTCCCTCATGTTAAAATGTTATCTAGTTTTTAACCATTATAATGAGAACTGCTAACTCGTTATCGAACCTCCCATAATGTATCTTTAATCAAGGAAGCAATCTGCTTAAAATACATATCTATATTTTGTTTCGTTTTTTTTTATACTTTCGGTGACCTTTACTACATGAAGTTCTGACTGGTTGTAGTGGAAGGTCGCGTCAGGGGTCATACGAGCGGCTTTTGACCCTAGGACGTCAGACATTTGATTAACCAATCAGCGTTGATGTTTCTAGTGGGTTACCTACAGTTTCGTGAACCTCACGCCAAAACTTCGCCGTAACTGACCGCCTCATTGCTAATGATCCCTCACACCATCCAGAACGCGGGATATATAACAACTCTTCCAGATCCTAGTGTAGTAAAGACAAGGAAAGCAAAATTTTGAACTATAAAAAACAAAACGAAGACGACTCGTATTGTTGATTTCGAGAATTTTGAGAAGTACATATTCTGCTTTTATTTTAAAAAGAATTGAAAAAGTTTAATTATACTTTGAGAAGTACAGTTGAAAAAAATGAAAAAGTTTAATTATACTTTGTGTGTATAACAGATGTGAACCGGAGTAGGACTGCATTACAAAACAGTATAATTGTTGGATATGGCGGCTATTTAGGGCAGAGATCTATTCTTGAAGTATAGAGTATATATTTCTCTGTGTGCCCTTAGGGTGGCGGCGGCACCGGGCATTTGTTTCACCAAAGCATCAATTAAAGAAAGAATGACATTGAAATTAAGGTTTTTGTTATAAAATTATCACTGAATTCTTTGTTGTACAGACTGCCTGACAAGGGCAGCTGTATAATCGTTCGGATGGGACGAAAAACTGTGGCCCCGTGTACACATTGACGTGCACGTAAAAGATCCCTGGACAGTTAGAATTCGATATAAGAGTAGGCCGTACTGCCCCTGTCCGGGCAAAATGTCCCTCACAGCACACTGTATGGCGTATGCCCGTCTTCATTAGCCAAGTTCGGAGCAGAACAGTATAGGACGCTAAACCCCATTTCATTTCATTTCATTTCGTAGCCTAATAAGATTACGATACTACATAATTTGCATAATCATATATGGTAGCTCTTTATCTAATATATTTACCGAGGGGCAGACCAGATGGCCCGCAAATTCTCCGGGAATTAGAAAAAGCGTGTCACGTGATCGTCGCGAGCCCTAAAATTTTGTCTGGGGTGGATATATATAATGAAGGAACTGAAAATATTCCCATGACGTGGGTAGTATAGGCTACAATCATGGCTAAAGCGGTAAGAATCAAGACATATTTTATTAATCTCTCTCTCTCTTTCTCTCGAACTTTAGAAATCGATGGCGATATATCAATATTAGATGACGAAACTGTTCAAACAAATGACAATCCATAACACAATAACAGCTGCGGGGTTATTTATAGAAACTGGGGGAATACCCAGATACAGAAATTGATGTTCAACCATTGAATGTCGCCTACTTTGATTACCATGAACAACTTCATTAATTCATTCGATTTTAATAAATATATTAATCTTATAATTTTCAAGTTGTTTTATCGTGGACCCATATCATGTAGACCTAAATCCACCATTATTTATTTGGGTAATTCGTGCTACCCCATATTTGTTGGTACCATATTCAATGAATGTAGACATAATAAGCTCCTCGGATCGAAATTAAAACAAAATTAATATTGCGGACATTATAGTATTTGAAGAGGGTGGGGGTGTAGCCTACACAACAGGTGTGAGAACGGGTATGAAATAGGGCTATATAAATTGTGCAATATCATAGTCAGCAATACCGTACGTTACTGTGCGTAAGTCGTAACTCATTTGAGACTAGTAATACGTTCGAATCGATGGAGAATGACGACCGTAGTACATACAGTGTATTTTAATTTCAATAAATTAACTGTCAGATATTGATGTTAATTCTGTCTGGAATATGTACTGCATAGATTTCAATCATTATTATTGTCCCGAAATGAAACTGAAACTTGTTGCATGTTTACATATTTAATATGAAATACATACGGAAGTATTTCAAAAGAAATAGTTGGTATGTGGAGATAACTCCTTGAATAATGGGAACAGACCACCAATTACTTTCCCAATGAAAGCCTGTGAAGGTAAAGTAGACACAGTCCAAAACATGCGCCGGAAATTATAATAGTAAATCCTTTATGTGTACTAGCAGTATTTACGGATTTTACAGTAGGCTGGGGGGTAGGGGGGGGGGGGGGGGTCTTCTCCAGAAAATGTTCTAAATGTTTATTTGGAGTACATCGATCAGTGGATATTTCCTCTCATAGATGGGGCTAGCTTCCAATAAGAAGTGGGTCTACATGCCTTAAATTTTGAATCAATCAGGTGGCTTGGAGGGGGGGGGGGGTCGTCACACAGTTTCATCTTTCGTAAATCAATGTGTTCATTCATTCCTTCCTTCCTTCATATATTCATTCATTTATTTTGTTTATTTATGCATGTAGGCAGCGATACAGATATCATCGTTTGTAATCAACGCAGACACCCTACAATTGGGCCGTGAAAATACAATCGTATCTCAAGAATCACAACGTAACTCAGAAGCCATCGATGATCTGAGGCAAGGCTATGGAGAACTGGATGGCAGAATGAAAGAGTTGGAAGACGTCCAGGAAGATGAAACCCAGCATGCTTTAAGAAAAATGGTTACCATGGAAAATAATATACAAAATCTGACTTGTAAAATGGAGAATATGACAAAAGGGATGAAACGCTTGGAAATAGCACACAGAAGTCTAAAACGTCAATTTAAATCACAAAAATCAAAAAATGTGAAGAATAATTGGACGACAAAGAATGCCAACAATGGTGACCGTTTGTCGTTTCCCAGAAGTAGAGAAATTGGAGAGACTATAGAAGTTTCGGAGAATGGCAGGATGGAAGAAGTTGACCAGACGACTATAAACTCCAAACAGATTCGACTTTTAATAGAAAATTGGTAATAATAATAATAATCTTTATTCATCTATTGAAGCCTTGCGGCCATAGTACAAATTTAGCATATGTAAGTGAAAATTATGTACACTTATTTCAATTTTAACCATTAACTAATACTTGCTAGATTTATGAAAAACATATAGATACAATAAATAAATAGAGAAAGAAGGGAAGTTTAGTGTAGAAAATGGCTACTATTTACAATGTTATAACAGTGTATAAAGAAATATACCTATGACAATGTGATTAGTAAAATAAGGAATACATGAATAATTTCCTTGTGATAATTGACAAACTGTATATAAGATTTATGCAGAAGTTGATAATGTTTTTAATGTTTTACGTATTCCAATTGCAAAATATATAAATTTTGAGATATTTATAACGACAGTTACTTCATTATTTGACATTAATTGAATTAACTGGCACTTTGTATCATACTTGTTTATCTACGTGGATATATTTTGATCTAAGGCTATCGTATACATTGGTAAATGTATATTACTTCATATATTGTTAGCATTGGTTCCCCCTTGTCACTGGGGAAGAACGGATGGCGTGCCAAGTGTACCATGCATAGTCATTCGGATGGCACAAACATTGTCATGCACGTAAAAAAAACCTTGACAGTTGAAATTCAAAATAAGAGCAGAACGTAGTGCCACTGTCTGGGCAAAATTTCACACATAGCCCAGTCGGAGCAGAACGGTGGGACGTGATATTGTTAGAAAATAAAATAAATCAATGATCAATTATTAAAGATTTAGATAAAGAGCTGGCCGTTCCAAAACAGTTCCAAAATAAATGATGTTAAATGAATATATTTAAAATTTCAGCAAATACGTTATTTTCTGCGAAGTTAAGATCGTTTGAAGTTTTGACTCGATTGTCAAGCCTTTTATTGAGTAACATCCATTTTAACGTGAACCAAAATGTGTGAATTGTGTAGCTTGACCTTGCTACACATCTTTTGTTCCAGTCTTGATCATCCAGGTTTGTCTGGTGTGGATACTGTTGCAACTCTCTACTCTTGGATTTATATGTTTAATTTCGGCAATCCAAATTAGATATATACTCTGCTAGTGTGAGCCAGGCCACAATATGGTTACAATTGGCGACTTTTGCAAGCTGTTTGAATTATGTCCCTTTTATGGACGCTATTTCGCCTATAAATTTATCCCGGACATGTCCTAGGCAAGTTGACAAACGTCCGACCGGGAATATCCCCAATCGGACATCAATATAAGATGAATCATATTCAAAATTTCTAGTTTTTAACTATTATAGTGAGAACTGCCAGCTCTTTATCTAATTTCCCATAATGTATCTTTAAACTTTAAGTAGCTAAGAGATTGGTCACTTTTGACCATTCTTATCCAGGGAGTGGGGTGGTCTAGTGATTTAACGCGTGAGTGTGAAATCATAAGGTCTGTCATCGAGTCAAGTGACCTAGTTTCGATTCCCTGCCCGTTCATGACAAGGAGTAGGGTCGCCTGTCCAACCTCGTGGGACCTCTTGCTTCCTTCCACTGCCGAAGACCCCCTACGCAAATAAAATAAATCCATGTGTTATTCCCGAAATGACGTAGTTTGTGTCGAGTTAACGTTAATCCCCATTTCTCTCTCTCTCCCCACCCCATTCTTATCCATGAGTATTATATTTCAGGGATGTCAATCAGGACGAGAAAACAAACATTGTAGTTGATGAAAAGATTAGTCTGATGGAAGTCTGCGGGGTGATGAGGAATTTGGTTGGTCGCGATCTGCACATATGCTGTATCTTTAGGAAGCTGAGAGGACCGATTTATCCTAAAGATTTTAACCAATGGAGACCAATCAGTTATTACCATATAACCAACGATGATGTGATTCTTTTTAAGTGTAAAACCTTTAACAATGATTAACCCGCTAAACATCAAACCTTTTGAATTTGGCGGAAACCTGATTAAAACCTGATTCTATTTCGTTTCGTTTTTTATAGTTCAAAATTACGTTTTATTTGTATGTACTACACTAGGACGTGGAAGAGTTGTTATATAATCTGTGTTCTGGATGTCGTAAGGATATGCCAATGAAATCATCTGTTACGGCGACTTCTTGGTGCGCAATGTACGGAACTGTGGGTAAACCACCAGAAACGTCAACGCTGATTGATTAATCAATGTCTGACGTCATAGGATACGACCCCTGACGCGCCCTCCCAATACAGCTGGTCAGATATTCATGTAGAGTAGGCCATCGAAAGTATAAAAAAATGAAACGAAATATAGATCTGTATTTTAATCAGATTAAATATAGGAACCACAAAAAAAGATACAGCTGCTGTTGTAATAAACGTTTATCACCCGATTTCATTTAATTCAACCGCGTTAATGCCCATGTTATCACATTCCATATATTTTCCGGCTTTATGGGGATGTGCGAAACGGAAATCGTGGGGGGTGGGGGGTGGATGTATTACTGTATATGTATATTCTGAGACCGGCCCTGCCCGATTGTCATACTGGTGAAGGTTGTATTATTTTTATTTTTAAAATGGCAATATGTTTCATTATATATATATCTATCTTTTTAGAAAAAGGAGGACAGAGTTATTTTTGTAATTTAATGGTTTACCAATATATTTATAGTTTAAACATACTTTTTTAAGAGCTAAATCTGTCTATTGCAGATATTAAGTGTTATCTAAATTATTAATAAGACATTAATTAACTTATCTAGACCAAAATCAACTCTCGATGACATCGCCAGTCTGCAATATTTAGTGGATTAGAATACAGTTTGTGATGGATAATTTAATGTAAATATGGATAATCGAGACTGTTTATTATCGTTCCAACGTTAGTAATGACGATGGAGGCTAGCTTAAAATTGAATCGCTAATGTCTTGGTTCAGAGTGAATCAATTTGACTGAAATTTTCAACATATTCTATATACAACCTAGTTTTTTAACTATTATAACGAGAACTGTTAGCTTTTTATCTAATCTTACCTGATGTTAGTATATAACTTATTACTTAGACATTAATTTATTCATATGACAAGCCTATAATCAATTCTCTAGATCATCGGATGGCCGAGATTGAAATGGATTTGAACACCCGTGAGATTTAAAATGTTAACTTTAAAAAGAATAATCTAGGCTTAGGCTTGGTTGTCAATAAAGTACCGTTGCTACGATAATAAACGGTCTAGGCAAAATATTTAAATATAAATAACTTCGCTCAGAATAAAGGATTTTGAAATACATTTTCAATGAATTCATTTTTCATTAAATATTTTTTAACTATTCTAAATCTTATACACCTTTAATGTATATATCGCTTTCATATGGAAGTATGTTGTAGGCGCCTCCGTCCGTCCGTCCCTAATATCGCTTTCATGTGGACGTAGAGGGGGGGGGGGATGACTGAATGGTTAGCACGTGCGCGCTGTATCATAAGGCCTGTCATTGAGTGAACTGGCGTAGTGTCGAATCCCCGGCTGTACGTGACAAGGAGTAGGGTCGCCTGTGCAACCTTGTGGGTTTTCTCCGAGTCCTCCGGTTTCCTCCCACTGCTAAAGACCCCTACGCGCAAGCGTATTATTGAAATAAAATTAAAACTATATGTTAGTCCCGAAATGACCTAGTTTGTGTCGAGTTGACGTTAAACCCCATTTCTCTCTCTCTCTCTCTCTCTCTCTCTCTCCCATATGGACGTATGTTGTCGTCGCGTCCGTCCGTCCGTGTGCCCGTTCACATTTTGTTTGTGAACACTCTACAGGTTATGTCTTTTATCCAATTTAGACGAAACTTGAAATATAGGTTTTTCTCTCAAAGATCTCGGTTCGCCCCTGATTGTAGAGGTCACAATTTTTATCCGATGATTGAGTTCGAATTTCGTGAAAATCAGACGCCAATTGCCCGACAAAATGGCCGCTCCTCGTATTTAAATAGTGTAAATGTATGTAATACCCAGATTGTGAACCCTTGACGTCACAATTTTGATCCGATATTGATGAAACTTAAAACGCATGTTTATATCCAAGGGATCTTGGGTTCCTTTGATATTTGCGCATATCGGACTAACTTCTTGGATTATGGTCCCTGATTGCACAAAATATTGTATTTTTTTGGCTTATGGACCCTCTAGAGGTCACAATTTTTTTTATCTGATTTTAAAAAACCTTTCAATTATATCACCATGACACCATAAGTATGAATGAGTATGAAATTCTCTGAGACAAGGGCCTCGACCTCGTACGCAAATAGTGTAAAATTATATAATACCATCGCATGATTTTGATCCGATTTTGATGACACTTGATCAGACCGTAATGTCCTGGATTACGGTACGAAAAATCGCGATTTTAGCTTTTGGACCCTCTAGAAGTCACAATTTTTATATCTAAAAAGGCATTTAAATATGTCAATTAAACCATAGTGATGATTGATAGAAGTTTGTAGGATTGTGTAGAACATTAAAACATTAATAATGTTAATTTTGAATTTCTTATATTGCTCTATTTATTACAATCAAATATTATTATTATCATTATTATATTTACATGATTATAAAACGTTCGGAATATTTTATAGCAAACTAGTGATCTACCCGACAATCTGCTCCCTACGGGCTATGGGGGTTGGATGGCAGAATGGTTAGCGCGTGTGCGTTGTATCATTAGGTCTGTCATTGAAATGACCTAGTGTGTGTCGAGTGGACGTTTAACCCCATCTCTCTCTCTCTCTCTCTCTCTCTCTCTCTCTCTTCAGGGCCGTAACTAGGTCAGAGCAACGAGGGGGCGGGAATTTATAGTGTTCCCAGGGGTGCTGTAAAATTGACGGACAATGTATATATATTGTTTTTATGTTCGACAATTTTTTGACGGGGGGGGGGAGGGGCGAAACTTTTTGCGCCCCCCCCCCCCCCCCTAGTTACTTAGCAAAAAGTCCTACAGAATACCAGTGTAGTATTGTATATAATTCTATAGAAAAACTATAGAGTTTGGGGGGGGGGGGGGCGTGTCCCATTTTCTATAGGATAAAATTCTATAGTATTCTACAGAAATTTGGAGGCCTGTAGGAAATAAAGGCCCCAAATATTCTATAATTTCTGTAGCGCACATCCTATAGTTTTTCCTACAGATTTATGGCAAAGTTTCTATAGGAAAATATTATAGTATTCTTTAGGTTTTTTTTTTATTGCACTTTCTGTAGGAAATTCTACAGTTATGTATAGGAATGAATACTGTAGTAGTCTGTAGTTTGAAAATTGGGCCACTATAGTTTTCTGTAGGAATGGGTACTATAGAATTCTACAGACTTTTTTTTTATTAAATCTTATTTTGGGAATAAAACTATAGTTGGCCCATGACTTCTTCTAAATTGATAAGCTTATTTTTCTCTCATGGATTCTTCTAAATTGATAAGCTTATTTTTTCTCTCATGGATAAATCTGAATTCTGTTGATGATTCACCAGCCAGAACCATGAAAAGTTTTTTTTCTTGGTATAACTGAAATATAAGGAAAAGAATAGGTAATAAGTTAAATAAATAACAAAATCACATAAATCTTATGTAATTTAATTTTATTGTTAAGAAAGTAATAAAGTATACTTATCTTTCTATCTTTAATCGAATCTGTGAAAAAATAGCACCATTCTCTTCAGTTTCTTGTTAATACTAACATATTAAGTTGTTATACACTGAATTTTTGAATTTAAAATTCAGCCAATGGCCAAACAGATTTCAAGAGAGTACATTGGCTGTTAATTATAATTTGTTGACAGGTATAAACGGCTGACCTGGTGACTTGAACAAATTATATAATTTGAGTACAGAATCTGCTATAGTCATTAAGATCTAACTAGCAGGATCAAATAACAGTCAGACTGCTGTGTTCTAAATAAACTTTGTCTTTATTTCATTGACTTATCTGAAGAATAATTTATTATCTGATATTTTTGTTGTGAAGATCTACATTTACTGGCATTTTTTGGAGGGTGGGTGGGGAATTCCTTTGAGTGTCAACATGTATCACTATTTCATTCATATTATATACACTCTTTTATACTTAATATTTTATTTTTCGTGGTAAGCTTATTTTAGTTTGTCATTTGGTATCACAATAAATTAAGGAAAACCGTATCCAGGAAAATTATGTTGGAAAAGTTTACATATTCACACAAGTGCCTCACTAAATTCTGTTGTAAACTATAGTATGAATAAAAGACATCACCAATTTATGAAATCTGTAGTATAGAACATTGTTTCTACATTATTATGTAGGAAACTATAGTAGGCTATTTGTTAAAATGGTTTAAGTACAGTATACATATGAATTCTACAGAAAACTATAGAAGGCTCATGCATTATATTTTTCTCCACAAAATCTATAGAAAAAAATGTCAGAATGTCATAGAAAACTATAGGATCACACAACTGACTTGAGACAATAAGTTTTAGTTCTATAGAAAACTATAGTTTTTACCACCAAATCTATAAAAACGCCAGCTGACATGAGAATACAAGTTAGTTTTATAGCAAACTATAGTTTTTACCACAAACGCTGCAGAAAACTGAAGGATTACTCAAATGACTCGAGGATACAGGTTAGTTCTATAGAAAACTATAGCAGCACCAATGAATCTGTAGGTTTATTTTTTTTTTCCAATAGTTTCTTACAGTATTCTATAGAATTCTGTAGGAAATTACACTTGGAAAATATTCATCTATCAATCCTACACAAAACTATAGTACATGTTTTTGAATCTATAGTCATGTGAAAAAAACTACAGAATGAATTTGTTTTCCTGCAGCATTCTATAGAATCCCACAAACTTCTATAGAAACCTGTACTTTTTCTATAGGACTTTTTCATAAGGGGGCCTCTCCCACTCTCTCTCTCTCTCTCTCTCTCTCTCTCTCTCCCTCTCTTGGCGCTGAGCTCACTGTGGATATCTGATCCAGTGGTGATAATTATAACATACAAAATGCATAAGCGAAATATAGTAATAATACCTCGATACTACTTAAATTTGCATATATCTAGCTCCTTATCTGATATTTATCGGGACTAGATAGCCCGCAAATTCTCCAATAAAAAGCGTGTCACGTGATCTCGCGAGCGAACGGGGCGATATTATTTTGTCTGAGCTGGGTCTGGAGACACTGTGAAAATGTTCGCTTTTGCATGACCGGGGGAGTACAATCATGGATCGAACGGTAAGATTAACAAAATATTTTATTATTCTCTTTCTGGATCGATGTCGAACCAAATCGATGATGATATGTTAATATTAGATGACGAAACTGCCGTATTAAAAGAAACGACAGTACATGGCCAACACAATGACGCTACAGCGGGAGAGTTATTTATAGAAACTGTGGGAATACCCAGATACACAACGTTTCATTATCATTGATAGGACTGTCATTTTTCAACCATCGAATCCTGGCGAACAATTTCATTGATTTATTTGGTCTTAATAAAATACAAATCTTATAGTTTTCAATTTGTTTCATATTTGGTGGTTTAACGATCTACCCAAATCCACCATTATTTTAAAGCGTCTGATGTGCACCGACAGGTAATTGCTGTATATGATTATGAAATAAAGCAAGCTATTAGGCCCTATCATTTTTTTCCATGAACACACATCTAGCCCTTCAGGTCGAATTTTAAAAAAAATGATATTGCGGGAAACAAACTATTTAAGAGAGGTCTGTACATTCAACAGGTGGGAGAACGGACATGACATGAAATTCTTTATAAATATTAAATTGTGCATCATCATCATCATATTTGGGATATTTCAAAGAAGCAGATGACTACATTACATACAGTGTATTTTCAATTAATAGATTAGCTGTCAGATATTGATGTTAATTCCGACTGCATTTAGTGAGCTAATTGATAGATTTTAATCATTATTGTCCCAAACTGAAACTGGTTCCATGTTTTTATCCAAAAGATTATTTGATCAAGGGAGATAACTCCTTGTAATAATGGAAACAGACCACTAATTACCTTCCTGATGAAAGCCCTTGAGACGATTAATAATCCAAGTCCAATATATGCAACGGAAATTTCAATAATAAATTCTTTATATTGTACTAGAACCGTTTGGGGCATTATCCAGTTGGTGGGAGAGTGGGGTGGGGGTCTTCACCGGTAATTGTTCAAATATTTGATTTGGATTATCATTGCATCGTGATACCTAACACATGGATACGTCGATCAAGGGGAAGCTACGCACATGGATATGACTAGCTTCCAATAACAAGGAGGCCTAGTACATGCCTTAACTTTTGAACTTTTAAATCAATCAGATGACATGCGAGACAGGATTGTCGTAGGTTGTCACACAGTTTCATCTTTCATTCATCAATTTGTTCATCCATCCATTCATTTATTCATTTATTTTGTTTATTTATGCAAGTTCATTCATTCATTTATTTTGTTTATTTATGCATGTAGGCGGTGATGCAGATATCATCCTTTGTAATCAATGCAGAAAACCTACAATTAGGCCGTGAAAATAGGATCGTATCTCAAGAATCACAACGTAACTCAGAAGCCATTGATGATCTGAGGCAAGGCTATGGAGAACTCGATGTCAGATTGAAAGAGTTGGAAGACGTCCAGGAAGATGAAACCCAACATTCTTTAAGAAAAATGGTTACCATGGAAAAGAACATACAAAATCTGGCTTGTGAAGTGGAGAATATGACAGAAAGGATGAAAAGCTTGGAAATGGAAAATAGGAGTCTAAAACGTCAATTAAAATCGAAAAAACCCAAAAATGCGAAGAATAATTGGACCACAAAGAATGCCAACAATGGTGACCGTTTGTCGTTTCCCAGAAGTAGACAAATTGGACAGACTATAGAAGATGTGGAAAAAGTTGACCAGACAGTTATAAACTCCAAACAGATTCGACTTTTAATAGAGGATTGGTAAATGTATATTACTTTCATATATTGTTAGCATGGGTTCCCCCTTGTCAGTGTTGCAGGGCAGAGGGCCTGGAAATGGGCAATGTTGGACATTCGGATGGGTCGGAAAACCAAGGTCCCGAGTCGCCATATTTGTTATACAAATTGAAAACCAGTATTGCGACTGTTTAGGGGGTTATTTCTGTAGTTTTAGTGATCGACCACTTTGTCCTTTCTTATAATTATTCAGGGGGTCTGTCATTGAGTCAAATGGGATCGTTTCTTTTTCCCGCTTGGACACGACAAGCGGTAGGGTCCCCTGTCCAGCCTGTGGGTTTTCTTCGGGTCCTCCGGCTTCCTTCCACTGCTGAGGACCACTACGTGCAAACGAATTATTGAAATATAATTGATCCATATGTTAGTCCTGTGTCGAGTGGACGTTAAACCCCATTTCTCTCTCTACCCATTCTTATCCGCAAGTATTATATTTCAGGAATGTCAATCAGAAAGAGAAAACATACATTGTAGTTGATGAAAAGATTACTCTGGAGGAAGTCTGCGGGGTGATAAACAGTGTTGTTGGCGGAGATCTAGACATATGCTGTATCTTTAGGAAGCTGAGAGGACCAATTTACCGCCACGATTTAAATCTATTGAAACGAATCAGATATTACCATATTACCAACGATGATGTGGTTCATTATAAGTGTAAGAACTACAACAATGGCTAGACATTTAACCGTTTGAAATTGGGAACCACAAAGAGATGGTACTGCTGCTTCTTTCGAGTTTAACAGACATACAAATTTCATTTTAAAAACGGTTGTCATTCACATTTATTTAATTCAACCACATTAATATTCATGCTATGACATTCCATATATTATAGCCTAAATTTAGAGAGGGTGGGGGGGCGGGTTAAATATAACAGAAAATGACCATCGACGTCATAACCGGTTGGGCCTTTCATTCTCTAGTTTTCTCACTCGGCAAACCTTGGCAGATTCCGGTACCCTACATCTAGCCTCGGCTGTAATGACAGTAAGTGATATGTACCTACGCCTATACATTTGCGATGCGGCACCGGTTTACTTATAAGGGAAACTTGCACACGTTTAGAAAGAAGTTCTCAAAATTGCGTCGTTCGAAGAGTGTGTAGAATTTTCAGTGCTAATTTGTCCTTGTCTAAAGAAAATCGGATAAACTTGAAAGAAAAACAGCTTCAAACTTTGAAAATTTTGTAAGATAAAACATTCTTCAAATACGTCGTCATCAATCACGTCATTGGTCGTCATGGACAACGCCATTGTAATCCGGGAACTTGAAAGTAGTTCTAATGGCGGACTTTGTCATACAGCCGAGATTAGATGTAGGGTACTGGAATCTGTTGAGGTTTGCCGAGTGCTAGTTTTATATGTCGTCACCCTGTCCATCGGTCCGTCAACAATTGGCTCGTAAACGCTATAGTGTCTTCTGTTTATGATGGTTATAATTCAAGTTTGGTGTGAAGCGTCGTGGTCATGTGAGGGCGAACCCTATCGATATTCAACCTGTTTTACAAGAGTTACCCCTCCCCCAACTTTCTTTGCTCAAAACCGCATAAATGCGATAGAGGCTACAGTGTTTAACCGATTTTTTTTAGTTTCATTTGAAAATTGGTGTCATAAGCGGACAAACCCTGTCGATATTCATCGTTTTACGACATTCCATCTGGTATTAACTCCTTGTGAAATACCTTGTGAACGAAATGGTTGTCTTTCTGCCAGACTAATCTTGGTCTTTTATATCAACTGATATTTCTTAATAATTAAATTTCGCGATTGGTTAATTATACCCGATGAGTGACATGCAGTAGGCCTATACTCGAAGACTGGCCCTGCCTCATTATCATACTGGTGAAGGTTTCATTATTATTTTTTTAAAATATATATATATATCTTTTTTATCAAATGGTGGAGAGGAGTATATGTATAATGTAAGAAAGAGAGAGAAATGGGGTTTAATGTCCACTCGACACAAACTGGTTCATTTCGGGACTAACATATGGTTTAATTTTATTTCAATAATTCGCTTGCGGGTAGGGGGTCTTTAGCAGTGGGAGGAAACTGGAGGACCCGGAGAAAACCCACGAGGTTGGACAGGCGACCCTACTTGTCACGTACAACCGGGGATTCGAAACCACGCCAGTTGACTCAATGACAGATTTTATGATACAGCGCGCGCACGTACTAACCATTCGGCCATCCACCCCCCTATAATGTAAGAAATAGTGTGAATGATTAAAACCACACAATAACCAATATTTATAGTTTAATATAGTATTTTTTTAATTTACAGCAAGTTATATCATACATAGATTAACATAACATGTATTCGTAGAGAGAGACAGAGGGAGAAATTGGGTTTAACATCCACTTGACACAAACTAGGTCATTTCGGGACTAACATATGGTTCAATTTTATTTCAATAATTCGCTTGCGGGTAGGGGGTCTTTAGCAGTGGGAGGAAACTGGAAGACCCGGAGAAAGCCCACGAGGTTGGACAGGCGACCGGGGATTTGAAACCACGCCAGTTCGCACAGTTGACTCAATGACAGGCCTTATGATACAGTATGCACGTGCTAACCACTCGGCCATCCAACCACCATTTATTCGTAACTTTGTTTTATATCTTGTACTTTCTTAAAGATTTCCGACGTGGTTTCCCCTTGTCAGTGGTGCAGAACGGAGGGTCTGACAAGGACAGCTGTCTAGTCCTTCGGATGAGACGAAACACAGAGGTCCCGTGTATATATTGGAATGCACGTAAAAGATCCCCTGGCAGTTGGAATTCGATATAAGAGTAGGTCATAGTGCCACTGTCCAGGCAAAATTTCCCTCATAGCACATTGTATGGCGTATGCCCGTCTTCATTAGCCCAGTATAGGAGCAGAACAGTAGGACGTTAAACCCCATTTTATTTCATTTTTCTTAAAGATGTATTATGTAAGAGTTATATCTGTCTATTGCAGATCGAGGTGTTGGATGGCCGAGTGGTTAGCGCGTGCATGTTGTATCTTAAGGTCTGTCATTGAGCCAAATGGCGTGGTTTCAATTCCTCTGCTGAAGATCCCTGTGTGCAAGCGAATTATTAAAAATAAAAATGAACCATATGTTAGTCACGAAATGACCTAGTTTGTGTTGTGTGGACCTTAAACCCCATTTCTCTCTGTATTTTAATCAGGTTGGCTATATCCCTAATATTATGTTATGATGTATAATATATCTATCTATTTGATTAAAGGAGCTAAATCGCTAATATTTTGGACCTAGAAATTGGCACAAATGGGTCGCAACACATATAATAATGTAATATGAATTTATATAAACTGTTTTACATTCAATCGTGTTCGTTTTACTGTTAATTGTCATTAGTTATGTTCGGCGAAATACGCCAGAAGTTTCAACCGCAAGTCAGTTTCTAGCGTCTGGTTATTCCAGTCAACACTGATATTATTTATTGCGCATGCTCTCAAAATAAGAACACGATATCACCGTTTGACATGACTTGTGGAATATGTCTAGCCTCATTCTTTGAGCACCTTGTTAAAATGGCACTAAAACGCATTATGGTACACGATTCGTGTACCAATGGTAAAATGTTTATTTTGTCTTAAATATTGGATATCAGAAGCCCATCTTTTCCAGGTAAGATCACAACACCAATGCTGATTTAAATTGCAAAAAAATTCGTGTTTTCAATGTCGAAGATTTTGGATGATATTGAGTTACGGACTTAGCTACTTTAAACTATAATAATTATAAAATGTAGGGCTGGACGATATTTGAAATTTTCATTATTGCGATATCAATATATATATATATTGCGATATATTAGATTATTGTCGTGTGGTTTCAAAAAATGATTATCAATCAAATTTACATATTCTCATATATTGATTTATAAAGGTTCAGCCCCAGTTACACAAAAAAACTTTATACAGCTCAGTCGATTATGGATTTATGAAGTATGAATTCTTATGTATGACCAATTTGATTTATACTTTGTTTCAATAAAAAAAAACAATAATCTTTGATTAAATGAAATTATTGCCCAGCCCTAATCAAATGTATAATTTAAATGATAAATGGTTTAAAGTTCTTTATCTTTCTCTGTTCCTGTCTTATAGAAGTTATTGCCGTACAACATTACAACCATTTAAAGTTCAACTGGAGACCTCCCGGTTTACATTTGGAAGGCGGGGGGGGGGGGGGGCGAACGGTTAGTGTATGTGCGTTGTATCATAAGGTCTGTCACTGAGTCAACTGGCGTGGTTTCGAATCCCCGGTTGTACGTGACAAGGAGTAGGGTCGCCTGTCCAACCTCGTGGGTTTTCTCCGGGTCCTCCGGTTTCCTCCCACTGCTAAAGACCCGAACGCGCAAGCAGGCCACTTGAACTAAATCATATGACTGGATTTTTAAAAAGTATGCCTATTAAAATATTCAATGTTTAGGAGATAACTTTGACAGGCGTATCTTATAACTATTCTTCGAGTTTCATAATATGTCTTTTATTCCTGTGCATTGTTTAAAAGTCTTCAGCATGGGATTTTTTTCTCATGGGTTCAGCTCATTTGCTGTTTTTGCAATTCATTCATTTAATGCAGTTGTTCGCTTCTTTACCAATTCAATCTATTAGGGTCATAATATGTGTGTCATTTTTGCATGAACTGGGCTAATGAAGACAGGCATATCCCACCCAGTGTGTTATGAGAGAAATTTTTGCCCGTGGCAGCGGCTCCGGACGACCTCCTGTTATTTCCATTTCCACCAGTTACAGGATGATTAAAGTGCTGCCAATGTATGGAAGATGTTTCGACCAATCACACACAGAGGTAAACCATAAAACCATAAGGTCTATTTCAGAACTAACACATATTTCAATAATTCGTTTGCCCAAGCAGTCAGAGAAATCTGGTGGATCCAGATAAACCCTGAAAGGCGACACTCGACCTTATAATGAACCAGCTTGCTATCAAATCCAACTGATATATGTACTGCACCCCGACTCCACCCCACTAGTCTGATCCTCACCAGGCCCTCATACCTGCATTAGGGGAATTTTACTACTCACTGCATGAGTCATTGCTGGGGGAGGGGGGGGGGGGGGCGGGAATTGCCCCCCGCTGGCTAAGGATTGAATGAATCCATAGACATTAAACATTTCTCCCCCCGCCCCCCTTCACTCCTTAAACACATACACACAGCCCCAAGGAGCTCCGGCTTCCGATATGAAAGCAAATTAGCAAAAAGGAGTGTTGGTGTGAAGGTATTAAGGTATACAAGGCAGGGTATGATTGTTTCTAGAACACCTCATACCCTATTGTGATGAGTTCACACGACTGACAAATTTAATTCTACCTTTATATAGGCCTATTTATAAGTTTGTCATGCTGATATTTTTGGTTCAGTACCTTTCCAAATGGCAGCAGTCTATTGCAAACAGCAACCTACGCTAAATCAACTTAATGGTAGTTCTCTGATCTCGAGAAATATCTCGATCACTGTGAGAGCTAAATTGATCGATATATGGTCACGTGACATAAGTCCAAAATGGATGTCGGTGAGTTCTAAATTTAGATATTTGTATGGTTAAACTCTCATTCTCGTTTGGTTTGTGAACAAAACCTCTAATCACAATATTATTTTGACAGACTTGAAAAATAATCACGGAAAAAATCTTGGCATTTCCAGGAAAATCTATCCGTAATGTGCGTCCATGGACCTTAACCCACAGGGACGTGTCGCAGCGTGATAGTCGTGATCTCCCAGCCACTAATTTCCCTAGCTAGAGTATTATTATGGAATAATAAATTCAATTTACATCTTATTTGGTAATGTGAATTTTTATTAACACTAGTACTGCATGACTGACGGGTCAAAGCAGCAAAATATGATTGAAACTTGTAAGAGCATCCTTAACCAGTGGCATGATTTTAAATCAAAATTGACAAATTGAAAGCTGATTAAGAACAGAGAGAGAGAGACAGACAGAGAGAGAAATGGGGTTTAATGTCCACTTGACACAAACTAGGTCATTTCGGGAATGACACGTCGTTCAATTTTATTTCAATAATTCGCTTGCACGTAGGGGTCTTTAGCAGTGGGAGGAAACCTGAGAACCCTAAGAAAACCCACGAGGTTGGAGAGAGAGAGAGAAATGGGGTTTAATGTCCACTCGACACAAACTAGGTCATTTCGGGACTAACATGTGGTTTAATCTTATTTACATAATTCGCTTGCGCGTAGGGGTCTTTAGCAGTGGGAGGAAACCGGAGGACCCGGAGAAAACCCACGAGGTTGGACAGGCGACCCTACTCCTTGCCACGTACAACCGGGGATTCGAAACCACGCCAGTCGACTCAATGACAGACTTTATGATACAGCGCGCGCACGCTAAACATTCAGCCATCCACCCCCCCCCCCCCACGAGGTTGGACAGGCGACCCTACTCCTTGTCACGTACAACCTGGGAATCGAAACACCACCAGTTGACTCAATGACAGACTTTATGATACAGCGCGCACTTGCTAACCATTCGGCCATCCAACCCCCTGATTAAAAACAGTAATTTATGAAAAATAAATATATAAATTATTGTAAATCATGCTACCAACCTTGACTAATGCAGCCATCAAGGTCACAATGATAATGCGATTTTTTAATCCTCTTAAGTTTAACCCATACATGTGTGGGAGAGTGGATAGAATGTCCCTTTAATGACACCAGTTGTCTTAAACATGTAGCTATAGTAACCTTTCCCGCCGGTAAGCGCTTTGCACGTGCGAGGGAGAGAGAGAGTTGTCAGTTGAGTTGATAGCAGCCGAACTGTACGCACACAGAAAGCAGCACAGCTGTCTTGTGTTCAATGTATAGTTAGTTGGACGAAATAAAGTCTCTTCTCATCAACTGCGATTTAATTTATCATTTTCTGTGGCCGTGTCTTTTGGCTCGGTCACACATGTACTAAGTTAAGCTTACTGGCCCCTGTGTAGAATAGGCTGAAAATATGAAGGTCCTTTAAACATGCATTATGCAATAGCAAAATCTGCTTATTACAAGTCTTTCTTCAGGCCTGAAATGTTATCTAAATTATCAATTAGACATTAATTAACTTATCCAGACCATAATAAACTCTCGATGTCAAGTCTAGCCTTCGATGTAGGCTGGATTAGATTCCTATATGCCGCTAACGGCCAAAGATAATTAAATCAGAAAAAGTGGATAATCAAGACTATGCTGTTTATATTAATGATTTTAGTAATGATGACCGAGACTATGCAAAAATTTCACACGCTTCTTTCTCGGCTCATAGTGGATCAATTTGACTGAAATTTTCAGCAAATTGCCTTTACACTATCTAGTTTTTAACTATTATAGCGAGAACTGCCATCTCTTTATCTTATCTCCCATAATGTATCTTTAAGCTTACTGGCCCCTGGGCAGAAGAGGCTGAAAATATTAAGGTCCCTTGACTAATATGGTGTATTTGGTTTTTTTCCAGAAGTTCAGGTTAAAGCGGAAGATATTAATTTATTATGTGAATTTCAAAGATTACAAACAGAATATAGTAAACTACAGGAATATGTAACGGACTTGGAATCAAAATATTCAAAAGATCTTGTAACCAATCAACAAGAGGACGATAATTTTAATAATCAACTCTATCAGGTTGTCGTTGATCTGTTCGGTAAACAACAATATAGGTTAGTGGATTAAAGACTGGATGATTGGATTTAAGTCTGGACGATAGTGAATTTCTCATAACATATATTTTATTTTATTAAAGAACTCTTGTTTTATCACGTTGAAAGAGAATTGGGGGGTGGGGGGCATCCAATCACAAGGTCTGTCATTGAGTCAAATGGCGTGGTTTCCATCTATTTTTTTTAAAAAGTTCTTGCTTCATCACCTGAAAAGAGTGTGTGTGTGTGTGTGTGTGGAGAGGGGGGAATGTCCGATCATAAGGTCTGTCAATGACTCAACTGGTGTGGTTTCGATTCCCAGCTTCTGAGTTTATACATGACCAGGAGAAGGGTCGTCTGTTCATCCTTGTGCATTTTCTCCGGGTCTTCTGGCTTTCTCCCACTGTTAACAGACCCCTAGTTTACTCTCCATTATATTTATCAATTCACCAAAATAAATCCACAGACTCTGCCACTGAAATTTTGTTGTTGATGGTTTTTTGTCTCGTTTCCACTTCCAGTGACATAACAATCTTGTTAGAAGATGGCCGACGGTTTTATGGACATAAGTTGGTTTTATCAACAAGAAGCGATGTGTGGGACGATCGTAACCTAGAAACAGAAGATCAGATCGATTTATCAGGTAGAAACAGTCAAACAGTCTGGGTAATCCATCGTCATACAGATTGTAACTAGACAATCTCCTAGAAACAGTCACTCATTCTTGGAAATCCATCGTCATAGTGATGTCATAGAAACGGTCACTAATTCTTGGAAATCCATCGTCATAGAGATATCATAGAAATAATAACTCATTCTTGTTAATCCATCGTCATAGTGATTTTAGAGAAACATTCATTTATTCTTGGAAATCCATTGGACTTAGTGATTTCATAGAAACAGTCACTCATTCTTGGTAATCCATCGTCATAGTGATCGTCACTAGACAATCTCGATCCCACACATGTATGTGATAAGTAGTTGGGTTATCTGCCTGCCCTCATCACCAACAATCACAGGCACAAAGTCAGGCTTTGTCTGGCACAATGTCGCTTACACAGATTTGTCATTTTAATGATGTGGTTAATTCATGTGGGGGGTTGGATTGCCGAATGGTTAGCATGTGCGCGTTGTATTATAAGGTCTGTCAATGAGTCAACTGGCATGGTTTTGATTCCCCGGTTGTACATGACAATGTTCCGATCCATTTGAATCTCAGCCATCCGATGGTTTATAGGGTAGTCATGTGAATAAATTTCTAAATATTGAAGCCAGAAAAAAGACCTGCAATAGGCAGATTTAGCTCTTACATAATGCATGTTTAAGTCAATGAACATAAATACGATCCCTTAAAGATGCATTATGGGAGATAAGATAAAGAGATGGCAGTTCTCACTATAATAGTTAAAAACTAGATAGTGTAAAGGTAATTTGCTGGAAATTTCAGTCAAATTGATCCATTATGAGCAGAGAAAGAAGCAGGTGAAATTTTTGCATAGTCTCGGTCATCATTACTAAAATCATTAATATAAACAGCATAGTCTTGATTATCCACTTTTTCTGATTTAATTATCAACGGCCGTTAGCGGCATATAGGAATCTAATCCATCCTACATCGAAGGCCAGCCTTGACATTGAGAGTTTATTATGGTCTGGATAAGTTAATTAATGTCTAATTGATAATTTAGATAACATGTTTAAATACAATTTACGTTTATATTTGCAGATGTAAAGAATGTTATTTAAATTAATGAACCTAAATTAGATTCATTAAAGATACAAACTGGGTGATTTGATGATATGTTTGGACTAAAATAATATTCAGACTAATTAATTTATCATAATTTTGCTTCAAATCCTTCTCAAAACAAAGGGCGCGAAGCTGGAGGAAAATTCATTGCATATACAAGATGATGTTGTCTTTGATCGCTGACTATTTATTACAAATATTGAAGCCCAATAAATTCTCGGTTTACCCACTGCCCAAGTTTTTTCCGTGATTTTTAACTCAGAAACTGTTGCACCATCAACTTTATCAACATATACATCAAGCACTCACTAACGCTGGGAAATTGGCAATCTTCGCGTGCTACCTTTGACGTTACTCAAGCAGACATCACTAATCGCCGGGTTGCTGGTTAGGGAAACCCTTACATTTTTGCCATGTATGCGCTCCATGGGTGTTTTTCAGGGAATCCAGTATTTTTCTAGTAAGACTGGATGTTTCTACTTTCCATATATACCAAAATTGCCATACTTTTATTGGAAATAAACAAGCGATAAATACTTTTCTGGGAAAGTATCTTTTAATACAATTTATATTTATATTTACAGATGTAAAATATGATGTAGTGTATTATATGTTAAAGTGGGTGTATACTGATATTTTTGATGATTTTGAAAGCGTTGGATATTTATTACTTCTTGACTTATTAAAAACTACAAAAAGATGTCGATTACAGGAGTTATATACAAGGTTTGTAATCTGTTAATTCTTGTATTTAATAAGGATTAGGGTCTTTATCTGATCCCCCCCACCCCAAAACTGTAGTGCTGGCCCCAATATGACACACCTCTCTCCCTCTCTCTCTCTCTCTCTCTCTCCTCTTCTCTCTCTCTCTGGGGATTGGGTGGCCAAATGCGGGTTGGCATTGTATCATAAGGTCTTTCATTGAGTCCGTTGGTGTGGTTTCTATTCCTCGCTTGTACATGACAAGGAGTAGAGTCACCTGTCCAACCTTGTGGGTTTTCTCCGGGTTCTCCGGTTTCCTCTCACTGCTAAAGACCCTTACGTGCAAGCGAATTACTGAAGTATAATTGAACCCTATGTTAGTCCCGAACTCTCTTTCGTGATCAAATTTATTTACAGTTATATATATATATATTATTTATAGATGTCAGGAGGCATTAAAACTTCTGGTTGATAAAGACAACTGTAGAATTATTAACCAGGTAGCTGAAGAATTATCGGATGAATGTTTAACAGATCTAAGTACAATATTTATGAAGGAGATTGAGGTATGTTTGGTGTTTTCCCAGTCTGATTATAATACAGATCTATATTTCGTTTCGTTTCATTTTTTATACTTTCGATGGCCTACACTACATGAAGATCTGACAAGTTATAGCGATAGGTCGCGTGAGGGGTCGTACAAGCAGCTTTTGACCTTATGGCGCAGACATTTGATTAACCAATCGACATTGATGTTACTAGTGGATTACCCACAGTTCAGTGCAAAACACGCCTCAAGCTCGCTGTGACAGACCGTTTCATTGGCTTATCCCTGACACCATTCAGAACAACTCTTCCAGATCCAAGTGTAGTAAAGACAAGTAAAACAAAATTTTGAACTATAAAAACGAAACGAAATAGGATCTGTGTTTTAACCAGATTGGTGTTTTCCCTTCGCTTATCAGTTTAGTGTATTGAGAGAGAAAGTCCATTGGGGAAGTCAGTGATTCAGGATAGAGAGAGAGAGAGAAATGGGGTTTAACGTCCACTCGACACAAACTAGGTCATTTCGGGACTAACATATGGTTTAATTTTATTTACATAATTCGCTTGCGCGTAGGGGTCTTTAGCAGTGGGAGGAAACCAGAGGACCCGGAGAAAACCCACGAGGTTGGACAGGCGACCCTACTCCTTGCCACGTACAACCGGGGATTCGAAACCCCGCCAGTCGACTCAATGACAGACTTTATAATACAGCGCGCGCACGCTAACCATTCAGCCATCCAACCCCCCGATTCAGGATAGACAGCCTTGCAAGGGACAGCATATAGTCGTTAGGATGGGATGAAAAATCTGAGGTTCTGTGTACACATTGGCGTGCACGTAAAAGATCCCTTGGCAGTTGGAATTCGATATAAGAGTAGCGCCGCTTTCCAAGTAAAATTTTCTTCATAGCACACAGTATTGCGTACATGTATGCCCTTCTTCACTAGCCTAGTCTGGGCAGAACAGTAGGACGTTAAATCCCATGTCATTTCATTTTATTGCATCACAAATGTGAAATTTTCCTGATTCTGATTGACTGAAATTAATCTGTTTTCATTAACCCAGTCGGAAAAAAAACAATAGGACATTAAACCCCATATCATTTCATTCTCTTGGTAAACTTGTTAATCTTGATTACAGGAAGAGGAAGCCAGGATAGATATGGATAACCAGACAGATAATAACGATTCAGACTCAGACAATTTAGTTCTGACTTTTGGTTTGAAATCACCAACAACAGTCAAAAGAGGGAAAAAGAGATCAAAAGAAAAATCCAGCCTCGAATGTCCGAAATGTGACGAGAAATTTAAAACAGAAGACGAGGTCAAAGAACACTTTATTGCATCTCATACGAAATTCTGTAACATTTGTGAAAAGAATCACGGTCCAACGATGGTGAATAGTTACACGTGGAAGGACACGGGTGAAAAGAAGAATATTTGTCGCGTTTGTATGAAGAAGAACGGGGTTGAGTTTAAATCGAAGGTCGTATTGGATAAATATTTTGATAAACGATTCATGTGTGATATATGTGGGAAAAGTAATCGTTGTGAATCTCATCTCATCAGTCATCGTCGCGTCCACACGGGTGAAAAGCCGTATAGATGTGTAACGTGTGGACAAGGTTTTGCTAGTAAGACGTCGTGCAGTCGACACGAATTAACGCATACAGGTGTTAAAATGTACAAGTGTGAAGAATGCGATCGGACGTTTGCTCGCGGGTATCATCTTCGGCGACATCGGTTGATTCATAGCGGAGAGAAACCTTTTCAGTGCCCTGTGTGCGGTCGATTGTTCCGTCAAACGAACACCCTACAAGTCCATGCCCGGACACATACAGGGGAGAGACCTTATGATTGTCCACATTGTGAGCGAGCGTTCTCTGATCGACGTTCGTTACTCAAACATTGGAGAAACAGTCATACGGAAGTATACACACACAATGAACACGATAATGGTGATCCAAATGTCGAAATCGACAATGTTATGTAAACAAGCCTGACTCCTGGTTGATCAAAAATTGACAATTTTATTATATAGAAAACTTCTAGTGTGGGATGGGTATCAAGAAATGAGCAATTTTGTATAGACAAGTTCTAGTGTGGGAAATAGAAATTGGTTTTAATGTCCACTTGACAAATACTAGGTAATTTCGGGACTAACATATGGTTCAATTTTATTCCAATATTTCGCTTGTGTGAGAGGAAATTATTCCATTAATTAGCTGTGGAAGGAAACCGGAGGACTCAGGAGAAAAGCCATGAGGTTGGAAAGGCGACCCTACTCCTTGTCACGTACAAGCGGAGTGTGGAGGAAGGGGAAATAGGCAATTTTATAAACATTCAATAAACTCAAGTCCTAGATTGGTGTAAATGTAGAGTGAAATGAAATGAGGTTTAACGTCCTGCTTTTCTGCTTCAGCTGAGCTAATGAAGACTGGCATATGCTTGTGCCATGAAGAAAATTTTGCTGGAAAGCGGCACCACAGCCTACTTTTAATCGAATTCCAACTGCCAAGTTATCTTTTATGTGCATGTCAATGTACACACAGGAACCATCCCATCCAACCGACTATACATTGTCCCTTGCCAGGCCCTCTGTCCTACACCACTGACAAAGGGAATCAGGAAAATCCTGATGAACTTTCTCTGCCAATGCAGGGGCCAAAAACGCGACCTCCCAGTCAGCGAGTCAACTTCTTACTCACTGAGCCACTGTGGCTCCCGTACACATAGCAGAACATTTTGGATTTGCCAAAAACTAGGCACATTTTCTTCTGCAGGAAGCAGTTTCCCTCGTAGCACACTACATACTGTCTTCGTTAGCCCAGTTTCCCTCGTAGCACACTACATACTGTCTTCGTTAGCCCAGTTTCCCTCGTAGCACACTACATACTGTCTTCGTTAGCCCAGTTTCCCTCGTAGCACACTACATACTGTCTTCGTTAGCCCAGTTTCCCTCGTAGCACACTACATACTGTCTTCGTTAGCCCAGTTTCCCTCGTAGCACACTACATACTGTCTTCGTTAGCCCAGTTTCCCTCGTAGCACACTACATACTGTCTTCGTTAGCCCAGTTTCCCTCGTAGCACACTACATACTGTCTTCGTTAGCCCAGTTTCCCTCGTAGCACACTACATACTGTCTTCGTTAGCCCAGTTGGTGCAGAAAAGTAGGATGTTAGACCCTATTTTATTCATTTGTTATTATTATGTTTTGTGGATGTAACTGCTAGCCAGGTAGATACATGTGCTTGATATCTTTAATACTTTCACCTGGTCAGTTATTTGGATGTAACTGCTAGCCAGGTAGATACATGTGCTTGATATCTTTAATAATTTCACCTTGTCAGTTTTTTGGTGTCAGTTCAATTAAGTGACATAGAATTCATTCACAATCCAGTCTAGTTCAGTCCATTCCAGTCAAGTATTAGTCCTATCACAGTCCAGTCTCGTTTAGTCCTATCACACTCAGTCCCATTCAGTCCCATCACAGTCCAGTCAGACCTACTACCACAGTCCAGTCAGACCTACTACCACAGTCCAGTCAATCCTATCACATCCAGACAGTCCTATATCACTCCAGTCAGACCTACTACCACAGTCCAGTCTGTCCTATCTCACTCCAGTCAGTAGTACCACAGTCCAGTCAGTCCTATCACAGTCCAGTCAGTCCTATCACACTCACTCCAGTCAGACTATCACACTCAGTCAGTCCAATCACACTCAGTCAGTCCTATCACAGTCCAGTCAGTCCTATCACACTCACTCCAGTCAGTCCTATCACAGTCTAATCAAACCTATCACACTCCAGTCCTATTCATAAATAAATCGTCACATGCCTTGACTTGTTTTATTTGTGTGTATGTGAGAATGTTCCATCAAGTATCCCCCGCCCCTATTCAAAGTGTTGATTCTGTTGTTATGTGTTTATTTATGTTAAATAATTTATTAAAATAAACTTGTTTTCGAACATCTGTTGTTGTTGATTGACCAGGGAGAAAGAATGTCTATATTGTACATCTGATGCATCGGAAGTTCACAACTGTATAATATGCACCCCCCCACCCTTCAGTCGGCTGAGTAATGTTTTCAAAAACTGTGTTTTGTGTTAGAAAACGAGTGTTTAAATGTTCTGTAACTGTCATATTTCATGGTTTGTTCAAGTTGTTTAATTCAAGGCACCCCAATTCCCAACCCCCTTTGCTGACTATAGGGACTGGTTGTGCCATTTACCCACACCTTTTCTTGTATGATATTTTGTTTGTTGTGGTTTTATTATGCAACGAGCCGAACATAATATGTTATGTTTTGACGATCTTTTTTAACAGAAAAGTCCAAATTGTTTGACAAGCAAATAGAACCAATCACACTGTTCTGTGATTTAATTTTGTGACATTTCTTGAAGATATAACAATTATTTGTTTTGTGTTATTATTTTCAAATGAAAAACACCTGATTAAACGGGGCGGGATGCCAAGGCAAAACGGCATAAAATAGCTGACTGGGCATTCGCAGTCTGCCAGATGCGTGCGTGTAAACAAAATATAAATCGCGATGGTAGAATCGGCAATTAATAGGTTAAATAAGTGAACTTTATTGGAGAATGACATGAGAATAATATATTAAACTGCTACTTGTTGGTCTGTAATTTGCGAATTTGCGGTGTTTTCCTCCTGAAATGATGGAATTAGGTCGGTGGATTTTCTTCTCTGAGATGTTCGCAAAACCTCGCATAGGCACTTACCCCCTTCCAGTTTTTTCTGGCCGAAAGCCTGGAGGACCAGGAGAGAGAGAGAGAGAGAGAGTTTAATGTCCACTTGACACAAACTAGGTCATTTCGGGACTAACACATGTTTCAATTTTATTTCAATCTCAATCATTCGCTTGTGCGTAGGGGTCTTTAGCTGTGGGAGAGATCCGGAGAATATACACGAGGTTGGATACTTAAAAAAGACAGTTTGCTACGGATATTGCAGGAGAAGGGTTGCTACCTTAATTGGAACGATAAACTACTGATTTTAGAGGAGGGGCTAAGAGCCAATATTTGACTGTTTAAAACATTTAACAAAAAACCCCAGATGTTTCCATATTTAAATTTAAATTAATCAAATAAATAAATACATTTACAAAACACAAATACTTGTGGGCATCCCATGGACAAATTTCTCGCGCATAATTAACAGCTTCTGGACCTTCTGAAAAGTAACAAATCACAACTGTTGATGGTACAGTTTCCCATGACTGTCATTCTACCATGTGGCTGTGATTCAACCTTGTAATAGGTTTCCCATGGCTGTCATTCTACCATGTGGCTGTGATTCAACCTTGTAATAGGTTTCCCATGGCTGTCATTCTACCATGTGGCTGTCATTCAACCATGTAATACGTTTCCCATGGCTGTCATTCAACCATGTAATACGTTTCCCATGGCTGTCATTCTACCATGTAATAGGTTTCCCATAGCTGTCATTCTACCATGTAATAGGTTTCCCATGGCTGCCATTCTACCATGTAATAGGTTTCCCATGGCTGCCATTCAACCATGTAATAGGTTTCCCATAGCTGTCATTCAACCATGTAATACGTTTCCCATGGCTGTCATTCTACCATGTAATAGGTTTCCCATGGCTGTCATTCTACCATGTAATAGGTTTCCCATGGCTGTCATTCTACCATGTAATACGTTTCCCATGGCTGTCATTCTACCATGTAATAGGTTTCCCATGGCTGCCATTCTACCATGTAATAGGTTTCTCATAGCTGTCATTCAACCATGTAATAGGTTCCCTGTGGCTGTCATTCAACCATGTATAGGTTTTGTCATGGCTGTAATTCGTTGATTTATTAACAAATCTGTCCGTTTAAGTTGAGTCTTGGTTGCACAATCCTTACAACCAGAACCAACATTAAATGTTCATGTACCAATACCATTGCCCATAACTCTGGTGAACACAAGTGTTATTTTTTTTTTTTTTTTTTTTTTTTTGAAACAATGAACAACTGTGATGTGGTTGAAACTACAACAACATGCGTGCATGTGCAATCAATTTACAGACTTGCAATCAGCTGACTTGTCACCATGGACATCCCTTGTCGCAAACAGTAGCAATATGTGTGAAATTAAATATCGCTTAGAACAAAGAGCACTGGTATCAACAAAAGTCATTTGTCCACACAGAATGACTTAAGTGTCATTTTCAGCCGATTCAGATTTTTGTTGAAGTTTAGCTTTTCGTGCTATTCTGTCATGTGACTTGTAATGTTTTTTAAGATGACTTCTTTGAAAGAAGGCCTTGTCGCATAACTCACACGGGTAAGGCCTCTCTCCGGTATGAGTGCGTATATGTTTCTTTAACTGTGAACTGTCCTTGAACGTTTTTAAACACATTTCACACGTCTTGACAAGAGGCTGAGTCTTGTCTCGTTTGGGTTTAGTATGTGATCGGAAATGGTATTCTAAATTACATTTCTGGGTGTAGGATTTGTCGCACAGGCGACATTTATATGGATGAATGGACGTGTGCATCGTCATGACGTGCGTCTGCAAATTGAAGTTCGTATTGAAAGCTTTGTTACAGACGGAGCAAGCGTATTCTAATTGTCCGTTGTGTAAACGTTGATGTGTCAGCATGTTCGCCCTGATGCTGAACGATTTGTCGCAGATGTTACATGTGTAGGGTTTTTCACCCGTATGACTTCTCAAGTGTTGCGTTAATCGTGACAATCTCACAAAACTTTTATTACAGAATTCGCAAACGTGGGGCTTCTTCTTGTTGTGCCAATCAATGTGGGTTTTTAGTTTCTCCTCTTCGTCAAATCCCTTGGTACATAGATGACATCTAAGGGGTTTCATGTCTTTGACCGTTACCATTATATCGGCTAAAACGATTTCTGGAACCGGTTCTGGGATGGGTGTATCTATTACTTCTGATTGGTTTACCTGGAATTACAGTAGAAAATAGAGATGTGCATTTGTAAAAAAAAACTTTTATAGGGGTCATCTTAACTGTCACAAAGGAGACAGAAAGAGAGAAATGGGGTTTAACGTCCACTTGACACAAACTAGGTCATTTCGGAACTAACATATGGTTCAATTTTATTTCAATAATTCGCATTCGCGTAGGGGTCATTAGCAGTGGGAGGAAACCGAAGGACCCGGAGAAAACCCACGAGGTTGGACAGGCGACCCTACTCCTTGTCACGTACAACCGGGGATTCGAAACCACATCAGTTGACTCAATGACAGGCTTTATGATACAGCGCGCGCACGCTAACCATTCGGCCATCCAATCCCCCATAAATCATACAAGTGATCATTATTCTAAACTATGGATTAGTATGTATAGAAAGTGGTTAGACATTATACAGTTGTCATTAATTAAGTGGTGTGTAAACTAGCCATAAAAGATGTTACTACTGGTGTAAAAACGTGACTATTTATAACAGCCATAACTATTGAATACACCATCTTTCCGAAAAGATTTTTGAAGGATGAACAAAACCATTTGCGGAAAATGAAAAGAAGGATACAATTCAAGGAAAGTGGGCAGAAATAAATTTAGAAGAAATATAAAATCTGATGTTTGGGTGAAGAAGGAGTAAGATTGAGCACATATTGACCATTTGTTTATGCAAAGTGATGTGACTTCTTAGTCTGGCAAAACATGATTTGAGATTCTTCTTAAAACCTGTACTCTGTTAACATGATTTGAGCAGTGAACCTGACATTTGGAGTGAAGTTGTCAAACATTTATATGGTACGATGTGTGAAATGTTAATGATATAGGTACAATACCTTTTGTTGTTGTTAGTTAGTTATATTTTACGTCCGCTTCCACCTTTTGAATTATTTCACTTTAAATAGTGTACTCAATATTCTCGAGCCACCCGATATATAAAAAAGAACATTTCAGCAAACTTAGTTTTAGTATAACATAAGATAAGTTCTCTAACCTCTGGAGGTAGAAATTGTTGACATTGTTCTTTAAGTATAGTAGCTGACAGTTGATTGGCTGTGTGATAATATCGTAAACAGTTGGTTTGATCGATAAAAAACACTAAAGCTCTCTGACATCTAAAATACATAATACATTTAATTATATTAAATCTGAAATGAAATAAAATGGGGATTTAACGTCCTACTGTTCTGCTCCTAAACTGGGCTAATGAAGAAGGGCATACGCCATACAGTGTGCTATGAGGGAAATTTTGCCCATGCAGCGGCGCTACGGCCTACTCTTATATCGAATTCCAACTGCCAAGGGATCTTTTACGTGCACGCCAATATGTACATGGGACCTCGGTTTTTCGTCCCTTTCGAATGACTAGACAGCTGTCCTTGTCAGGCCCTCCGTCCTGCATCACTGACAAGGGGGGAACCACGCCGGAAAATCTGGATGAACTTTCTCGGCCAATGCAGGGATCGAACACCCGACCTCCAGGCTAGCGAGCCAACGTCTTACCCACTTGATCCCCTATATTAAATCTAATTATAAGATCTATATTTCATTTCTTATTTTATACTTTCGATGGCCTACACTACATGAAGATCTGACCAGTTTTATTGGAAGTTCACACCAGGGGTCAAACGAGCGGCTTTTGACCCTATGATGTCAGACATTGATTAATCAATCAGCATTGACGTTTCTATGGGTTTACCCACAGTTCCTGTGCAGAGCACACCAAGAACTCGCTATAACAGACTGTTTCATTGGCTAATTTCTCACACCAACTAGAACGCCTGTTATATAACAACACTTCCAGATCATAGTGTAGTAAAGACAAGTAAAACGAAATTTGGCAGTATAAAAAATGAAATGAACTAAGATCTGTGTTGTGAGTAACTTTGAATCAGTTACAAACTACAATATTTTCAATACCACAAAGATGAATTGACAATATGGCAACATATGACATACTTGGCAATTGTAAGTGTTGGTTGAATACAGAGAGAGAGAGAGAGAGAGAGTTTAACCTACATTCCCGTAAACTTTTCGGGACTAACATATGGTTCAATTTTATTTCAATAATTCGTTTGCACATAGGGGTCTTTTGCAGTGGGAGGAAACCGGGGACCCGGAGAAAACCCACAAGGTTGGAAGTCAACCCTACTCCTTGTCACGTAGAGCCGGGGAATCGAAACCATGCCAGCTGACTCAATGACAGACCTTATGATACAACGCGCACGCGCTAACCATTATCTACGGCCCATACTTTTCCTAATTAAGTATCAAATAATCACTTTAGCGTGGAATAATTAAGCTGTAAGAAATTTGAAAAAATAGGAATAAAAATTTCCCAAAGAACCAAAAAAAAGTAAAACGCCATGATCCAAGTAGATATTTTTATCAAAATTTACAAACCTTTCATTAAGACTGTGAAGTTGATATTTTACGGCAGCTTTTAAAAGTTCTTCTAGAAAAACAGCATCAGCTTCTTTTGTTTCAAATATATCTGTATAAATCCATTTGATCATTGCCAACATTACGTTACAGTCAAACTCTGAAATAAAAAAAATAAAATCGATATAATTTTTTATTACAACTTTTCCAGCATACATGAGTCCACTGCCTGTACAAAATTCTCAAACTGACATTTCTGAGAGAAATAAAAATTCACATATGTTAGTCCCAAAATGACTGAAGTATTCTTTTTTCCTAGCATGGTTTACTCTTATTAGTGGAGCAGAAAGGGGGGCCTGACACGGACAGTGTCTAGGTCTTTGAATGGGACAATAATTCGAGGTGCCGTGAACACGTTGGCATGTACGTAAATAACCCTTGATAGATGGATTTAGAATAAATATAATATACTTGAGTAGGCCTACCTGAGAGATCTATTGACCTTTAACCCCCTGGTATTTAAATATAATATACTTGAGTAGGCCTACCTGAGAGATCAATTATATCTACATCATTGAGATTACTTCCACACCATTTATCAAACCAGGTAGATAAAACTAATTTATGGCCACGGATCGATTTCTCACCATCCAGTAATAATGTTACATCACTGCAGACAAAAGAAATTAGAAATTTGTTCTATAAAATTGGAAATCTATAAGTGGCAAGGGCACTCTGATTAAAACACAAATTACCGTAGCTATCCTATTTCGTTTTTTTTTTATAGTTCAAAATTTCGTTTTGTCTTTACTACACTAGGATCTGCATTCTGGATGATGTGGGGGATTAACCAATGAAATGGTCTGTTACGGCAAGTTTTTGGCACAAGGTCCACGGAACTGTGGGTATTCCACTAGGAACATCAATGCAGATTGGTTAACCAAATGTCTGACGTCATAAGGTCAAAAGCTGCCCCTATGACACCTTCCACTATAAATGGTCAGATCTTCATGTAGTGGAGGCCATCAAAAGCATTAAAAAAAAATGAAACGGAATATAGATCTGTATTTTAATCAGACTAGTGGCGAGGGGTAGCCATCCCAGATTGATGGCGAGGGGTAGCCATCCCAGATTGATGGCGAGGGGTAGCCATCCCAGATTGATGGGAGGGGTAGCCATCCCAGATTGGTGGCGAGGGGTAGCCATCCCAGATTGGTGGGAGGGGTAGCCATCCCAGATTGGTGGGAGGGGTAGCCATCCCAGATTGGTGGGAGGGGTAGCCATCCCAGATTGGTGGGAGGGGTAGCCATCCCAGATTGGTGGCGAGGGGTAGCCATCCCAGATTGGTGGGAGGGGTAGCCATCCCAGATTGATGGCGAGGGGTAGCCATCCCAGATTGGTGTCGAGGGGTAGCCATCCCAGATTGGCGAGGGGTAGCCATCCCAGATTGGTGTCGAGGGGTAGCCATCTCATGAAGCTACTTGTTTTGTTTGATGCGAACTCTTCAGGTTCAAGTGAGATTGCGGGCTATTCCCTTTATATTTCCACCCTCTTTGTTTACACTCGTCTTTAGATCTACATGTAGCCTATCATTGTTTACAATATTTTTCTCTATAATTACATGTAGTACCTGTACATCTATTTAACCTTTAAATTAAATGAAATGAAATTTTGTTTTACATCCTACATTTCTTTACCAACTGTTCTGCTCCAACTGGGCTAATGAAGACCGGCATACACGCCATACCATGTTCTGTGAGGGAAATGTGCCCCGAACAGCAGCGCTTTGGCCTACTCTAACATAGAATTCCAACTGTCAAGGGATCTTTAACGTGCACGCCAATACGTACACAGAACCTCAGTTTTTCATCCCATCCAAATGACTAGACAGCTGTACTTGTGTCTAGGCTTCTTGGACCAACTATTCCTTTATAAAGTCCGAGTATGATTTTTGCATTATAGGAGTCCCGGTCTTGTACGCTACAATATTGACAGCTTAATTTTCCCAAATAGCACACTATGCTGTACACCCGTAGAACAGTAGGAGTTAAACCACATTTCATTTCAGAGAGAGAGAGAGAGAAATGGGGTTTAACATCCACTCGACACAAATTAGGTCATTTCGGGACTAACACACGGTTCAATTTTATTTTCATAATTCGCTTGCGCGTAGGGGTGTTTAGCAGTGGGAGGAAACCGGAGGACCCGGAGAAAACCCAGGAGGTTTGACAGGCGACCCTACTCATTGTCACGTACAACCGTGGAATCGAAACCCTGCCAGTTGACTCAATGACAGACCGTATGATACAGCGCAGCGCGCACATACTAACCATTTGGCCAGCCCCCCCCCCATTTCATTTCAGGTTATAGTCATGATAACCCAGACATTTAAAATTAAAACCTATAATCATCAATAGAGGTTTTTTTTATTCACACTTTAAACTTTAAGGGTTCATTTATTAATTACCTGTACAGTGGTTGACCATACAACCCAGCAACAGTTTGTAATAATCTACTGCTATGTTCAGTATGATTATCTTCCCCTTGACCAGCCAAAGCTAACTGATATTTTATTTCAACTTCAGATAAATGTTTTTCAAGTATAGTCAGCTTGTCTTGTAATCTTGTAGCTTCCTTCTTCCAGAACTCAACTATAACAGGGTAAAATAGATTTTTTATTGATGTCCAATAACAAGAAACAGTCAGATTGTGACCTGTCTAATATATTCGAGACTGTGTGTCAGTCCGTTTGTTTTGTAGCTTCACTCTTCCAGGGAGAGAGAGAGAGAGAGAGAGAGAGAGATAAATGGGGTTTAATTTCAATAACTGGCTTGTGCGCTTAGGAAACCGGAAGACCTGGAGAAAACCTACAAGGATGGACAGGCGACTCTACTCCTTGCCATGTACAGGCGAGGATGAAAAACTACACGACTTGACTCAATAACAAACCTTTATGATTCAACATGCACGTTATCCATTGGCATTAGGCCATCCAACCCCCCTTTATTCTTCGAATAATCAACTGATGGGCTATTGCAACCATGAACCTTATAACACAGTGTTGCAACCAACACGCTTTCATTTGTGGCTCTAATACAATTGCCTTACAGTTTACATTTACACATATTGACATATTGTTTGTGCCAGGGTTTGTTTTTTTTTTTTAAAAATCGCTCATCACTAACAAAGACACGTGTTAAGTACTCTATTTTATTTTCAATGCAAAAAAAATATAATAAAATATTTTAACTAGATGCTTTAGAATGTCGAATTTTTATAATTATTATTATTAGGTTTATGCTTGCTGGAGAGAAAAAAAAAAAATCTTCTTTTACCATCCTCCATTTTGAACAATCAAGTCACGTGATGATCTAGTTGTATATATGGACAATCCTTGGATCAGCATAACAAATCAAAAGGCCCAGGGATATATGCACAGGACTACTTTTCATTTAGCTGGATCTCAAAATGTCGATTTTTTATGGTAAAATATAATGGACATCACATAATATATCAATACAGACTCTTTTCTACAGATGTTCAAACAAAGATTGAGGGATATTTATGTTCAGTGAGTCTTAGAAATATATTGAAAAAGGATGAACTGTTAAGAACTTAAATAATTGCCTTAAAATTTAACTAACACAAAAAATGATTTTTATTATAAAATTAAGACAAATTATGATACTGAGAAATACCTGGATCTACCAGATGAACAAAAACGCCAGGCGCTGAGCCAATTTAGACTCAGTGCACATAAGCTTGAAATAGAGACAGGAAGGCATAAAAAACCTTTTGTCCACAGGGATAAGAGGACCTGTAAAAATTGTACAAGTGGAGAGGTAGAAGATGAAACACACGTTCTTCTCCATTGTTCCGCCCACAATAATCTTCATAAAAAAGTTTTTAAGTCATCACATTAAAACTAGTTTGAATGATTCAATAATGCATGTATAATGAACGATAATAAATGTATACAAGATGTTGCAACACTCGTATATGAAATGTTTAAATACCATTTTCTATGTAAGGCCTAATATATACTTTACAAGCATTATTAATATAATTTAATATACTTTTAGAAACCTCTGTAAACCTTATTCTATGTTCTTGATGTTTATTATTGTATTGTACTTTGTACTGTATGATGTTTATTATTGTATTGTAATTTGTATTGTATGATGTTTATTATTGCATTGTAATTTGTATTGTATGATGTTTATTATTGCATTGTAATTTATATTGTATGATGATTATTATTGTATTGTAATTTGTACTGTATGATGTTTATTATTGTATTGTACTTTGTATTGTATGGTGTTTATTATTGTATTGTAATTTGTATTGTATGATGTTTAGTATTCTAATTTGTATTGTATAGTGTTTTTATTGTATTGTAATTTGTCTTGTATGATGTTTATTATTGTATTGTACTTTGTATTGTATAATGTTTATTATTGTATTGTAATTTGTATTGTATGTTTATTATTGTATTTTGTATTGTATGCTGTTTATTATTTATTGTAATTTGTATTATATGCTGTCTATTATTGTATTGTAATTTATATTTTATGCTTTACCATACTCGTGTATATATATCGTGTAGTTGTTTTATAAAGCATTATTATTATTATTATCCCGTATTTTTCTTTCAAGATTATCTTTTTCAAGGACAACTAACGGGGCATTAGGTAAGATTAGATAAAGAGCTGACAGTTATCGCTATAATAGTTAAAAAATAGATAATGAAATCAGAATATGCTGAAAATTACGTCACTCTGAACCGTGATATTAGCGGTTCAATTTTAGGCTAATCTTGATCGCCATTACTAACATTGGTACGATAAGAAACCAAGTCTCAATTATCCATTTTTACGTCAAATTATCCATCACAAAATATATTCAAATCTACTAAATATTGTAGACTAACATGGCACTTAGAGTTGATTATGGCCTGGATAAGTTTATTAATGTCTAATTAATAATTTATATAACATTATTAGATTTAGCTCTTGCATAATAATTAGACATTTATATAACTAACATGAAAAGACCTTAACCAACTCTCGCTGGATTTGATACGCCCACGTAATTATTTCATATTTGGTGAGAAGCATTGGGGTCACGAAAGGATGAATCATATCAATATTCAGCCTTCTGCAACTTTCCGTTCAGGTGTTATGCCCCCTTTTCCCGAAAAACCTTACAAATGCGATAAGGGCTATAGTCGTTGATGGCTATCTCCCATATTTTGCTTGAAGCCTCCCGTTATTGAATTATCCCCACTTTGACGAAAAACTTGTCAAAGCGATAGAGGCTATAGGTTTTGCAGATATTTAAAAGCTGTCTGATTTTCCATTCCATAACCCCCAACCCCTTTAGTGAACAAGATACACTGTTATGCTTGCACACCCTTGTGAACACCATAAAGAAGGCTATACTTTTAATGAATCTTTTTTCATATTTGTTTGAAAGCCTACATCCTTGTCAAATTTGCTCAAGGTACAAGTTCTCCAGCGGATAAGCTGCAGTTGAGACAACGCTGAAAGATGATACTATTGATACGGCAAAAACTCGACCAATTGAAAACTAGAAACTTGGATAACTGATTCCCGAAGACATATGATTACCTTTACTGGATTCACTTGGTAATCCAATCGGCATTCTCAGATTTCGAGGTGTTTAAGACTCTGTTCTATTTGGGGGGTTAAGTCGATTCGACCAATATTCCTTCTTGATCAGTATGACGGGGATCACGTGGCTAAGTGGGTAAGACGCTGGCTCGCTAGCCTGGAGGTCAGGTATTTGATCCCTGCATTGGCCGAGAAAGTTCATCCAGATTTTACGGCGTGGTTTTCCCTTGTCAGTGATGCAGGAAGGAGGGCCTGACAAGGACAGCTGTCTAATCCTTCGAATGAGACGAAAAACCGAGGTCCCGTGTATACATTAGAATGCACGTAAAAGATCCGTTGGCAGTTGGAATTCGATATAAGAGTAGGCGATAGTGCCGCTGCCCGGGCAAAATTTCCCTCATAGCACACTGTATGGCGTATGCCCGTCTTCATTAACCCAGTATAGGAGCAAAACAGTAGGAAGTTAAACCCATTTCATTTCATTTTGATCAGTATGATGTATTTGGACGGGCTGGGGTTATTTAAATTTAGTTTTTAACATTTATTATAAATCATATACAATTAGACCAAATCAAAACAAAAGTCCCTTTAAATACCCATAGGCACCCAATGTGGGGGGAAAAAATCATTATATCTTATTTGTTTTGCCATTGCCGACTGGCGACGTATATAGTCATTATAATAAACTGTATGGCCATTAGCTAGCCATGCTCCCCAGTAACCAATCAGTCCTGTTGTTACTATTGAATGATGACAGAGACTTAATAAAATTAACGCAGTTCTACTATCCGCCTCATCAGTAAACACAACATCATCACTACCTTTGATATAGGCTTGACACCAGTTCCTGTCATCACACAATACTAAGAATTTGACATTTCTATATTTTGAACGCATGTGTTTCATAGCATTTTGTATGTACGTTAATGGTGCTTTATTTAGTCCCTGTATTACATCACCCATGTATAATAATACGTTATTTCCAGCTACATGTACACCCACTACTACACTTTCTTTCGCTTTATCGATATATTTATTGAATTTTGTTTTAGTCTCTTGAAGAATATGATTTTTAAAACGAAATTCTTTTCTTATTGTTTGTTCAATTGACTGGAAGTATTTCCAAGATTGCAGATAGCCTTTAATAGACACGTTTCTTTGAGGTAAGCTTGTTAAACTAGCGTCGTATCCCATTGGTATCGATTCGATTCTTTTATCCCAGCAATCTGTTCTTCCAGACGATGTTGAACGGATATAGAACATATTTTCTAGCATAGTATTGGCTGGAAACGAAGGTTGTCTCTTGTTTTCAAACGATAAACCCAATAATGACGCGTATTTGAACATCAGAATCTCAAGTGGCGATTCGACTGTCACTGTTACTGTTAAATAAAGCTTGTTAGAGTTGAATGGCGCATCATTATAACAAATGCCTGAATCGTTGTAAAAATAGTTCAGGTAGACCTTCGCTACCAACACAAATGGTATCAATATCAATAAAATCACTGACGATTTTCTAAGTGTTCTCTTTCTACCACCAATAGTTATACTCGCCATCTTAAGTTTCGCTCAAAATGGGCTGGGCTGGGGGTGGGGGGGAAGTACCGAGCGTCTAGATAATCAAGTCTATTGCCCAACCTGGTTTACATCCACTCGGCAAACCTCGGCAGATTCCGGTACGAATGGGTTTACATCATCAGTGAAGCTCTAAAGCATCGCGCGAAGCGCGGTGCTTGAGCAATGCTATTTTGCGGTAACACAGGAGCGTAACTAAAACTGTCACCACAGACTGTTGATTTCAAAACAAATTAGACCGGAACCGGATGCACTGGGCAAAAACGGTAATGCGCATGCCAACTTACCAAACCTCGGCCAAGCGAGATTACGCGACTCAATGACGTCATTGACGCGACTTATAGAAATCAGTCGGCAAACCTCGGCGAATTCCGGTACCCTTCGTAGAATCTGCCGAGGTTTGCCGAATGTTATAGAAATATTTTTACGACGCGATTAATCAATGACGTCCCATATTTCTGACGTCAATGAAAATAATTCTCACACTTTTTTGTTCTTTTTTTTTTTTTTTTGACAAAATTAATCATACAATTTAGATCTAAATTAAATTCAATTCGGAAAAACGAGATTATTTAGCATTACTTGTGTCACTTGAGAAACTTAATTATGAAGGTTTATATACTGAGCGCCATGGAAAACGCATCACTTTTTTTTCCCAAATATTTTATTACTAGGTGGTTTTGGATGTATAATATTATGCAATACTATGAACTATTGTTTCACACAGTGCTCCCAAACGCAAAAAATATCGGCCCGTGTGCAAAAAAAAAAATTGCACGAGATGCACATGAAAAACCCAATATTCATGTGCAGCATTGTGTGTGAGCCCTTTAAAAGCATGTTTTCAACTTAATGTGCAGTACATGAACTGTGAAACGTCAATCTGTCGTAATTTGTTGTTGGACGTGTGAAGGAATCGAGCTAGAGATGCCGAGCCCGAGACTTACTGAAAATCAACGGAATGAAGCCATGGGAATGTCCAGGGCTGGCATGTCTACACGTGCTTTTGCCAGACACTTCAATTGTCATCAGTCCACTATTGTAAGGTTGTTGGAACGTGTTCGAGTTACTGGATCAACACGTGACCGTCAACGTCCTGGTCCACAACGCGTTACAACCCAGGCTCAAGACCGCTACATCCGGGGTCACTCATCTGTGTGACAGATTCCGCCCAGCGACTCGAACAGGTGCAGCAGTCGTAGGAAGACAAGGACCTGTAAGTGCCAACACGACGACCTTATGTTGGAGCTATCCTCAGGGATCATCACCGTCAGCAGCGTTTGATATGGGCTCAAGGACACCAGACATGGAGAAGAGTAGATTGGCAAAGTGTGCTCTTCAGTGATGAGAGTCGCTTTCATCTTTATCACGGTGATGGCCGTCAACGTGTGTGGAGACGTCTTGGGGAACGTCTTGCAGACTGCTGCGTCTTCGAAACGAATCGATGGGGTAGGGGAAGTGTAATGGTGTGGGGAGGCTTCACATTTCATCACTGGACCGCCCTACACATTTGCAGGGGTTGCGTCAATGCTGTAGCCTACCGTCATGATGTCTTGCAACCAATTGTTGTTCCGATGTCTCGAGCGCACCCACAACTTCAGCACTTCCAACAGGATAATGCACGTCCGCATACCGCCCGTTTTAGTATGGACTACCTGCATGACTGCTAACAACATCAATGTCTTGGACTGGCCAGCCATGTCTCCGGACATGGCACCGATAGAACATGTCTGGGATGAGATTGGACGCCGTCTGTATCGGAGACCACAGATGCACACCATTGCTGCTTTAGAAGCTGCTCTTGTACAAGAATGGAACTATTTACCTCAGGCCTTCATCAAACATTGGTAAATTCCATGCGACGTCGCTGCACAGCGTGCGTAAGAGCCCGTGGTGGACACACGCGCTACTGACATCTGTGTCGTACTTTTGGTTTTGACCCCTCTGACTTTGTACCGTTGATTACAGATTAAACATCCATAAGTGTACAAATGTGTTGTTATTGATGTGTTCCCATTTGAATATTGTTCACAATAAGAAGCAAAATAAATAAGATATGTTTACAGGATCATTTTGTTAACGAAAAACTAAGTGATGCGTTTTCCATGGCGCTCAGTAACAACTGTTGATTACATTGACAGAGAGAGAGAGAGAGAGAGAGAGAGAGAGAAATGGGGGTTTAACGTCCACTCGACACAAACTAGGTCATTTCGGGACTAACATATGGTTTAATTTTATTTACATAATTCGCTGTGGGAGGAAACCGGAGGACCCGGAGAAAACCCACGAGGTTGGACAGGCGATCGACCCTACTCCTAATTTGTCACGTACGACCGGGGATTCGAAACCATGCCAGTTGACTCAATGACAGGCTTTATGATACAGCGCGCACGTGCTAACCATTCGCCCCCCCCCCCCGATTACACTGACGACGTGGTCAAGAAGCTTTAATAAACTGGAGAGGGCATGACGTCATTTTACCATTATGAAGATTGAAACCGCGCGGTGTCAACAAGTAGGAAATTCAAACAATTTTATGTATACATTCAAACAAAGAGTGAAAGATTGTAGTACCCAGAAATGGCATGAAAACATAGAAAGCTGTAGTAAACTTAAATTCTATTGTGAGATAAAATCTCTGTTAGAACCAGAGAAATACCTGTCATGTGTTAAAAATAACGCGTATTGTCGAGTAGTCATAATTTAGAGGTAGAGAAAGGTCGAGCGAACAGTGTAAATAGAGAGAGAAATGGAGTTTAACGTCCACTCGACACAAACTAGGTCATTTCGGGACTAACATATGGTTTAATTTTATTTCAATAATTCGCTGGCGCGTAGGGGTCTTTAGCAGTGGGGGGAAACCGGAGGACCTGTAGAAAACCCACGAGGTTGAACAGGCGACCCTACTCCTTGTCACGTACAACCGGGGATTCGAAACCACGCCAGTTTAACTGACAGGTCGTATGATACAGCACGCACGTGCTAACCATTCGGCCATCCAACCCCCCCAGTGTAAATAGCTATGAGAGATATTGTCAATTTTGCTGTATAACCAAATGCAAAACTATGGTCGAGGACGAATTACACTTTCTGAGAATTTGTAAAAACTATATACTGATTGAAGAGTTTTGTATAAAGTGAACGCATACTTTGATAATAGAGAATCAACCTTACGCTGTTTACAAAGTAAATGTGATGATGTTATAAATAATATATGCAAATTGTATATCATGCATTCTTGAAAAGAGACAATTACATAAAATCAAAAGTCTAAACATAAAGGACAATCACAGAGTACAAAATTTGATCTTGAAAAGGTGAATAAATGAATTTGTACAGATGTATTGTATCAAATGAACTGTGCATGTATATTGAAAATGAATTATATTTATTTATATATGTTAAAATTGTCGATTATCAATATGAATATATCATGAGCTAACATATATTGAGTGTGGCCTAACATGCATTGAAAATAAAATTATTATTATTATAAGCCGGTGACGCCATATTGGTTAACCCAAAACATTAAAATTAATTGGTTGTGTGCAGTGAATAAAACTTTTTTTTAAAAAAACGGGAATCAGATAATACTTTATTATCCCAAATGAAATTTGTTTTACGTGAAAGGCAACACATGTAAAGATATAAATAACTTAAATTATTTAAGTTACCGGTATATTAATTAATATCTAGTCTGTAAATTTGGGCACGTAAGAGATCCCTTGGCAGTTGGAATTCGATATAAGAGTAGGCCGTAGTGCCGCTGTCCGGGCAAAATTTCCCTCATAGCACACTGTATGGCGTATGCCCGTCTTCATTAGCCCAGGTTAGGCGCATAACAGTTGGACGTTAAACTCCATTTCATTTCATTTCATTTCTGTAAATTTGGTAAAACAAACCCTTCTTTGCCTCGTGAACGGCTCTTGTCATATTACAACCATTGCAGCCATTTCATATTTCATTCTATTCATTTTAAAAAGTACCATATCAATCAAGCAGGACGTATAATTGCAGCAGGGTTAGCGATGCTCTCTTGTTAGAGAGAGAGAGAGAGAGAGGGAGAGAGAGAGAGCTTAAAATCCACTTGACCTAGGCTAGACTACCTCATTTCGGGACTGACATATAGTTCAATTTTTATTTAAAATTTTTCCTTGCACGTAGGGGTCTTTAGCAGTGGGAGGAAACCGGAGGACCCAGAGAAAACCCCCCGCCATACCTCTGGAATAACCTCCCACAACATCTTCGTCAGCAAAGGGAACTAAGTTCATTTAAGCGTGGTCTTAAAACCCATTTATTCAGCAGGCAACTTTTACCCTAAATTTTTACTTTGTACATTATAATAATTGGATGGCTTTTATAATAATTAATGTTTTAACTTAAATATCTGACTTTATCTCTCATCATTATCATTTAATGTTTTAACTTATATCTCATGTTATTTTATTTTTATTATCATTTATATAGGTATCTTATACATTATATTTTTATTTGATTTTGTGATTATGTCTATCACCTAATTTTTAACTCTTGTAAAGCGGTTCTGAAACGAATTGTGTAGAACGCTATATAAAAAATAAACTATTATTATTATTATTAAATAGTGAAGAGTGGAACACTGAAATCTTAATCTTCTCTTGCCAAACAGTTATTCTGTATTTTCGAGCAAATGGGGACCATATGGGGAAAAAATGGGCTGTGGGCCCAGGTGATACCACAAGGTCCCCATATAGGACCCATATTATCTTACCACATACAAATGTACTCAAATACACTTTATTTTCATATAAATATTAATATCAGAGACAAGCCAAATGATATAATGGTTACTTCTTTTTTACATTGATAATCTGACCGTATAGTGTGTGTATCTGGGGCCAATATGGGATCTATATGGGATTTCCCACATTAACAACTCTATTTTTGTACACATGGGGCCAATATGGTGTCCATAAGGGATTACCCGTGTGTGTATCTGGGGATAATATGGTATCTGTATGGGATTACATATAACTTTTGCCGTGCACCACTGACAAGGGAAACCACACAGCGCAACACCAAGGAACTATCGGGGTCAGCATAGGAATTGAACCCAGGACCCTTTGGTTAGTGAATCAGCAACTTAATGTGTCTCTACTGCTTCCCTTCGTACCCTACTAATTATTACAATAGGCTTCTTCGTTTCACTAATTTAAAGGTTGCTCATCAGTTCCATACAGATCGGATGATAAATTTAGTCGTTAGAACGTTCACAAGGTGCAATAAAGTGAAACAAGAGCCATAACTCAAGAAGAAATTAACGGAAATTATTGAAATAAATAGTCTTCTTCATCTAACTAATATAAACAACATATATCAATTTCAAAACAATCAGATGTTAAATGTAGTCATTAGAGTGTTCACAAGAAATTGTGGACGGCGGACGGACGGACCGATGGGGTGTTTAACGGACACTCGAAATAAACTAGGTTATTTTGGGACTAACATATGGGTCAATTTTATTTCAATAATTTGCTTGCAGTGGCAAAAAACTCGAGGACCCGAGGAAAACCCACAAGGTTTGACAGGTTACCCTAATCCGTGTTATGTACAAAGGAGGGGGGGGAATCAAAACCACAACACTTGATCTAACGTGCACAAGTTAAATTATTTGGCCGCCCGAACTCTCCATATAGAACACAGTACACACAATCATTGAGATAAGGTTCCTTTATATGCTTTTAACTTTATGTACATCAATCGTTCCCGGACAACAATTTGTCCCCTAGGACTATTCGGGTCCAGACAATTTGTCCCCGGATAATACTACATGTATTCGTCCCTTAGGACTATTCAGCCCCAGATAATTTCGTCCCGAAAGACAATTCGTCCCCTAGGTCTATTCTTCCCCTATGTCTATTCGTCCCCTAATTATGATCAACAGCTAATTCTAAAGAAATTGAAGAAGTTGAAACTAACTGATGTCTGGTCTACATTGTTTTATCATACACAATAATGCATATTGATTATAAGTCAAGTGCAGTATTAACAATGGACAATACCCATAGTGAAGGGATAAATAGATTCTCTAACTCACAAAAGGTGTCGCTGATCATAGCTGATTAGTCCGAAAAAACTTCACGAACCATTAAGTTAAGGCCTAGATTTAATCTTAAATGTAAAACGATGTAAAACTTGCATCAAAACTGGGATTTAGGATAAAAAGTAAAGATTAATTCAGTTTTTGATAATGGAACTACCAGTATTGTTGTTCAAGGACATATTGTCCTAGGGACAAATAGTCCAGGGCCAAATTGTCCATGGGGCCGAATTGTCCAGGGCCAAATAGTCCTGATACGAATTGTCCGGGGCCGAATTGTCCTGAGGGACAAGTTGTCTGGGGACAAATTGTCCAAGAGCAACATGGATACATGTACATTAAATGTCTTTACTGGTTGATTCTTTGATGTAGAGAGAGAGGAATGGGGTTTAACATCCACTTGACGGGACTAACATATGGTTCAATTTTATTTCCATAATTCGCTTGCGCGTAGGAGTCTTTAGCAGTGGGAGGAAACCGGAGGACCTGGAGAAAACCCACGAGGTTGGACAGGCGACCCTACTCCTTGTCACGTACAACCGGGGATTCGAAACCACGCTAGTTGACTCAATGACAGACTTAATGATACAGCGCGCACGTGCTAACCACTAAGCCATCCAACCCCCCGATTCTTTGATGTCACATGGGGCTTCAGAATTAAGGAGGGAGGCTATCCGAAAATTTTATTCTGAAATGTTAAAGCTATTGAATTGAAAATAGTACAAGTAGTTAGGAAATGTAATTAACAAGGGAAAACTAGCATTAGTACCAGAGATATAGTGTATACTTTTTTCCCAAAAAAAAGTGTTACCCTGGTAATAACTTTTTTTTCTTTATTTTTAATGTTAGTTTTCTTTTGTTTATTACATTTATTGTATTTTTATCAACCAATTAACCGGTTCAATAATTTTCTAACCGTTAATTGCACAGTGAAAAGATCATTTTATCTACTGAGTTCATTGCAACGTAATCCTCAGCAGAAATAGCAAACACCTCTTGAAAGTGTATTTGTATTACACACTATGTTTCAAAACGGTATCTTGTAGCTTGCTCATATATAAAGTCATGTCACAAGGTTTTACTTTTCTTTTTAGGTTTCCTTTTTAATTTCAGCCTCCTTTTTAATTTTGGTCTCTTTAATTTTAGCCTCCTCAATTTTAGCCTCTTTAATTTAAGCCTCCTCAATTCTAGCCTCTTTGATTCTAGCTGCCTCTTTCATTTTAGCCTCCCTTTTAATTTTAGCCTCCTTTTTAGCTTGCCTTTTTAGCCTCTTTTTTACCTTTTCAGCTTCCTTTTCAGCTATTCGAGCTAACCGTTCGTGAGACTTGTAATGTTTTTTAAGAGTTGTACCTAGCCTGAAGGCCTTGTCACACAGCTGACACGGATAAGGCCTTTCCCCAGTATGTGTACGCATGTGACATTTTAATCCACTTTTACTACACAGTTTTTTTTTGCATACTTCACATTCATATAAAACTTTTTTCTTCGGTAATGTTTTATCACCAGTGTGCATCATATATATATGTTTTTTCAAATTACCTTTCTGAGTGTAGCCTTTGTCGCATAATTTACACCTATACGGACGAACACCCGTATGCTTATTCATCACATGGGACCTTAAAGCCCCGTTCGTTTTAAAACCCTTACCACATGTATCACAGGAATAATATATAATCTTGTCATGTATGCGTTTATGACTTTTCAAACTAGAGTTAACGCTAAATGATCTATCGCAAACATCACACTGAAACGGTTTTTCACCCGTATGGGATCGGGTGTGCTCCTTTAATCCAATCGGCCTATTGAAACTTTTGTCGCAGTATTTACATGAGTAAGGTTTTTTCCGAGTGTGCCAGTCTATGTGAAAATTTAGCTTCTTCTCCTCGTCGAATCTCTTGGTACATAGATGACATTTATACGGGATGATATTTTCATCAAAAACCATCAGGTCGTCACTAATGGTGGTAGGTATTACATCATTGGTGATTTCCTCGTCTTCTTGACCCTTTAAAACAAACAGTTGAAAACTTTATAACGTAACTTTTTCCATTAATGGCCCCGGACAGTACAGCGCAGTGGAGGTATACGACTGGCCCCCGGATCCCTTTACTTGATTTGAGGGGGATCACATGGCTAAGTGGGTAAGACGCTGGCTCGCTAGCCTGGAGGTCGGGTATTAAATCCCTGCATTGGCCGAGAAAGTTCATTCAGATTTTCCGGTGTGGTTTCCCCTTGTCAGTGATGCAGGACGGAGGGCCTGACAAGGACAGCTGTCCCGTGTACATATTGGCGTGCACGTAAAAGATCCCTTGGTAGTTGGAATTCGACATAAGAGTAGGCCGTAGTGCCGCTGCCCGGGCAAAATTTCCCTCATAGCACACTGTATGGCGTATGCCCGTCTTCATTAGCCCAGTTTAGGAGCAGAACAGTAGGACGTTAAACCTATTTCATTTCATTTCATTTTATTTTACTTGATTTGATATTTGTTTATTTTTTGCAATGTCTATATTCTGTCTTGTCCTCAGGTTTATCTTGTAGATTTTTGTCTTGTGTGTAGTGCAGTCCTCCTGCACTTACAAGTTAGAGAAACAACTAGTACGTGAGAAAGAGATAATGATACTGTGTAATTTTTAAGGAAGAGAGAGAGAGAGAGAAATGGGGCTTAACGTCCACTCGACACAAACCAAGTCATTTGGGGACTAACACATGGTTGAATTTTATTTCAATAATTCGCTTGCGCGTAGGGGTCTTTTAGCAGTGAGAGGAAACCGGAAGACGTAGAGAAAATTCACGAGGTTGGCAACCCTACTCCTTGTCACGTACATTAACGTTCAAACATATATTGGGGGTTGGATGACCGAATGGTTAGCACATGCGTGCTGTCTCATAAGGTCTGTCATTGAGTCAACTAGCGTGGTTTCGATTCCCTGGTTGTACCTAACAAGGAGTAGGGTTGCCTGGCTAAAATTGAAACATGTGTTAGTCCCGAAATGACCTAGTTTGTGTCAAGTGGATGTTAAACCCCATTTCTCTTTCTCTCTCAAACATATACCTACCTTTAGTTCTGTTTGTGAAAGAAATTTTGAACAATGATTTTTTATAATTGAAGCAGATATTTCGTCGGCTGTTTGATAAAATCGTCTACAGTTTGTTCGATCAATAAAATCAACCAACGCCTTCTGACACCTGAAACATAAAATAAAATAAAATAAATGAAATGGGGTTTAATGTTCTATTGCTCTGCACCAACTGGTCTAATGAAGACAGGCATACGCTCTACAGTGTGCTATGAGGGAAATATGAATGGACAATGGCACAACGGCCTACTCTCTTTTCAAATTCCAACTGCCAAGGCTTCTTTTTTTATACACGCCCACGTGTACACGGAACATGGCTTGAAATGTTCGCCTGTCTACTTGTTGCCGACAGGCGATTTTTTCGTCTGACAGGTAGCAAATAAAACTACCTGTTGCTTGCGACAAGTGGACTAAATTTTACTTGATGTTCAGTAAATTGACCACAACACTCACGTCCATGTCACATACATTTAATTATTTGTTTCTAAATGCAAGAAGTAAGCACGGAAATACCGCGAAAAGCCGCCATTTGCACTGTTTACATTTCGCTCTGTCGTAGGCTACAGTTACTCACACAGTTTGGAAGTAGACAATTTTATATCAATGAATTTCACACCATCTACGCTTGTTTTCATCTGCTTGACACTAGTTTATAGCATTATGGAGTATTTAAATAAATTAAAACGCACCCCCAAGTCACCTGAAATAATTCTACCGTAAGGCGTAACGACACCACAGTAAATATAGTAGTGGTTGGAATGGAAATGCACACGGCTCGTTGCTTGGTGTATTTAATATTTAAAAAGTTTTAAACAATTCCCATAAATAAAGGCTATGAATTATTTATAAGACAATTTGACAAAATCAAAAAATCAGGTCGGAAAAATATTTCATATATAAATATAATTTGTAGCGTAAATATAGTCCGGATATGTGAGAAGGGAATTCCAGGTGGCGTTATCTGTCCTTCGCACGCGGTAGATGTAAATACGGTGCCATGCACAGGTGTGATTTGTGTTTTGATATTCAATTTATAACGGATATTTTAAAATCTGAATTCTACAACTCAACAGTGAAGTATTCGATTTAGTATGGAAGTGTGGTAGCATGATACTTTGCGGAATTCACGTGGATACGGATGATAGAATTGTACGAATCTTCGAGTCGCTGAGCCAAAGCAGATTCGCCGGCTTTCAAGAACTTTTAGGCAATCCGATGTCGAAGAAATAAAAAGGTTTCATATTACGATATTTATATAGAGCAATGTACGTCAAAGACGTAACCACATGCGTGTGTACCTACATGTATGGATATGTGTCATGTGTGATGTGATTAGTCTTTGAGTTTGATAATTGAGAGTGACAGGTTATTTACTGAAGCGACATTTCAAGGCCTGCGGAACATCAATTGCCTCTAAAAGAACATTTACAAACCTTTCATTAAGATTGTCAAGTTTATATTTCACAGTAGCTTTTAAAAGTTCTTCTAGAAAATAAACATCGACATCTTTTGTTTCAAATATATCTGTATAAATCCATTTGATCATCGTTACTGCTGTACTGTAATCTAAATCTAAAATATAAATCATCATTTAATTACCATATTCAAGCTCAATACACAATAACAGAACAATCAAAATGAAATAAAATAAAACGGGTTTAATGTCCTACTCCGAGTGGGCTGATGAAGACAGATATATGCCATACAGTGTGCTATGAGGGAAATTTTGCCTACTCTTATATCGAATTCATACTGCCAAGGTACTTTCATGTGCAAGTCAATGTGTACATGGGACCGCGTTCTTTTCGTTTCATTAAATCGACTAGACAATTGTGCTTGTCAGGCCCTGAACGACTAACAAGGGAAAACCACACCAGAAAATCACGATGAACTTTCTCTGCCAACCAGCAACCTCCAGGCTAGCCAGCCAGTAAGCTATGTAAAATCATCAATTGAGAAGTGACATGTGGTGTTCTAGGCCGTAACATATGCTAATTACTTGGATTATGAAACACATGTCCGGTTCGAGTACCTGAGAGATCTATTGACCTTTAACCCTTGATATTTAAATATATCATACTCAAGTACCTACGAGATCTATTGACCTTTAACCCCTGATATTTAAATATATCATACTCAAGTACCTGCGAGATCTATTGACCTTTAACCCCCGATATATTTAAATATAATATTATACTTGAGTAGGCTTACCTGAAAGATCTATTATATCTACATCATTGAGATTACTTCCACACCATTTATCAAACCAGGTAGATAAAATTAATTTATGGCCACGGATCGATCTCTCATCATCTAATAATATAGTTATATCACTGGAAATATATATATAGAGAATCTCCTACCAGTCTTTTTTGATATCAACAAGCCAACAGTGAGGCTGATGTCCCCCGCCAAAATACCAAAATAAATAGATGACACATTAATTTATCGCACATTTATTTTTTTTAAAGTATCAAGCAATCAAACTGATTATCAACTATACACTTAAGTTTCATCACTCTCTATCAAAGTTATCTTGTCCTAAAGCATCAACCAACAAGGCATTGACCTAATCAACACATACACCAAGTTTGAACATTCTAGCTCAATTAGGAAGAGAGTTATCGTGCCCCAAAGGATCAACCAATCAAATTGCTTATCTCTGCTTACCCTAAGCGGAAAATGCTCATCTAATCAAATTGCTTATCTCTGCTTACCCTAAGCGGAAAATGCTCATCTTCGAACTCCATCAATGCATTGACCTAATCAACACATACACCAAGTTTGAACATTCTAGCTCAATTAGGAAGAGAGTTATCGTGCCCCAAAGTATCAACCAATCAAATTGCTTATCTCTGCTTTCCCTAAGCGGAAAATGCTCATCTTCGAACTCCATCAAGGCATTGACCTAATAAACACATACACCAAGTTTGAACATTCTAGCTCAATTAAAAGTTATCGTGTCCCAAGGCATCAACCAATCAAATTGCTTATCTCTGCTTACCCTAAGCGGAAAATGCTCATCTTCGAACTCCATCAAGGCATTGACCTAATCAACACATACACCAAGTTTGAACATTCTAGCCCAATTAGGAAGAGAGTTATCGTGTCCCAAAGCATCAACCAATCAAATTGCTTATCTCTGCTTACCCTAAGCGGAAAATGCTCATCTTCGAACTCCATCAAGGCATTGACCTAATAAACACATACACCAAGTTTGAACATTCTAGCTCAATTAGGAAGAGAGTTATTGTGTCCCAAAAAGTGTGACGGACAGACAGACGGACAGACAGACGGGACAGACAGACGGACAGACAGACAGACAGACAGACAGACAGACAGACAGACGGACGAACCCATTTTAATAGTCCCCTGCTTTCTTCGAAAGGCGGGGGACAAACAATATTTCACTTTTACTAAACATTACGGCATAGTGATACATCATTTTTTGACAGCAATTCAACCATTGCAAAGTCCTTTATATTGACCCAGTGTTTCCATCAAGGTCAATTGAATAACAATAGTTCATTTTTAATAAACAATAGTTCATTTTTAATAAAAAAAAAAGTTACTTTTAATAAGAAATGAACTGTTCTTTGAAAATAAAAAAAGTAGTTCCTTTTCAACTGACCAATCAAATTCATGTAAAGCGATATCTCCTAAGGAGATATCACAGTAGATTATGAAATATATCACACAAGCGATATCTACTGTAGAATGTATTATTGGGTGATAAATCAAAATCCATGTCTGTTTGTCGAAAGCATGGTTATGTATCAAGTTTAAATTTAATAATTGTTGAACATCAAATATTTACAAACATCAAGATTTTGATTCCTTTGGCTATGATCCTCACATACAACAGCTGTAAGCAACCCATCGAGGGATTGGCACGTAGTTACTAGCTTTTCCTTTAAAAGAATTACCTATATATGCAAATCTTGGCCATATAAGCGGGATTTAATTCAAATTGGGGACTAGCCGTTCCCTTAATAGTATTACCTGTACAGTAATTTGCCATACAACCCAGCAACGGTTTTAAATAATCTATTGCTATGTTCAGTATGATTATCTTCCCCTTGACCAGCTAAAGCTAACTGATATTTTATTTCAACTTCAGATAAATGTTTTTCAAGTAACGCATGTCGCTCCTGTAACTTTGTCAATTCATTCTTCCAGAACTTAACTGAAACAGACATAAAAAGATACATTATGCAAGAGCTAAATCTACTTATTTTGCAGGTGTTTCTTTAGTCCTTAAAGGCTCAATTCCACTCTTGTTGTAACTGAATAGTATGTCCCAATCTTTATTCTGGTCAACAAATTGTACTTATTTAGAATATTTCAATTAATTGATGATACAAATTTCATCTTAACACACCTTATTTAAAAAATTTGAAAAATTCAACATAATGGTTTGAAACGTCTAACATAAACCTTTTCAAATGAAACTTTGATTTAAAAAAATTTTCGAACCCTCTGGACAAGTAAAATAGGATGTAATGGTTAATTTACACAACAGGTAGGACACTTAAACATCTAGTACTTAGATAGAGATATTATTTATTTTCTGGAGCTTTCAAGCCAGCAAGAGTGTTATTGTCCCTTTAAATGTTGCATAAACTATTAAGACATTTATTAACATGACAAGGCCCTAATCAACTCTCTAGACCATCCTATGCTTTTTATTTTTAACAGATTTAAATGCGATTGGCAGTTAATGATTTAATTAAACAAGTGGTTGCCATCCAAGATAAGTCCACATTTTCACGATATGGACAGAAAAAAAGCTTAAACAAAGCAGTATTCCAGAAAGTTATGGTCCGATATGCACAAGTACATGTATTGAAAGGAACCCAGACCTTTGGGATGTAAACATATATGTTTAAGCTTCATTAAAATTGGATAAAAATTGTGACCTCTAGAGTGTCCACCATACTTTTACACTATTTGCGTAAGGTTAGCAACTATTTTGTCGGGCAGTTTCTGTTCAATTTTCAAGAAATTTGAACTTTACTACACTCATTAAGAGTGTAACAGTGATATGTTTTAGCGGTTTTTAAAATCGGATCAAAATTGTGACCTCTAGAGGATTCCACAAGCTGAAATCGTGATTTTTTTTTGGTAATTAGGGGTCACAATCCAGGACGTTACAATCCAATATGCGTGAATATTGAAAGAAATTGAGATCTTTGTGTTATAAATATACATTTCAAGTTTCATCAAAATCGGATAAAATTTGTGGCCCCTAATGTCCACAAGCAAAAAACGTGAAATTTCCAACAATAAGGGACCACAATTCATGAAATTACGGACCAATACATGCCAATTTAAAAAGGAAACAAGATCTTTGGGAGGTAAACCAATATTTCAAGTTTCGACAAAATAGGATAAAAATTGTGGTGAGACGGACAAGGGCGACGACAATAATAATATGAAAATGTGTGCGTACAAAAATTGTGTTTGTGATGTAACGACTAACGTAAGTCAGTGTGGTATAACAAGGCTTTTTTTTTTTGTAAATTAATTATGCAAAATAATTGCGGTATCGCGTAACGGTGTAGTGTCCAATTAAGTTTAACTGCAAGTCCGTATACAACTCAAGGTCTCAACAGTAGTCGGGTTGAATGAAGCGGAGGTCATGTCATGTCGTAAAATATGTACGAAGTCCATCCATTTTGTAACCGACATACGGGTGATGATATGATCATTAGCAGTTATTTCTATGTGTCAACCCATCTGTACTCAATTTCGTGTCCAATATCTTGTTCGCTTCGCCAACACTGACAAATTAATATTTACGACAATTTGAGACCTAATTGCGACTATCAGGTCAATTTATGGCAATATGGACGATAACAACAAAACGAGTGAGTCGTTATGGACGTTAAAGTTTTTATGGCGATTTTTCTGAAATATTACGTCCTTACTACCAAAAATGGTCCCGTTACCTACATTCTCAGATACATTAACTACAAATAATTTAATTTCTAATATGACAGTAGCTTTCTAAGTACAAAAACTTATTTAATCGAAGATATTCACCTGAACTCCGAATCTGAACGATTGACTGCAAATTTTCATTCTGATTCAAGAGAACAGCGCGTACGTAACAGGGACAAGTTAGGGCCTATGTTTCAGTACAAAAAACATTGACTTATAATCTAAAAAATCTTTTTTTTTTTTATTTTAGGCAATGGACGTGGCAGTAAATTACGAAAGAGAATCTCACACATTTCTGATGAGGAAGATGAAGGCAAGGTTTTATCTATAACTACATGTAGTACAACTTCCACAAATTGTCTACAAAAATATAAATATGGAAGAAGAATAAAGAAACTGAAGGAAAGTGATGAAATAGAAAATTTTAGAACCCAAGAATCAATAAGGGCTAGCATCTACAGACAAAGTCTTTCCAATAAGAAGAAAGAAATGGCTAATAAAAAAGCTGCAGAAAGAATGAGACGGTACAGACAGCGCAAAAAGGAAAACGAAAATTGTAACCCAGCAAAAAGAACTTGAGCAGAGCAAATCTCATCTGAAAAGCAAAAAGAAAAACAACGTGAATATTGGCGAATGAAGAAGCAAGAATGTCGGAAAAGGCAAAATCTGCAAGACAAAAGATGTGGTAATGAAAAACAGAGACAACAATATAAACTTCGAGTCTCACTTGTCAACAATGACAGGAAAGTAAACTCATCAGATGAAACAGAATATGATGATGATGGTAAGCTTATAGAAGTATACAACGATCACGCTGTAGAATACGACAATGATGGTAAGCTTATAGAAGTATACATCGATCACGCTGCAGAATACGATGATGATTGGGAAGCAGATGAAACACAGTACAATGATGGTAAGCTTATAGAAGAATATAATAATCATGAAAAAGAATATGATTATAAAACTGATGAAGAAGAATATTTTATCGGCCGAAACGCTTTGGAAGAAATCAAAAGGCTCAAAATGAAAGGAGATCATAAATCACATGAAATAAGGAGAGTTGAATAAGATTGTAGATGAACAACAAGACTGTGTCTATTTTTGTTGATAACCATTTTGATGTATTTAATACAATTTTCTGTCTAATGAAATATGGAAAAGTTAAAATTTACTTCTGAATTTTTATCAAACTTCATAATAATAGCTTTTTATCATGTTGATAGTAAGTAATAATAATGATAATTTATTTATAATGCGCCTATTACCAATATAAAATACTGCTCAATGGCGAAGTTAACATTTTGTGGACATCTCACATAGAAAAATAAAATAAAATTAAGTGGATGATAAAAGAAATCAAAATGGCATAGGATAACAATCAAAATATGGTAGTAAAGATTATAATAAAATATGACATATAATTAACAAATTAAAATAGCTAAAAGTAATAAAGAATAAAATAGAACAGCGCCTAAAACAGTATACAATGAACTCGGATACCTGCATTAAAAGCCCTAGTAGTCAACAAAAAGGTAGGTAACAAAGATAAATACACCAAAAAGATTTTGATGTCCTGGTTACTGTAAATAAATTTGTTTACAAAATGGTATGTCATAATTTAGTATAGGCCTACATGTACACCTTTTGGACTTTAAAGTGGCCAAGTACATGACTTATTGTCATTTTTTACACTTGGGGCTGCAAGGAACATAGACTTTACACTGATTTTATTCCTTTCATAAATGCATGTAACTGGCTTTGGAATTTTTGGAAAAATACATGGTCTCTAGTGTCAGTTTGAAATATACAGTATCTGTCTAAACTCGACGAGGTTTCGATTCCCTGGTTGTACGTGACAAGGAGTAAGGTCGTCTGTCTTCGTGGGTTTTCTCCGGGTCCTGTGGTTTCCTCCCACTGCTAAAGACCCCTACACGCAAGCGAATTATGGAAATAAAAAAATATAATTGAACCATGTTTTAGTACCAAAAGAGAGAGAGAAATGGGGTTCTACACAAACTAGGTCATTTCAGGACTAACATATGGTTCAAACTGGAGGACCCGGAGAAAACCCACAAGGTTGGACAGGCAACCCTACACCTTTTCACGTACAACTGGGGAATTGAAACCACGTCAGTCGACTCCATGACAGACCTTATGATACAGTGTGCACATGCTAACCATTCACCCCCCCCCCATTTCCCGAAAAGACCTAGATTAGTTGAGTGGATGTTAAACCCCATTTCTCTCTCTCCCTTATGAGCTGATTTATAGGTGAATTGTGTTTTATAATCTAAAAAATCTTTTTTTTTTTATTTTAGGCAATGGACGTGGCAATTCATTACGAAAAAGTAAGAGAATCTCACACATTTCTGACGAGGAAGATGAAGGCAAGGTTTTAACTACAACTTCCGGAAATTGTCTACAAATAAATAAATATGGAAGAAGAATAAAGAAACTGAAGGAAAGAGATGAAATAGAAAATTTTAGAACCCAAGAATCAATAAGGGCCAGCATCTACAGACAAAGTCTTTCCAATAAGAAGAAAGAAATGGCTAATAAAAAAGCTGCAGAAAGAATGAGACGGTACAGACAGCGCAAAAGAGAAAACAAAAATTGTAACCCAGAAAAAAGAACTCGAGCAGAGCCAATCTCATCTGAAAAGCAAAAAGATAAACAACGTGAATATTGGAGAATGAAGAAGAAAGAATATTGAAAAAGGCAAAATCCACAAGTTGTAATGAAAAACGGAGACGACAATATAAACTTCGAGTCTCACTCATCAACAATGACAGGAAAGTAAACTCATCAGATGAAACAGAATATGATGATGGTAAGCTTATAGAAGTATACAACGATCGTGCTGTAGAATACGACGATGATGGTAAGCTTATAGAATTATACAACGATCACGCTGTAGAATACGACGATGATGGTAAGCTTATAGAAGTATACAACGATCGTGCTGTAGAATACGACGATGATGGTAAGCTTATAGAATTATACAACGATCACGCTGTAGAATACGATGATGATGGTAAGCTTATAGAAGTATACAACGATCGTGCTGTAGAATACGACGATGATGGTAAGCTTATAGAAGTATACAACGATCACGCTGTAGAATACGACGATGATGGTAAGCTTATAGAAGTATACAACGATCGTGCTGTAGAATACGACGATGATGGTAAGCTTATAGAAGAATACAACGATCACCCTGAAGAGTGCGACGGTGACTGGGAACCAGATTAATGATGAAGAAGAATATTTGATCAGCTGAAATGTTTTGGAAGAAATAAAAGGCTAAAAATAAAAAGAGATAAAATTGCTTGTAATAAGGAGAGGTTAGATGAGATGTGTTTGCGATGGTGGAAAACGTCACCCCGTACTAAAATGATCTAAGATGACGAGAAAACACAGTACACAATAGTGCTGGCACGATATAACATTAAATTGTATCGCAATTCACTTCTCCCGATTTGTGTATTGAATCTCGAGATTCTGAATTGATGTATCATGATTCTTCTTTTAAGCGTTTATTATTTTTTTGTCGCTCTTAATTATCAACAGGTACACAAACACTCTTAAATTGTTTTGGTCCTTATTTCAATCCACATCAAAATCATGATATAAAACAGTTTTATTTCTTCGACATCGGTAGGACTAAAATTATCAATTATTCATTTATCCTGTTGTTTTCTTGGTATATATTTACCTGGTTGTGAATAGTGGTATGAATCCCAATAGGTATCATGGCTGCAGTGTCAATACCCAGCATTAGTACACAAATAACAAGAAACTGAAGATCAGATGATACAACTGTTGAAGAAGAAAATTCTGTAAGGGAATTTTATGTACCGAATTCAGAAGCTATTTCCACAAGAAACATACTCAAAAGAGTATTCTTCATAGATAAACGGTTACAATACATACATACTATGTAAAGAAAACCAACAAACCATGAAGTTTCTAACTTAGACCAAGAAAAGCAAAATTCCATGTTTATGTGAGAAATGTGCGAAACAGTAAACAAAGTATTGCATAAAAATTCATTTAATGTATAAAAGACTGCTATGTCCGTGTCGAACTGACTTTATAGAAGACTATCCATTATCAAAATGTTTGAATCGTCAGTGCAGTAATTATGGTGTTTATTTATTGGAAAGTTTAAACAGTAAAAGAAAAGTCTATCTAACAAGAAAGAACAGGTTAATGAGCAAATGAGTTGAGAAAATTTGTGAATCACTACTCAAGGATCTCTAAAACCATTACTGGTACTGGGCGCCCATTGTTTGTGCAGTTTTTCGTAGTCGGTACGATAAAAAAACATCTTTCAAAAAATGTATTCCAATCGCTAAATATCGCAGGCTAGTGATAAGATCAAGAGTTGATTATGGTCTGGATCAGTTAATTAATGTCTATTTAATAATTTACATAACATTTCAGGCCTAAAGAAAGACCTGCGACAGGCAGTACATGTATGTTTAAACTATTGGAGATTGTGTCTTAACAAAGAAATATAAATTACACTGAAGTTTCATTACGAGATATTTTTATTTTTTCAAAAAGAATGCACATCGTCTTGTTCATTTCTTTTAAGTTGTTAGTATACTTTAATGTTGTTGCTGGTTGAATAAATTCATATCCAGATGATACAGTTGTTCCTGGTTCGATGCCGACCTGAATTCCAACCATCCAGTCAGACTGTTTCAGCTGCATTGACAAATAATAATCGATGCCCGAAAAATTGTAACACAAAGTAGAGTGGCTCCAGACAAAATGTTTTAATCCATAGCCAATTCAGTACAAATTTAAGTGCTATTCAATTAAAAGAAAAGTCATCTTCAATAGAAGGCTTAATCTCGCCTTAACTACGTACATCTTATCAAGCCCTTCAAGTAATACCCCACATATTTTAGCACTAATTTCGATTGGGTATAAGCACAGCTTGTGATCCTATCAGATTCCTTCGTTAAAAATATGATTACGATTATCCAGTCTCACACTTCTAGCTAAAATGTCTACATGTGACAATCGAGTTGCAAAGTTCAAGGTTCGATCAATTTCAAGGTTGCTGGAAATCATGGTTGATCAACAAAGGCTGTAAACTTGTCTATTTCTTTTTCTATGGAGGCCGCCATATTTGTTTACAGTGTGTTATGTGCCACGACCTCTGATTGGATAATGCTAATTAGTCACGTGTAAACACAACGAGCGCAAAAATTCGGGAATTGTTGAGTATTGAAGCAACGACTAGATGTTGTAAATCTCGCGTTCGTTGCTTCAGGAACATGAAGAAAAGTAAAACTAGTGTTTTATTAGATTTTGGGAACGTTATTTTGGCAACTAGATGAAATAACAAGCAAGCAGTGAGGCTGATGTACTCGGCGGAAATCCCAAAATAAATTGATGACACATATTAATCAGTCATGGTTTTGAAGTACCGATACCTGGTAGAGAAACTATACACAAAGTTTCATCACTCTTCATCAGTTAGAATCAAAGTTATCTTGTCCCAAGCCATCGACCAAAGAAATTGCTTAGCTCTGCCTACCTTTAGCAGGAAATGTTAATCATTGAAGTCAGTCAAGGCATTCACCTAATGAACATCTGCATCAATTAAAAGCAGGGTTGTTATGTTCCATAATCTTGACCAATCAAATTGCTTCGTCTAACAGAAAATCTCATTGAACTTCGTCAAGGTGAATCCATACTCAGAGATTCGTCACTCTCACCCAATTAGAACCAAAGTTATCACGTTCCAAAGCCTCAACCAATCAAATTGCTAATCTCTGCTTAGCCTCAGTGGAAAATGTGCATGGTGCTAACCACTCGGCTATCCAACCCCCCTCAATTAGAAGAAGAGTTATTGTGTTCGAAAGTCTCAACCTATCAAATTGCTTATCGCTCTGCTTATCCTGAACAGAAAATGCTCATTATCGAACTTAGTCAAGTTTATTGACATGATTTAATGAAACTATGCACTAGGTTTCATCACTCTCACTTAATTTGAACTTAAGTTATCGTGTCCCAAAGCATCAATCAATTAAAATGGCTTACTCTAAGCTGGCTTACTCTAAGCTGGCTTACTCTAAGCAGAACTTGCTCATCTTCGAACTCCATCAAGGCATTGACCTAGTAAACACCTACAACAAGTTTGAACGTTCTAGTTCATTGTGTCCCAAAAAGTGTGACAGACAGACCCATTTTTCTAGCTAGAGCACATAGCTGATGTACTTTTTTTAAGCCACGATTAATGCATGATACATCTTAAAAATAAGATAATTTTATACTATTAATGACTAATTAAACTTACAGAGGCCAATGTAATCGCCTAACTCCAAATATTCGCGTTTAAATTAATGAAGCAATGTTTTTATCCGACATACATGTACATCGCCAGTTTAAAAATGGCATTCCTAGTACCGGTAACGGCTTAACGTCTTGATTTTAAATACGATGATTTATATCCGTTTCAGGTAGGATTTAATGATTCGGCCTATAATTGTAGTTGGATGTGGCAGAAATATTATAAATAAAAATAATCACTAATCAGTCGTTGTTTTGTTGAAAAATATTGTTAGTTTGGCTTACTGAAAGTTACTGTACCCGGATGTTATTTGCGTTGAGCTTTGCTACGTGGAACTATATAGCATCAACTCTTATTTAGAAACACGGATGGTTGAGAGATGAGGTTTGTTGACTACCATTTTCCCCCTCCTACTTCTACTTTCTTGCAAAATTGTTCATCACTAATATAAAATTAAAGACACGTTTAAGTCATTTATTTTGTTATTTCGCTTCAGAAATGTATAACTAAAGAATTCAATTAGATTACTTAGAGTGTCAAATCTTTATAATTATAATTATTAGTTTTAAAATCGAAGGAGAGAAAAAAAATGTGATTACCGTCCTCCATTTTAAACAACTAAGTCACGTGATGATCTAGTTGTATATACAGACCATCCTTGGATCGGCACAACAAATCAAAAGGCCAGGGGACCAAAGTACTATTCATTTAAAGGCTCAATACCACTCTTGTTGTAACTGAATAATATGTCCCAATCTTTATTCTAGTCAACAAATTGTACTATTTTACAATATTCCAATTAATTGATGATACAAATTTCATCTTAACACACCTAATTTATAAAATTGGAAAAATTCAACTAAATGATTTAAAAAACCTAACGTAAACCTTTTCAAATGTGACTTGGATTTTAAAATATTTTCGAACGCTCTGGACAAGTAAAATAGGATGTAATGGATAATTTACAGAGCAGGTAGGACACATAAACATCTAATACTTAGAATAAGGCTATTATTTATTTTCTGGAGCTGTCAAGCCAGCAAGAGTGTTATTGTCCCTTTATAAGGGTTACGGTTCCATTCTTTGGAACCTTAAAATAGACGAAAATGGGTCTAAAGTCACATATTAATGTAAAATGAATGTATTTAAAGTGGTTTTAAAAAATTTATTCTTATTTCTAATCAATTATGTTCAGTGAAATACACCAACAATCCAAATTGAATGACACTCCTTTAAAGGACATTAAAGGACAATATTGGTGTCAGTCATTATCACATACGTGATAGAGCTGGTTAAACACATTCCAAATATAATTTTAACACAGAGATCATTGCTACGATAGCTGAGTAATACAGGTTTCCTGAATCGATGGTGATTAACGCCAAAGGAATACACGATTCATCTCTCTATATAACTGACTGATGTGACGAGTGATAATATAGATAACGGCCGAATATCTGCTCATTATTAATTCCTTCGAATTCGTTTAGACCCCATTTCATTTCATTTGTTTGTAGACATGAGAAACAGATTGGATATGATTTATTTAGCGGGATTAAATATGACTTATTTTTATTCGCTAATCAGTGAACCCGACACTGCTTTCCATCGCATAATACCATCGATGGCAGACCAGAAATTGCATGAAGTTATTTTTTTTAAATACAGGGATTGAACCCAGAACCTCCTGCTTAGCGAGTCAGCACCTTATTCACTGAGCCACTGTAGCTTCACTCCTTAGCCTACTAATTAATAAAACACATTAAATGGCCTAGAGCAAGCTAATTAAAATACAGATCTATATTTCGTTTTGTTTTTTTATATTTTCGATGGCCTACACTACATGAAGATCTGACAAGTTGTGCTGGAAGGTCGTGGCAGGGGTCATACAAGCAGCTTTTGAGCCTATGATGTCAGACATTGATTAATCAATCAGCGTTGACGTTTCTAGTGGTTTACCCACAATTCTGTGCAAGGCACGCCAAGAACTCACTGCAACAGACCGTTTCATTGGCTAATCTCTCACATCAACTAGAACGCAGGTTATTTAAAAACTCTTCCAGATCCTAGTGTAGTAAAGACAAGTAAAACAAAATTTTGAACTATAAAAAAACGAAACGAATTAGGATCTGTGTTTTTATCAGATTGGATCAGTGGTTCTCAACCTTTTTTGCCAGCGGCACACTTTGGAACACATGAAAAAATAGCGGCACACCTGGCTAAATATATATGAAAAATATTTAAATTTTGCAAAATAAAAACATAAGTCAGCCGGCATACAACTGGACTAGTCATAGACACATAGAATGACTCAAACTAAATAAAGAAAACACAGCTATGAACTTATTAGTAGACACCAGTGAATACTCAATTGGGATCAAATGGTTTTTCACATAATCTTGGCGTGTCATTCACAATTTCGCAGCACACTTAGGAAGATCTTGCGGCACACTGGTTGAGAATCACTGGCTTTGATGAAGAGTAACAGCGAGTCAGCACCTTAATGTGCCACTGCTGCACTTATTAATAAAACACATGGAATGAAGAGTAACTGTCTTTAAACTTTTATTAAATATTATAACAACTCTTGAACCATTGTAACATCAATTAAACATACATTAGTTACAAGTTTTATAAACAGTTGGCCATTCTTGCTATAATAATTCAAAAATAGATGATAAAAAAAGAAAATGTTGAAAATTTCAGTCAAATTACTTTGTTCTGAACGGAATTGTCACTGTTGGAAGTTCGGACTAGAAATAGGCATCTATGAGAATTGGCGATCGTTTGATTGACAGATGATAACTCCACCCACATATTCTCGATTATCAAGTAACATGATCAATGGCTATGGTAGCCTCGCTTGGCTGGCCTTTCATCACCAGTTTCCGGTAATGACATCAGCGACTAACGGTAAACGTTAGCTTGGTTCCGCCATTTATTGATTTAATTTTAAATAAACGACTGTTTAAATCCAAACTTTATCCAAGCCATCTGTAGGTCTACAGAGTTGATTTGAGTTTGTCAAGTAAATAAAGGTCAAATTAATAATTTCTATAACATCTGAAGCCTAAATAAAAACTTGCAATAGGCAGATTAAGTTCTTGCATAATGTATGTTTAATCAGTCACCATAGAATGTGTAGTTTAATTAAATAGAGAGTGAGCGAGACAGACAGACAGAGAAATGGGGTTTAACGTCCACTGGACACAAACAAGGTCATTTCAGGACTAACAAATGGATCAATTTTTATTTCAATGATTAGTTTGCACGTAGGGGTCTTTAGCCGGTGGAGGAAGCTGGAGGACCCGGACAAAACCTGTGAGGTTAGATAGTCAACCCTACTCCCTAACATGTACAAGCAGAGAATCGAAACCACACGACTAGACTCAATGACAGACGTTACAATACAACGCTACCCATTCGGCCACCCAACCCCCTTATAGCACAATCCTTCAGATAAAGTTCCTTATGCAATGCTGGGGGGTTGGATGGATGAATGTTTAGCCGTGCTCGCTCTATGATAAGGTCTGAAATTGAGTCAACTGGCGTGGGTTTTTTCCAGGTCCACCGGTTTCCTCCCACTGCTAAAGACCCCTACGCGCAAGCGAATAATTGAAATAAAATCAAACCACAATATGTTAGTCTCAAAATGACCTAGTTTGTGTCGATTTAAACCCCATTTCTCTCTTTATGCATTGTTACTTTCTTTGATGTCTCTGGGTAGAGAATATCAGAGAAAAGGCGCTGCATCTGTTAGAATTTGCAGTTCTTACTGAGTTCATTGCACTGTAATTTTCAGTTTTACTTTCAGCAGAAACCGCAAATACCACCTGGAGTTGAACTACACACAATTTTTCAATTCTATTTATAAGGCTTACTCATATATAAAGTCATGTCACAAGCTTTCAGCTTCCTTTTCAGCTATTCGTGCTGCCCGTTCATGAGACTTGTAATGTTTTTTAAGCGTGCTTCCTTGAGCGAAGGCCTTGTCACACAGCTGACACGGATAAGGCCTTTCCCCAGTATGTGTGCGCATGTGACGTTTTAATCTATAACGATCACACAGTTTTACTTTGCATATATGACATTTATACGAACTTTTCTTCGGCGACGTTGTTTTCTCTTTTGAATGAGTCAAGATATGGGTTTTCAAATTACATTTCTGACTGTAGCCTTTGTCGCATATTTTACACTTATAGGGATGAACACCAGTATGCATACTCATCGAATGTGTCTTTAAATTGCCGTTTGTATTAAAGGCCTTCCCACAGATATCACATGAGTATTGTAATTCCCCGTCATGCAAGCGTTTATGGGTTTTCAAATTAGCGTTAATGCTAAATGATTTATCACAAACATCACATCGATATGGTTTTTCACCGGTGTGAGTCCGTAGATGACGTTTTAATCCAATCGCTTTAGGGAAACTTTTGTCGCAGTATTCACACGAGTACGGTTTTCTCCGAATGTGCCAGTTTATGTGTACTTTTAATTTCTCCTCATCGTCGAATCTCTTGGTACATAAATGACATTTATACGGGTTGATATTTTCATCGAGAACTACCAAGTCATCACTAACCAAGTCATCACTGACTACGGTGGTGGATATTACATCATTGGTGATTTCCTCGTCTTCTTCATCCTTTAAAACAAACAGACGAAAACTTTATAACTTTTACTTTAGAGAGAGAGAGAAATGGGGTTTAATGTCCTCTCGACACAAACTAGGTCATTTCGAGGACTAACACATGGTTCAATTTTATTTCAATAATTTGCTTGCGCGTAGGGGTCTTTAGCAGTGGGAGAAAACCCATGAGGTTGGACAGGCGACGCTACTCCTTGTCACGTAAAACCGGGGAATCAAAACCACGCTAGTTAACTCAATGACAGACCTTATGATACCGCGCGCACATGCTAACCATTCAGCCATCCAACCCCCATGTACAATATATACCCTATTGCCTGCACTTTAACCCTTGTTGGACACGGATTGATCCAGGGTTCTTAATCAAGAATTGGGTCAAAAGAGATCCATGTAGAAAATAGACCAAATTCTGGCGTGCACGACTCAAAATAGATTAAGAACCCTGTGATCTAACCCGCGATGGAAGCAGATATCGAAACATATACAAGTACCTTTAGTTCTGTTAGAGAAAGAAATTCTGAACAATGATTTTTTAAAATTGAAGCAGATATTTTGTCGGCTGTTTGATAAAATCGTCTACAATTTGTTTGATCGATGAAATATACCAATGCCTTCTGACATCTGAAACATATAATAAATTCCTTAAATATCTACTCAACCACTAACCATGGTATATCTGTATATCAAAAACCATGGTATATCTGTATACTCAACACTAACCATGGTATATCTGTATACTCAACACTAACCATGGTATATCTGTATACTCAACCACTAAACATGGTATATCTGTATACTCAACCACTAAACATGGTATATCTGTATACTCAACCACTAACCATAGTATATCTGTATACTCAAAACTAACCATGGTATATCTGTATACTCAAAACTAACCATGGTATATCTGTATTTCAATAATCCACTTATTAATGAGTGAATGAAATGAAATGGGGTTTAACGTCCTACTTACTTTAATGGCCATTGTTTTTATCGTTGACCTTTTTAAACTTTCTTGGTCTTCAGACTTACATGAGAGAGAAAGGTCATTTAGGGACTAATATAATGTTTCAATTTTATTTCAACAATTTGCGTAGGGTCTTTAGCAGAGGGAGAGAGAACTAGAGATAAATGGGGTCTAATTGAAATGAAATTTAATGTCCTACTGTTATGCTCCAACTGTGCTAATGAAGACGAGCATATGCCATACAGTGAGCTATAAGGGAAATTTTGCTTTTACAGCGGCACTATGGCGTACTCTTATATCGAATTCCAACTGCCAAGAGTTCTTTCACATGCACACCAATGTGTACACAGGACCTCTGTTTTTCCTTCTATCCAAATAATTAGACTTCTGAAAGAACATTTACAAACCTTTCATTAAGATTGTCAAGTTTATATTTCACAGTAGCTTTTAAAAGTTCCTCTAGAAAATAAACATCGACATCTTTTGTTTCAAATATATCTGTATAAATCCATTTGATCATCGTTACTGCTGTACTGTAATCTAAATCTAAAATATAAATCATCATTTAATTACCATATTTAGACTCGATATACATACAACAGAGCGAGAGAGAGAAATGGGGTTTAATATCCACTCAACACAAACTAGGTCATTTTGGGACTAACACATGATTGAATTTTATTTCAATAATTCGCTTGCACATAGTGGTCTTTAGTAGTGGGAGGAAATCGGAGGACCCAGAGAAAACCCACAAGGTTGGACGGGCGACCCTACTCCTTGTCCCATACAACTGAGGAATCGAAACCATGCCAGTTGACTTAGTGATAGATCTTATGATACAGCACACCCGCACTAACCATTCGGCCATCCACATACAATAGAACAATAACAAGTGTAAGCTATGTAAAATCCTCAAATAAGAAGTGGCATCAGGGTGTTTTAGACATGCTTGAGCACAGTACCCATAACACAAACTAGGTCATTTCGGGACTAACTCATGGACCAATTTGATATATAAATATATGATACTCCAGTACCCCATAAATTTATTGACCTTATAACCCCTTGGTATTTAAATATATTATACTTCAGTACTTGGGAGATCTTTTGACCTTTAACCCCCCTGGTATTCAAATATAATATCATACTCCATGAGAAATCTATTGACCTTTAACCTGTGATATATAAATATATTAAACTCCAGTACCTGAGAGATCTATTATATCTACATCATTAAGATTACTATCACACCATTTCTCAAACCAGGTAGATAAAACTAATTTATGGCCTCGGATCGCTCTGTCACCATCTAATAATACAGTAATATCACTGAAATATAAATTATTCATGTTTATTTAATTGAATAATTGTTGAAAATGTAAAAATAATTCAACAGATTAATATTTATAATATTTGAAATTCTTTTGGCTATAAACAGCATGACCCACCCTCCCTGATTGACTTCACATATAATAGTAAGCAACCCATCAAGGGATTGGCAGTTAGTTACTGTTACCATCTACACACAAATAAAAAACAATTATCATGGGAATTGAACACGTAGACCAAGGCATGGAATCCATACACCTCTACTGAGTGAACCAAAGGGAATTCCTCACGACAAAGTCAGTAGAAAGTATATAAATTTGAGACATTACAGGACAACAATCTAGCCGTCCCCCAGACATATGAATAAACAATCACACAGCCCTTCACATATTTGTATTTTATCTGTTTAAATGTTGACAATATAACCCCACAACAGTTTGTAATAATCTTGGCCATATAACGAGAGAACCATTTCAAATCTGGAACTAGCTGTTCATTAAAGAGAATTACCGATATGTACAAATCTTGGCCATATACACATCGGTGACTAGCTGTTCCCTTAAAAAACCTTAATAGTATTACATGTACCTGTATAAATCTGGACCATATTTGATATTTTAGGGTAAATGGGTTCATTTAATAATTACCTGTACAAACCATGACCGTATTTGATATTTTAGGGTAAATGCCATTTACTAAATGGGTTCATTTATTAATTACCTGTATAAAGGTTGACCATACAACCCAGCAACAGTTTGTAATAATCTACTGCTATGTTCAGTATGATTATCTTCCCCTTGACCAGCCAAAGCTAACTGATATTTTATTTCAACTTCAGATAAATGTTTTTCAAGTTCAGTCAGCTTGTCGTGTAATCTTGTCGCTTCATTCTTCCAGAACTCAACTATAACAGGGTAAAAGATTCTTTATTTATGTGCATTGACAAAAATCTGATTAAAAAACAGATCTATATTTCCTTTCATTTTTTTATACTTTCGATGGCCTCTACTACATGAAGGTCTGACCAGTTGTAGTGGATCGAAGGACGTGGTTTCGATCCCAGGAATGAGCTTATGTGGCTTGGAGATTTTATCTTAACACACCTAATTTAAAAAATTGGAAAAACTCAACTAATTGAGTAAATGATTTGAAAAGCCTAACGTAAACCTTTCCAAATGTGACTTGGATTTAAAAATATTTTCGAACCCTCTGGACAAGTAAAATAGGATGTAATGGATAATTTACACAACAGGTAGGACACTTAACCATCTAATACTTAGAATAAGGCTATTATTTATTTTCTGGAGCTGACAAGCCAGCAAGAGTGTTATTGTCCCAGCAGAAAATAGATTATTGAATGACTTTTAAATTCTGTTGAAGAGCATACGGACCAAAATGGTAAAATGATTTAGAACCAAACCACTTGTCAGAGAGTAAAATACTTTCAGAATTGGTGCATTTTTTAATAAGAAGAATATGTATTGAGTTTTAAGAATAATAAGCGATTTTTTAAAAGTCATTACCATCCGCCATTTTGAACAGCATGGTGTCACGTGATCTAAAGTTGACTCTATTATGGGTCCATGGATCAATACGAAGTGAAAGTAATATAAAAGAGTTGTTTGAACAGTAATACATTATTACAGCATTTTGAATAGAAATATTCCAATACAAATCATTCTGCGCTTAAAAAGTTAAATTAAAACAGTATGAATTCTAAATTTATCAAGCTCGTACATTTCATCTTTGACCCGGAAAATTAGCGGAATCAAGTGCAACTCCCCGTTTTCAACAAACGAATATGGCGTCGGGTTAGCTGAATTTATTTTTTTATTAATTTTGTTTCATGTGGCCATCATGTGCAAATAAACAGTATTATGGTTACTTTAATTATTATTCGATGGCAATGAATTTGTGTATTTTTTATAGCCTAGATATGATGATACTGAATTTCCGGAGCTAAACTAAAGGTCGACGGTGGGGTGCATTCCATGTGTCATGTCTAGCAATCTTTATCCCTCTTCTTCTGCTCTTGTCCTTGAAGCATACTGTAGGCCTACTGAGTGATAGCTCCCTGCTCTGCCCTGTCCTGATAATACATGGATATAAATATATTTCCCTGACCCAGATAAATATAAATATATTTCCCTGACCCAGATAAAGGGACCATTTAAGGAAAAGGGCATCACCCCATATTGTAAACAATTGTACTTGCTGGCCCCGAAAATTTGACTTTGACTCACTTGACTCGAGTTAGGTTAGGATCAGTAATCAAAAACTGAGAAAGATCACAGAATTGGGTTCTGTCAGTGTCACTCAGTCAATGGGGTATACAATAATAAAGTAATTAAACATGGAAATGCTGTTTATTTGCGGCTACATATATAAACAGAAGTCAGCATTTTTTTGTGTGCAGTCTGTAGGCCATATAGCCTAGAACTCGCTAGAAATGATCAAAATCTCGCTCTGTCACGCCTGGCTTCGCAATGAGTTAACAGCATGAAATGATGAAGACAAGGAACAATCTGTGAATTCTTGCCTTCATGGTATTAACATTAACTAAAAGTGAAGCGGTGACAGTGTGAGAATTGGACCATTTTTTACGGGCTTCTAGCGTTGACCTTCACACTTATTAGTTACATGAAGACAAGAAAGAGCAAAGAGTTTGAAAGAGGAACTTATGGGCTTCCACAATTCACACATGTACAAAATACTTTAATTTAAACACGCACAAATAAGGCTCCAGCTGTTCTATTTCTTTATTTGTTATGTGTATAATTTATTGCAGAAGATGGGATCATGGAGCTCTCCAAATTACGCGAGGAATTCATGGCACTACAAGAACATCTTCTGGCAGTTGAAATGAAATATCAAGCTGAACTACAATCAGCCAATGAAAAACAACAGAATGAATACCTGAAAAAACTGATGGGGATCATAGCCAATTTATTTAACACACATCATTACAGGTACTTAAAGTAGCAAGTCTTTAACTCAAGATCATCCACAGTTGACATTGAAAACACAAATTATTTGTCAATTAAATCAAAATTGATGTTGTGATCTTATCGGGAAAAGAAGGGCTTCTGATATCCAAACTAAACATTTTGCCATCGGTACACGAATCGTGTCCCAGAATGCGTTTCAGCGCCATTTGTAACAAGGGATTCGCAGAATGAGGCTAGACATATTCCACGAGTCATGTCAAACAGTGACATCATATTCTTATCTGGAGAGCATGTGCAATAAATACTAAAGGTGTAGACTTGAATAACCAGATGCTAGAAATTGCTATTCAATTGAGATTTCTTGCGTATTTCGCCGAACAGTCCTGATTAGAAATTACAGTAAATAGAGTTTATATACATTCATATTACGGTACAATATTATGGTATATGCGCAGCGACCCATCTGTGTCAATTTCTAGGTCCCAAATATTAGCGATTTAGCTCCTTTAATAGTACTGAAAACTAAACTAAATACGATATTTGATTTCATGTTTCTAAGAATTTCTACTTTTCTACCTGATCAAAGAAAGTCTAATATTATTATTTTTAAATGATTTTTTTTCTTTAACAGTGATATAAGAATATTAATGGAGGGTGATCAAGTATTTTCAGGGCATAAACTTGTTTTATTATCAAGAAGTGATGAGTGGGGATGTGATTTGAGTTCAATGGATGAATTAGATCTCTCAGGTAAAGTACGATAAACTTCACATGTCTATGTATCTACGAGTCAGCTGTTGTGGTTCTATGTGTAGGGGATGTAACCTCCGGGTCCTCTGGTTTCCTCCTACTCCTAAAGACCCCAAAGCACAAGCGATTTATCGAAATAAAAAATTGAACCACATGTTAGTCCCAAAATGACCTAGTTTGTATTGTGGTTCTGTGTGTTCTACGTATCTACGAGTCAGCTGTTGTGGTTCTGTATGTAGGGGATGTAACCCCAGTTTGCCGGAAGAAATAGATCTCTCGAGTAATTTAGTGCATGTTCTGTGTGTAGGGCAGTGCATGCAACCTCAGTTTGACAGAAGCATTAGATTTTAAACCATGCCATATAATAATGATATGGTAACCTGAGTCAGTTCTGTCGAATACATCTGCTTCACCCGATTCTTGGCTTTGCCTTACTTCGGTGTCAGTTTGAAATATAAATTTACTATGTTAACTTGGCCTGGTAATACCCAGTGGATGTTAGCCCCCCCCCCCTCCTTTATTCACCACTAGGATAAAATTCCTTCAAATTAAAAATTTGTTTTTCCAGTCCATTTTCTCCTTCATATTACAATTTTCTCTTTTTTTTTTGATTGAATTAATTGTATATTTTCAGACATAAAGTATGATGTAGCTTTGACCATGTTGAAATGGGTTTATACGAATGATTTGTATATTAATGATATGGGACATGAATTTATAGTGGAACTTCTTGTGATAGCCAATCAATTTAGACTGGATCCATTGGCCGAAAAGTGAGTACGAAAAAATTCTATCATATCACGGAAAGTAACAATGTGTGATTTGCATTTTCCGTAAAATATCAAATTTCTCACGGCTTAATCCATGTTAATATATACTCAGGGTTAGGGTTAGGGTTATTAATATGTACTCAGATTGATTATTTATGATTTCATTAAAGGGACTATCCCGATTTGAAAAGAGTCTCAAAAATAAAATACCGAGTACGTATGAAATTTAAGTACCAAAATATAGAGGAATGGTGTATTTACCCTGTCTCAAAATTTCATCTCAAAATATTCAGTCGTTTGGACGTGAATGTCAAAACTGCTTATCCAGACACGTAACCCTTTTAAGATTTCGGGTCAAGTTTTTCGTTGGGTGACCTGATAATCGATTCCTGTTCATTTAGAGGTCTATACAGTGAATGGCCCATGTGCTGTTCTTGATAACGAAAGGTAAATTTCACCTACACATTATTTTTATAAAATAAAAGTCTAGTTTTATCCAGATACCGCATAATACAGCTTGGGACACTGGTCTCCATTTCCAGATTAAGACTGATGGGTTTAAGTTGTTTGAAAGTGTATCACATATATTGAGTTTGTTACTGGACCCTAAGGCAGATGATTTAAAGGGATTTTAACACAAAATTAAGCAGTTTTATTCTCCAAAATATTATCGGGATTGGCCCTTTAAGAAAACAAAATGAAAATACTAACACTAGATAATCTCCCAGTTCGGATTCAGTCAGATTTAAAACAAACCCATCAATTATGCTCGCGAACAACAAAATGGTGACTGGCTTATTAGATAGCTAGCATCCTAGAATCGATGGAATTTTCAATTTGTCATATCTTTGTACATACTGAACGGAATTTAACTATTTTTGGACTGATATTTCCAAGGGATACAAATGTACGGAAATAATTCTCATATACTTAAGTCAGCTTGTTAAATTCAGTTTAAATTTATATTTTGGACATTGAAACACAACATGGCTTTTATTACAACATTGGCTTTGACACTGTCCAAAATATAAAATATAAATTTAACAAGATGTGTAAAATTGTCAAGAAAGATTGTCATCGTACAAGACATACAAAATATAATGAAATCAATCAATTTATTTTTGAGCCTATTAAAATAGGCCTGTTTGATTATACGATAAACGTGGTTTCAAATCCCCGGTTGTGCGTGACGAGGAGTAGGGGCGCCTGTCCAACCTCGTGGGTTTTCTTCGAGTCCTCAGGTTTCCTCCCACTGCTAAAGACCCCTATGCACAAGCGAATTATTGAAACCATATGTTAGTCCTGAAATGACCTAGTTTGTGTCGAGTGGACGTTAAACCCCATTTCTCTCTCTCTTTGATAAGCCTGAGTGTAATTTTATAGTATTGTGAACCCGATAAAAATGTACAATTTATTTTTATTTAGATGTTCAGATGCCTTGAATTCAATACCAATATCTGAAGAGTTGATAAAAACTGAAGTCATTGATGATATACTTGATACGAAGCTATCAGAGGTAGAAACTATTGTTACTTTTTTTTCAAGAACAAGAACATAGCAAATACATAAATATGGTCGACAGTTGTCTTGCCGACAGTTGTCCTTGCCAACAGATGTCCTTGCCGGCAGTTGTCCTTGCTGGCAGTTGTCCTTGGATTCAGTTGTCCTTTCAGGCAGTTGCCTGCTGGGCAGGCAAGTGTCCTTGCAGGGCAGGCAATTGTCCACTGACAGTTGTACTAACTGACAGTTGTCTGTTCACAAGTGTCGTCCTGCCAGCAGTTGGCTGCTCCCAGAAAATATAACCTCAAATAACATGAAAAGAAATGAAATGGGATATCACATCTTATCTGCTTCTCTGATCCAGCTAAGACAATGAAGAGTCATGCTGAAAAAATAACCACCATCACTTCACAAAATTCCTTAAATCTTATCTTAATTAACTCTAGCACTGATTTTAATTTAGATTTGACTCTAAAACAGGCTCTCACGAATATAAATAGACATTAGAAAGATGGTGCTACAGCATACACTGCATCATATATTCATGTAATTTACTAGTCCAGTCGGGGATGGGGGGGGGGCGCACGATGGTTAGCACGTGCGCGCTGTATCATATGGTCTGTCAATGAGTCAACTGGCGTGGTTTCGATTCCCCGGTCGTAGGGTCACCTGTCCAACCTTGTGGGTTTTCTCAGAGTCCTCTGATTTCCTCCACTGCTAAAGCCCCCTACGCGCACGCGAATTATTGACAATGAATTGTAATGTAATTTAACCATGTGTTATTCCCAAAATGACCTAATTTGTGTCAAGTGGAAGTGAAACCCCATTCCACTCTCTCTATTAGTCCAATTGATACAGAAAGTTACGACATAAAACTCCATTTCAATCTTTCTGTAACGACTGGCCTAATAAACACATGAAAATATGATGTAGTGTACGAAAAGAGACATTTGGCCCCAGCAGCTAAGATTTTGGAGAGGGTTTAAGATTTAAGGCCAATAAAAAGACTTATATTATCCTTACATTACATTATTTGGGGGAAATAAAACCCCAAAATTAGAAAGTTGATCTTTAATTTTATTTTTATTTGAAATCGTATTTCAGGACCATGAAGGTGAGGAAATAACGAATCTGGATCAAAACCAAATGATGGACAAAAACCAAATGACGGACAAAAATTATGATTGTGATTTGTGTAATAAATCATTTGGCAACAAAGACGCTCTTTTAGAACATGAGGAAATACACGAAGATCCGACCTGTCTTGATTGTCATCTTTGTAATAAACAATTCACATCGACGGATGATCTTGATGCTCATTTAAAAGATCATAAAAAGGGAAAACCCTACGAGTGTCAATTCTGCGATTTATCGTTTAAGACTCCGGTTAAGTTACGGAATCACGAGAGAACACACAGCGGTGAGAAACCACATCAGTGCGATAATTGTATCAAGACTTTTGCGACCAAGGAAGGCCTAAGGCTTCATCAGTTGGTTCACTCGGGCGAAAAATCATTCAGATGCGACATATGTGATCGATCATTTTTCCAGAAAGGAAGTTTAAAAAAACACCAACAGATCGGTCATTTTGGTAAAAAGACTTTCATGTGTGATATATGCGGATCTTCTTTTATTCAAAATAGTCAGCTCCAAAAACATCTGCGACGTCACTCGGGGAGTTATCGTTATAAGTGTGTGTATTGTGAGAAAGAGTTTTATCAGAGTACGCACTATAAAGAACATATTATGATCCACACAGGAGAAAAACCCCATCAGTGCGATATATGCGGACAGGCGTTTATACGGAAGAGCGCTCTGGTCCGACATCGAAACATCCATACTCGAGATAAAAGTTATAATTGTGATACATGTACGAGACAATTCGCGGATCCGAGCGCTTTAAAAAAACATAAGAAAATCCACACGGGTGTCAAATCTTATCAATGTACGCAATGTGAGAAATCTTTCGTCGAAAATGGACAATTACAGAGACATATCGTATCCCACACGGGTGACAAACCCTACAAATGTGATCTCTGCCCCTTGGCATTTAGCCTCCAATCAACATTAAAACGTCATATGAACATCCACACAGGAGATCGGCCGTACAGATGTGAAATTTGTGATAAAACATTTATCAGGAGTACTCAACGTAAAATTCACATGAAAACACACGACGTTCATTTAGATCGACTTCCTCGACACGAAATACAGACTATAATATACACCGTAGAATAAAAACCTGGGCATGAAATACAGAATATACACCGTAGAATAAAAACCTAGGTGTGAAATACAGAATATATACTGTAGACTAAAAACCTGGGCACGAAATACAAACTACTATATACACGGTAGAATAAAAACCTAGGCATGAAATACAGAATATACACCGTAGAGTAAAAAACCTCGACACGAAATACAGACTATTATACTGTAGAATAAAAACCTATGCATTAAATACAGACTATACACCGTAGAATAAAAACCTACGCATTAAATACAAACTATTATACTGTAGAGTAAAAATTATCAAATAACATTCTCCATAATGTGACTTGTATAAATTATGAAATTATATTAAATAAATGATATGAAATGAGTTAAACTTTTGTGTTTCTAACATGGTTAATAAAGATAGACATACACTATTCAGTGTCACAGCCTATTCAGTGAGTCACAGCAGTAGTTATATCCTTATACATAGTTTGTATGTCGTTAGAATTTACTGTATGTGTTACAAAACATTGTTATTAAATAACAGAGAAGTGGTTACATGTATATCCATACACTGTAACCCAGGTATCGTTTAATCTTGTGTATCTATCACTAATTTCTTTCACATTCGTTAAATATCAAATCTTTGTTTAAAAATTTGTAAAAACTGTTTAAAATCACCATAAATCGTTTAATTTGTACTTCTGTCCAGTTTAAAGCTGACCATTCAATTTTGATAATGAGTGTCCAAATAAACAACACGATTGATTTATGATGTATAATGATTAATTTTTGAACAGTGATCAGGAAATTAAATACTTGTAAATTGGACACTCATTATCAAAATTAATCAGTCAGCTTTAAACTGGACACATGTACAAATTAGACAATTTTTGGTGAATTTAAACAGTTTTTACGAATTTTTAAACAAAGATTTGATATTAAACGAATGTGAAAGAAATTAGTGCTAGATACACAAGACTAAACGATACCTGGGTTACAGTGTATGGATATACCATGTGTTATTAATAACAGAAACGTAAGTATATCCATATATCGACACTATGGTTGATTTGACAGTCATAAACAGCAGTTCATCTCGCGAATGGGTGATTGGTTTAAAAAAAATGTGAGGAGAGTTCACAGTTAAACCAATCAGCAGTAACAAGTGATATTTGACCAAATGAAATAGTGGCTTTAACCCTTGTCCTGCGGTACCCGGATTATTCCGGGATTGGCGCGAGCCCTCCATATACGGCACCCGGAATATTCCGGGATTACCAATTGTATTTATTTCCGGGCGTTTTAATAGAGTTAACTCCCATGTTCGATGAGTGGCGTTTCACTAAACGAAAGAAGCGCAGTCTGCTGTCATTCTTGTTGCATTATTTACAATTGTTTCGCTAATTTTCCAAAGATTTGGGGGACGTATGTTTTATAATGATACATGTCCAAAAAAAACGTGAAGTTATGTCACGGCTAACTGTCGAGGAAGTGTTAAACATATTATTTAACGATGAAGGTAGTGAATTCTGTCAAATTTGATCAGTTTTAATAGAGGCACTCAACGTCATGCATGTATTCCCAAAACAATTCAGTTGACGACGTCATACATGTATATGACGTCAACAATTCAGCAGCTTAAGGGTTAAGTGATGTAAATATCAAACAAATTGGTAGGCATGTCGACCTGTTTCAAAGTCATTTGGTGGTCGCGCTTTCCGAGTAGTGGCATCTACAAATGGGAATCTCCACTGAAGTTCCTTACTCAATAAAAATCTGAATTATATCATTAGCAATCAGTATGCACCATGAGAATGTTTTGTGGATTTAGCACTTGATATGGGCATATTATTAGAATGATCAGGGATTGGAGCCTGCTGGGGGCCTAGATCCTGGATCACAATTATTAGGGGTGGCTCCTCCAGGTGCCGAGAAGGAAAGTTAGATGGAACAGAAAACTGAGGTATACCTGTGTACACATTTGATAGTTGTAATGAGCATACATGTACATACACCATTTAGTGTGTTATGATGGAACTTTTGTCAGTCCAGTCTTCGTCAAATCCTGTGGGGGTGGGGGGGGGGAGAGGTGGGCCGAATGGTATGCATGCGCATTATCATAAGGTCTGTCATTGAGTCAACTGGCGTGGTTTTGATTTCCCGGTTGTACGTTTCAAGGATAAGGTTGCCTGTCCAGCTGCATGGGTTTTCTCGGGGCCTTCCAGTTTCCTCCCACTGCTATAGACCCCTAAGCACAAGCAAATTATTGAAATAGGTTGAACCATATGTTAGTCCAAAAATGAACTAGTTTGTGTCCAGTGGACATTAAACCCCATCTCTCTCTCTCTCTCTCTCTTATATTATAGATAATATTGAGTTAGAGATTTTGCTTCTTTAAGGACACCATTCATACGATAAATTATTAAAAAAACTAGAAAAATATGCTATAATTTGGACCTAGATCTTAATCACAAGTTTCAGAAACGGAGTAAGTGCATCATTATAATCAAGTACAGTCGGTTGTATGTAATATCCAGAAGTGGATTGGATTTTAATCAAACCCGTTACATAATGGTTATTCTGTTATTGGTTTTAAAAATTAGTAATGCACTGCAAAATTGAATTGTTTTTTTTTTTACAGACTTTCTATAAAATATTTAATAACTTGAAGCTGTTCGATTTTCAGAGTTTTTTTCATAGATTTAGCAAATTAATGAATTATCTCCCTTTATCGATTCTCGTGTGATGATGTCAGAGTCATAGGGTCACATGATCCGACTTGCCACCATCATCATCATAAATCAATAAAAAACATGGAATGAACGGAAAATTGACCGGCTGCTTTCTTTAATTTGTAAGTATCGGTGTTAATTTTAGGAGTTGATTTAGTTTCTGTCTTACATTGAAACAATACGTTACATTGAATATATTTTATATTTCTGAATAATGTACGTGTGTGTGGTTGTCCCAGAAAAATAACTGCTTTAGTGGAATCATCAAGGAATTTGTCCAAGAAATTTTGCATTGAGTGATTGACATTGAATCAGTCTGATTTTTGGTGGACCTGTTTAATATAACATAATCAGTTTCGTGACTTCATAGTTTTGGCAAATTGTTTGTTTAAACTAAACCCGTTTAATTGTTATTAATTATAATTTGATATGTTCATTAGGTTCAGATCAGAATATATTGGTGTGGATAAAGCTAAAGCTGACCTTGAATAATTAATCTTATGATAATTAAATAGTAGGAAATAAGGCACCTGTCACAGATAATGTCAGGCATAAATTCAGGCTTTGTCAGACACTAAATCTCTGGTGCCTGTCATTTTGTCCGGCATTGATTTGTCTTTTTTATTGATATTATTAATACATGTCCGGCACTAAGTTTAAAATGTCAGGTACTATTTCATTAGTGCCTGACATTTTGTGAGGTACATCTAAAACTCTTATTCCAAGCCTGCCAATTGTTAAAAACACACTGATGTCCTTATTTTAACTTTATGATCATCTATCATATACACGTAGGCCTACCTACATGTACATGTATGAATATTTTATCATAATATTAATATTCACACATTCATCAGTCACACATTTTTTTAATTCACACCTGTGGGCTATTTTCTAAATCACAATTAATGACAATATTGATTTCTTAATTTTTTTTGTGTGAATAATTTAAACATTAAACATTATGTTAAAATTCTACATAATTCATCTGATTTTTTAGATACCGGTACTGATACATATATTTTGAATTATATTTACATACATGTAGAAGAATAATGGATTATTTCAACTGCATGTAGGCCAACATATATGCAAGCATGAGTAGAAAATTACAACAATCAAGAACAAATATTTTTAGATCCTATAAAATAAAATTAATAGTTAAAAACATGAGTGATAATTCAATTAAGCGATAATTATTTTATACTGGTAGTTGAATTTCAATTCAAAAACTTTCTATTTCAATACAGTACCGTATAGAAGTTGTTTAAACTAACTTTAAACTATCGGGCTGATTTATTTATATTTTTTATAATCAAGATATGTTAAATTTAAAATATAAACCAGCTGTCATAAAAATCAAATAGGGAATAAGTGTATGTTGATGTTAGTCAAACTTCTACAGTGTTGTGTTTTTAAATGTACTCAATCGCTAAATGCCACTCAAGGATTATATTCTACAGGGTGATTTAAGCCCACATATGTCTAATATATGATTATAATAGACTGTCATAACTATCTTATTGATTACCTTTTGTCTTGTTAAAACTGACACCAGGCTCTGAATGACAGGTGAACTCAAGTTGATTGATTGATTAATTCCTACCTTTAGGCCTATCCTTTTCTATTTCATCTATCTTTAAAAATAAGAAAGTTCAGGATAAAATTCACAATATTATTACGGTATATTTTATGAGTTTATTTACTAGTTGTAAACATATTGAAAGTTAAAATTATATGATTGGTTTTAAAATTAAAAATTGAAGTCATTAATAATAATAATGATATAATTATACATGTACTGTTTGTAGAATGTAATAAAGAGGGATGAAATAGGGTTTAACGTCCTACTGTTCTGCTCCTATACTGGACTAATGAAGACGGGAGAATGTAATAAAGAGGAATGATATAATAATATGAAATGAAATGAAATGGGGTTTAACGTCCTACTGTTCTGCTCCTTTGCTGGACTAATGAAGACGGGTATATGCCATACAGTGTGCTCCATGAGGGACTATTTGCCTCGCTGCGGCACTACAGCCTTCTCTTATATTGAATTCCAATTGCCAAGGGATCTTTTACGTGCACACCAATGTATACAGTGTATACAGGACCTTGGTTTTCGTGCGATCCGAATTTCATTAGACATACAGCACAACATTTTGACATGTGTTTTCTATCGTCATCAAGATTGACTGGTGTCGGGGGCGCCGGAACGGCATGAAAATCAGGGTACCAAAAGATAGGGGGTTCTCTCCCCCCCCCCATCCTCTAGAATTTGTCAATTCCGAGAACGCTGTTTAGAGCGCCTCTAGCATTCCAAATTCCAACATAAAACTCTTTAAAATACATGATAATGAAAGAGACAAAAGCCTGATTATTCACAATTTTTGTATCATGAGCAATAAAAATAAATAGACTAGTGAAAAGGTTGAAAACTTTCATCATTAAGACATGGGTACACATGTATACCGCAGAAAAGGGCAGGAACCCCTGACTGGTGTTGTGCCGGTGTTTTTTATCTCTAAATACCACATAAGTATTATAAGGGATGATATATTGTTACGTGTATATAGGTTCATTTAAAACACTATCTTGTTTACCCTGGACTTCTCTGTTTTAAATCTTTTATGAATCAGTGAAGTAGAAACACTCACCAGATATACATATAACACCACTGGTCATAAATTATATTTACAACAGATAAGTTATTTGTGTAAGATCTTTTGACTAGAATGGCCCACATTTGAATATTGGCATGGGTTATGAATTACTTTAGTAATTTTCAAGCCCATTCTCTGACTGTCTGTATTTAAAAGAACCCTTGGCAGTTGGAATTTAAAGAAGACTAGACAGAAATAGTTTTGCCTGGGCCAAATCCCCCCCCACCCTCTTATTCCACACGTAACCATGGAAATGAAAATGTTAGTCTCAAAATGACGATAAGTTAGTCTCAAAATAACCACATGTTAGTCTCAATATAACTATATGTTAGTCTCAATATAACCACACGTTAGTCTCAAAATAACCACACATTAGTCTCAAATAACCAACCATATGTTAGTCTCAATATAACCATATGTTAGTCTCAAAATAACCACATGTTAGTCTAAAAATAACCCACATGTTAGTCTCAATATAACCATATGTTAGTCTTAATATAACCATATGTTAGTCTCAAAATAACCATATGTTAGTCTCAAAATAACCACATGTTGGTCTCAATATAACCACATGTTAGTCTCAATATAACCACATGTTAGTCTCAAAATAACCACATGTTAGTCTCAAAATAACCAGAGTATTGTATAAAATCCATTATTTTATTAATTTCATGATGATTTTTTTGTTTTTTTGAATTTTTAGATTGCCTAAAACATTATATTTAAAGTAAATGTATGATTTTATCTGCATGATTTAAATGTTTTAGGAATTATTGATAAGCTTATTGATTCAATTTGTATACAGCTGTGTGTCCTACTGGGTATCTTAGTTTGTACATGGACTGTTATATACTGTTCATGGTTTGTATAAAGCTTATATACAGTGTCACACTGAGACTCTTAGTCTGTAGCCTACAAACTTTTGTAAAAATATTGTGAAATATTTATCAAACATAACCCTGACACAAGGATGGAGTCAGTTTAATATCCCTACCTAATTTATACTGAGAGTCTTTTGTAAAAATAATTTGAAAGATTTATGAAACATAACCGTGACACAAGGAAAGAGTCATTTCAATATCCCTAACTAATTGATGTTGGCCATTTAAATTGCTGGCTCATTTATCTCTTCGCATCTTCATTAGCCCAGTTGGTGCAGAAAGGTAGGCCATAAAACCCCATTTCATTTCATTTAGGTCTTATTTTTGAAATATTTTGTATTGTTTTTCAGAAAGATAGAACATCTAGAAATAATATTAAAAAAGTGAAAATATAGTTTTTGTAGCAATCAAGATGGGGTCGTTATTACGAAGTGAGGAGATGACACTATGTCAGCTGTTTCTCCAATCAGAAGCAGCGTACACCTGTGTGTCGGAACTTGGTGAACTTGGACTTGTACAGTTTAGAGATGTGAGTATTTATTCATCTTTTATTTAAAGAATTAAACAATTTCAGATTTTTAAGAATATTATTCAATTTGAGCATATTTCTGTAGGATTGTCCAAATACTGGGGCAGACCTGGGTAAGCGATAAGGAACTCGCCTCTCAACTACAGAGAGAAATTGTTTTGTTGCGATTCCAAGCTTTTAAACAGGCAGTATGCAAGAGCTAAATCTGCCTATTGCAGGTCTTTCTTTAGGCCTGAAATGTTATCTAAACTATTAATTAGACATTTATTAACTTGCCAAGACCATAATCAACTCTTGATACCATCATTATCCTGCGATATTTAATGGATCTGAATACGTTTTCTGATGATTTAACGTAAAAATGGATAATTAAGACTTTATTTATTATCGTACCAATGGTAGTAAATGTATTAAACAACTACTTTAATTAAATAATTTTATATTTTTTTTTAACAGCTGAATCCTGATTTTAACGCTTTCCAGAGAAAGTTTGTCAATGAGATCCGACGCTGTGAGGAAATGGAAAGAAAACTGAGTATGTTTTAATTTCTGTCACTGGTTGACCTAAAAAATAAACGATTCTTCTTCCAATGTCAAGTTGTCAGAGTAAACAACATCAGAATGTAACAACCAAAATATCAACTGATTGTTCATATAGTCAGCAGCATACTCCTCGCTGTGTTTCGTTTGATTAGAGCTAATCCCACTTAACACTGCTGTACTGGAAGCAAATTTCTGTTCCAAATTATGACTGGTCTATAGTCCGATTAACAACCAATAGCTAACTGCGTAACAATATATCGTTACGCTTTAAACAAAGCTCCAAATTTGACCAAATATGTTTACATAACGTTACGTCATGACTCAAGATTTTATTACGCCCAATTAACTAGTGCATAGCAGAATATTGCAGAAAACTAATTGCGTGACAAACGACTACAATGTAAACAATACTGTTTGGAGATGAACAATGCTTTCACCGTTTTTAATACCTTAAGGCCCATTCTCAGGGTGCGACTTGTAGTAACTACTTGTAGTATCGACCCGAGATGCAGCGTGAGAACACCCTAGTCGTACCAACTTTTACAAGCTCCCAACCAGTTGAAAGCGAGTTGAGCGAAATAGAAACTTCCCTATTTCAGTCAACACATCGTATGAAATTGACCAATCAGAGACGTCGAGTATTAGTACAAACACGAGTTCTCTCCCTTTGTTGTTGGTAAACATGGACGCGCTCAGAAAGTTTTTCAAACTGAGAAGGTCTTCTTCTTCAAGTTCACGTAAATGGGAACTGTACGCACCGGCAGTGGGTCTACGCAGTATCCACTGTCTAAAACAGACGGATTTGGGTTTTCTCTTTTTCTTTTTGTTCTTATTTATCAAATGTAGAGCAATAATAGCCAGCGTCTCTTCGTCGCTTGATGACGCCATTATGCTAAGACAAGACAAGATTATCGCGAGATTCCAAGTCGTATCAACTCATTTATATACGATTTTGTAATCTACATGTAGATACTACATGGAGATACCACAAGTAGCTACTACAAGTCGCACCGTGAGAACGGGCCTTTAAATCACTGTCCAAAGTTTTAGGGAAGACCCCAGATTAATTGAAGGGCTGTCATGTTGCTGTAGTTGGGATAGATTTGATTTAACGGAAAGAATAGACACACTCCCTCAAAAGCTCAAGTATCAGAAGCCAATCCAGCAATGGCCAAAGAGGGATTTTTCGGCCTATTGCTTCAGGACTATATGTGTTCGCAGTGGACTCAGAAAGTAGCAAACTTTCAATTTATCATGTAATTGTCGACACTGCAAAGAATTTTTGGATTGATTATATACTTTTAGAGATTCACCTTTCACAATATTAAAAAGGGAACTCAAAATCACTCAAATGATGGGGTTTGAAGGGCCGAATGGTTTTGAAGTCCCGGTTGTACGTGACAAGGAGTAGGGTTGCCTGTCCAACCTCGTGGGTTTTCTATGGTTTCCTCCCACTGCTAAAGACCCCTACGGGCAAGCAAATTATTGAAATAAATTGAACTATGTGTTAGTCCCGAAATGACCTGGTTTGTGTCGAGTGGACATTAAACCTCTCTCTCTCTCTCCCTCTCTCTCTCAAATGATTATCAGAGACATTAAGGTGTAAAATACATGTGTGATATTTATGAAATGGATCTGAGCCCAATTTCATCTTGGTTAAATATGATTTTAGCCAACTTTCTTGATCTAAAAGTTTTATATGTATTTTTCTGTGTTTATTTCGTAGGATTTTTAGAGAAAGAGATTAAGAAAGATGGAATACCTATGTTAGATACAGGAGATAATCCTGATGCTCCGGCACCTAGAGAAATGATAGATTTAGAGGTGAGTATACCTGATGCCCTGACACCTGTATAGATTCAGAGTATACCTATACTAGATGCAGGTGATAATAATTGTTCGGATTGGACAAAAAAAAAAAACGAGGTCCCATGTACACATTGGCATGCATGTAAAAGATCTCTTGGCGGTTGGAATTCCATATAGAAGAGTAGGCTTTTGCGTTGCTGTCCAGGTTTAATTTCCCTCATACCACACTGCATTCCTGTCTTATCAGCCCAGGTTAGGAGCAGAACAGTAGGACGTTAAACCTCATTTCATTTCATTGAAATCATCAACAGTATGTTTGAAATGAAATGAAATGAAATGAAATGGGGTTTAACGTCCTACTGTTCTGTTCCTAACCTGGGCTAATGAAGACGGGCATACGCCATACAGTGTGCTATGAGTGAAATTTTGCCCGGCAGCGGCGCTACGGCCTACTCTTATATCGAATTCCAACTGCCAAGGGATCTTTTACGTGCACGCCAATGTGCACACGAGACCTCGGTTTTTCGTACCATCCGAACGACTAGACAACTGTCCCTGTCAGGCCTTCCATCCTGCATCACTGACAAGCAAGGGGAAACCACGCCGGAAAATCTGAATGAATTTTCTCGGCCAATGCAGGGATCGAACACCCGACCTCCAGGCTAGCGAGCCAGCGAGCCAGCGTCTTATCCACTTAGCCACCGTGATCCCCAAAAAACAACAGTATATTCGATAATTAAGGGAGGGGTTGGATGGCTGAATGGTTAGCGTGCGCGCGCTGTATCATAAAGTCTGTCATTGAGTCGACTGGTGTGGTTTCGAATCCCCGGTTGTACGTGACAAGGAGTAGGGGCATCTGTCCAACCTCGTGGGTTTTCTCCGGGTCCTCCGGTTTCCTCCCACTGCTAAAGACCCCTATGCGCAAGCGAATTATTGAAATAAAATTAAACCATATGTTAGTCCCGAAATGACCTAGTTTGTGTCGAGTGGACGCTAAACCCCATTTCTCTCTCTCTCGATAATTAAACCAGCAGTTAGAATAAAATTCACCATTTGTTGGTCTTTTTTTTCTATTTCAGGCGACATTTGAAAAATTAGAAAATGAAATGAAAGAAGTGAACGCCAATTCTGAAGCTTTAAAGAAAAATTATTTGGAACTGACAGAATTAAAACACATTTTACGCAAAACTCAAACGTTCTTCGAGGAGGTAAGTAAAAGAGATTTTTCTTCTGTTTCGTTTTAAATTTATGAATATTTCTAATTTTATTAATGACAAAGAAATGACTTTAAGATATTAAAAGTTGCTTTACAATAGTTTTAAAATGACTTAAGAATTGTTTTGATAAATTATATAATTTAAAAGTAAGGGGAGATAACTATTAAATTAAGCGGGAAGGGCTTAGTTGTTGTGTATTAGTCTAGTTGTTTTGTTTAGTAACCATGGTTATTATTAAAATAGAAAGCATGAGTTTAAAGTGACCAAGATCTTTATAAAAGGTTGAGATAAAATTTCTATAACAGATCGTAAAATATTTGATTTTATTCATTAACTCAGAGCAAAATCGGTCGATCTCACATCTTTTGCTGGGTGGGGCGGGTCAGATGTTATATAAATTATTCAGATATTTATTCACATGACAAGCGCATAATCAGCTCTCTAGAACATCGGATGGCAGAGATATTTTATGGGTTAGAGCACCTACACCATTTTAAAATTTAACGTTAAAATTTAACATTAATCGAGACACTGTTTATTCTCGTAGCAATGGTACTTGACAATCCAGACTATTCGTCTGTGAACGGTCAGCTCTGTATCTAAATCTTACATAATGTATCTTCAAAGGACCTAAATCGCTAATATTTGTGACCTAGAAATTGACACAAATGGGTCGCAACGTATATAATACTGTAATATGAATGTATATAAACTGATTTACATTCAATTGTTTCCGTTTTGACTCTAATTTCAAATCAGTTATGTCCAGCGAAAGAATGCCAATTTCTAGCGTCTGGTTATTCCAAGCTATTGCGCATGCTCTCCAGATAAGATATGAGTTGTTGAATATGTCTAGCCTCGTTCTTTCTGGTCACTTGTTGCAAATGATGCTAAAACGCACTATGGTACACGATTCGTGTACCAATGGAAAATGTTTATTCTGTCTTAAATATTGGATATCAGAAGCCTGTCTTTTCCTGGTAAGATCACAACATCAATGTTGATTTGAATTGACAAATAATTCGTATTTTCAACGTGTATGACTTTGGATGATATTGAGTTAGAGACTTAGCTACTTTAAAGTAAGATGTTTTGATCGAAGTGTATTTTAATCGTAGTTTGATCTTGGTCACTTTGTTTGAATTCCATGTTTTTATAGATATATTAATTGTGTAATACGTGTTACTAGTGATGTGTGTTATTTATACTCTCCACATCCTTTCCGTATTGTTCCACCTATCAAGCCTGGAAATAAGGCACCTGTCACAGACAATGTCAGGCACAGATTCAGGCCTTGTCAGGCCTCTGGTGCCTGTCATTTTGTCCGGCACTGATTTGTCTTTTTTATTGATATTATTAATACATGTCCGGCACTAAGTTGAAAATATCAGGTACTATTTCATTAGTGTCTGACATTTTGTCAGGTGCATCTAAAACCGTTATTTCCAGGCCTGCCACCTATTCTTCCATCTTCATTAGCCAAGTCAGACTTTAAACCCCCATTTCATTTTGCACCCATCCCTGTTTTTATTACATTATTGTCTCCAAGTTTTTCATAACATGTTATTGTAGCATTTTTATCTTTTTATTAGAATTTATGTCATTTTGCTGTAGCATTTTTGGCATTTTATATTCTTTGTTAAATATTAGTTTCATGTTGTCAAGTTAATTTTTTCGACTGTGAATGTTTTACGAGATTTTGTGCACCAACATGTGTAGATAGTTGATATAATGTTTTATATTCGTTCAGTGATGATTTTACTTAGTAAAGAAATGTAAAAAATCATTGTTATGTAAACTAACAATCTATTCAGCCCCTTGAGTGGTTTGCGTAATTCATAGGCTACCAATAAAAATAAAGCTACTGTTGTCATTTGCCTATTTCGAACAATATCTCATTTTTCATAGCTTGGTCCTCACTAAAATGCAATGTTATAATTTACTGCGGTACATAGTGCAGCGATGATTTAATTAACTGTGGTACAAGGTGCAATCTTTAATTTCTGCGGTACTTAGTGCAACGCTATAATTTACTGCAGTACTTGGTACAGTGCTATAATTTACTGCAGAACTTGGTACAATGCTATAATTCACTGCGGTACTTGGTGCAATGCTATATTTTACTGCAGTACTTTGTGCAACGCTATAATTTACTGCGGTACTTGGTGCAATCTAAAATTTACTGCAGTACTTAGTGCAACACTATAATTTTCTGCAGTAAATGTCTTGTTACAAATTGTTTCGACGACATCTCTCGATGGTAAAATAAATATTAAAATCATCACTGATTAGCTAGATATTGTTTTATACACTGCATGTTATTCGTACTACCATTTTTATTTGTGGTTAGTTTTAACAGGGAGGGGTTTGTGTATTTATATGTTTTTTGTCATGTTATTATACTAGGCTGAATTTCACAACCGTCAGGCAATGCATGATCCCTACCTTGGAGAAGAAACAGTAGGTTTACTTGGAGAGGAAGCTCAGCAGCGAGGCCGTGGATTACGGCTTGGGTAATAATTTTACACTTTTAGCTTATACCGAGTGACATTTTCACTAAATCTAATAGCCAGGGCCCTTATTCACAAAACCTTAAACTAAGTTACAACCGAAATTTTAAGAAATACTGCAACTTCATTGGATATATGCAAATTGATTTTACTGGTCAGCCAATCGAATTGCAGTATTTCTTAAAATTTTGATTGTATCTTAGTTTAAGTTTTCGTTATTAAGGGCCCCGGGCCAGTTTTTGGCACATTTGACCAATTTCCCCAAATTGGGTACGGCTCTAGAAAGGGGCCACGCAGCTCTCCAATTTAAACACTTCCATGCAGTCTGGCAGCAAGCCTGCCAGTTGTGGCTAAAATATATGAATGAATATAGGCCTAAGTAAGTTATTCATATCCTGCAATGTGTTCATATCCTGTAACTTCTGGTCTTCCAAATTGTGCCCTGCATTTTCTACAACCGGCCCTGCTAATAGTATTCTCGGGTGTTTTATCAAGTAATTAATAATGTACACATAACCAGGTCTCAATTCTATGGAATACAATTATTATTTGATACTGAGTGCATATCGTATCAAACAATGCGCTATATACCCACACTAAAACTCAGGTATCATTTAGTTGTGTTGTTTCAGTAGGAGTTTCTGTATTTAATGTCAACGGATCAAATTTATTGAGAATCATAGAAGACCATTGTGTTTCTACTGTTGTGTAGTTCAAAGGGTCTGTTTAGATTTGATAATGAGTGTTGGGTTTATAACTGTTTAGTTTCTAGGGCAGTGTTGAGTAATTAATTAGTCTGTTAATTACTCATCACCTTTTGAGAAACTAAACAGTTGTACACTCATTATCTAATCATGGGGGGTTGGTATGGCTTAGTGGTCAAGACTGCCGCACTTCAACCTCTAGCTGGCCGGTCACCTCTGGCTTGCGGCTGTGGTTCCGATCCCTGGTGTGAGCGTATGTGGCTTGGAGCGCCTTCTCAACTTTGTGGGTTTACTCCATTTTCCTCCCACAGGAAAGACCCCTGCGTGTGTGCTAAGATGATAAAAAAAAAATAACAATAACTATCTAATCTAGAGAGACCCTTTAAATTGCACCACCGATTTTGGACAGTTTTCCTACAATAGTTTGAAAGTAAACATTAAATACAGAAACTAAATGATAGCCAAGTTGTACTGGCAAGACACAATGGAATATAATTATAGTTTGTTACTGAGAGACCATCAGTATCCTGTAGTGTTTATCAAGCACCTGTTGTAATATTGTATATATATATTAACAGGTTTGTAGCTGGTGTCATATTACGAGAAAAATTACCAGCGTTTGAGAGAATGTTGTGGAGAGCATGTAGAGGAAACGTCTTCCTTCGTCAAGCAGAAATAGATAAACCTATGGAAGATCCTGTTTCTGTAAGATTTTGATTTATCATTATAAAATATAAATATAGCCCCTCTCCCCACCCCTTTTCACATATGTTTTCAGGGCTGTTTTACAAATAAAAAAATGCAAATATAATAACAGTAAAAATAAGTAATTTATTCCATAAAAGAGGTGCTTGAACAGAAAATGAGCATCGTCCAAATGTTGAATGTTTTTCTGAGTTTGGTTTTAAATCATATTCCTGAAGCAATGGACCAAGAAGTCCCTCTCTGGCCATTGCTGGATTAGCTTCTGATACTTGAGCTTTTGAGGGAGTGTGTCTATTCTTCCTGTTCAATCAAATCTATCCCAAGTACAGCAACGTGACAACCCTTCGTTTAATCAGGGGTCTTCCTTAAAACTTTGGACAGTGATTTAAGGTATTAAAAACGGTGAAAGTGTTATTCGTCTCAAAACAATATTGTTTACATGATATCCACAGAGTAAAAATCGTGTTGACAGTTGATAGCCTTGTTTGTCACACAATTAGTTTTTCTGCAATATTCTGCTATGCACTGGTTAATTGGGCATAATAAAATCGTGAGTCATGATATAACCTTATGTAAACATATTTGGTCCAATTTGGAGCTTTGTTTGGTATTGTTACGCAGTAAGCTATTGGTTGTTAATCGGTTTATTAAAAATCGATTATGATAGATGGAATTACTAGTGGCAATAACATCTGAGATCATTTTAAATGGATTTTACGAGTTTATGAATATCAAATTTGATTTTATAAAACCACAAATAAATGGGATTGCTATGACATCATGCATTCTTACAGATTTCACGAATAACCAAACATGAGTGATATAGTGGTATTGTAAAAATACAATAATTCTATAACATGGATGTATATCGAGAAAAATTAATGATGATAATCATTTTGTATAGCCCCGAGCAATCGGTCAGTTTGCCTGTTTTGAGACTCTTTAAGTACATGTTATGTGTAATTGAATATAATGTTTCAAGTTAAAGACTGAGTCGTAGAAGATAAAAAAATAAAAGATCCTGAAAGTAGTGATGAAAGTAGAATAAAAACAGAGGTCCCGTATTCGTTTGTGTGCACATAAAAACAGAGTATCATATCATAATGTAACATTCATTTATTTATTTATTTATTTCAGGGAGATCAAGTATTAAAATCTGTGTTCATCATTTTCTTTCAAGGAGATCAACTCAAGTCTCGTGTTAGAAAGATCTGTGAAGGGTAAAAAATACAAATATTTTATAATATATCATGACCAAATATAGACTGTACAATAATTATTATGACCAAATATAGACTGTACAGCAAGTATCATGACCAAATATAGACTGTACAATAATTATCATGACCAAATACAGACTGTACAACAAGTATCATGACCAAATATAGACTGAACAGCAAGTATCATGACCAAATATAGACTGTACATTATGACCAAATATAGACTGTACAACAATTATCATGACCAAATACAGACTGTACAACAAGTATCATGACCAAATATAGACTGTACAACAAGTATCATGACCAAATATAGACTGTACATCATGACCAAATATAGACTGTAAAAATGGATATGTGCCTTAAAGAATAACATAGGACTAAAGAAATCAAGACATGATGTGGATTGAATTTTAGACTATAGTAGATTTCCCAGTCTGTGATATTTTCAGTGCCATGAGTAGAGGGGAACAGACAGAGACGATGTCCTGTAGTTTTGGGGGCATAAACCCCTTAACACCATGTGGAGATGGTGTAGTCTGCGATTAAATATGTTTTAATTTTGTTTGAATAGTTTCCGTGCTACGTTGTATCCATGTCCCGAAACACCATCAGAGAGACGAGAGATGTCGCTAGGTGTAATGACGAGGATAGAAGATCTCAATACTGTAAGTTTAGAAATTTCTCAAAAACATTAAATACTTCGTGTTGATCGGAAAAATTCCTAGAAATTACTGATATGTATCAGCTGCTAAGGATTTGACGCCACGGCACGGATTCGATCTCGGCACAAAACACTGTAACCCAGGTATCATATAATCTTGTGTATCTAGCTAACAATTAGCTGAGGTGGACAAGAGTGATAATCATATATGGTATTGTTTATTATCAATTATGGTGTTTGTAATTAAACTGCATATTTCTTTGAAAGTCATTGTCAGGTCAAGGTATAATGAACTGACCACTAATACATTCTCTTTGAAATTCAGTCTAGTGTTACATGCGGATCATGTGTAGCTTGTTAAAGAACATCTTGAATAAACTAGATGTTTATTAAGAACGTGTCTTCACAGAAGTTGTCGAGAGTTTAAACGTCAACTTCAGTTATAGATCAGTTTTGTCACACCAGGTTACCAGTTTAAAGCTGACTGATTAATTTTGATAATGAGTGTCCAATTTACAAGTATTTAATTTCCTGATCACTGTTCAAAAATTAATCATTATACATCATTAATCAATTGGGTTGTTTATTTTTTTAACAATGATTGAGAAATTAAACACTTGTAAATTGGACACTCATTATCATAATTAAATGGTCAGCTTTAAACTGGACAGAAGTACAAATTAAATGATTTATGGTGATTTTAAACAGTTTTTACAAATTTTTAAACAAAGATTGGATATTAAACGAATGTGAAAGAAATTAGTGCTAGATTCACAAAATTAAACAATACCTTGGTTACAGTGAAAGTTCCTTATGACTATCTGGCATGGTTTCACTGGTAGGGGGATCACGTGGCTAGGTGGGTAAAACGCTGGCTCGCTAGTCTGGAGGTTGGGTATTCGATCCCTGCATTGGCCGAGAAAGTTCATTCAGATTTTCCGGCGTGGTTCCCCCTTGTCAGTGATGCAGGATGGAGGGCCTGACAAGGACAGCTGTCTAGTCGTTCAGATGGGACAAAAAACCGAGGTCCCGTGTACACATTGGCGTGCACGTAAAAGATCCCTTGTCAGTTGGAATTCGATATAAGAGTAGGCCGTAGCGCCGCTGCCCGGGGAAAATTTCCCTCATAGCACACTGTATGGCGTATGCCCATTTTCATTAGCCCAGGTTAGGAGCAGAACAGTAGGACGTTAAACCCCATTTCATTTCATTTCACTGGTAAGTGGATTCAGCTTGAGGGCCTTGCAAGGAACAGAGTGTAGTTGTTTGGAAGGGACAAAAAACCAAGATCATGTGAAGTCTTGATAGTTCGAATTAAAGGAGCTAAATCGCTAACATTTGGGACCTAGAAATTGACAAAAGTGGGTCGCAACGCATATAATACTGTAGTATGAATGTATATAAACTGATTTACATTCAATGGTTTCCGTTTTTACTCCAATTTCAAATCAGTTATGTTCGGCGAAATAAGCCAGCAGTCTCAAGCGAGTGCAATTTTCTAGCGTCTGGTTATTCCAGTCTACATACGCCGTTTGATTTGTTGCAATGTGTCTAGCCTCGTCCCTCGAGTCTCTTGATACAACTGGGGCTGAAGTGCATTATGGTACACGATTCGTGTACCAATGGTAAAATGTTTATTTTGTCTTAAATATTGGATATCAAAAGCCCATCTTTTCTCGGTAAGATCACAACATGAATATTGATTTGATTTGACAAATAATTCGTGTTTTCAAGATTTTGGATGATATTGAGTTAGAGACTTAGCTACTTAAAGATTAGGCCATTACACTTTCCCCTAGAACACTGCATGGGCTATGCCCGTCTCCATTAGCCCTGATGGTTCAGAAACGTAGAACGTTAAACCTCACTTCATATCATTTGTTTACAGGTTTTAGGTCAAACTGGAGACCATCGTCATCGTGTATTGGTTGCCGCAGCTAAAAATATAAAAGTTTGGTTTATTAAAGTGCGGAAGATCAAGGCTATTTATCATACACTCAACATGTTTAACCTGGACGTCACACAGAAATGTCTGATAGCCGAGTGTTGGTGTCCGTGTGCTGACCTAGATAGAATTCAACAAGCTTTACAACGGGGAACCGTAAGTAACATTTTATATAAAGACGAACCTGGAAAAATGGCTTGTCGTATTTCCAAATTATATTCATTACTATTAATTGGCTAAGAATACTTTTTGAAAGTCAACTTTATTTGATCTTTTGGTTTTTCATATGTGTATTAATCGTGATTTTTTTCCATGGATTACTTTTTGAGTTTGAAAGATTACCATCACCCAGTGTGTACTCTTTTGTTCTTGTGTTTGAAACACTGCAATCACCCAGTGTGTACTAGGCCTAAATATTTTGTTCTTGTGTTTGAAACACTGCAATCACCCAGTGCGTACTGGGCCTAATGGGATAATTCTTGTGTTTGAAACGCTGCAATCACCGAGTGTGTACTTCTTGTATTTGAAAGACCACGATCACAAAGACCTAAAGGGATTAACTTGTGTTTGAATGACTATGATCACTGAATCCTAAAGGGACTACAATCATGTGGTTTCCCCTTGTCAGTGGTTCTGGACGGGGGACCCGGCAAGGACAGCAGTTTAGTCGTTCAGATGGGAGGAAAAACCGAGGTCCCGTGCATACATGTTTGAAAGATATGATCACCCATAGTGCGATAGGTCTAAATGTATTATTCTGGGCAAAATTTCTCTCATTGCACACCCTATAGGGTGTGGCGTTCTACACTAGCCCAATCGGAGCAGAACAGTAAGACGTTAAATCCTGCTTGTTTTCATTTCATTTGATATATTTATAGGAGAGAAGTGGGGGGTGACTGGCATTAGTGTTGAAACTACTATTCGGATATCCGTTAACGGATACAAAATAAAGGGTTATCCGAATCATTTTACTATCCGTTACAGTCTTCTGACATTCCGTATGCTCTATATTTAGCCATTTTTACATCTGATTACTTTGAAATTTTCCCCAATGCTATTGATCACGTACGCAGCTTTGAGCATAAATGTTAATATCACGTGTATTATTTAGGGATAGTAACTAATAAAAATATTAATGCAGTGCAATGAAAACAGTAGTCTAAATAAAAAAATCATTCATTCCTTGCGCTGGTTTACGCTAGATAGAAGCTACTTCTTGGGTTTACGGGATACAAGTTAACACTGTGTTAAGACTTCCCACAATGAAATTTATTCATAACGACCTAGGTCACGTATATTCTCACTTACTGATTGGTTCAATAGCAGTAGATTATCAGAATGAGGCAAACAACCTTGGCGGAATAAATGTTAGATGTTTTTATTTTACTTTTTTCATTCGTGTTGATTGAGCAAAAATGATAAGTGGGAGGCCCGCGGATTACAGGAGTAGTTATACACAAATTTATTCACCTCATTGATTTTTTTGGATATAATGGATAGTCTTAATAATTGCGGCTAAAGGTAGGCACGTTTTTTTCTTCGCAACTCAAACAATTTGCAAATCGAAAGTAAGATTTCATACTCGGCATACACAGACACTCATAAACATTGAAATAAGTAAGAAATTATGAGTATATGAACTTTTGATGTGATTTTGTTCAAGAATTTCACGTTTCCGAATTATCCGAATAGTAATCGGATAGCAAACAAAAGTATTCGGATCACAAATCTCGATCCGATTTTCAACACTAACTGGCATGTGTCTCTCTTGTGTGGTAGGACTGAGATGAGATAGTTGTCTGTTAAATTAAATGATATATATAAGTAATTGTTGATGTATTTGTTGATATATAAGTAATTGTTGATATATTTGTTGATATATATAAGTAATTGTTGATGTATTTGTTGATATATATAAGTAATTGTTGATATATTTATAGGAGAGAAGTGGTAGTAGTGTACCATCTATATTAAACAGAATGTCTACAAAACAAGAACCACCAACTTATAATAGAAATAATAAATTAACAAAAGGTTTTCAGAATCTAGTTGATGCTTACGGTGTCGCTAGTTATAGAGAAATTAATCCAGGTAACTTATATACCCATGTTTGTACAGATATAAATATTAAATATTTAATTATAATAAAAATTCTTTAGGCAGGGAGGGGGAACGGCATCACTTCCTTAATAGAATATCAGAGGATGGACAGGCCAGTAGATCTGTTTAGCTGCTGATGGGGAGAGTAGGCAAGAATAGATCATTAAAAAAACAGACTTTAAAGATACATTCTTGTGAACAAACGGGGTGATTTGATGATATATTTGGCCAAAAAAAATACTAAAACTACTTAATTTATCATAAATTTGCTTTAAATCCTTCTCAAAATATTGTAATTGTCAAGGAATACCCTTGCTATAAAAAATCAATCAAAAGAGCTTGTTTGTGTCACATGATTTACAGGTGCAAAGTTGGAGGAGAATTTATTGCATACACAAGACGATGTTGTCTTCAATCGCTGACTATTTATTACAAATATCGAATCCTAATTAAATTCTCGGATTATCCACTGCCCGCGTTTTTTTCTGTGATTTTTATCTCAGAAAGTGTTATACGTCTAACTCTTCATCAATTTTATCAACATGTACATCAAGCGCTCGGTCTCCGCATGCTAATTTGACGTCACGCGTGCAGATATTCCTAATCGTCAGGTTGTCGATTAGGGGAACCCTTACATTTTTGTCCTGTATATGCTCCATGAGTGTTTCTTATGGAGTCCAGTATCTTTCTAGTAAGATTGGATATCTCTACTTTCCATATATACCAAAATTGCCATACTTTTATTGGAAATAACCACCCAATAAATACTTTTCTGGGAACCTATCATTAAGTTGAATAGACAAGTTATTCATAGCGTTTCAGGTTATAAGAGCCTTTTTCAAATGATAAATCACCCCTTTATTCCACTAAAGGTTTAACATCCAACTTAACTGCACCAACATGGCTAAGAAGATAGTTGGGGAGGGGGGTTGGATGGCCAAATTATTAGCGCGTAGGGGCAGAAAGACCGGGGGGGGGGGGGTATGCCCAAATGGTTAGCACATGCAAGTTTTATCATAATGTCTGTCATTGAGTCAACTGGCGTGGTTTTGATTTCCCGGATGTACGTGACAATGAGTAATGTGGCCTGTCCAAGCTTGTGGGTTTTCTCTGGGTCCTCTGGTTTCCTCCCACTGTTAAAGACCCCTATGTGCAAACGAATTATTGAAATAAAACTGAACCATATATTAGTCCCGAAATGAGCCAGTTTGTGTGGAGTGGACGTTTAACCCCATCTCTCTCTCTCTCTCTCTCTCTCTGTTAAGTTAACCACCATCTTCATTAGTCCATTTTGGAGTAGAACAGTAGGACGTTAAGTAAGCCCTATTTCATTTCTGTGTACCACAGATTATGATACCAGACCCCTAGTTCACAAAACATTCTCGCCTTGTTTATAAAACTTTTGTTGTTTTAATGTATCAAATACATCAATAAGAAACTATGTGCAAATTTCTGTCTTTCTGGATCAAAGATTGAATGCTTTGTGAACTCAGGCAGTGACCTGTCATCCATGCAAGTCGTGTGTTCAATCCTAGGTCTGTAAGTGACAGTACTCGAACTACTGGGTTTTCTCCCGGTACTCTGCAGTACAATATAAGACGTTAAACTCCATTTCAAAAGGATTACACTACAGTAAACTTTGCATAAGTCGGTTCTAAATGGACTGACCAAATTTATCCAAGTTACACGAAGACCTTATTCAGCTCTGAATGTAGGTCTCATTATTGCCTTGTACGTTCAGGAACCGTCCAATTGAATCCTTGTCGAAATAAAATCGGTTCCCAGTCAATTTTACTGGGCAACTTTTTACTGCTAAACGGTCGTGTGTCATTCTCTGTGAACGTCTGAACAATGTAAAGGAACATTTTATAAGAAAATAAGACCTTGCTTACCTCACTAGAGTCAGGGTCCAAACAATTTAATTCGAGTTGAGCGAAGATCCAACTTATACGAATCCGACTTATGCATGGTTTACTGTATAACTGTTCCATTGATTTTCTTATTCTAAAATATTGTATATTCAAATCTTTTCAGCTCCATTCACGATTATAACTTTCCCATTTTTATTTGCTGTGATGTTTGGTGATATGGGTCATGGTTTGATCATGTTTCTGTTTGCTCTGTGGATGGTTGTTAGAGAAAAACAACTACAAGCAAAGAAAATAGATAATGAGGTAAGATAGTCCATGTGACAGACCTCGGATTTCGGAGTATCATTACCTATTTGATGAATAAATTCAACCATGATTTTCAGTTAGCCTGGTGCCCGAAGTGTTCAAATTTGGCTGATGGACTTCCGGTTCACTTTGCTAAATGCCATTTTGGCGGCCATCTTTAAAAATGGCCGAAGTTTTTTCATTGCAATTGAGCGCGTCAAGGAAACCTTCATAACTCTTTCACAGATTGACCTATTGATATGAAATATGGCTCAAAATGTTCGCAATGACATTCTACAGCTGCTGTTATATGATACATGTTGGTGAATGAATCATATATTTTCCAAATCAACAGATTATTCTGAAAAAAGCAACGTTTTGGCATTTTTTTTCAAGATTTATTTTATAAGTTCACTACCAAATCATGTTCAGGGTAAATTTAGCCAAATTTTGTGTGTGGTCTTCTTAAGTTATTCATTTGGCATAAATAAATACGCTCAGTGACCCAGTCTGTACAGCTGCGGTGGTCGGAAACTCAACAAAAGTCTTGAGTAGACTGTCAATTTTAAAATGTTGAGCCTAACTGAAAATCATGGTTAAATTTATTCATCAAATTGGTAATGAAAATCTGTCTGTCACATGGACTAAGATAGCTGATATTTACCAAACCAATAAAATATGTTCTATTAAGTTCTAAATTGATAAAGTAATAGAAATGGATAAATAGTTTAAAGTAAAACTATATTTTATTCTTAAAGATACATTATGTAAGATTTAGATAAAGAGCTGACAGTTCTTGCTATAATAGTTCTCTATCTTTATCTCTCTCTATTGTAGCCAGGTGCCTTATGTATTTGAAAAAAGCTTTGGCATGTGATATGTGACATGTGCCTTATGTGACATGTGCCTTATTGTGCAGGCTTGTACACATTGTGTGATAATTTATGTCTGACAAGTCTACAACAGATACCTTAGTTCAGAGATGTAACTAGCTCAGAGCAACGAGGGGTCCGTGAAGTGTTCTCAGGGGGTGCTGTAAAATTGATGGACAATGTATATCGATTGTTTTTATGGTCGACAATTTTTTCACAGAGGGGGGGAGGGGGCATTTGACATTAAAATCTTGTTTTTATCTTATATTTTGATTATGTTTCAATCTGATTAAAACACAGATCCTATTTCGTTTCGTTTTTATAGTTCAAAATTTCGTTTTACTTGTCTTTACTACACTTGGATCTGGAAGAGTTGTTATTTAACTGTGTTCTGAATCAGGGAATATTTTAACCGGGTTCGTATCGCAATTTGAGACTCAAACGTCGATTTTGCGAATCAAATTCATATTTGATTAGCATTATTAGCATAAAACCCTGCTTCAGCGCGAATCAAAGTTTTGAAAATTAATTTTAACTTTAAAACCATTCAGTATCGTAAAACACATCAAAACAAATCTCAAATCTTGCAATTTTATTGTCTATATCATCAAGACTCTTTACGTGCCTCTGCAACGGTCCAGTGGAACGAGAGCAGTACATGTTGTCGTCTGCTATTTATAGACGTAAAAGGTTTTGATGATAGAGATTACAAATTACTTGCTACAACACTACATACTTTCTATATCTGTGGTAGACATTCAAAACACTACAAGATAAAATTACCGGATGATCGAGGGTACGTCGCGAAATTCAAGATGGCAAGTCAAACACATGATAATGTTCTGTCTTCAAATTCGACATTAAAATTAGCAACAGTTCAAGATTGGATGAGGAAATATGACCCAGAAAAGATCTGGCTAAGTAAATAAAGAATGTCCAGGTTTCGTACAAAGAATAACATAAAACATTCACATACTTTTTATTTTATATATAAATATAAACAACAGTTTGGTAATACAAATAATATGGGTATTGTTATTATTGTCACATAATTATGTGAAATAAGAATTCTATAACATACTAAAAAACTGCTAATCAATTGGTAAATTTTGCTACTCAATTATACAATTGATTAGCATTCTTACACAATTTTTCTGGAAACTGTAATCAAATGTAAAAAAGTAAAATATTCCCTGTTCTGAATGGTGTTGGGGATAAGCCAATGAAACGGTCTGTTACGGCGAGCTTTAGGCGTGTTTTTCACGGAACTGTGGGTAATCCACTAGTAACATCAATTCTAATTGGTTAATAAATGTCTGACGTCATAGGGTCATAAGTCGGTCTTTTGACCCCTGACGTGACCTATGGCTATAACTTGTCAGATCTTCATGTAGTGTAGGCCATCGATAGTATAAAAAAAACAAAACGAAATATAGATCTGTGTTTTAATCAGATCGGATTATGTTTATACTGTGATTTTATTTCAGATCTGGACAACATTTTTTGGTGGTCGTTATATAATATTATTAATGGGAGCGTTTTCTATGTACACTGGCTTTATTTATAACGACATCTTTTCCAAATCACTCAATTTATTTGGTTGTCAGTGGCACGCTACAAAACAGTACGTAACAATTTATTTTTCATTTTTTGTATGGGTACTCCAGGAGGGGACGGGGGAGGGCCTCGATTGTCAGACCAGAAGATACAAAACCCTAAACCCTATTAGCTGTTTCCCACTTTCAACTGCAGGTGGCGTGGTTTAGATATCACTATTATTATAATGTAGCACTAATAATTGTAACGAAGATTGCATGCACTTAAAGGCTCAATACTACTCTTGTTGTAACTGAATAATATGTCCCAATCTTTATTCTGGTCAACAAATTGTACTATTTTACAATATTCCAATTAATTGATGATACAAATTTTATCTTAACACATCTAATTTAAAAAATTGGAAAAATTCAACTAAATGATCTGAAAAGCCTAACGTAAACCTTTTCAAATGTGATTTGGATTTAAAAATATTTTCGAACCCTCTGGACAAGTAAAATAAGATGTAATGGATAATTTACACAACAGGTAGGACACTAACGCATCTAGTACTTAGAATAAGGCTATTATTTATTTTCTGGAGCTGTCAAGCCAGCAAGAGTGTTATTGTCCCTTTAACAGACAATATTATTCTCATATTACACTGTATGACGTGGTGATTTATGTATTTATTTTTATAATAGTGAATATACAGAGGCCGTATTAAATCACGGGAAATTATTCCAGTTAAACCCGAATGGTTCATACTATGGATCACCATATCCACTAGGTCTAGATCCGGTAAGTAAACTAACTCCATTAAAGGTTTGATGAATCATTTAACGATATCGAAAATTTTGCCCAGACAGCGGCACTACGGGAACTGGGTTTGTCGTCTTATCCGAACGACTAGACAGTTGTCCTTGTCTGGCCCTCCGTCCTGCATCACTAACAAGGGAGAACCACGCCGGAAAATCTGGATGAACTTTCTCAGCCAATAAACAGATTGAACACCCGACCTCCAGGCTAGCGAGCCAGCGTCTTAACCACTTAGCCACCGCGACCCCCCCATAAAGTTATGATTAATTGAAATTTCATTGATATATACTGCTCCTCTATGTAACAATACACTACCATCTTTTAATGGTAGCGGATGCAGGACGGAGGGCCTAGTTTAAATTCAATTGAATCCAAGCCGAGACATTATGTAGCGTTGGTATTTTGACAGTTTGAATTTGAAATAATAGATTTTAGTATCACCGCTGTTTGTCAATTTTTCTTTAATAGAATACTGCCTATCTTTATATTAGTGGCCAAATGGTTACAACATGCGCGTTGTATCATTAGGTCTGTAATTGAGTCAACTGGCATGGTTTCGATTCCCTGGTTGCCTATCCAACCTCGTGGGTTTTTCTTCGTTTTCCTCCCACTGCTAAAGACCCCTACGCACAAGTGAATTATTGAAATAAAATTGAACCTTATGTTAGTCCAGAAATTACTTAGTTGGTTCGACCCTCTCTCTCTCAGTACAGGAAAGTAGTACATTAAACATGAATTTCATATCTTGTTATAAAAGATGATGTATTTTGTATTTTTGTAGATTTGGTCTGTAGCTGTCAATAAAATAGCTTTTACTAATTCTCTTAAGATGAAGACCTCCATTATACTTGGAGTGTCTCAGATGTTTTTTGGCGTCTCTTTAAGCTTACTTAATCACAGGTATGATTTGTTGCCATGGTGAAATGAAATGAAATGGGGTTTAACGTCATACTGTGTTGCTCCGAACTGGGCTAATGAAGACGGGCATACGCCATACAGTGTTCTATGAGGGAAATTTTGCCCGGACAGCGGCACTACGGCCTACTCTTATATTAAATTCCAACTGCCAAGGGATCTTTTACGTGCATGCCAATGTGTACACGGGACCTCGGTTTTTCGTCTCATCCGAATGACTAGACAGCTGTTCTTGTCAGGCCCTCCGTCCTGCATCACTGACAAGGGGGAACCACGCCGGAAAATCTGGATGAACTTTCTCGGCCAATGCAGGGATCAAACACTCGACCTCCAGGATAGTGATCCAGCGCCTTAGCCACCGTGATCCCCTGTTGCCATGGTAATTTTGTCCTTGATAAAGTGTTAGGCCGAATGGTTTAACATCATAAGGTCTGTCATTGCGTGGCATGGTTTTGATTCCCAGCTTGTACATGTCACCTGTCCAACTTGTCACACATTATCATACATTTATATTATAATAAGGGGGGTTGGATGGATGGCCGAATGGCTAGCACTGTATCATAATTTCTGTCATTGAGTCAACTGGCATGGTTTCGATTCCCTGGTTGTACATGACAAAATAGGGTCGTCTGTCTAACCTCGTGGGTTTTCACCGAGTCCTCCGGTTTCCTCCCACAGCTAAAGACCCCTATGTACAAGCAAAGTATTGAAATGAAATTGAACTATATGCTAGTCTCAAAATGACCTAGTGATCTTAAGTGCACACCCTTTCCCTATCTGTTTACAAAAAAGAAATGATTTTGAAGGAAGGATTGTACATTTGTTTTTTAAGCAAAGAGTTACAGACCAATGTGCAAGCGAATTATTGAAATGAAATAGTACCATATGTTAGTCCCGAAAGGCCCTAGACTCTCTCTCTCTCTCTCATTTTAATTGAATGTGTATTTTGTCAAATTTCAGATATTTTAAGAATCCATTGAATATATTTTGTGAGTTTATACCACAAGTAATTTTCCTCTTCTGTATGTTCGGTTATCTCTGTATCCTGGTTTTCCATAAATGGGTGAATTACACGTCTGCTGAAGCTGGCACTGCTCCGAGTTTATTAATAGGTAAGCATCAGATTTTTTATAAACTGATATTTTTTAATTAAAGATGCATTATGTAAGATTTAGACAAAGAGTTCACTGTTCTTGCTATAATAGATCGCCTGTCCAACTTCGTGGGTTTTCTCCTGGTCTTCCAGTTTCCTCCCACTGCTAAAGACCCCTACATGCAAGCGAATTATGGAAATAAAATTAAACCATGTGTTAGTCCCGAAATGACCTAGTTTGTGTCGAGAGGACGTTAAACCACATCTCATCTCTCTCTTTCTATAATAGAATGTAAGAATTAGAGATGACCATTCTTGCTATAATATTTTTATTAAAGATATAGAATGTAAGAATTAGAGATGACCATTCTTGCTATAATACTCTTATATTAACAAAGCAGTATGTAAGAATTAGAGATGACCATTCTTACTATAATATATATATTAACGATGCGTTATGTAAGATTAAGATAAAGAGTTGACCATTCTTGCTATAATAGTTATATTAACGATGTGTTATGTAAGATTTAGATAAAGAGCTGATAGTTCTTGCTATAATATTTATATTAATAATAATAGTAATAATAAATAATAATTGATTTATATAGCGCCAACAATTCAACTCCATGAGTTTCTCTTGGGCGCTTTACATAGGTAAAACTAATATAAAATTACAACAATCACAACACATTAATCCATAAAAAAAAGACATAAACAAAAAACAGAGAACATTATTTAGTACACGTGGTAAAATCCAACACAAACACAGCTAGAACCATATTCAATCAGTTGTATATTTGATTAAAAAGTTTGGTTTTGAGATACTTTTTAAAACCTTTAATAGATGCATTATGTAAAGCAAGATAAAGAGCTGACAGTTATTGTTATAATAGTTTAAATATATTTAACATTTCAGTCAAATTACGTTATTCTGACCAAAGTTATGAATATGTTTTGTCATGTGAATAAATCTTTAAATCTAGTGGTTGATTAAATCCATGTAAATCTCAGCCATCCGATGCTCTAGAGAGTGGATTATGGTTTTGTTATGTTAATAAATGCGTAATTAATAATTTATATAAAATTTGAAACCAAAACAAAGATCTGTGATAGACAGATTTATATAAATAGATGTTGATTAATAGGTAGGCACCACAGTTTAAAAAAAACGTATAATTATGGTAATAGTATAAATTGATTATTTTTAGGGATGATGCCGTATAAATTGATTATTTTAGGGATGATGCGGTGTAAATTGATTATTTTTAGGATGATGCAGTATAATTTGATTATTTTTAGGGATAAAGCTGTATAAATTGATTATTTTAGGGATAAAGCTGTATAAATTGATTATTTTAGGGATGATGCGGTGTAAATTGATTATTTTTAGGGATAAAGCTGTATAAATTGATTATTTTAGGGATGAAGCTGTATAAATTGATTATTTTAGGGATAAAGCTGTATAAATTGATTATTTTTAGGGATAAAGCTGTATAAATTGATTATTTTAGGGATAAAGCTGTATAAATTGATTATTTTAGGGATGATGCGGTGTAAATTGATTATTTTTAGGGATGATGCAGTATAAATTGATTAATTTTAGGGATGATGCAGTATAAATTGATTAATTTTAGGGATGATGCTGTATAAACATTATTATTTTAGGGATAAAGCTGTATAAATTGATTAATTTTAGGGATGATGCAGTATAAATTGATTATTTTAGGGATGATGCAGTATAAATTGATTATTTTTAGGGATGATGCGGTGTAAATTGATTATTTTTAGGGATGATGCAGTATAAATTGATTAATTTTAGGGATAAAGCTGTATAAATTGATTATTTTAGGGATGATGCAGTATAATTTAATTGTTTATATTTTAGGGGCCATCAATATGTTTCTGTTTCACTATCCAGTACCTAAAGATGGTCAGATAGGAGTTTCTGATGGACAGGTTAGTTTACTGAATTCGTTTTTACTCTGAGTAGCATGAGAGGGGCTCTCTTGCCCCCATTGAGAGTGCCCAGGACAATCTGAATATAGACCGAGAAGAATTTCATGATAGTCCAGTCCCCACTTCGTCAGGCTGACAAATTAACATTTTGATGGACAAAATTTCTCTCTAGGTATGGTGTATACTCGTCTTCATTAGCTCAGTTGGAAATGACATAATAAAATGAAATGGGGTTTAACATCCTATAGGGCAAATAAAGACCGGCGTACGCCATGCAGTGTGCTATGGGGGAAATTTTTCCCAGACAGCAGTGCTATGCCTGCTCTTATTTCTAATTTCAACTGTCAAGGGTTTTGTGACGTGCACACCAATGTGTACACAGGACCTTCTTGTGCTTTTGCCCATCCTAATAACTATACGCAGCCCAGTTGGAGCAGACCAGTTGGAACTTTAACCCCATTTTATTCATTTATACCCCATTGCATTCCTTGCCCATTGACAAAAGCATTCTGTTGACAAAATGGTTAATACTCCAATGTTTTCATTTATAATAAAATAACCACATGTTAGTCTCAATATAAACATATGTTAGTCTCAATATAACCACATGGTAGTCTCAATATAAACATATGTTAGTCTCAATATAACCATATGTTAGTCTCAAAATAACCATATGTTAGTCACAAAATAACCACATGTTAGTCTCAAAATAACCATATGTTAGTCTCAAAATAACCACATGTTAGTCCCAGAATAACCATATGTTAGTCTCAAAATAACCACTTGTTAGTCTCAAAATAACCATATGTTAGTCTCAAAATAACCACATGATAATCTCAAAATAACCACATGTTAGTCTCAAAATAACCACATGATAGTCTCAAAATAACCACATGTTAGTCTCAAAATAACCACATGTTAGTCCCAAAATAACCATATGTTAGTCTCAAAATAGCCATATGTTGGTCTCAAAATGACCATATGTTAGTATCAAAATAACCATGTTAGTCTCAAAATAACCACATGTTAGTCTCAGTATAACCACATGTTAGTCTCAAAATAACCATGTGTTAGTCTCAGTATAACCAAATGATTGTGTTGACAAGTGTTTTTATTTATAATAACCAACCGTTGATATATGTGTGTTTATATTTACAGAAAGGTTTTCAGGGATTCCTGGTTGTTGTTGCTGTTCTATGTGTTCCGTGGATGTTGTTCGCTAAACCCTTCTTATTACGATATCAACAAAGATACGGACAGGTAATTATTATTATTTATACGCTCGGTCTGTAGATTATAACTATCAGGAGTGCTTCGTCCCGCTTGGCTAACGTGAAATGCGGCCCCCTCTTCAGACTGTTCAGCAGTAGCTTAATAGTTGCACAGTTGTGCAGGACAATTGCTGGCAGGACAGTTGCCGACAGGACAATTGCCGACAGAACAACTACTGGCAGGACAATTGTCGACCATATTGTTTGCTTTATGTTCTTTCTTCTTTTTTTCTTTACCATGATAAATTAAAGATAACCAATAAATGTTTCGATATCTGATTATTCATGTAATACAGGCACTAATTATTAATATATACTAATGTCAAAAAAAAAGTATACACTGTGTATTTTGTGCTGCATCAACCAAAGTCATTTTTCCATGGTATACGGTATTTTGGTAGAATGCAATTAGAATAGTTCATTATTATTGAAATTAGGTTAAATATTATGTCTGCCTTGTTAGTTCATTCAAATTATGAGAGAACGAAATATAAAAAATTGGTCAAAGTTTGACCAAGCCTTAGATCTGTATCATTTGATATTTGATATAATATGTTGTGGCTTTCCCGTTTTCCGTTTTTATATCTTCTGTTGTGAATCGTCTGATCCTCACCATCTTGTGTTCGTTTTTCTTTGAAAGAGATGTATCTTGGTAGCAAACCCTCGATATCCAAATTTACCAATTATATTTGTCCCCCGCCTTTCGAAGAAAGCAGGGGACTATTAAAATGGGTTCGTCCGTCTGTCTGTCTGTCCGTCTGTCTGTCCCTCACACTTTTTGGGACACAATAACTCTCTTCCTAATTGAGCTAGAATGTTCAAACTTGGTGTATGTGTTTATTAGGTCAATGCCTTGATGGAGTTCGAAGATGAGCATTTTCCGCTTAGGTAAGCAGAGATAAGCAATTTGATTGGTTGATGCTTTGGGACACGATAACTCTCTTCCTAATTGGGCTAGAATGTTCAAACTTGGTGTATGTGTTGATTAGGTCAATGCCTTGATGGAGTTCGAAGATGAGCATTTTTATATCAAAAAAATTTTGTCCCCCGCCTTTCTAAGAAAGCAGTGGACTATTAAAATGGGTTCGTCCACCTGTCTGTCTGTCCCTCTGTCCGTCACACTTTTTGGGACATAATAACTGTCTTTCTAATTGAGATAGAATGTTCAAACTTGGTGTAGGTGTTTATTAGGTCAATACTTTGATGGAGTTCGAAGATGAGCATATTCTGCTTAGGGTAAGCAGAGATGAGCAATTTGATTGGTTGATGCTTTGGGACATGATAACTTTTGTTCTAATTAAGTGAGAGTGATGAAACTTGGTGTATAGTTTCATTACATCAATACCTTGACTAAGTTCGATAATGAGCATTTTCTGCTCAGGGTAAGCAGAGCGATAAGCAATTTGATTGGCCGAGATTTTAGAACGCAATAACTCTCCTAATTGAGCTAGAATGTTCAAACTTGGTGTACGTGTTTATTAGGTCAATGCCTTGATGGAGTTAAAGATGAGCATTTTCTGCTGAGGGTAAGCAGAGATAAGCAATTTGAATGGTTGATGCTTTGGGACACGATAACTATAGTTATAATTAAGTGAGAGTGAGGACACTTGGTGTATAGCTTTATTACATCAATGCTAGGGCCTTGAAACTCCGAATATAGATTCATTATATCATTACCTTCAGTAAGTTCGATGGTGCAAATTTTCTGCTGAGGCTAAGGAGCGATAAGCAATTTGATTGCAATTTGAATGATTAACATTTCGAGCTAAAGCGAAGCAGAGCTAATTAATTTCATTTGTCGATGCTTTGGGACAAGATAATCTTGATTCTATCTGATAGAAAGTGATGAAACTTAGTGTATAGTTTGTTTGCCTGATGCTTTTGATAAAAGTAAATGTAAGATTAATTAATATGCGTCATCTATTTATTTTGGGATTTCGGCGGGGGACATCAGCCTCACTGTTGGCTTGTTTATATTTAGTTTTACCCATCCCATATCAATCTGGTTAAAACACAGATCCTATTTCGTTTCGTTTTTATAGTTCAAAATTTTGTTTTATTTGTCTTTACTTCACTTGGATCTGGAAGAGTTGTTATTTAACTCGTGTTCTGAATAGTGTCAGGGATAAGCCAATGAAACGGTCTGTTATGGCAAGCTTTAGGCATGTTTTTCACGGAACTGTGGGTAATCCACCAGTAACATCAATGCTGATTGATTAATCAAATGTCTGACGTCATAGGTCATAAGTCGATCTTTTGACCCCTGACGTGACCTATCGCTATAACTTGTCAGATGTTCATGTAGTGTAGGCCATCGAAAGTATAAAAAAACGAAACGAAATATAGATCTGTGTTTTAATCAAATTGCCATCTTTTGTAGCCTCTGTAGACTTTTCTGTTTTACTGTATTTCTTTATTTAGAGAACAGCAGCGCACCTGATACAAAAGGGATTGTGTGGGGTTACTGATAAACGCTTAATACTAAGGACTGTCATCCTTGCGGTCGTGGGTTCAGTTATTGAAATCATATGCTGATCTACGCTTAATACTACAGACTGTCATCCCTGCAGTCATGGGTCCAGTTAATGAAATAACATGCTGATCTATGCTTAATACAACGGACTGTCATCTCTGCAGTCGCAGGTTCAGTTATTAAAATAACATGCTGGGTTTTTTTTTTATAAGCAATATTTTATTCAGATTTGTATCTGAATAGGGATTGGGAAACAGGCATAGCCTATATTATTCCCACGATTTTGTTCGTGGGTCTGGGTGACCAAGTGGTCTAACATGTGCGCTTTAGATCCTTAGGTCTGACATTAATTCAAGTGGCGTGTACTCGATCCCACACTTGTACGTGTAAAGGAGTAGGGTCACCTAACTAACCTTGTGGGTTCCTCCTACTACTGACCCCTATGCCTTGAACCATGTGTTGCATGGACGTTAAATCTCAGTTCTCTCTCATGCGTGTGTGTGACCAAGTGGTCTAATACCTGTATGCCTACATCAATGCCAGTAATGTGTTTTTTCCGCCTCAATTTCCCCTTCTCCGCCTCATTCCCTCCTTTGTACAAGCCCCTGGCTAACTTTATCTACATTCCATGTTGTGCCGTCCAAATGCTTTATTAAAATATGTTAATTCTCAATCTCATTCTGTCTGTTAATATATTCTTATCAGTTTCTTACTTAGACTTCGTTATGGACAATATGACAGTTTAAAATGCTGAAATTTTTTCAAATAAATTGTTAATATAAAGTCTGCAGTTGAATGGGGATTATCCCTATTTAATGATTTAGAATTTGGTTTATGTAAATAAGGACTACTCTCTTTCCATGATCAAAAATAGAGAAATGTGATACAAATATATCCCTGGATAGTCCCAGAAGCCTTCTGAATACAGTTTCCTGGAACTAGACAGCCCCAAGTCATGTGATTAACTTCCATATTGTAGGACTGTATACTAGTCTACGTTACGCGGATGGTTTCAGACACTAAGGAAATGAAAATGAAATAGGGTTTAACGTCCTACTGTTCTGCACTGATTTGGCTAATGAAGTTTGCTATGCAGTGCGCTATAAGGAAAATTTTGCCCGGACACCGGTGCTACGACCTACTCTTATATCGAATTCCAACTGCCAAGGGATCTTTAACATAAACGTCAATGTGTACACGGAACCCCGATTGACTATACAACCCTCGATCCTGCACCACTGACAAGGGGAAACCAGGCTAGAGAATCCCGATGATTTTTTTGGGCCATCGCAGATGAGCGAGCCGACATCCTACTCACTGAGCCACTGTGGCTTGCTGACGCACTAAGGAACACTCACGACACGATCCAAGTACTAAAGAGGTTAAGATAAAAGAAATAAGGGTTCAAAGCCGTGTAATTTGGGTAATTTTAAAACCAAAAGATTTGTTTTTGGTAAGATCACTTTTTACTGAGATTTCGTCTAATGGTTAGGATGCAGCTATAGCGGGTGTGGCGCCAGGCAGGGTTAACTTACTCTTTCGGGCACCTGTTACCACTGTTCGCCATGTATTTTGTACACGGTGAACAGTCCATTTGCTGATTACACTATTTTGCCTATACCGTTTTTTTAGGACTTCTATTTTGTCTAATGGTTTGGATTCTTCGTACTTGGTTTTATTTTATTTAAAATTGTGCCTCATCTTAAACTCGACACAAGTCGTTAATAAATTCTCCTCTCTTATTAAAACTTTACAGAAACGACGAAAGTTTGATGTGTTGCTAGGCGATATTAACGGTGAATCAGAAGTCGCTTACGCTTCACCACATGCTCGTTATACCGAGACTGATATTCAGGTACACACTGATCACAATTTATAATTGGTTCTGGGAATGTGATTGGTTGACTTCCAAATTAACTTGGGATTTGGTCCTTCAATGACCTTATTTGGTTTCTGGGAATGTGATTGGCTCTCAATCTACCTTATTTGGTTTCTGGGAATGTGATTGGCTCTCAATCTACCTTATTTGGTTCTGGGAATGTGATTGGCTATCAATCAACCTTATTTGGTTCTGGGAATGTGATTGGCTATCAATCAACCTTATTTGGTTCTGGGAATGTGATTTGGCTGTCAGAAGTACCTTATTTAGTTCTGGGAATGTGATTGGCTGTCCATCAATCTTATTTGGTTCTGGGAATGTGATTGGCTGTCAGAAGCACCTTATTTGGTTCTGGGAATGTGATTGGCTCTCTAAAGTACCTTATTTAAGATTCCGGGAATGTGATTGGCTCTCAAACTACCATGTTTGGTCCAAGGAATGTAATTAAATGTTTGGATTCTTGCCCAGAACACGAATATAATTGGTCGTGGCTCATCAGTTTTGGTTTCAGGTCCAAGTTAGATTTCGTAGACTAGATCTGACATGATCACCATGGAAACAAATGACATGAAATTTTTCCAGTATCTGAAATACCTGTTGACTTTAATTTCATGTTTTGTTCTTGTTTACCTTTTTCTTTATGTGTTCGTCATTTATGTCACAGTCATCAAGACGTCTATTTCAAACAAATAATGACATGAAATGAAATAGGGTTTAATGCCCTACTGTTCTGCTCCGACTGAGCTAATGGAGACGTGCATATGCCGTACAGTGTGCTATGAGGAATATTTTGACCGGACAGGGGTGCTATGGCCTACTCTTATATTGAATCCAAATTGTAATGGGATCTTTTACGTGCCTGCCAATGTGTACACAGGCCCTTGTTTTTCGTCCCATCCTAAGGACTAGACAGCTGTCAGGATCTCCGTCCTGCCATTTAGTTACTATCAGGTCTGGTAATCATAGACATTATCAGGCCCAACAAATTCAAGCTTTTTTCATCACTATTCCTCTCATGCCTGTCATTTTCTCTGGCACAGATTTCTCTTTTTGCACAGGGGGGTGGGGGGTGGATGGCCGAATGGTTAGCATGTGCTCGCTGTATCATAAGGTCTGTCATTGAGTCAACTGGAGTAGTTTCGAATCCCTGGTTGTGCTTGACAAGGAGTAGGGTCCTCCGGTTTCCGTCCACTGCTAAATAGGCACATGCGAATTATTGAAATAAAATTGAACCATGTGTTAGTCCCGAAATGACCTAGTTTGTGTCGAGTGGACGTTAAACCCCATTTCTCTCTCGATTTGCACATGAGTAAGGTCACAGGTTCGATCCCAGTGTTGGCCACGAAAGTTAATCAAGATTTTCCGGTGTGATAGTGATGCAGGACGGAAGGCCTGACCAGGACAGCTGTCTAGCCGTTCAGATGGGATGAAAAACCGAGGAACCATGTACACATTGGTGCATTACAGTCCGGGCAAAATTTCCCTGATAGCACACTGAATGGTGTATGCCCATCTTCATTAGCACAGGCGGAGCAGAACAGTAGGACCTTGACCCTGTTTCTTTTCATTTTCAGTTTCCTTTTTGCACTGGTTTTAATGATATTTATAAAACATTTCCCACACAAATTTAAAAATATCAGCTCTCTCTCTCTCTCTCTCTCTCTCTCTCTCTCTTTCTCTCAGTATAATATGTTCTCCATGATTGTTTATTGTTGTTGGCTATTCTTCCATTTGTTTATTTTCAGGAATGTTTATCTTAAACAGCACAATTTTTTATAACTATCTCTCTATAGCTGTTCTAAATGTCCGGAAATAACTATTTTTTATATCTATCTGTTTTTGGTTGTCAATGTCGGGAAATAACAAATAACTATTTTTTATATCTACCTCTTCGGCTCCACTGAATATCGGCAAATTATTTATATATCTTTTGGATTTGTCAATGCCAGGAAATAACCAATTTTGTTTAAGTTCTTTGAGACAAGTTTTAGTCTGTTCAAGCTCATTGTTTAATATATGGTGTCATTTGAAAATAATGAAACTTGATTTGTTTTCTTATCTCCCATGAAGTATTTACTATCTACTACAATAATAAATCAATGTTCAAAAATAGATAAACAGTAATAAGAAAGATATATCAATTTAAAACCATTTATAATTTGAAATACTTATAATTCAAGATATTTATAATTCAAGATACTTATAATTCAAGATACTTATAATTCAAGATACTTATAATTCGAGATACTTATAATTCAAGATACTTATAATTTAAGATACTTATAATTTGAGATACTTATAATTGAAGATACTTACAATTAAACTATCTATGTTTAGAAACCTAAGAATGTGCCGAAATTGTTTAGAATATTCAAATAGCAATAATGTAAAGACTTAAAATATTCAAATAGCTATCTTGTAAAGGGGTACAGGATGTTTAGGATATACAGGGGTACTGGATGTTTAGGGTATTTAGGGGTATACAGGGGTACTGGATGTTTTGGGTATACAGGGGTACAGGATGTTTTGGGTATAAAGGATGTTGATATCTCGGTGGAATTGTTTGTTTATAAATCTTGTATTTCTGTTCCTAGTTTAAACATCAACATCTGTCAGTGAACAGCGGAGATCTCGTAAACCATTCAGATCCAGAAGCAGAAGTCACGCATCATAATGATGTCGGCGGTACTCACCACGTAGAGGAGGAAGAAGAGAAGGTGATTATCTCCCCTTTGAGAGAATCAGGGGTCCGCTCGATTGACTTGTTACAATTGATTGAATGATTGTTATTATTTTACTTTATAAATCTGATTGCAGTTCCGAACATAATATATCGAGCGGGCCCCTAAAATTCTCTTAAATTATTGTAAACTATTACTTACCAATAGGGGGACATAGATCTTGGACAAGTTTTTGTATGACTCAAATTGTGGCAAACCACTTTACCACTCGCGATGACCAAAACAGAAATAGTGTAACTGCAAGAGATATAACGGTAAATTATGACAATTTGCCTTCTGAAATTATTGAGTTGCATCTGTAACCTTGGTAAGTATTTGGACATGGTTGCCCAGACAGTTTGTTACAAGGATGCTGTTTCAAAATTTTTAGTTGGGGTTAATAGAGTCCTGAATTGGGTCTCGATAAAAATCGTTGTCAACTTCAGAAAATAGGGTCCATAAGCTTCCATTGCCATGGGAACTGAAAGTACGTATGTCTAAAAAAGGACCACGGAGATTTGGTATAGTAGCACAGAACTAGGATAAAAGTTTGTAAGACTTGTTCAACCAGTTTTAGCCACTAAGATATATCTGATATGTACATGTATCCTTTAATTGATTGATAAACATTCCTGACCTGTGACCCTTGACCCCTGACCCTAGTTTGTTGCCTTTGTTTTGTTATCGTGACTGTATATTGGTATATATGTATTATAGATCGTTAAGCTAAGCATGATTTTATGTTGCTACATTTTGTTTGCTTCATCTCCTGTTTAATGCTGTTTTTACGAATTTAACAAGGTTCGCACACTCCTTGAAAATCCTGGAAAAATGATAATGTTATTTCCAGTACTGGGAAATCCTGGAAAAACAAGATTACTCCTTGTAACTCCTGGAAAAACAAGATTACTCCTTGTAACTCCTGGAAAAACAAGATTACTCCTTGTAACTCCTGGAAAATTAACTTTTGTGGTTTCGCTATATATTTTAAGATATAAAACTGAACGTAGTCATCGAATGTTTCTTCAAAAGTTCACGAGTTTGTTGCCGTAAATGTTCATCAAGCGTAAAATATATATATTATGATGTAGAATTTTATACATTGACTCCTGGAATCTGGTAAAACTCTCCTAGATCGTGATGCATGTGCTTTAGTTTGATCAAATGCCTTAAAGGCTCAATACCACTCTTGTTGTAACAATAATATGTCCTAATCTTTATTCTGGTCAACAAATTGTACTATTTTACAGTATTCCAATTAATTGATGATACAAATTTCATCTTAACACACCTAATTTAAAAAATTGGAAAAATTAAACTAAATGATTTGAAAAGTCTAACGTAAACTTTTTCAAATGTGACTTGGATTTTAAAATATTTTCGAACCCTCTGGACAAGTAAAATAGGATGTAATGGATAATTTACACAACAGGTAGGACACTTAAACATCATGTGGTATATATAGACATACCTGGTTATTGACATAGCTGTACCTGGTTATAGACACACCTGGTTATTGACATACCTGTACCTGGTTATAGACACACCTGGTTATTGACATACCTGTACCTGGTTATAGACATACCTGTACCTGGTTATTGACATACGGCTGTTTATATTTCCTGTTTCTGTTTCTAATTATATTGTCTTTGATTATCCAGGTATTTGATTTCCCTGAAGTCATGATCAACCAGTCTATTCATACTATTGAATATTGTCTTGGCTGTATCTCACACACAGCTTCCTATCTACGACTGTGGGCTCTCAGTCTTGCTCATGCACGTAAGTTCGTTAAACTTCTTTATTAATCTATTACACAGTCTCATTAGACTGTGGGCTATCAGTCTCGCTCATTATGTGACAAGGAGTAGGGTCGCCTGTCCAACCTCGTGGGTTTTCTCAGGGTCCTCCGGTTTCCTCCCACGACTAAAGACCCCTACGCGCAAGCCAATTATTGAAATAAAATTGAACCATATGTTAGTCCCGAAATGACCTACTTTGTGTCGAATGGACGTTAAACCCCATTTCTCTCTCTCTCAGTTTGTTATTATATATCGCTTTCACTAAATGCCCTTATATATACCCATATATACCCATATATACCCATATCGTTTCATTCAGAATTTTATATTTTCACAGAATTATCAGAAGTTTTATGGACGATGGTGATGAGGATTGGGCTAGGATTTTCAGGCTTCGTGGCACCGTTTGCAATAGTTATAATATTCGCATTTTGGGCGTGTCTGACGGTCGTTATCTTGGTTCTGATGGAGGGACTCTCAGCTTTTCTCCATGCTCTGCGTCTTCACTGGTAAGATTATAAACTTATTTTTGTTGTCTCCATGGAAATGGTGTGTTGTATATAGATATTGCCTGGATAATCAGGGCAAGTCATAGAATTCGAAAGTTGCCTCAGTTAACCAGACATGGCAAGGTGGGTGGCTGAATAGTTTGATGCGTGTGCTTTAGATCAAAAGGTCTGCTATTGAGTTAAGTGCCGTGGCGTTGTTTCACAGCTTGTATTTGATAAGCAGTAGGGTTGCCTGTTCAACCCCGTGGGTTTTCTTCAAGTTCTCCTTCTTAAGAACTATCTGCTCTACTTAGAGAATAGATCTCTGTTCTAAATGGCCGCCATATTCAACAGTTAGCATACTGTTTTGTAATGTAGCCCTACTCCGGTTTACATCTGTTATACACAAAAAGGACTAATTCAACCTTTTCAATTTAATTAAATGAAAGAAGAATATATTATACTTCTCAAAATTCTTGAAGTATACTTAGTGTTTTCAACTTACGACTTAAAATGTCAGTCGACTAGCTTAATGTCTGTTCTCAAGCGAAGCTCCAACCTCCCAGGTTTTCTCTGGGATCTTCTAAAGATCGCCTGCGTGCAAGCGAATTATTGAAATAAAATTGAACCATATGTTAGTCCTGAAATGATCTAGTTTGTGTCGAGTGGACGTTAAACCTCATTTCTCTCTCTCTCTCTCTCTCTCTCTCTCTCTAACGGAGCTAACTGTTGACCCCTTGGCTTGTTATTATTAATTCTATATTTTATTTTGCAGGGTTGAATTTCAGAGTAAATTCTACAAAGGTGAAGGCTACATGTTCCAACCATTCTCATTTGAAGATATTCTCGATCATGGTGGAGAAGAAAAATAGAATCTTAGGTCTGATTTTATTAGTGGTTCAGAAACAGGGTCTATCAAACATTTTATTTTTCATCTGAAGTTTTACTCAAAATTCATTGGCTTTAAAAAGTGATGAACTGAAAATAACCATAATAGAATAACTTCAGTATATATTCCATTAAACATACACAGAACGAATATATTCTATGAAATATTGTTTAATACTAAGCAAAGTTTGGATTTGGATCTTCTATTAAACATACGCAGTACACAATTCTATGGAATTCATATTGATGTTATTCTATACTGTCTAACTTTGTGGGTTTTCTCCGGGTCCTCCGGTTTTATCCCACTGCAAGCCGATTACTGAAATAAAATTGAACCATATGTTAGTCCCAAAATGACCTAGTTTGTGTTGAGTGGACGTTAAACCCTATTTAGAGAATTTACCAGACTGTTAATGTTGATTGCATGATCTTGATAAACATCTCTAGTTTAGAATTTATCAGACTATTACTGTAGATTGCATGATCTCGGCCTCTAATGATTTAAATGGTATCGCGTGCACAATAACAGCCCTCTAAATTCTAAACAGGACTTGTTTATCACCTAAATGTTCAATATTGAAATTTCAATTAGAAAAATTAGTTTTAATTTATGAAAAAGAAATATTGCAAGGTGAGTGACTAGGAAAATGTTTATCGTCTAAATGTTCAATATTGAAATTACAATTAGAAAATTAATTTTAATTTATGAAAGAGAAATTATGGGTGTTTGAGTGATTAGGCTTTAAAATACAGATGTGACGTCAGCCTTTGATGTTAGCGTAACATTATTTCAAATAATGGTACGGGCAACCTGCTAATCGCACATTATTTATACTAGATGAAATATTGGACTCACGTGACGTATTTCATTCCAAAGCACGTGCAAGTGTCTGTATTTTTTGTTGTTTAATGGTCTCGAGCTAAAGACATTGTGTAATATATTGAAACAACACTCAGGCAGTATCAATACATTACTTAATATATCGCTCTCGACCATTAAACCGAACATAACAAACCTCTATTTATATGGCATTATTAAAAGCTCATTTCATTATTCGTTAATATTCAATACACAATGATTTAATACCGTTCATAATAAAACCGGTTCTCTTTTGGTTTAGCGATTGTGAGCTCAGAACATTCTGAAATGACAGAATTTCAATCAACATAGTTCTATTAGTTCCAATAACGGATGTGTCTTGGGAGTAGAATCATGAAATTATCAAACCCAAAAACATGTTCCAGCTGTCATGATGTTTTGAGATATTATAAGTCGGCACATGTTCTACACACGATTGTTCTTTGGATCGAGAGAATTTTATACCTGATAGATTCATTATAGTATCTCCTAAGAAAAGCGGAATCCCTACTTTAATTTAATTATGTCATGTTTTACTAACGTTATAGTTAATACTATCATCTTCTGCACATTCATTTGAATGATCTATATCATTAATCACGTAATATTAAATAAACATTCGATTTCATTCATGTCTTCAACTTACTTTGTATATTCATGGTAGTAATGTAAACCTCAAAATGAATATACGGCAACATTTCTACATAAACATTTCCATTTCTCATTGACATGTCGTGCTATTATTATAATTATTATTATATGATACTCTTAGACAACAAGCTGACTGATTAGTCTGCTATAGATTCGAAAATTTAATATTTCTTCATGAATGCTTCACTGTTCAGCCTTGATTAAAATGGTCATGCTACTGTCGTTTTGTTTTAATGGCAGGGGGTTAAATCTTTGAGGATAGGATTTGAGCCGTATTAATTTAATGGTTTGTGGGGGTAATTATACTCCACTCTAACTTTAATGATTGGAATAGTTTGTGGGGTAAATAAACTCCACCCTAACTTTTGTTTTGTTATGGAACATAGATGTTTTTTGTAATTAATGCTGCTAGTGACAGTAGATCGCATTTAAAATATTCATTTCGTGCTCACATGAATTTCTTATTCTATATTTATTAAAATCTGTTAAGTATAAAATGTTGAAATTAAAGTGCTGATATGTGATGTATTTTATGTGAACCATTAGATGTTGTAAATTTGGTAGAAAACATAAATTATTAACATTGTTAATTATTAGCTATAAAATATGTTACACGTGTATCCAAGTGTGTCAGGAGGGGTGGGGGGTGGGTGATAAACACTATGAAGGGGCGCTGACAGGCCCGTAGCTATTGGGGGGGGTGGGGGGCAATACGAAGCCAATGACCAAAGTGCCCACATCAGTATGGGCGTCCTGTAAAGTCGGGTGACATTGGTTGGGCTGTCCTGCATGCCCCTCCCCCACTACCTACGGGACTAGCTGACAGTCGTTGATATTTGAAAAGTTTGATATCTGTCAGTCCATCAGTTTTTTTAATTGTGAGATCAGTTTCGTTTTTAGACAGACGATAATACTACCCCCAAATCCCCTACTAACCCCCAATCTCTCCTGGCTAAGTGACTAGTGAATGTATGTTATTATCAAAATGAGATTTAGTTTACATGCATCTTTGAGAAAATGTAGTCCGAAATTAGTCCGTCAATTTTCAGGTGTTTCATATAACTCTGATTAGTTAAGATTTCGTCAAAAGGAACATGATGATTTTTAGTATGATCTCAATTTATAAAAATGATTTTCAAGGGTTTTTATACATCAAAAACGTAAATTGAACTTATTGACAAAGATTATGCCAAGAGGGTATATATTATATTTCTTATTGAAAATGTAGAAGTATATAGAGAGATGTGTTTTTATAAAAAAAAAAATGTAAATCTAACCTATTGACAAAATTTATGCGAAGATGGTATATTTCTTGTATAAAAGTATATTAGAATTATTATCTGGGGTCTAATTCATAGAAATTTAAACTGGAATATTTTTAAGGTTGCAGCCATTTCATTGGTCGAGAGTTAAAATTCTAGTATAAAATTCAGCTCTTGGCTAATAAAAGGGCTGTATTCTTAAAACATTTTGATTTAAGTTTTTATGAATAAGGCCCCAGATGTATAGTATAGTTGTTATTGAAAATATAGAAATATATTAAAAATTTTATCCTGGATAACATTATATAGTCTATCTATAGTATTGATAAACTTACTAAATTATAGCTTTTAATCGACTCTAATTGTCACAATTTTCGATCCTAGAGATAACTTTACCATTCGTTTATCTCCGGTAAAACTCGCCGGCCATTAATCAGTGTGAAATCGGTTCCTAAGCTCCGCCCCCAGTGGCTACTGATTGGCAGGATTTGTTAGAATTTAATCGCTACGGATTTCTTGACAATTAGGCATTGGTTCGTTGCGTGAGTTACATATTAATTCGAAAACAGCCGATTTGATGATTTACCGGAACTATTTTTAGTGCTCAATGTGAGTGATTCGGCTAAATACTTGAAATTTCTGAAGAAACTCGAGTTTGAGCCGCCCTCTTGGATCTTTGTGAAGCGACCAACGGAAGGGTACATCACAAGTTTATGGTAAACTTATCTCTGGGATTGAGATTGTAATTTTCACTGAACATAACTTATAGATAAAATAGTTAATGTTTGAATTATTGTATAAGTCTATTAGTAACTATTCACATAAAGACACACCCCCCAACCTTAATATTATTAAAATAGGGCGTGTCTTGTTAATATGTTTTAGTGGGTAAAGTGTGGAAACTTCACTGAATGTGCCCATCCAATTGTTTTAGTGGGTATAAGGTGTGGGCACCTCACTTTGCCCATCCCCTTTTACTTTACTGGGTATAAGGACGTGTGTGGAAACCCCACTGTCCCCACCCCCTATTGTTTTAGTGGGTGAGGTGTGAACACCTCATTGTGTCCGTCCGGTGGTCTAGATTGTCACACTTCGACCTCTAGCTGACCGGTCACCTCTGGCTTGCAGTTGTATCACGCTCCCTGGAGTGAGTGTACGTGACTTGGAGATGGGGCGCCTTCTCAACCTTGTGGGTTTACTCCGGGTACATTAAAAATGAAAGTAAGACACCTGTGGGGGAAGCGGACATTAAACACTACAATAGTAGAGAGAAAATGAAGTGGGTTTGAAGTGGCTTTATCACCAGACTGTTAACACATATTCTCTAGTGGATGGTGGGTAAGACGCTGGCTCGCTAGCCTGAAGGTCGGGTGTTCGATCCCATCATTGGCCGAGAAAGTTCTTCCAGATTTTCCAGCGTGGTTCAGTGATGCAGGACGGAGGGCCTGACAAGGACAGCTGTCTAGTCATTCTGACGGGATGGAAAACCAAGGTCCTGTGTACACATTGGCGGGCACGTAAAAGATGCCTTGAAAGTTGGAATTCAATATAAGAGTAGGCCGTAGTGCCACTGTCTGGGCAAAATTTCCCTCATAACACACCGTATGGCGTATGCCCGTCTTCATTAGCCCAGTTCGGAGCAGAAAAGTAGGACGTTAAACCCCATTTCATTTGTCTTGTAGACAATAAGCCTGTGGACACATTGGGGAGAAACATATCATTTGAAGGAGGCTATACGCAGTAGCAGTAAAACATAATACTTCATGTTTAGTCCCAGTGGCATATAGGACCATTTGTAGTACAGTACTATTATTGTTATTTTAAATTTTTATTGAATTTCTGTAGAGTATTTAAGAAATTTGTCTATTAAATAATTGGTTGTTTATTTATAATGAGATCTGAAACCATATGTATTCAATATATAAAAGAAATGAAATGGGATTTAACATCCTACTGTTCTGCACCGACTGGGCTAATGAAGAGAAGGGATATTTATATATAAATAGAATCCATGCATATCATGAGTATGATCAGTTATAATCATTATTAATTTACCCAAGAAATCCATGAACAACTCTCTGGTATATAATGCAGGACGGAAGGCTTGACAATGACAGCTGTCTAGTCGTTCAGATGGGGTGAAAAAATGAGGTCCTGTGTATACATTGGCGTGCACGTAAAAGATCCCTTGGCAGTTAGAATTTGATATAAGAGTAGGTCGTAGTGCCGCTGTCCGGGCAAAATTTCCCTCATAGCACACTGTATGGCTAAACTCGTCATCATTAGCCCAGTCAGGAGCAGAACAGTAGGACGTTAAACCCCATTTCATTTCCCTGGTATATAATATATTAAATCAAAACAACATTTTCATACTTCATTACATTTTAATATTTGTTGCACAGCAGATTATTTACGATGGCGCTCGTCTTGTTGTTAACAGACTTTGACAGGCGACCCTACTCCTTGTCACGTACAAGTGAGGAATCGAAACCACGCCACTTGATTCAATGACAGACCTTATGATACAACGCGCACGCATTAAACTATTCGGCCATGTATTCCCGTGCTGCGTGATTTGGACTTAGAACATGTTCAAATTAGTTCGATTCCATTCCCTGTCAAAACATTTTATAATAAATAAATATCCATTTCTACAGCGCTAAATCTCAACAAACATTGTGCTTGTAGAGCTCGCTAAATCTCAACAAACATTGTGCTTGTAGAGCTTGACAAAACATATCTACCCAAAGCATCTTTGCTTCTCAGTTATAGCTTCTTTGAAACAAATAAGTTTTTTAAAGTTTTGATCGCAAATGTATCTTTAATATATGTTACACTGCAGATCTCATATACATATGACACCTTTGAAAGTATCATATACCTTGACCTTTGACTCATTGTTTTCCTTTAAAAAAAATACTCATAATTAATTTACCTAATTTTGATAATGTTTGACATAAAGTGGACGGTTAAAACAGACTTAGATAAGTTCATTGTGTTAAAATGTTATTTTGACTTAATATTTCTCGTGAAAACCTAAAATAAAGTATTTTTTAAGGATGAGGCCATTTCATTGGCTGAGATTATCATTGCAGCAGTCATCCAATGAAAAGGCTCCACTGTTTAAATTATTTTAGTTTTAAGATTTTGTAGGAATGGCCTATGTTCGTATAGTAGGTTTGAGTTGGTCACAATAAAATCTTGTCGAGAAATGGAAAGCATACAGTGCCCTGTGTACAATACCTATTAAATAGAAAGCAGGCCATGCCTTGTATATGATACCTATCACATGATACCTTATCCCTATGTTTATTGATTGTTGATGTTTATGACTTGAGACGTATAAATTAATATTATTTGTTATTTTGGTTTATTGTCTTATTATTGTGAATAAATGAAGTGTTGTGTTCAGAAAGTACGAGTTGATTTTATTTGAACAGGGAAGCCACAGTGGCTCAGCTTTCCATCCCGTCCGAGCAACTAAGCACTGTTCCGTGCCAGGTTCCGCCTCCCTGCACCACTGACAAGGGCACATCACTCCAACTTGCACCACTGACAAGGGGACATCACTCTGTCCTGCGCCACTGACAAGGGGACATTACTCCATCCTTAATCAGACTGAAAATCCTGATGAACCTTTTCGGGTAACGTTGCGACTAACGTTCTTACATTTTCTGGTGGGCACTAATAGTTTCGTCCGTGGGTACACTTCTGGGCAAATGTCCACTTCACTATCACTTCTGGCTGGTCCCGTCCTTAATTTCAGCTGCTAAAACACTCATCCGGTGTAATGTCCTACGTCTAGCTGCCTCGATTTAAATAGATTCCAACACCAGTCTTTCTCAGTGGACATCCAAACAATTATGCCATTCACGTGTGTAAGGAGCTGCCTGTGAATCTTATCAAGTCAATTATCACAGAAGTTTTCTTTGGTACTATCTCTTTACCAATAACAGCTTAGTATGTAATTGATGTCAAATTTTCAGGAAATTTTGGGAATATTAAATATCTCCTAAAAACTAAGTGCCAAATTCACAACAGCAAATAGTTTGTGACATGGGCGTCACACATATCGGGGGGTCCGACCCCCCCAATTGTTTTTCTGGGGGGGGGGGGGGGGGGTCTGAATATACTTGGACCCCCCCCCCAAAAAAATTTTTTTACGTAGTAGGCCCAAACTCCTTTTTATTTACAAGAATTATTAGGATTAGTTAAGATTCTATCTGTATAAAACCTGTACATATCCCTATATGGTTTACATTGCTAAAATAAAACACAGAGAGAATCATCCAGGAAACATGTGTGAAGTGAAAAGTAACTGTGTTCCATAAAATTGTGTCTAGTTAGCCTGTCAGTAATATTTTGTTAATTTTTTTCTGCCACTTGTCAGAGTGAATCGCATGTAGGTACCCAAAAACATAACCGCCTAAACCAAATATTTATCGCCGCTCAGCCAGCAACGTACCCATAATGCTTTTGCACACGGTGTCTTGGTAGACAGCATGGCCACATGGTGTTTGTTTATATTTTTTAGGGGTTTTAAAAAATGGGTTAGCGTTGCGGACCCCCCAATATATATTTCACGGCTACACCTCTGGTTTGTGACATAATATGGAGAAAATATAAACGGTAGCGGACCCCATTCTAGGGTTCAATTTTTTCAACTCTTTACCCTTTTGGGAGGGGCCTTTTTGAAATTCGAACCCCTCTGACCGAGTCCATGGCTATTTCGTAATCTGAAGTTCATTCTGGGGTTTTGTCATTATGCCAACCCCATCTATGATACACTTAAAGCAAATGGAATTAGTTTTCATTGAATTCCAGTGGGGAATACCAATTTCCGGTGTCTCAGCCTACCACTTTTTGTGGCTTTTGAAGCATGGCAAAATGATTAATATGGTCACTTTTTGGGTGACTGGAATGTTCTGTCTTGAATCTCACGACAGAACATTCCAGTCACCCGGTTTGTAACAAGTAAACAAGTTTAATATCAAAAAGAAAAAGAAATAAATACAAGGCAGTTCACTACATCAGTTATTCATCATCCTCGTCTTCCTGCACACCCATGATCATATTGATACGGTCCCTATCAAAACACGTGCAGAGAGATGTATAAGGCAGAACATTTGGCGGCAGCTGCATCGCCCCCGTGTAGCCTGTTTTACAATCACATTTTGTGAGTTCAATTGCTGCACGAGGGGCAGGCAGATCAAGATTCGGCACAGGAACATAATTGCCTTTGTCCAACTGCCAGCCAAATGGCAGGAAGGTTCAGGGATCTAGTTAGGTACGACTTGTCGCGAGTTATACAAACGAGTCTGCATTGCCCCTTGTAATGCCCTCTGTCCTGCGCCACTGACAAGGGGTGGGGGGCACCCCTGTGAACTATCTCGGCCAACACAGAGATTTTGCCAACGTCTTACTTACTGAGCCAACGTGGCTTTTCACCAAGTTGTCATGTCGGTCTATGTTATTGTGTTATTGTGGTAACATTAAAGCGGTAATTTCATATTTTCTAAGAAAGTCAAAACATAATTATTTCTATGTCTTTTGCTCAATAGGTTATCAACTCACTATTATACGACCATGGGCATTATTTCCCACCCTTAAAAATCATTGACACAGGAAATAATATAACACAATTACCTCCCTTGTTTTCCTATTGCCTCCATGCATTAGCTACCTTCAAACGTTGGAATTTGAAGTTGAAAATGATATTTTTGCCAATTTCTCAGCTGACAATAGTGAATTATAGGATTGATAGGATTATTCTTTAACAAGGTAGGACGGTTTATGGATACCATCTATTTTAAGGCTTTATTTTAATAAATTTTAAAAATATAACTTAAAAATATGAAATTGTAGCTTTAAGTTATTGTACTGTATAATATCTACTTGTTTATTGCAATGCAGCCAACCGAATAAATCTAGTGGACCGCTTGAATGCATTCCTATGCATTGAAACGGGGTGGGTGTCGAATTACCGTTATTAAAGGAGCTAAACCCCAAACTTTCTATGCGATTGCCCCATTTCGATCAATATTGATGCTGTTATCTTGTCGGATCAACGGAGGCTAATTGGGGAAGAAGCATTGGCCGAGAAAGTTCCACAGGACTTCGGACGTGGTTGCCCCTTGCCAATGGTGTTACGACAATAAACAAAACCTCGGTTATACATTCTGACAATTAAATTATTTAATGGCGACCGTGGCCATCTGATGGCCTAAATAGTTGATTATGAGCTTCACGTGGTAATAAATGTTTAAATCATAATATATAACATATAAAGACCAGGAATAGACGTGGGGAGGGGGGGGGGGGTCGATGACCGAATGGTTAGCGCGTGCGCGCTGCATCAGAAGGTCTGGCGTTGAGTCAACTGGTGTGGTTTCAATTCCCCGGTTGTAAGTGACAAGGAGTAGGGTCGCCTGTCCAACCTCATGGGGTTTCTCCGGGTCCTCCGGATTCCTCCCATTGCTAAAGACCCGTACGCGCAAGCGAATTATCGAAATAAAATTGAACCATATATTAGTCGCAAAATGACCTAGATTGTGTTAAGTGGACGTTAAACTCTCTCTCTCTCTCTCTCTCTCTCTCTCTCTCCAATACACAACAGATTTAGCTCTTTAAAGGCTCAATACCACTCTTGTTGTAACTGAATAATATGTCCCTATCTTTATTCTGGTCAACAAATTGTACTATTTTACAATATTTAAATAATTTAAAAAATTGGAAAAATTCAACTAAATGATTTGAAAAGCCTAACGTAAACCTTTTCAAGTGTGACTTGGATTTAAAAATATTTTCGAACCCTGTGGACAAGTAAAATAGGATGTAATGGATAATTTACACAACAGGTAGGACACTAAAACATCTAATACTTAGAATAAGGCTATAATTTATTTTCTGGAGCTGTCACGCCAGCAAGAGTGTTATTGTCCCTTTAATATCAGTATTACATGAACCAGCAGGTAGAGATCACAACAACCCTTTGAAAACAGTTCATGCATTTTATAGGTTATTTTAATTTCATGATTAAATGGCGTGATAAGGATTACAGGAACAGGTACAATATCTCTACCTATTAATATTTCAATTAATCTTGTTCATATACCTGTATTTTCACGTGTCGCGACATGTTTCTTTCATAGGGTATACCTGCCGACCTGCTGTTAAAACAGCGATTCACAATTTGAGCTGATATTTATGTGCTGCCTTTTATGCAGTGTCGAAAACTGATATTCATGTATAGGTCTGTTTTCAAGCGAATTTGACTTTTAAAAAAATATTATTCAATCAAATTTCCAGACGTAGAATTATATTCAATTTGATCTTCATTCATCGGATTCAACAAAGGTAAGTGTATAAATACAGCATGTTAAAAAAAAGCCCTTAAAGATAAAATGAAGAGCTGGCAGTTCTCACTATTATATACTCTTCAATAAAAGGAGGGGATATTGAAATGCAAATACCTATGCAGGTTGTGACATGATAAATAGTCATTGACACTTGACATGCTTTGAGAGTATGTTCACAGATGAAGAAATTATCGCTCCAACAGAACCACTGAGCTGCACATGTGACACGCAATAGCGCCATACACGTGGGAGGGGTTCATTGTCAAATTTGACCCTTCAAGGAAGGGTTGATGAACACTGCCGCGTGCTGGTTTATCTATCCATGTTTGCTTTCCTATCGGTTCTTGCATAAGATTTGCTGTTTAGCTTATCTTTGCTTTAGTGTGTTACGTTTAATTTGATCGGGAGACGTGTTCGTCGACGTCAACGTCAACCGACAACACTGCAAGAATTGGCCGTGGCACTACAAAAGGAGTGGGTCAGATTGCCCAAATCGTGATTGGACGGTTGATTAGGGGCATGCTACGGCGAATTGCTGAATGGTGGAGCAATTACTCATTATTAAGACAAACATCAAAAACGTCCATTTTCACTTTTGACGGTGTATCTCTTTGCGAGTGAAATGGGACTGTCATATAAGCCGCCCATATGAACTGTTTATGTTCTGTTATTAATATACACTGGTTACCTCTCATAAAAACAGCAGTGCATTTCCGCAGGTTTTTTTTTTATTGTTTCTGAATATCCCCTAATTTTTTTAAGAGGATAGTTAAAAACTAGATAATGTAAAAGGAATCTGCTGAAAATTTCATTCACTCTGAACATAGAATAGTCATTGAATTTTCGGCCTAGCTTCGATCATAATTACTAACACTCGGCACGATAAAAACACAGTCTCAATTTTCCATTTCATGATCAAATCATGAATGAAAGTTGAGCAGCAAATCGGATCCTAATCCAGTAAATATCGCAGGTTAGCGATGACATCGAGAGTTGATTATGATCTGGATAATGTCTAATTAATAATTTAGATAATATTTCTGGCCTAAAGAAAGACGTGAAATAGGCAGATTTAACTCATGTATAATGTATGTTTAAAAGTAGCAAGGTTGTTATTGATGCATGTGAACTGTACAGTTAATTTCGGGGTGTTCTACTGTAGAGGGGGGGGGGGGGTCACGGTGGCTAAGTGGGTAAGACGCTGGCTCGCTAGCCTGGAGGTCGATCGGGTGTTCAATCCCTACATTGGCCGAGAAAGTTCATCCAGATTTTCCGGCGTGGGTCTCCCTTGTCAGTGATGCAGGACGGAGGGCCTGACAAGGACAGTTGTCTAGTCGTTCGAAAAACGGAGGTCGCGTGTACACATTGGCGCGCACGTAAAAGACCCCTTGACAGTTGGAATTCGATATAAGAGTATGCCGTAGTGCTGCTGTCCGGGCAAACTTTCCCTCATAGCACACTGTATGGCGTATGGCCGTCGTCTTCATTAGCCCAGTTCGGAGTAGAACAGTAGGACGCTAAACCCCATTTCATTTCATTTCTATTGTAGATTGACCCACAATGTCGTATATTTGTACTGTATAAACTGATCTGTTTTATAAAACATGTTGTCACTTGGATCAAAACAGCGTTTATGAGAATAGTTCGGTCACGGGTCCGCGCGTGCACCGCAGGCAGCCCAAAGTAGACATTCACGTGACAATATCCATTCAATTATTTATCAATGAAGCCATGACAAAATTGTCTTCTTAACGCGTATAGTTAGACTTTTAAAAATAACTTTGGCTAAAACTCGGCGATTTAATTTCTAATTCAGTTGATTGTGTAACCAATGACGTATATATTGTAACGGTACTCGGTTCAGAGTCACCTCGTGTAGTTTCGAATTCTAATCTTTTTAGGACGTGTAACGTGTGCTCTGTTTTGGATGTGTATTTGTCTGTGATAATTATTGGAAACATAATAGGATTATTACAAAGGATATTTAACGTCTACAATATGAGTACGGTAAGATATACTTTATGCATATTGGTTTTATATGATCAACTGCCAATTTCTCCGCTATTAGAATGTTTTAATATAGTCTAGTGCATTTATAAAAATCAGCCAAAAATGTAACTGATAAATGTAAGTGTTAGTTGAAGTTGTTTAGTTTCATGAAGCTATTACACAGTCTAATTAGATTTGGATATGTCATCTTTATATTTCGTGGGGGTTTAGATCATGACGCCTGTCATTGAGTCAATTGCCGGGGTTTCGATTCCCCGGTTGTACGTGACAAGGAGTAGGGTCGCCTGTCCAACCTCGTGGGTTTTCTCCGGGTCCTCCGGTTTTCTCCCACTGCTAAAGATCCGATGCCGAATTATTGAAATAAAATTAAACCATATGTTAGTCCCAAAATGGCCTAGTTTTGTCGCGAATGGACGTTGAACTTGTAATCTAAATTATTTATAATCAAAATTATCAAAAGTACAATTCAAATTGTGACCAGTAGTCGTTCCGGGTTTCTCTCATTAAACGACTTGTTTTTTAGACTAGGGGAGACCGGGGCACATTGAACATATGGGCACATTGAACCACCATGGATATATCCTTTATAAATAATACTAGGCAACCCAAGACCACACAGAAGTGAGATAACTTCTTAGACCTATTTCCCCGTCAATAAGCAGTAGCAATATGCTGCCAATTATTTTTTAGGCAATGAGTTTTTTCAAAAGATCTCTTAAAAGTGAAAATGCACTACTTCCACTTATCATTTTCCATACTTGTTAACTGTTTAGTCTAGGGAATTCTTGTACTTAAAATCAGTTCATATATGCCTAATCTACAATCCAGATAAACAGGAGCTTTATCCATAGAGGGCATATTGAATGTTTTTTTAAATTTTGATCATGAAACTGTGATGGGGCAGATTGAACCACTGTCAATGGGGTACTTTGAACCATGGTTCAATGTACCCCAGTGCATTTTAGACTATATATCATTTGATAATTTGTTCAGCCTAGGAAATTCCTGTACTTACAATCAGTTCATATCTACAATCCAGATAAATAAGGGCTTGATCCATTTTGAATTTTTTAAAATTTTGATCATAAAACTGTGATGCGGCAGATTGAATTGAACCACTGTCAATGGGGTACGTTGAACCACTGGTTCAATGTACCCCAGTGCATTATAGTTTATATATCATTTGATAATTTGTAATATCTTTGAAAATAAAAACAATATTAGAATATCAATTGATCCAACTCTGTAGGCCTGTCATATAAAAGGAATTAAAACTTCATGGGAGCAGTGTTTGAAACTTGGCTGTGACATACAGGGGCGCAATGGGTCTCCCTGACTAAGAGTCGCTTGTCAGCAAATCAGGCTGTCCAAATTTAGACAGAATATTGGACAAATGTTGGTTTGATTCACTGCAAAAGTTGACTGGGATCCCACTATCCCACCAAACTGCCAACTTAAGTGCAATTTACGGCGATTTGTATGTACATATCACTTACCGTCATACAGCCGAGGCTAGATGTAGGATACCGGAATCTGCCGAGGTTTGCCGAGTGGGCCCTGCACATTATAGCTAACCCTAGCCCTGGACCAAGCTCAACCCTTACCCTAATCTATCCTAAGTACAGCAATATGACAGCCCTCCGTTTAATCTAGGTCTTCCTAAAATTTTCGACAGTGCCCTTTTTTACTGCTGAAAGTGCCTTTTCTCAGACCCAAATATGTCCTTTCCCAACCCGTTGCAGGGATCCCAAATGACTCAAACCATCGACTCAAACACACCAGTCTGGTCTAATTAATGCTTCCACTTCCAAACGAATTCTTGTTGTTTAGCTGACGGTGCCCTATAGACAGACATCAATGATAGCATCTTGTGGAATCGGGTAAGGTTCTTTTTCAAAGATTTCAGAACGTTTACTTAGACGAAAATATCAGCCAAATAGCTCTTGGAATGGCTACAGATGCAAGGGAATGACGGATAATTTTCTTAGGGGACCCCCACCCCCCAAAAAAAACCTCCGAGCGGCATGCCCCGTCTCCGCGGTCAGTGCCCTCATTTTGCGCCCCCCCCCCTTTTCAAAATTCCTAGATCCGCCCCTGGTGATTTAAGCTATTAAAAACGGTGAAAGTATACAATATTGTTTACATTGTTTTCGATCGATTTGATAGCCTCGTTTGTCACGCAATAAGTTTTTCTGCAATATTCTGCTGTGCACTGGTTAATTGGGCATAATAAAATCGTGAGTCATGACGTAACGTTATGTAAACATATTTGGCCCAATTTGGGGCTCTGTTTAAAGCGTAATGCTTTTGTAACGCAGTTAGCTATTGGCTGTTAATCGGGGCCCTTATTCACGAAAACTTAAACTAAGATACAATCGAAATTTTAAGAAATACTGCAATTTGATTGGTTGACTAGTAAAATCAATTTGCATATATCCACTGAAGATGCAGTATTTCTTAAAATTTCGATTGTATCTTAGTTTAAGTTTTCGTGAATAAGGGCCCTGACCATTGACAAGTCATAATTTGGAGCAGAAATTTGCCTTCGTTAAAGCAGTGTTTAGTAGGATTAGGTATAATGAAACGAAACACTGCGAGAAGTGTGAGTTCGTGCAGAAAAACAGGACGTTAAATCCCATTTCATTTCAATTCACTTTGTATTTAGATTCAGATTAAGACGTTTTTATATTCAGATTAAGATGAATTTATCCGAACCGGATTCAGTGAAACCCACAAATGGCGAGTTGGCACCATTAACAGAGAACCCTACAAATGGCGAGTTGGCACCATTAACAGAGACCCCTACAAATGGCGAGTTGGCACCATTAACAGAGAATGGTGAACCAAGGAAAGATAAATCTGTAGTTATAATACATGAACGTGAAAAGAGGTTGATATACAGGATTAGTGATAATCCTCCAGTTCATCTCACCTTTATGTTCGCTATACAGGTAAATTATATAAAAGGTGTATTCATTACATCACACGTACTCATTACATCACACACAAGGTGTATTAATTAGATAACACTCACAGGTATAGTCATTACACCATCACATAGAGTGTAATCATTACATAAAACACGCAGGGTGTTCAGTACATCACGCACAAGGTATAGTCATTACATCAAACATGGTGTGTATTCATTACATCACACACAATGTGTATTTATTTCATCACACACAAGGTGTATTTATTTCATCACACACAAGGTGTATTCATTACATCACACGCAAGGTGCATTCATTACATCACACATAGGGTGTAGTCATTACATCACACACAAGGTGTATTTATTACACCACACACTTGTTCCACCATTTCTCCAGCATCACATGACCCTAAAAACTCCTCGGCAGTGATGGCCTCATAATCCGTCTCCAATCTGCCACCCCTGGGGACAGATTTGGGTTGTGGGATGGGGAAGAAGCCAGAGGGGGCTATATCTGTAGAACAGACACCGGTGATTGAGGGTCGAAAAGCGAGAGTCCGGTACAGCGGTAACTGGGCGATGCCAACTGGAGCATTGTCCAGGAATAACAAGCAACCAGAACCTATGCGTTTTTCATTTCTTTGATTTGGTCACACTATCTGCGCAATTCATCTGCGTAATGCACCATTTATGGCGTAGCTCTTCTTGAGATAAACTATCATGATTACGCCCTTGCAATCCCAGAAAATGGAGGCCAAGACCTTGCCACTGTAAGACTCTCGTTTGACCCTTTTGGACGTTGGCGACATCACTTGCTTCCACGGTATACTTTAACATTTTTTTTTTATCTGAGTCAAAATAAGGAAGCCCAAGTTTCATTCCGATCCACGAAAGCACGTGGATCTCTCCGATAACAATGACTCTATGGCGCTATTCTTCTTTAGTCAACATTATGTCTGGGCACCCATAGGCGTACGGGCTCGATGTCAGTTGGGGGGGGGGGGGCAGAACCGGAAATGCCCACAAAAATTTCGGGTTTCCAGACGGTGGCGCCGGTCTTCTGCGAGAGCGGAGGAGCGGAGCTTACCGTGTAGCCCCCCCCCCCAGGCAATTTTGGGAAAAAAGACAACCGCAAACCACCAAGGGATCTTTTACGTGCACGCCAATGTATACACGTGATCTCGGTTTTTGTCTCATCCGAACTACTAGACAGCTACTAGACAGCCTTCCGTGCTGCACCACTGACAAGGGCAAACCCACCTCGGAAAATCCCGATGAACTTTCTTGTAGTAAGGTTTCTAACAACAGAGTAAAAAAGAAACTAATTAAAATTTGAAATCGACTATGAGCGTTCGGAGGAAACCTGTTCTCGAAGGGCGAAAGGCTTGAAAGTTTCGAGGTAAATAGGTATTCCGAAAAGTACACGATTAATATTACCGGGTGACACAAAAAAAGCGTTCATCACCTAAACTTGGTCGACGAAGAGGGGTCGTCAGGGACCTCCAGTGGTTCCAGCAGGATGGTGCCACCCAACACCTCAAACGAATCATTGGCATCGCTACAGCAGCGTTTCCCTGACCGACTGATCAGCCGCAGGTGTGACCCGGAGTGGTCGCCGTATTCACCGGACTTGAACGCCCCAGATTTTTATCCCAAGGGAAGAATGTGGGAGGGTCATCGAGAACTTTGCCCGCCAGATCCAAATGTGCTTGCAGCACCGGGGAGCTCATTTAGAGCATATTTTTGAGCGCCAGTTAAACAAAGAGTTTTTGTTTTGTGGCACAGACTTGAAACTTTGGAGATGTCTGCTACATAGACTTAACCTAATGTAGCTGAAATTTTGTGTTAATCTAAATAAAATTTTGGAAGTTATTCGATTTTTATTGATGAACTTTTTTTTTGTGTCACCCTGTAAATTCTGATTGTCTCCCTTTCCTAATAGGCTATTTTTAAACAAGAACATGGTTGGTAGATATCAGTTGGTACACATTCACAAGTCAAACGTCATTGTGCCGTCTAATTCATAACTTATATATAGAGATAGTTTAATGAAAGTTTGAGTAAAATTTAGCCCATAGTTCTCACAATATTTACATACAATATATAAAGTTTGTTTAAATACATTTTGGAACAGTTTAAAAATATCAACTTCTACATTATTATCTAGAGACATCATTTTATGTTTATAGATAGAAAGTCTAGCACAACTTAATATCAGATTACACAATCGAGCCAGCGTCTTACCCACTTAGCCACCAATTCTACACGAATTTTTCATTTATTTTAGCAATTGCTAACAGCACTATATAATTCTATGTCAATGTCAGTAGTGGTAGCTGAGTTAGTATGTGCACGAGATGATGATGAGATTAAAACTAAAATTCTGAGTACCACCATGTTGATGTCTGGTATATCAACATTCCTTGTTTCTACGTTTGGAGTTCGGTACGTACAAAATCTTTATTTGTTTCTAATAAACACGAACGTTCTATCTATAGCCAAGCGTGATTTATTTCTACGTTTAGCGTTCGGTGCGTAGAGTAGAAAATCATGATTTATTTCTACGTTTGGCGTTCGGTGCGTACAAAATCTTGAGTTGTTTTTAATAAATACGAACGTTCTATCTGTAGAAAATCTATATCTGGGGGTTTTTTTTGTAAAAGGGGGTTTACATAGAAGTGACATATTATTCCTTGTGTTTTATTCTACAGACTTCCTGTTTATCAAGGGCCTTCAATGCCTTATATAATTCCTTTACTAGCCATGTCTACATTAAAGGAATTCTACTGTCCTAACTATCATGATTCACCTGGTAAGTATTACTGTTACTTGCCATGTCACCTGGTCATTACTACTGTTACTGATCATGTCACCTGGTAAGTATTAGTGTTACTAACCATGCCACGTGGTAAGTATTGTTCTTACTAGTCATGTCATGTGGTCATTTTACTGTTACTAGTCATATCACATGGTCAGTATTATCAGTTATTAGTCATGTCACGTGGTAAGTATAAGTGTTACTAGGCATGTCATGTGGTAATTATTGTTGTTACTAGCCATGTCAGGTGGTAAGTATTACGGTTACTAGTCATGTCACATGGTAAGTATTACGGTTACTAGCCATGTCACGTGGTAAGTATTACCGTTACTAGCCATGTCACGTGGTAAGTATTACTGTTACTAGTCATGTCACGTGGTAAGTATTACTGTTACTAGCCATGTCAAGTGGTAAGTATTACTGTTACTAGCCATGTTACGTGGTAGGTTACTACCTGTGTCACCTAGTAAATATTACTGTTACTAGCCATGTTACAGGGTAAAAATTACTGTTACTAGCCATGTCACATGGTAAATTATAACTCTTACTAGCCAAGTCACATGGTAAAATATAACTGTTACTAGCCATGTCACATGGTAAATACAACTGTTATTAGCCATGTCACATGGTAAGTATGGCTGTTACTAAACATGCCACGTGGTAAGTATAGCTATCAATGGCCATGCTAACTGGTACTGGTACGTATTACTGTCACCTAGCGAGTATTACTGTAACTAGCCGTATTACTAGAAATTTCTAGTCAGTCTTGTGGTCTTATATTCCAAATATTTCTATGACATAGATCTGATCATGTTATTTTTACTAGGGGTTCGTCGGAATATTTAATTATTTCTACGTTGTTTGATCATTTAACTGATGTTAAACTAAGCTGTGAATTTGTAATTATTTCAGAATCGTTATCTTCTGTAAATGTGGTCTTATATTCCAAATATTTCTATGACATAGATCTGATCATGTTATTTTTACTAGGGGTTCGTCGGAATATTTAATTATTTCTACGTTGTTTGATCATTTAACTGATGTTAAACTAAGCTGTGAATTTATAATTATTTCAGAATCGTTATCTTCTGTAAATGGTACTGCTGGTATTTTTGGTGGTGCCATCAGTTTAAATGAAACCAGAGAATTAACATACAGTAAAATACAAGCAGTAAGATATATACACAGTTTCTTTATTACCTGGGTGAAGTTTTGTTTCTTCACGTGTATTATGTATAATTGTGTATTTCAGATATCTAGTGGTGTAATGTATAACAGTGTATTTCAGATATCTAGGGGTGTAATGTATAACTGTGTATTTCAGATATCTAGGGGTGTAATGTATAATTGTGTATTTCAGATATCTAGGGGTGTGATGTATAACTGTTTATTTCAGATATCTGGGGGTGTAATGTATAACTGTGTATTTCAGATATCTGGGGGTGTAATGTATATGTAACGTATAACTGTATATTTAAGATATCTGGGGGTGTAATGTATAACTGTGTATTTCAGATATCTAGGGGTGTAATGTATAGCTATGTATTTCAGATATCTAAGGGTGTAATGTATAACTGTGTATTTCAGATATCTAGGGGTGTAATGTATAACTGTGTATTTCAGATATCTAGGGGTGTAATGTATAATTGTGTATTTCAGATATCTAGGGGTGTGATGTATAACTGTGTATTTCAGATATCTGGGGGTGTAATGTATAACTGTGTATTTCAGATATCTGGGGGTGTAATGTATATGTAACGTATAACTGTATATTTAAGATATCTGGGGGTGTAATGTATAACTGTGAATTTCAGATATCTAGGGGTGTAATGTATAGCTATGTATTTCAGATATCTAAGGGTGTAATGTATAACTGTGTATTTCAGATATCTAGGGGTGTAATGTATAACCGTGTATTTCAGATATCTAGGGGTGTAATGTATAACTGTGTATTTCAGATATCTGGGGGTGTAATGTATATGTAACGTATAACTGTATATTTCAGATATCTGGGGGTGTAATGTATAACTGTATATTTCAGATATCTGGGGGTTTAATGGCGGCTGGTGTTATCCATCTTTTGATTGGTTTTACTGGATTAGTTGGTGTATTCGCCAGATATATTGGACCAATCACAATCGTCCCCACAATTACCTTAATTGGACTATCTATTTATACTGTGGGTGTTAAATTCTGTGAAAAACATTGGGGTGTAGCTGCCGTGTAAGTTTAAATACTACTATCATATTTAATAGGTTATCACATTTCCTTGGTATTTAAAGTTACAATTTCATATTTTCTAAGAAAGTCAAAACATTATAATTTCTATGTCTTTTGCTCAATAGGTTGTCAACTCACTATTATACGATCATAGGTGTTATTCCCACACTTAAAACTCATTTACACCGGAAATAATAAAACAATTACCTCCCAATTACCTCCCTTGTTTTCTATTCTCCACCATGGAGTAGCTATCCTCAAACGTTTGACTTTGAAGAGGAAATGATATTTTTGCCAATTTCTCAACTGGCAATAGTGAATTATAAGATTAAGAGCATTATTCTTTAACAAGGTAGGACTGTTTATAGATACCATTTATTTCAAGGCTTTATTTTAATAAATTTTAAAAATATAACGTAAAAATATGAAATTGCACCTTTAAGTGGAGTTGTGGGGTCTCTTGGAAAGACTTTGGCCCGCTAACCTGGAAGTTCTGTGTATATCGAGTGCCCATTAGGAGCAGAGCACTCGGACGTTAAACCCCATTTCATTTCATTTGTCATTTAAGATCTTTTTTTTTTAGACCAGGAACTTTGTCTTATTAATAAGCGCCACCAATCTTCTTCTTGTACAACAACAATTTGGACGAACTACAATTTCCGATATGACGTCACAATTCAAAATGGGGGCGATTGTGTCATGCTCGGTTCCTATCTTTTTTGTTATTTTTTTTTCAGAACAACCGTTACGGGTCTTATTTTAGCTTTATATTTAAATGGTAAAAACACACCATTACCAGCCTACAACAGAACACGAGGTTTTTATATAAAATGGTATCCATTACATACTGTCTTTGCTGTAAGTAGACCCTAGACATCTTTCAAGAGAGAGAGAGAAATGGGGTTTAACGTCCACTACACACAAACTAGGTCATTTGGGGACTAACATATGGTTTTAATTTTATTTCAATAATTCGCTTGCGCTTAGGGGTCTTTAGCAGTGGGAGGAAACCGGAGGACCCGGAGAAAACCCACGAGGTTGGACAGGCGACCCTACTCCTTGTCACGTACAACCGGGGATTCATAACCACGCCAGTTGACTCAATGACAGGCTTTATGATACAGCACGCGCGTGCTAACCATTCGGCCATCCAACCCCCACGACATCTTTCAAACCTCCCGCGCGTAATATTATAAATGAAATGGGACTATGAGGGAGTTGGGGGAAATGTTGCCTTGCAAGTATATGGGCTTAAATTTCAAGTTAAGTGCAATATACATGTAAAAAAATATGTATTATTTCTCCTGTAAAGTTTGTGAACAAAAAAATAAAGGTCAGAGTTATAAATCCGAAGAACGTTATTCTCGTTTTTTTTTCAGTTACTGTTTTCAGTTATTGCTGGATGGACGTTTAGCGCCATTTTAACCGTTTCCGGTACTATGTCTGACGACCGGAACCACGTGCATCATTATGCCAGAACAGACAGCAGGAATGACGTCATCTTTCAAAGTCCTTGGTTATATATAGCCTATCCAGGTACGGCGTATATCACAATTTTATAAAATATTTTAATAATAATAGGTACAGGAAGACGGCACCACATCAATCAATCTGATTAGAATACAGATCTATATTTCATTTTGTTTTTTTATACTTTCGATAACCTACACTACATGAAGATCTGTCAAGTTGTAGCGATAGATTGCGTCAGAGGTCATACGAGCGGCTTTTGACCCTAAGACGTAAGACATTTGATTAACCAATCAGCATTGGTGTTTCTAATGGATTACCAACATTTCTGTGCAAAACACGCCTAAAGCTCGCCGTAACAGACCGTTTCATTGGCTAATCCCTCACACCATCTAGAACACTTCAATGATAACAACTCTTCCAGATCCTAGTGTAGTAAAGACAAGTAAAACGAAATTTTGAACTATAAAAAACGAAACGGAATAGGATCTGTGTTTTAATCCGATTGTACAAAAACAAAACCCACAAGACAAGACACGTAAACTACCGGTACATAGATATAAATAAATCAAGAAGGCGCCCACTTCGCTGTACAGCCCAGTGCCTGTAATGACACCGGCTTCACTCAAAACTAAAAAAAAAAACTTACAAGCTCAGAAGAACAGAAAAAAACCCAACTTAACATTGAGATTTGAGTTACAAGAATAACGGGTTGATTTTGTCGTACCGTCAACTTGTCTGCTTCATAAGGCGCAGCTTTAGATGACATTTGAATGGTCACTGACAACTATGTATATCTTACAATGATAACTGAAATATTTCTTTCAACCTTCGACCTACCTTCTTGTTGACACCATAACCTCGTGCTTGCTGGTTTGCACGTTTTGTACAACATAACCCGGCCCATACGTTTGTTAAAACATAACCAGGCTCACGCGTATGTTACAATATAACCCGGCTCACAATTTGCTATAATATAACCCGACTCACAATTTACTATAACATAACCCGGCTCATACGTTTGCTACAATATAACCCGGCTCACAATTTACTATAATATAACCAGACTCACGCGTTTACTACATTATAACCATTCTCACGCGTGTGCTATAATATAACCCGGCTCACACGTTCGTTATAATATAACCCGGCTCATACGTTTGCTATAATATAACCCGGTTCATACGTTTGCTATATTATAACCCGGCTCACACGTTTGCTTCAATGTAACTGCTATTAAACTCATATTATTTCCATTTTCAATTTGCTGTCTTTTACAGGTCAATTTGGTACAGTGGGTTTTAGTGTTGCTGCGTTTATCAGTTGTTTAGTAGCGACATTGCTCTCTATTATCGATTCTATTGGAGATTATAATGCAACCGCCAGAGTTTGTTTTGTACCACCACCACCATCGCATGCTGTGAATAGAGGAATCTTTCTGGAAGGGGTGATGAGTTTCTTTGCTGGTACAACAGGTGCTTGTCATGCTACTGTATCGTATGGTAATAATATTGGAGCAATAGGGCTCACTAAGGTAAAACATACATTATGCTACAATCTGATTAAAACTATTTCGTTTCGTTTTTTATAGTTCAAAATTTTGTTTTACTTGTCTGTACTACACTACGATTTGGAAGAGTTGTTATATAATTACAGGCGTTTTGGTTGAAGTGAGGGATTAGCCAATGAAACGGTCTGTTACGGCGATTTTTTGGCGTGCCATGCACGGAACTATGGGTATAAACCACTAGAAACATCAACGCTAATTGATTAATAAATATCTGGCGTCATAGGGTCAAATTCGCTCGTACGACCCCTGACACGACCTTCCAGTACAACTGGTTGGATCTTCATGTAGCGTGGGCCATCGAAAGTATAATAAAAACGAAACGAAATATAGATCTGTATTATAATCAGATTGATCATGCAATAACGGATATTATTTACATGTACTGACATGCGCAGCTCACAGATCGCACTATCGCTTCTTTAACAGTGGTGGATCCATATGGGACACAACCCCCTTTAATAACTGTATGACAAATTAACCTATTATTCTGTTTTATGAAACTTGTAAATATGAACTTTTTGTTGATTGGGGTGTTTTGGTGATGAAATTGTCTTTATGACTCAAATAAGTTCTCTGATGATTTTCTGATTGTCGAAGTCTCAAAATTGAGCCGCTTTACTCGACAACCATGCACGAGACCTGGAAGGTTGGGCGTACTCCTTAGTTAAACGCTATTCTAGACTGTCTGTACTTATTATTTATTTAGTAGTATATTGTTCTAGACTGTCTATACTTATTATTTATTTAGTAGTATATTGTTCTAGACTGTCTGTACTTATTATTTATTTAGTAGTATATTGTTCTAGACTGTCTATACTTATTATTTATTTAGTAGTATATTGTTCTAGACTGTCTATACTTATTATTTATTTAGTAGTATATTGTTCTAGACTGTCTATACTTATTATTTATTTAGTAGTATATTGTTCTAGACTGTCTATACTTATTATTTATTTAGTAGTATATTGTTCTAGACTGTCTATACTTATTATTTATTTAGTAGTATATTGTTCTAGACTGTCTTGTCTTGTTTTTATATTGTAGGTTGCCAGTCGACGAGTATTTCAAGTGATGGCTATCATGTATATCATATTCTCTGTCGTATTAAAGATAAGTGCTGTATTTATCACCATACCGTATCCAGTACTCGGTGGATGTATGATTCTAAGTTTTGGTATTTTTATTGGTCTCATCTTGTCAAATCTACAATTTATAGATTTAAATTCAACTCGTAATTTAGCTATTGTTGGTATAGCTATTCTACTAGGATTGATGTTACCTTACTGGACAGAGAGAAATCAGGATGCAATCAAAACAGGTGGGTGACACTAAACATGTAGCTGGGGATTTCATCCTCTCGTTCGTCTTTTTTAAAGGTCAAAAAGGGTACCCGTTGGTGTAGATGCATTAAATTATGCTACTTTAAAGGGCCCAGGGGGAGAAATAGGGGTGGGGGTGGAGGGGGGGGGTAAAGTCCACTAGGTCATTTCGGAACTAACATAAAGTTCAGCTTTATTTAAATCATTCCTTGCGCGTAGAGGATTTTAGCTGTGGAAGAGAACCAGCGCTAAACGTCGACCCAGAAATAAGTAGAAAAACAAGAAATTAAATAAAGAAAAACACAGCTGTGAACTTATCAGTAGACACCAGTGAATACTCAATTGGGATCACCTTTTTCCTTTTTGACCATTGCTTGGAAATTAAGAGTGAGAGAGAAAGAGAAATGGGGTCAACTCTATGGAGTTTAACGTCCACTTGACACAAACCAGGTAATTTCGAGACTAATATATGGTTCAATTTTATTTCAATAATTCGCTTACGCGTAGGGGTTTTAGCCATTGGAGGAAACCGGAGGACCCGGAGAAAAACCATGTGGTTGGACAGGCGATCCTACTCTTTGTAACGTACAGGCGGTGAATCGAAACAATGCCACTTGACTCAATGACGGACCTTTTGAATAACGCGCACTCGTTTAACCATTCGGTCACCCAACCCCCTCTCAAGACAGGGTATAGTTTTGCGTTACTCAAGACAGGGTGTAGTTTTACGTTACTCAAGACAGGGTATAGTTTAACGTTACTCAAAACAGGGTATAGTTTAACGTTATTCAAGACAGGGTATAGTCTAACGTTACTCAAGACAATGTATAGTTTAACGTTACTCAAGACAATGTATAGTTTTTCTTTTTAGAATATTTCACGTCTCTTCTCAATTACTAAGTCTACATGACAAAAACAATATTTGTGCATTTTCTTTTTCAGGGAAAGTTCATAAAGACAACACGTTTTTAATGTCACTTTCAAATTATTTGTCTATTTCAGGGAATGCTCATATAGATAATATATTTTTGACGTTAATTTCAAATGGTGGTTTTGTTGGTGGATTTGTTGCTTTTTTCTTAGATAATACCGTTCAAGGTATGTTCTTATTTGTTTAAGCTATTTCAATAACTGTTAGATAATACCGTTCATGGTATATCGTTCATGGAACGATTTTAATAATATTTAGATAATACCGTTCATGGTTTGTGTTGAATCCACCGGTACCAATATTAACACAATAATAATAATAATAATTGGTTTTGTAGTATTTATAGGAATGTTGAAAGACAGGGGACTATAAGATTTGTATACAAGTTTATTGTATTTGTAGGAACTTTGAAAGACAGGGGATTGGATAAAGGTCTTATTGTAGGATTCTATCTGTTGAATTTGTACGGACTATAAAAGCCGGGGGACTGGACATCAGGGCCCTGTTTCACAAAAACTTAAACTAAAATCACTAAAATAGATTTTAACTAAAATGAAAATGAGATTTTAAATTTTATGCGTTTCACGAAGATCGATTGTAACTTAAAATGCAATTTTAATAGATTTTAGTTAAAATTGCTTGCGCCCGCGCAGTGCACAATTCCGGCGAGGGCACTTAGAGTGTAAGCATAAACGCTTCGGAACTGAAAACTGTTGCCAGGTTGAGCTAACCGTTACAATACCAATGAGGAGAGTTTCACACGTTGTAGCAATGTCTGCACATGGTCAAACAGTCGTAGAGAGATGAAATAAATAAGTTTATTGCGTATTATTCTTTTGAAATGTGTCAGTGGGTTGGCCTTGAACTTGCATGTCGCTTTCGTGACCTTGGCATTTGATTTACTCGCAGGCTTCAATGAAAATAATGCGTATCGATAAACTAAATGGCTTGAATTTCGTCGTTTTATGGTATTTTGGATAACAGAAACTATTGAGAATTGTCACAAACTATTAGACGAAATAGCAAATGTTCCGATGCCTAGATTTGAAATGTCAGTCCCATGGACCCTTTCAATAATACTTTGAAAATGCCAAAGTGCCACACTCCTTATTGGATAATGCCTATCTATCTTACTAAATTTAAATGATTTTTTCCCAATATAAAATATACTATTGACTCCTAAATCATCATAACCCCAAAATCATAAATACTTTGCATATGGCGTGTCTACTAGTATTATAGGACTGGCGGGGGTTCGATTCCCCGATTGTACGTGACAGTGAGTACCGCCCGTCCATCCTCGTGGTTTTTCTCCGGATCCTCCGGTTTCCTCCCCCTACTAAAGACCCCCACGTGCAAGCGAATTATTGCAATAAAATTGAACCGTGTGTTAGTCCCGAAATGACTCTCTCTCTCTCTCTCTTTCTCTTTCTCTCTCTCTCTCTCTCTCTCTCTCTCTCTCTCTCTCTCCCCCCATTTTAAACAATTGTAGTCCCACAAAGATATTTTTTATAGACATAGATTTCTTTTAGATTTCTTTTTTTTTAGGGGTTTTTTTTTTTTTTTTTTTTTTTTTGTCTATTAATTATTTGAAAATAGTATAATTTATACTTGTATCATATGGTTTACTGGGGTTTTGAGGGTTTTCTTGTTCTTGGGGTATTAATTTGGGGCGTCATTGAAAATTATTTTTGTGATTTATAGTATGTTTAAATTATATAACCCGGATCACTGGCAATATTATCATTATTCCAAATATATCTATATGTCGCAATAGATCTTACAACGTAGCTCTAATCAATGTTTGTTAATGTCGTGATTTTAAGTTAGGAGAGGGTGACGGCTGTCCTAAGTTAAAATTGATTTTAGTTAAAATTGTCCCTAAAATAGTTTTGTGAAACGCTACTATTTTAAGTTAAGATAAAATTTTAACTTACAATAATATTTTAGTGGATTTTATCTAAAATGCTTATAATCGTTTTGTGAAACGCATCTATCTTAAGTTAGGATGGAATTTTAGTTAAAGACGATTTTAAGGAGATTTAAGTTTTTGTGAAACAGGGCCCAGCTATATTATAGGATTTTAAACATTTTATTTGTAGGAACGCTGAAAGACAGAGGACTAGACATCAATCAGGAATCACTGGATGAAGGTTTATACGAAGAAGGATACGAAGTTTATGAATTTCAGAGAATTCCTCGATTCATCACAGAATCTAGAATATATAAACTCTTACCAATTTTCTCGAAAAAAAAGATTGGCTGATAAATTAAATACGGAAATTTAGTCCTGGAATTGGTGGATCTCTTTGATTTGAATCAAAAATAAAATCGTTGATTTCTTTCGTGTGTTGGTTTTTGTTGGATGACCATCTGTCTTAGTTGAGAATTTTATGTCTTTAGATCAGGGATTGACGATCTATGTCGTGGTTTTATGTGTATAGATCGGGGATTACCAATCTCTTTCGTGGTTTTATTTCTTACATTTAAAGTAGCCAAGTCTCTAACTCAGTATCATCCAAAATCTTCAACATTGAAAACACGAATTATTTGTCAATTTAAATCAACATTGATATTGTGATCTTACCAGGAAAAGATGGGCTTCTGATATCCAATATTTAAGACAATACGTTTCAGCGCCATTTAAGGGACTCGAAAAACGAGACTATGCATATTCCACAAGTCATGCCAAACGTTGACGCTATATTCTTATCTGGAGAGCATGCGCAATAAATGTTATCGGTGCAGACTGGAATAACCAGATGCTAGAGATTGCCACTAGATTGAGAATTCTGACTTATTTCAACGAACATAACAGTAAAAACAGAAACGGCTGAATGTAAATCAGTTTATATACATTCATTTTACATTATTAAATGCGTTGAGGCACATTTGTGTTGATTTCTATGTCCCAAGTATTAGCGACTTAGCCCCTTTAAACATTGTAATACAAGCTCTGATCAAGTTAGTACACGAGCGGATGGGGTGTCAATATCAAGGTTGTAATAATAGATTTAAGGGGCGTTGAGACCAATCAGGTCCTTGGTAGGACTTCACTTAACCATAGATGGTCAATGTGTGAATTAATCCTAAATCTACGAGTCGTACAGATTTCATTTTAGTTAAAGATGGGTTCCCAGAAAAGTATTTATCGGGTGGTATTTCCAATAAAAGTATGGCAATTTTCGTATACATGTATATGGAAAGTAGAGATATCCAATCTTACTAGAAAAATACTGGATTCCCCGAAAAACACTCATGGAGCTATACAGGACAAAAATGGAAGGGTTCCCCTAATCGACAGCCCGACGAATAGGAATTTCTGCACGCGTGATGTCAAAGGTCACACGCGAACATTGAGCGCTTGATGTACAAGTGGATAAACTTTATGAAGAGTTAGACGTACAACACTTTCTGAGATAAAAATGACGGAAAAAGACGCGGGTAGAGGATAATCCGAGAATTTAATTAGGATTCGATATTTGTAATAAATAGTAAGCGATTAAAGACAACGTCGTCTTATGTATGCAATGAATTCTCCTCTGACTTCCAAGAGCGTTAAGTCACGTGACGTAAACATGACCTGGTTTGATCTAATTTTTATAGCAGGACATTCCTTCGCAATTACAATGTTTGAGAAGGATTTGAAGCACAATTATGACAAATTAATTAGTTTGAATATGTTTTTAGTCCATATATACCATTAAATCACCCAGTTTGTACGCGGGGATGTATCTTTAAACTGTGGTGTAGCTTATTTTGTTGTACATGTAAATCAATAAAATTATTTTTACTATCTCATGTACTGTATGTATATTTTCTGACCAATACAAGAACAATTTGTTTGGAATAAAATGGATTTAAAGTTTCCTCAAGGTAGACGTTCCTCTTGGAATCAAGAATGGACTAGATGAGTTTCAAATAAAGTTTCGATAAGATATACTTCCCCCCATAGAATAAAGTTTGAACTTGACGTGTTTCAAATAAAGTTTCTATAACGCGTGCTTGACTTATGAAAAAAAATTTTTCCATCAGACGGGGTTTACTTTTTAATTAATAAAGCTTGGATAAGACGAACTTCCCTGATGAAATAAAGTTTGAATGGACGTGTTTCACATAAAGTTTCGATAACAAGGATTTTTGAAATAAAGTTTCAACCACACAGTCTTGGAGTAAAGTTTCATTTCGACTAGACGATCTTGAAATCAAGTTTTGACTAGGCGTATTTTCTTTTTGAAATCAACTTGCTACTAAATATGCTTACCCCTTGAAATAAAGTTTTGAATGAATTTGTTTTTCTACTTGAAATGAATTCTTTGTTGAATTTTATACATGAAAGGCTCTCGTATTTGAATATCAGATTAGCCAAGGAAAAACTATTGCGGACTTATTGGGAACGGGGTAGAAGTAGTTACGAACGGGTTTAATCTTGCTATGGACGGGCTTGGGCTGCTTTGAAATCGCAAATTTACTCGATCTGAACTGACTGTGGATGGGGTACAGACGAGATAGACGCATTGAAGACTGTTTATGAACGCACTAGGATCGTATTATAGACATTATTTACAGATTGTACCCCGAACACAACCCGTTTTACGATTTTACAGGACGTAGCGAGAACTAGATTGACGTGACAGGGGCTGTAGGGGTCTTTAGCTGTGGGACAAAACCGGAGGACCGGGAGAAAATTTAAAAGTTTGGACAGTCGTCCCTGCTTATCACGTACAAGCGGAGAATCGAAACCACGGCACTTGACTCAATGACAGAACTTATGATCTAGCGTGCACGCGTTAAGCCATTCGCCCCCCCCCCCCCACCACCACCATATTAAAGGAAGATGATCATAGAACACATTGTAACGTATAATTATGTCTGGTCCGTTACTCCATACTTTTACATTAATTCTGGGTCAGGACTACTTCAATCTGCGCTCTACTTAAAATTGAACTCTACCTATGACCAGTACAAACAGTAACAGGTGACAAAATGCCGTTTGGTTTCACAGATGATCCTGCATCAATTATTGCTACACTCGCCATATCATCGGCTTTAAAATACACGTTTAATATAGCCTCGTGGTTGTCGAAGAAGAAGCAGTATGAGTTGGTAGGCCATATAACACATATTAACAGTTATCCTATCAAGGCATGTGGTGGTATTGCTTTAAAAACAGCTGATGCTACCAGTCTGGGTATACGAGTCAATGGATTTTATGATAGGTAAGTATGTATGTAAATAATCAAGACTACATGTGTGGAATATCGGACGTGTCATATTTTAATAACAGAACAAAGTTTTTATGGGAAACCATCACTGATTTTATCACCTTAGCGTTATTAAGCGCATTTACGTGCACGTAAAAGATCCCTTGGAAGTTGAAATACAATATAAGAGTAGGCCGTAGTACCGCTGTTCTGGCAATATTTCCCTCAATAGCACACTATATGGCGTATGCTCGTCTTCAATATTCCAGTTGAAGCAGAACAGTAGGACGTTAAACCCACGTTCATTTCATTTAGTCCCCGTTAAAGGGAACTTGCTGATGTTGTTAACCTCGAGATATTATACTAATGATTTCAAACTCTAATGAACTATAAAAATAATAAAATACAATATTTCAACACAGCAGTGTATCGGACATTATCCCTTTCTTCCATTCTGTAGCCGCCCAGTCATGGCAGTGAGAAGGAGCCGTGTTTGGCTAACCTATACACCCCGTACCCCCCCCCCCTCCCACACACACACACACCCACACCCACACACACCCAAACAAATCCACACACACACATTTAAAGGCCCAAACTAACAGGTGGACTGCAATCAGATATTGTTCAGTCAAAGAATTGTATCCGGTGATTTTTTGCCAATCAACCCGGACAGATTTTACGGTCCACTTTAATTTTGTAAATAAAATATTAAAGTAGGCTGATCTGACCGACGGAGGAAATAATATATCTAATCGTTCAGATGGCATAAAAAAAACCCGAGGTTTCGTCTACGTACAATGCAATACACGCTCAGAGTACTCTGTGACACGCTGAAGAAAGTTGGAATTCGACATGAAAGTAGGCCGTAGCGACGCTGTCTTGGCAAAATATCCCCGGGGGCGGGAGGATGGCCGAATGGTTATTAGCACGTGCGCGCTGCATCATAAGGTCTGTCATTGAGTCAACTGGCGTGGTTTCGATTCCCGGGTTGTACGTGGCAAAGAGTAAGACCGTCTGTCCTACCTCGTGGGATTTCTCCGGTTCCTCCAGTTTCTTCCCACTGCTAAAGACCTCTACAAGCGAATTATTGAAATAAAATTGAACCAGGTGTTAGTCCAGAAATGGCCTAGTGTGTGACGATTGGACGTTAAACCTCATCTCACTCTCTCTCTCTCTCTCTTTCTCTCTCTCTCTCTCTCTCTCTCTCACTCTCTTTCGGGGCGGTGCAGAAAAGTAGGACGTTAAACCCACTTCCACCGAGCGTGATATCGTACACACGCGTTAAATCACATTTTATTTCCTTTTTAGACATTGGTTAGTGACAAAAGAAAATGGCGACTTTTTAACTGCGAGACAATATCCACAGTTGATTGTTGTCAGTACACGATATACTGATGATAACTTGGTTATTACAGCTCCAGGAATGACAGAATTAACAGTTCCACTTCATCCATCAACAGACAGATCTAAGGTCGTCAACTGCAGGTAACTCATCAAGCTCGGTTACACAAATTGGGCTAATTTGTCCCAAATAAAGTTTCATCAATAATTGACAGGACCGTATTAACCCATGGCTGAGGCCCTAGGCTTCGAGATTCTCTGGCATCCTCGACATCCCTCAATATCCGAAGCATGTATACGAAATGATTGAGCTTCCCATCTTTCGGATCGCAGGTAATTCTTACAGGTAATTCTTTATACTGATCAGAGTAGAGAAAGATGTCCCCCAAAAACAATCTGTGACGAGAAGTGCCAAGAAAATACGTAAACAAATATGTATGTTTGGAAAAGTACCTTAGTAAAAACAAATTTTATAATTTTTTATTCAAATTAAGTAGTGTGTAACAAGGTTAACATCGATAATTTCAAATGGTTAAAATTTTAACCTCATTCTTGGATTGGATGCCCCGATTAACTGTTCTTTCTATACACGTCACTGACTAAGTTATGGTTAATTTGATTAAAGTACAGATCTATATTTCGTTTCGTTTTTTTTTTTCTACTTTCGCTGGCCTACACTACATGAAGATCTGACCCGTTGTAGTAGAAGGTCGCGTCAGGGGCCATACGAGCGGTTTTTACTCTATGACGTCAGACATTTGATTAACCAATCAGCGTTGATGTTTCTAGTGGGTTACCCACAGTTTGGTGCACCTCACGCCAAAAACTCGCCGTAACAGACCGTTTCATTGACTAATCCCTCACATCAACCAGAACTCGGGTTATATAACAACTCTTCCAGATCTTCGTGTAGTAAAGACAAGTTAAACGAAATTTTGAACTATAGAAAATGAAACGAAAAAGGATCTCTACTTCTCTCTTAGGGTATGGAACAACCACCTTGAAGGGCAGGACTGTGGACAGGAAGCCAGTCGTTGGTTCAGTCAATATTTGATGGTGGATGGAATTCGTCTTCTGGTCTCCACACCTGAACTCATGAAATCACAGGCCAACTCAAGGAAAAACGCCTGGGGAAATATAGCATTACCTGGCGATCAGGTAAATACACACCTGGGGAAATATAGCTTTACCTGGCGACCAGGTAATGTATATAATATATCGATATAGTCTTCGTACCATGTATAACAAATCGAAATATTCTAAAACTTCAAATTTATATTTATTTTTACCGTCCATAATAAAATAAAATGATCAGTTTAAAACCAATATCCGGCCACTTTTCAAAACAATCACTGCAGTACCTCTGAAGGTTATCAACAGAATTATCGTGAAAATTAAATTTTTATTGTTACTGTCTTACATACCACAAATCGCGACTGTGGCGACCGACAGTGTGAGCCCTTATCTATCAATACTAATATTTGTGACTGTCGTTTGTCTGTCTGTCTGTTTGTCTGCCTGTTCGGGGTTGGCGGCTACACTAGGTCTGCCCCGAGTCTGAAATTTGGGGTAGAGGGGTAGCTCGGACTGGGGATAGGCCAGGTGGCGTTAGTCTACCACTTCCGGTTTCGGGTTCATGACCCCCGAGCGAAGTCGGGCATTCTTCTAGTATTATCATAAAATGTCTTTAACATTGTTTATCCTCAGTTAGGAGCGGGGGGTGGATGACTGAATGGTTAGCGTGCGCGCGCTGTATCATAAAGTCTGTCATTGAGTCGACTGGCGTGGTTTCGATTCCCTGGTTATACGTGACAATGAGTAGGGTCGCCTGTCCAACCTCGTGGGTTTTCTCTGGGTTCTCAGGTTTCCTCCCACTGCTAAAGACCCCTACGCGCAAGCGAATTATTGAAATAAAATTAAACCATATGTTAGTCCCGAAATGACCTAGTTTGTGTCGAGTAGACGTAAACCCCATCTCTCTCTCTCTCTCTCTCTCTCTCACCTCAGTTAGGATTGCAAAGATTTCATTTGGTTGTAGTATTAGTTGCTTACTAAATAAATAAATAAATAAATACAGAATTTGATCTAGAGATCTAGAGACCATGGTGGTATAGGTAACCTATAAATATCTTCTCAAACGTTCAAATTTCAGAAATCATGAATACACCATGTTTGAAATAATTCGCCATGCCCCCATCGCACTATGCTTCACACTCGGCATTTCATTCACCTTCACCCCTCCAATTCCCCCGCCCCTTTCCTCCTAGAAAACGTAGCCTTGGTCTAAGTGACATCATCTCTTTAAGTGTTTGTATTTATTAAAGGGAGGTTATCAGGATGAATGTTGTGGTTTTTTGATAATGAATCAAGCTTCAGTGACTGAACTGAACAACCATCTGAAGAATCCTGTGACATACAGAAACTTCCGACCTAATATTGTTATAGATGGTAAAACATCATTTGAAGAGGTGGGTGTTATAAATCATAATATAAAGAAATGAAATGAAATGGGGTTTAACGCCCAAAGGGGCTTATGAGTGCTATGAGGGACATTTTGCCTGGACAGCGGCACTACGACCTACTCTTATTTTGAAATTATCACTGTTAACTTTGTTGCAAAAGCTTTTCTCTCTAAGTTGAATACAAAGTGTGTTTTATCTGTTTTGAGATATTTAAAATGTCTTTCCGTTCTCGCCGTTTTGAGTACCGGGTACTAGATTTCGGGTCATTCGATCAAGGACTTGGGCCAGGGAATAACGTAAGCAAAGCAAACCACTGAGAAACATTTCTCTGTTGTATGCCATCAACCGTTTTTAAGGAGGTTCGGTTATTACAGTCTTTGTTTTGTATAATGTTTTGTATAATGAAATGAAATGAAATGAAATGGGGTTTAACGTCCTACTGTTCTGCTCCTAAACTGGGCTAATGAAGACGGGCATACGCCATACAGTGTGCTGTGGGGGAAATTTTGCCCGGACAGCGGCACTATCGCCTACTCTTACATCGAATTCCAACTGCCAAGGGATCTTTTACGTGCATTCCAATGTATACACGGGACCTCGGTTTTTCGTCTCATCCGAAGGACTAGACAACTGTCCTTGTCAGGCCTTCCGTCCTGCATCACTGACAAGGGGAAACCACACCGGAGTTTTGTATAATGTTTTGTATAATTTTTTTTGTATAATGCTTTGTTTCTGTGGTATAATATTCTGCCATATTATATCATCTAAATGTTTGTTTTTTTATTATTTTGACCTCATGTTACACCTTTTTTTATGTCCAGGTGAATAAATTTACGGATATTTTCAGGATAATTGGAAGGAGTTATTGATAGGTAAAAAGGTGAACATTAGAATGTTAGAACCCTGCACCAGGTAAGTATAATTATATCTACTTCATAAACCATTTTATAATTCAAAGACGATTCCTAGGAGCAATACCAAAGATATTTAGTGTAGGTAGAAAGTCATATAGAACCCGTTATCCTAGTCCTGTAGAAACCGGTATCCTAGTCATATAGAAACCGTTATCATAGTCATATAGAAACCGTTATCCTAGTCATCTAGAAACCGTTATCCTAGTCCTCTAGAAACCGTTATCCTAGTCCCGTAGAAACCGCCATCCTAGTCATATAGAAACCGCCATCCTAGTCATATAGAAACGGCCAGTCTAGTCATATAGAAACCGTTATCCTAGTCCTGTAAAAACGGCCACCCTAGTCCCGTAGATTTGCGTATTAAACCCGCTGAAATCAACAGCTTTCCTGTGACATCTGGGACTTTTAAAATTTTCGAACATAACTGCCCTTGATCAATTAGAAAAAAAAACGTTTTGTGTTTCTAGAGGCCTAGGTTATTATCAAGCGTGTATGTTTATGAATTAAAGAATAATCTTGATTTCCAATGTAATTGTTGTCGGAGTTGGCGCCCTTGATCTATTTTTAAACTCGCGTGGACGCTATAGGTATCATTGGATCGACTAGAAATTGATACATTCTCCACACGCTATCCAGCATTCGGACTGCAAGGGAAGACAACTCTGGGAGATTGAATTACGTCACATGTATTTACAATTCCAGATGTTTAGTGACGACAGTGGACCCGGAGAAAGGTGTTAAAAGTGAAGATGGCGAACCATTAAAAACCCTGTCAACGTAAGATAAATATTTTATTCTATATGTTCCCCATGCCAGTGATACCGTAGCGAGTGTCGGGCACTGAACAGTGTCTAGTCGTTCGGATGGTACGAGAAACCGAGGTTGGGATTAGAAATAAGAGTAGGTCGCCGTGGGGAAAAGGAACGGATTTCGAGGCGGGCGAACCATTTAGTATAATGGACTATGTGTTTTGGGATGCATGGCAGGCAGACCCCCTGGGTAATAGTTTTGGTTTTATGTGGTTTTAATGTTTATTAATAGTAAGTGCAGGAAGACCGCACTAGACACAAACAAAGCCCATAAGACACGTGGACAGGCAGTAAACAACAGACGTATATCAGATCAAGTGAATAGATCCGAGGTCCTGCCCTATACCATCACTGACCTGTAGAATCTTAGGCTTGTGATGATACAAGCAAACTGACAATACAACAAACAAACTCACAATACAGCAAACTGACTATACAACAAACAAACTGACAATACAACAAACTGACTATACAACAAACAAACTCACAATACAACAAACAAACTGACAATACAACAAACAAACTCACAATACAACAAACTGACTATACAACAAACAAACTCACAATACAACAAACTGACTATACAACAAACAAACTCACAATACAGCAAACTCACAATACAACAAACAAACTCACAATACAGCAAACTCACAATACAACAAACAAACTCACAATACAACAAACTGACTATACAACAAACAAACTCACAATACAACAAACTGACTATACAACAAACAAACTCACAATACAGCAAACTCACAATACAACAAACTCACAAAACAGCAAACTCACAATACAACAAACAAACTCACAATACAGCAAACTGACTATACAACAAACAAACTCACAATACAACAAACTGACTATACAACAAACAAACTCACAATACAACAAACTGACTATACAACAAACAAACTCACAATACAGCAAACTCACAATACAACAAACAAACTCACAATACAGCAAACTCACAATACAACAAACAAACTCACAATACAGCAAACTGACTATACAACAAACAAACTCACAATACAACAAACTGACTATACAACAAACAAACTCACAATACAGCAAACTCACAATACAACAAACAAACTCACAATACAGCAAACTCACAATACAACAAACAAACTCACAATAAAACAAACAAACAATAAAACAAACTCACAAACTCACTCACAATAAAACAAACTCACAATACAACAAACAAACAATAAACAATAAAACAAACTCACAATACAACAAACAATAAAACAAATAAACAATAAAACAAACTCACAATACAACAAACAAACAATAAAACAAACTCACAATACAACAAACAAACAATAAAACAAACTCACAATAAAACAGACAAACTCACTCACAATAAAACAAACTCACAATACAACAAACAAACAATAAACAATAAAACAAACTCACAATATAACAAACTCAAAATTAAACAAACTTACAATAAAACAAATCACAATAAAACAAACTCACAATAAAACAAACAAACAATAAAACAAACAAACTCAAAATAAAACAAACAAACTCAAAATAAAACAAACAAACAATAAAACAAATAAACTCACAAACTCACTCACAATAAAACAAACTCACAATAAAACAAACAAACTTACAATAAAACAAACAATAAAACAAACTCACAATAAAACAAACAAACTCACAATAAAACAAACAAACTTACAATAAAACAAAGAAAAACAATGAATACAAAAATGCACAATAGAAATGAAGGATTTGTCTTGGTGGTCGTCGTTTCTTCCTGTCTTCCCCTCACCTTTAAAATATTTATGCTTTGTGTTTTTCAGGATACGATGTTACAAGAAGTATGGCAAATCACCACTATTGGGTATGCTGGGGACTGCTGATGAACCGGGTAGAATTAGTCTGGGTGATCCTGTCTACGCTATTCGTAAATAAACCTGGTAGACTTAGTCTACGCTATTCGTAAATAAACACGTGATTCGTTTATATTATAAACATAGAATGAAATCCATACTATAGTTATATATATACTATTATATAAACACTTTATTATTTTGTAATTTGGTAGAGAATGGGTGGGGGTGATGGGGGTCGGTAGGGCTAAGTCTGATGCGTGTACTTATAGAGTCTGGGGGCTGTCATTGCTTTCGATACCAGTACCAGTACCACAGACGTCTGTGACGTGGCAAATATTTTTAAAATAACATTAGGCCTAAGCTATATGACTAAGTGTCATGTCTAAAATCTGTTTCGACCATGTAGTCTGAATCCGATTTCTAATTCAAGGGCAAATAACTCGCCTGAAACCGATTCAAGTTCACTCGACACAAACTAGGTCATTTCGGGACTAACACGTGGTTCAATTTTATCTCAATAATTCGCTTGCGCGTACGGGTCTTTAGCACTGGGAGGAAACCGGAGGGCCCGGGAAAAACCCATGTGGTTGGACAGGCGGCCCTACTCCTTAACACCTACAACCAGGGAATCGAAACCAAACCAGTTGACTCAATGACAGACCTAATGATACAGCGCGCCCGAGTTAACCATTCGGCCATCTAACCTCCCCCATTGACAAAGAGAAACCATGCTGAAAACAATGGGCTGGTTCAAATTATCATTAATGTATTTGTATGACAGATAAAGATGGCGATGTACAATCTAAAAACAATGCGAAATTAAAATGTCCATAACATAAGTTCGAATTGATCGATTTGAATAAAATTTTGTTTTTATTGTTTTGATTAAATGTCGTCTTAGATTGTATTCTCAACCTTTATTCTGGCGTGTTGGTGCTTTATTACACAATATGTCATATCTTTTAAACTTTGGGACAATGTCTAGTCGTTCGAATGGGACGAACAACCGCGGCACGATGTACACATTGGCGTACACGTAAAAGATCCCTTGGCAGTTGGAATTCGAAATAAGAGTAGGCCGTAGCGCCAATGTCCTGACAAAATTTCCCCCACATCACACTATATGGCGTATGCCCGTCTTCATTAGCCTAGACTGAGAAGGGCAGTGGGACGTTAAACGCCATTTTATACGAAAGTGAAACGTAAACACTTTATTTAAACAAGTTTCCTTAAAGCATAAACTGGATCGCCAACATGGATGGGTCCTGCAGCATCAATCGTGGCATTTACACCAAATATAGGACTGGTACCATACTTATCAAAACAACGAAATCTGAAAAAAATATTGTTCAAATTACCTAATACTCAGAATTGTGTTTACTCTATTTCAAAACTTCATTAGAATTGTGTTGAAATTAAAACTAGCTAGAACTGTGTTGAATTCCAAACTAGCTGGAACTGTGTTGACTTCCTTCAAAACTATGTTAGAACTGTGTTGTTGACGTTAAAATTACGTTAGCATTGTGTTGACGTTAAAATTACGTAAGAATTGTGTTGACGTTAAAATTACGTTAGAATTGTGTTGAAGTTAAAACTGCGTTAGAATTCTGTTGACGTTACGTTAAAACTTCGTTACAATTGTGTTGACGTAAACGCGACGTTAGAATATATATGGACATTAAAACCACGCTAGAATGTTTTTGACGGAAACACGACGTTAGAATACATCTGGACGTTAAACCTTTACTAGAATGATCAAGATGTTAAATCTGAACTAGGATTTTGTAATCAAATGGGTATGTACGAGTACTTACGTTTTTAAAGTTTTTAAAGGCTCTCCAGATTGACTGAGTTCTCCAGTAGAAGAGTTGACAGTAGTCATTTTACATCTAAAACAACAGGGAAAACAGAAAATCTTACTGTATTCTATAAACATTAGAGCTATGTGAAATTAAATAATGGGCCGATTGTTTTGACTTGGGTTTCAGAAGCCTAAACCATTGGCGTAAAGATGTTTTCATTTGACAAGCACTCGTGAGTTTTGTCTGGGTCAACATTTGATACAAGGTATTAATGATACAGGTATATTTTAATGATACAGGTATATTTTAATGATACAGGTATATTTTAATGATACAGGTATATTTTACCTGGTACAATGTATTGATGATACAGGTATATTTTACCTGCTACAATGATATAGTGTATCTTTACCGGGTACAATGATCCAGGTATATTTTAACTGATACAATGTATTAATGATCTGGCACAAGGTATTAATGACACAGGTATAATTTACCTGGTACAAGGTATTAATAATACAGGTATAATTTACCTGGTGCAAGGGTCCAATAATCTCATCTCTACAGTTTCACCAATTTTTATTACCTGCCAATTATCCTACAAATTACAATATCATACTATATAATACACTAGTATTAAAATATCATACAATATAATACACTAGTATTACAATACCATACTATATAATACACTAGTATTACAATATCATACAGATAAACAGTATTACAGTATCATACCATATAATACACTAGTATTACAATATCATACCATATAATACACTAGTATTACAATAATAAATAAAGATAATCATACTTTACAAATAGTATTACAATATCATACCATATAATATATACAATCATACTATACAACTAGTATTACAATACCATATAATACATATAACTATAATTACAATATTATACTATATAATACAGATTCACGGGGTGGGGGGGGTAGGGCTCGTTCGTTCGTGGAGTTTAATGTCCGCTTCTATGAGTCCTTGTTCTTGCTTATATTCTACTATCAGCCATGTCAAGGATAGCATCCGGTGTAAAGTCACGTGGTAGTAGAAGTAAGGCAACAACAACCGGCATCTCAATCTGGTTAAAATACAGATCTATATTAGGTTTCTTTTTTATTCTGTCAACGGCCTACACTACATGAAGATCTGACCGGTTGTACTGGAAGGTCGTGTCAGGGGTCATACGGGTCGCTTTTGACCTTATAACGTCGGACATTGATTAATCAATCAGCGTTGACGTTTCTAGTCGTTTACCCACAGTTCCGTGTAACTCACGTTAAAAACTCACCGTAACAGATCCACAGTTCCGTGCACTTCACGCCAAAAACTCACCGTGACAGACCGTTTTATTGGCTAATCACTCACATCAACCAGAACGCGAGTTATATAACAAGTAAAGACAAGTAAAACGAATTTTTGAGCAATAAAAAACGAAACGAAATAGGATCTGTCGGCATTATTCAGTGAGGTACCGCGGCTCTCTATTTATCTCGGGCATACATTTATAAATAGAGTTATTGAAAAATCCTGGGGAACCATTTTGTCCAACATCGGGATCGAACTCCGGACCTCCTAATTAGTCGGCAACCGCGTTAATCACTAAGCCACCGTGGTTAGCTGTTGACCGTCAAATGGTGTGTTGTTATTTATAACTATATTAGATCTGAAGTTAGTTATTTTGGACTTACCTCGTCAAATGGCGTGTTCTTATCTATAACTATACTAGATCTGAAGTTAGTTATTTTGGACTTACCTCGTCAAATAGTGTGCTGTTATATTGGACTTACCTCTTCAAATGGTGTGCTGTTATATTGGACTTACCTCATCAAATGGTGTGTTGTTATATTGGACTTACCTCGTCAAATGGTGTGTTGTTATATTGGACTTACCTCGTCAAATGGTGTGTTGTTGTCTATAACTATATTGGGTCTGAAGTTTGTTATTTTGACCGGCGACGAGAGTTTAGAGTTCAGTTGCTGTAGCGACGCTGTGTTAAAGACTAGATAGGCACAGAAATCACTAAACGCTGCCTGAAAAACAAAAACAGTTCTAAACAATGGAAATACTTTCTCACTTCATAGACTGAAAGAGAAATTGATATGAAATGGGGTTTAACGTCCAACTTTTCTGGCACACCAATAGGGCTAATGAACGCGGGCATACGCCGTGTCGTGTGCTATTTGGGAAATTTATAGTCTACTTTTATTTTGAATTTCAATTGGCAGAGGTCTTTAACACGGTTAAATCTTTTTGATAAGGCTAACTTCAGGTTTGGTCAAAGGTCACGATCGAGATGTAAAGAGGGCTAGTGTTAATCCCAACCCTAACCCTACGCCTTACCCTAAACCTAACCCACAATTCTCGGCAACAATCACGTGCCCTAACCCTGTTTACATCACGTGACCTTGAGGAAATATGCATTTGGCTTTGTCAAATAGACAGAAACGACAAGCAACTGGGACATACTTTTGATCTACCTGTCTGTATCATACAATTTGATTAAAACAAAGATCCTATTTCGTTTCGTTTTTTATAGTTCAAAATTTAGTTTTACTTGTCTTTGCTAATGCTACACTAGGATCTGGAAGAGTTGTTATATAACCCGCGTTCTGGTTGATGTGAGAGATTAGCCAAAGAAACAATCTGTTACGGCGAGTTTTTTGGCGTGAGGTGGACGGAACTGTGGGTAACCCATTAGAAACATTAACAAGGGTTAATCAAATGTCTGACGTCATAGGGTCAAAAGCCGCTCGTATGACCTCTGACGCGACCTTCACTACAAATAGTCAGATCTTCATGTAGTAGAAGCTATCGAAAGTATAAAAAAATGAAACGAAATATAGATCTGTATTTTAGTCAGATTGTGTGCCATATTACCTGATCACCTGGTAGTGCCGGCTTTCCCCACGGTTTCTCCACTAGCGATGAATCTCGTTTTTCTAACTCCGGAGCCGAAAATACAAGTCGTAGTCCATCAATTCCCAAGAATTTACTCAACCAGGTACCAGCTTCTTGTCCACAATCTAGACCAAATGTTTTATCGCCCCATACACTGGAAAATAAACATCTTAAATTACGATCATGGGTAGGGTACAGGGTGGAAATAGGTTGGGGTGTATAGTGGAAACTAGCTGGGATGAATAGTGGAAACTGGCTGGGATGGATAATGGAAACGTGCTGGGATGTATAGTGGAAACTGGTTGGGATGGATAGTGGAAACCGGCTGGGATGGATAATGGAAACATGCTGGGATGTAGAGTGGAAACCTGCTGGATAGTGGAAACTTGCTGGGATGAATAATGGAAACTGGCTGGGATAGATAGTGGAAACTGGCTGGGATGGATAATGGAAACATGCTGGGATGTATAGTGGAAACTGGCTGGGATGGATAGTGGAAACAGATGCGATGTAGAGTGCAGACAGGTTGGAAACATTGTAAACTGGTTGGAAACAGGTTTGAATATATAGTTGGAACTGCCTCCGATATATACTAAAAACAAATCGGAGTTTTCGCTTTTAAAATCAATTTAATGACTATAATATTTTATGCTACTTACCGACAAGGTAGAATTTTAGACTTATTCAATGGTAGATTTATTGGTACATTTAATACAGGCATTCCATCAGCCTTGATCTGTAAATTGTTACCATTATAGTTTACTTGGATCACCGCCATCTTGGGTTCTTGTCGTTGTGTAAGAAAATCGCCATTTGATTTTATCACCATCCAGTGCCTAAAGATATTATCAACTGTTTTACGATTCAGATCATTCAGATATTTCACTTGAGGACCCTCCCAATCCCCTCCCTCCATCACTACTAGAGGACGATGAGGATACGCCCACAAATGCACAAATGCACAAATATCAAAAGGGGCTGAGATCTTTGGGATATAAAGATATGTTTTAAGTTTCATCAAACCTTCGTATTACATACTTTTACACAATTTGCATACAAATTTGGCAGTTTCATTTCAATTTTCCCGAAATTCGAATTACAATCAAGGGCCATGATTCAGGAAGTTACCATCCGATATGCGCGAATATCGATAGGAACAAAGATCTTTGGGTTATAAACATGCATTTCAAGTTTCATCAAAATCGGATTTAAAAATGTGACCTCTTGTAGCACAATCGTCGTTCCGAAATTGTTTTTAAATTTATAGACAAGGAATAGAGAAATAAGATGGCTTTATATTTCATTAATTAATATCTTTGGCAAGTTAGTAATTTCAAACATATTCACATATGCAGTGTGTACTAAATCACCTTATGGTATAAATGGCATATTGTTATATACTATTCAAAAAAAGTAGGGGATATTTGATTTTTAAGTGTTATTAAAGTCACCTAATGAAACTGACGAAGAAACAAATGACAAAATGAAATGAAGTTCACATTCATCGATTTATTCCAAATGATCGTTAGACTAAGTAAGGCACAGACTGACCATTATAAGGGTAAAATGATACCCGGGGTCAAACAGCAAAGTTACCACAGCATCACAACCAAGTCAGTAACGGGTAAATCCTCCTCTGTTTGCCAAACAAGCATTGATCCGACGTGGCATACTCCTAATGAGACGTCTAAGGTCATTTTGGTCCAGATTGTCCCATTCCTGTTGCAACGCAGCAGGAAGTTCTTGGACATTGGCAGGACGTTGTTGACGTTGACGTAACCTCTGTCCAAGCATGTCCCAGACATGCTCGATGGGGGAGAGGTCGGGACTCAGTGCTGGCCAAGGTAATGTGGTGATGTTCTGTTGTTGGAGGTAACCTGTAACGACCCTGGCCCTGTGACATCTTGCGTTGTCATCCTGGAAGATGAAACGGCGGCCATGACGTCGTGCGAACGGCACAACATGGACTGCCAAGATGTTGTCCCGGTAGTACTGGCCTGTAACACGCCCTGCAACAACATGTAAAGCCGTTCTTCCAGCAACAGTGATGCCTCCCCACACCATAACAGAACCACCCCCAAATCGATCATGTCTGATGACGTTAACGTCTTGGAAGCGCTCGTTTCGACGACGCCACACCCTCCTACGTCTGTCCAAAAAATTAACAGTGAACCTTGACTCATCTGAAAACATCACATTGCTCCAGCGTCGATTATCCCAGTGTTGACGATCCCTACACCAACGACGTCTTGCCTGAATGTGATGATCTCTCAAACAAGGGATCACGCGAGGACGTCGGGCGCGAAGGTGACCCCTATGCAGTCGATTCCGAATCGTCTGGCCACTCACTCTCACACCAGTGTCTGTTTGAAGACGAGCGCTGATCTGATTTGCTGTGATGACACGATTTCTCAAGGCCAAGGTAGGGATAAATCGGTCCTGGGCTTGAGTTGTCGCCCTTGGTCGACCTGAGCGTGGTCTGTCCTGTACAGATTGTGTATCACGGTATCTGGACTATAGCCTGCTTATGACAGACTGAGAAACATTCATCGTCCGCGCCACAACCGCCTGTGTTGTGCCGATCTGTAGCATGCCAAGGGCACGTAACCTTTCATTTTGGGTAAGCCGACGCATATCAAAATTTGTTTTCTGGTCACTAAAACAATTAAACTGATGTTTCCACCCTGGAATTCAATGCCACAATGACTGTAACATTCAAAGTCAGAGTCGTGCAAATCTTGGGTTGGACCCCCATGATGATCCCAAGTATCACCTGCATTCCATGCGGTAGCTATTGGTGCGTTTGGGCGTCACATGTAACTGGAAATGTTTCTTCTGTTAGGTTCTATAGTGACTTTTTTCGTAGTCATTTGCATATTTTAGTATTATGCCCCCAAAATCAAATATCCCCTACTTTTTTTGAATAGTATATAAAAAAGAGTTATTTAGTCATAACATGTGTCTATAAAATACCCCGAGATTACACGTGAGTGGAATTATTCTAATTCCATCATTTAGCTTAAAGTAACCAATCATATCGTTAATTACACAAGTTCAGGGCCATGATCACACTTCATTGTGCGTGATATTCATATGCCTTTAAAAGAAACCGTGGAACTCTGTAAGACAGACTTTTATTAGATTCCAGAGAGGTTCCATCTGAGTTCCTAGACAGTCGCGAGGCTCGGTAGGCTGGAGAAATGGTTTTGCTAATATTGTAATCTGAGCTTGTATACATGTATTCGGCTATGCTATATAAAATGTAGACACAAACTGTTGCATTGTTATTCCTGGTAAGAAAAACGTCTTGAGAAACCATTAAGAAGTAAATACACAACGTGAAGCAGAAGTAAAGACAGCTAGAGACAAATTCTAGACGATCACAAGGCTACAGAAATATGTAGTAAGAAAAGATGCATGGGTCGTATGTAAGATGTGGCGACCGGTTTTTGGAATTCTCGCTCTCCACGTCAGACAGAAAAACCTATGGTGCTACACTCTAGGGGTTGGACAGGCGATCCTACTCCTTATGACGTACAACCGGGGAATCAAAACCACGCCAGTTGACTCAATGACACACCTTATGATACAGCGCGCACGTACTAACCATTCGGCCATCAAACCCAGCTCTGGAGTTTAAGACTACAGTGCGTGCAAGAAAGACGGGGTCAACAATGAAATGAAGTGAAATAGGGATTAACGTCCTACTGTTCTGCTCCAGCAGAGCCGACTTCCTGGCAAAATTTACCTCATAGCACACTTGGCAGTTGGAATTCGAAACATACCATAGTGCTGCTGCCCAGGCAAAATTGCCCTCGTAGCACAGTGTATGGCATATACCCGTCTTCATTAGCCCAGTCGGTGCAGAAAAGTAGGACGCTAAACCTCAACTCATTCCATCTGATCCTTTCATCTCAATTGCCCTCGTAGCACAGTGTATGGCATATACCCGTCTTCATTAGCCCAGTCGGTGCAGAAAAGTAGGACGCTAAACCTCAACTCATTCCATCTGATCCTTTCATCTCAATTTTGGGTGCTTTTCTTTATAAAATGGGGGGGGGGGCGGGGTGCGGTACAAAAAGGGGCAGCTACATTCAATTGGATTGGGTGAAGCCGGGGGGGGGGGGCACTAGGGGGCACCCCCTGTTCCCTTCCTAGACCTGGCCTTGATACTGCAGCAGCCTATATTGTCACCTTTAACTGGATTGACCGCAAACTAAATATATTTTTACAGATTTGGCGCTCCATACACATGCAACAATTTTACGCTATTGACCCAAAATCTCTTCTAAAAGAACATACCTATCTGTGACCTCTTGAACTTTGACACCAAGTCTGGAACATTCGCCAGCTTCTAGTTGAAATCCACCGCATGATTTAACAGGATAGCAATATACGGCAGAGACCTGTCCGACATATTCAAAACTTTTACTCCTTTTCCATCGAGCGAAAACCCCAAATAGATATTTAGTCAGTGCAAGCGATGCTAGTGACGTAAAGATATGAGCTGGATTCGACTGATCGAGCATTTTAACTAAATTGTGCCGAATGGGTTCTCAATCTGCTGGAGTTCTGTGATCGATATGGAATAATATGGTTTAGACCGACTGTCTTAATGATCTTGGTCGATTGCCTCAATTTAGTCCCGACCTCATATATCTAATCATACAGTCTGTAACTAGATAGATGGGGGTTATTACTGATAAATAAATCAGTTTTAAGAAAATAGGCCAAACTATGGAACACCGATGCGGTCAAGACTAAAATACGTGCCATAGGCGTAGTTTATCGTGACATGGGGTTTAACGTGCTACTGTTCTGTTCCTACGGGGCTAATGAGGGAAATTTTGCCCGGACAGTGGCGCTAACGGCCTACTCTTATTTCGAATTCCAACTTTCAAGGGAATTTTTACGTGCATAACAATGTGTACACGGGACCTCTGTTTTCGTACCTTCCGAACGACTAGATGCTGGCCTTCCCCATTCTCCGTGCACCACTGACGATGGGAAATCACGCTGGAAAATCCCGGCGAACGTCTCGGCTTGCACAGGAATCGAACCCAGGTCCTCCTTCTTCGTGAACATGCGCCTTATTAACTGAATCAACGTTCCTCCCCTGATTATCGCCGTGTTTCAGTCTACCCAGTCAAGGGGGGTTGGATGGCCGGATGGTTAGCACGTGCGCGCTGTATCCTCGGTTGTACGTGACAAGGAGTAGGGTCGCCTGTCTAGCCTCGTGGGTTTTCTCCGGGTCCTCCGGTTTCCTCCCACTGCTAAAGACCCCTACGCGCAAGCGAATTATTGAAATAAAATTGAACCATGTGTTAGTCCCGAAATAACCTAGTTTGTGTCGAGTGGACGTTAAACCCCATTTCTCTCTCTTTCTCTACCCAGTCAATTTGGTAGCATCAGAATACTGGTGACTACAAGGTAAATAAGCCACCGACGCTGTACTGAAATGGCGGCTCAATGGGTAACACTTTGGCTCGCTAACAAGGAGGTCTCTTTTTTCGACCCCTGTATTAGCCGACAAAGTTCTCAATAGTAGCCAATTTTCTGGTGCCCCTCCTCCTCCTCCTTTGTCAGTGAGTCGTTCGGGTTGGACGAAAAGCGATGAACTAACACTTTATTTACTGAGCGTCAACGACTCCCCTTATTAAATTAATCATTTAAACATATTTTATTGATGATAAATTATCAAAGTGAATTCACTTACAAAGCTCTTCGTCCTACAAATACATGATAATAATACATGATTATTGAAACAATATCAGTTTATATATTCTATTATATTCATAACTATATTTTATATTCTAACTAAACTTCTATAATTATAGCTACAAATTTGATAATTATAACTACACTTTTATATCTATAACTTCAATTTTATGTTTTTAACTACAATTTTAATATCCATAATTACAATTTTATGTTTTTAACTACAATTTTAATATCCATAATTACAATTTTATGTTTTTAACTACAATTTTAATATCCATAATTACAATTTTATGTTTTTAACTACAATTTTAATATCCATAATTACAATTTTATGTTTTTAACTACAATTTTAATATCCATAATTACAATTTTAATATCCATAAAATTAAATATTATTTATAAATAATATTTATAGATATATTTATTAAATTGGAATCCAATAAAAACAGTTCGAGTTTTATCGCTTTTATTGTCTAAAAATCCTGACAGTGTGTTGGGTACCCAGAGTACAATTCTTGTCTTGGTAATAGAAAGATGATCTTTTCGTCTTGTCGTAAAAATATGATTGAACAGGGACTGAATTATCTGGTTTAACCACGACATGGTATACACTGATGTAACCAAGATCCTCTGTTTGAACAGTAAAACCGATGTCTCCATTGGGATCATAACGGACACCTGTTAAATATACAAACAGTAAATACAATATCACCATTAGTAGCATAGCGGGCACCTGTTAAATATAAAAACAGTAAATACAATATGACCATTGGGATCATAACGGGCACCTGTTAAATATAAAAAAAACAGTAAAACCGATGTCACCATTAGGATCATAACGGGCACCTGTTAGATATACAAACAGTAAATCCAATATCACCATTAGTAGCATAGCGGGCACCTGTTAAATATACAAGCGTGTCGTGCATATAATGCTGTCATTTGAAGACTTCTGGTATGATCAAATTTCTATACGAAGAAATTGGTGTGTTGGATGCTAGACAAACCTTGTTCATCAACCTTCTCCATCACTCGGCAAACCTCAGCAGATTCCAGTACCCTACATCTAGCCTCGGCTGTATTACTTCAAGTTCCCGGATTACCAACGGCGTTGCCTATGACGACGCCTTTGAAGGCTATTTTATCATACATATATTTCAATGTCTGAAGAAGTTTTGTTTTTCTTTCAAGTTTATCCTATTTTCTTCATCTTCAAACAATGACAACTTAATTTGCACTGAAATTTCTACACACGCTTCGAACAACACAATTTTGATAACTTCTTTTTAACAGCGGCAATTTTTCTTAATATCCCCGTCAGACCGGGGTGGCGTCCTTCTTGCGCTGCTATGGCGATGGAAATTGGTTTTAGAGCGCGTCAAGATCGCCATAAGCGTGATAGAAACGCCAGCTAACGTGCTGTGGTCTCTATGGTCGCCGAGTCACGGCGTTTGTTTTGAGCATGTTCAAAACAAACGCCACGGTTCTGCGATCTGAACTAGAAAGCTATGAGAATGCGATTCTTTTCAAGTTTGTAATTTTTGGGGACATTTTCTCGTGTTGTGTTCACGTTTGCCGGCGACCTTGTGTATTTTCTGGTCGCTGTACGGTCGCAGCAGCGCAGTAAGGACGCCACCCCGGTCTGACGGGGGCATAATAAGTAAACCGGTGCCGCATCGCAATTGTATAGGCGTAGATACATTAGTGTACATATATCACTTACCGTCATACAGCCGAGGCTAGATGCAGAGTTACGAAATCTGCCGAGGTTTGCCGACTGCCTTCTCCATCTCCCCTCTACCGTCTCCACCCTACCTTCTCTATCATCTCCGCCCTACCTACCCTCACCATCTCGCCCCTACCTACCCTCACTATCTCGCCCCTACCTACCCTTAACAACCTTCACTTCCCACACCTCGCCAAATCTCTTCAAACTTTCTCCACCATCCACCACCTCCTCCACCTTCTCTTCCAGTTCCTTCTCACCTTCCATTTCTCCCCCACGCGACTTACCATCCTCAGCTTTCTCAACCAATACTAGATCTTTGTACGATCTGAGAAATATCTTTCTCTAGGGTTAGGGTTAGGGTTCGGGTTAGGTTTATAAATTACATGTCAAACGTACAAATTGAAGCTGTAACAACGGTGGATTGTGGCTAAAACTATTCTGAAGGGTTAGGGTTAGAATTGTGGGTATAAACACGTAAAAAAATCAAAGATATTTCTCAGATCGGGAGGATCCAGTATCGTGTAAACTATCCCGACTTACCTCATAAACCTGCTCTATCATCTCATCCTTACCTATCCTCACCAACCCCCTCTTGTCGACCTACCCCTCATTCTGCTCCACACAAGTATTACCTATCTCATCCCATCCTCACCAACCCCCTCTTGTCGACCGGTCTACCCCCTCATACTGCTCCACACAAGTATTACCTATCTCATCCCATCCTCACCAACCCCCTCTTGTCGACCGGTCTACCCCCTCATACTGCTCCACACAAGTATTACCTATCTCATCCCATCCTCACCAACCCCCTCTTGTCGACCGGCCTACCCCCTCATACTGCTCCACACACGTACTACCTATCTCATCCCATCCTCACCAAGCCCTCCTTCCGACCGGCCTACCCGACATTTCACACCGATCCCTCCCGACCGGTCTACCCCTCATTCCGCACCATACTCGTACTACCTACCAGTAAGCCTTCCAGCGATCCACTGATGACCGGGAACAGATGGAACAGGTTGACATTGATATATATCAATGGCATAATAAAGGTTATGACCAACTTTTACAGCGGTTTGTAGTTGTACGAAGTTTGCTAGAGCTGTTCCTGGTGGAGATGTTGCTACGATCCGTACACCACTGAAATATACACAGAGAGAGAGAGAAAGGAGGAGAAATGGGGGTTTGAGGTCCACTCGATACAAAATAAGACATTTCGCGACTAACATTTTATAGTTTTATTTCAATAATTCAATATATATCAAAACAGAGATAGAGGGAGGATGAGAAATGGGGTTTTAACGTCCATTTGACACAAACTAATACATTTCGCGACTAACATTTTATAGTTTTATTTCTGTAATTCGCTTGTGCGTAGGGATCTTTAACAGTGGGTGGAAAACTATAGGACTCAATAAAACAAACGTATATAAATAGCCTAGAACACCCAGTAAAACAAATGAAATGAAATGGTGTTTAACAACCTACTGTTCTGCTCCTACTAGGCTAATGTTGACGGGCATAGGCCATACAGTGTGCTATGAGGGAAATTTTGCCCGGACAACGGCCTACTCTTATATTGAATTCCAACTACCAAGGGATCTTTTATGTGCACGCGAATGTGTACACGTGACTTCGGTTTTCCGTCCCATCCAAATGACTAAACAGCTGTCCTTGTCAGAGACGCTGTCCTGCACCACTGACAAGGGGAAACCACGCCGGAAAATCCCGATGAACTTTTTCTGCCAACACCGGAATCCAACACGGGAATTAAGTATATTTTGGGAAAACACACGTGTACAGCGAACATTTCCTACCTTGTGCACGACATACATTATATTTACCTCGTGTTGCCCTGATCCATCCGACAGTCTACCTCGGCTTGAGCCAAATAATGGTAATTCACTGGATTAATGGTGATTAAGCCGAGTATAACCTTGCCTGTGTTATATAGAGAGAACTCCGAAAAATGAAAAGCTGTTCCTAAAACATAAATGACGAGGTTTGGGTAACTTTAGGCTTTAGGACACCTTGTACAATAAACAAGCACCGGGATTATGTTTAATTCAGTTTAGTTCAATAATTACAATGTTTAATCAATGCTCAAAAATATTTCTGAGGTAATCCTAATTCTTAAGGTGGGGGGGGGGGGGGGTCACGGTGTGGCTAAGTGGGTAAGACGCTGGCTGGCTCGCTAGCCTGGAGGCCCGGTGTTCGATCCCTGCATTGGCCGGGAAAGTTTATCCAAATTTTCCGGCGTGGTTCCCCCTTGTCAGTTGTCAAGTCGTTCGGATGGGACGGAAAACCGAGGTCCCGTGTACACATTGGCGTGGACGTAAAAAATCCGTTGACAGTTGGAATTCGATATAAGAGTAGGTCGTATAGTGCCGCTGTCGGGGCAAAATTTCCCTCATAGCACACTGTTCGGAGCAGAACAGTAGGACGTTAAACCCCATTTCATTACATTTTCATTTCATTTCCTAATTCTTAAATAAATTATTGTTGCACTGAGCTGGTGGGGGAGGAAGGGGGCGTATATTGCCGGGGTATTGGCGTTTCTACTAACTCTTAATCAAATTTTAATTGTCAAGGTTTACAACGTGTATACGGAATCTTTGTTTTTCGTCCCATCCCAAGAACTAGACAATGTTCCTTGCCAGACCGCAAAATCACCACTGATTTACAAAGTCGTTGGATTGGAGGGCTTCAGATTCGGTGAACTGTCCATTTTTCGGGCAATGTATTTCCGTTTTTCGGGCACAAACATCAGACAATGGGGAACATTAAGTTGTTTTTTGCTTAACATATCGTAAATTTATATAGTGTAATTGTGTGATTAATTAAAAATAAACAACAATCACAGCTTTGTGGAAAATTCGTTTTAGTTAGTGATTCATTCATTATGATAAAGAAAATTTCTGGGCAAATAGGCTCAGCCCCCACTCACCAAACTGAGATTGGTCTCCATTATATGCACTCTAAACAACTACGATAATACTGCATTGACCACATTCCTTGCCAGCCCCCGGTCGGCACCTATGACCCTAAACAAATCACTATAAAAACTGACCTGTTAAATTCAATCTCTGTCCTTCCACTTGTCTTGAACCCCGAAGTTCATCTCCATACGAACGACTTATAGACGCAGTTCCTTGCAAGGCCCTTCGCCTGTAGCATTGACAAGGGGGGACAACTCTAGAATAATTACTTCAGCAACTCACCTGTTAAATTCAATCTCTGTCCGTTCACCTGCAGCATTGACAAGGGGAGACAACTCTAGAATAATTACTTCAGCAACTCACCTGTTAAATTCAATCTCTGTCCGTTCACTTGTCGTTGAACCCCGAAGTTCATCTCCCATTCATCGTCCTTGTAAATAGTAAGAACTCCACGGTCAATATCTTCAGTAAAGGAATACACAGTCATATTGTTTAAATTGGCCATCTGTTCACACTTCTTCACATCGATCTGATAAGTCAAGGCAGCACCAGAAATATAATATTGGATAAATTCTGCGTTGGTGATGTCGTGTGGTTGATATAACTGGCCATAGCTTTAATAAAAGATATTTAACCCGTTTCATTTAACTATAAGAGAGAGAGAGAGAGAGAGAGAGAGAGAGAGAGTGAGAGGGGAGGGAGAGAGAGCGGAGTGTTTAACATCCACTCGACACAAACCAGGTCATTTCGGGACTAACATATAGTTCAATTTTATTTCAATAATTCGCTTGCGCGTAGGGGTCTTTAGCAGTGGGGGGAAACCGGAGGACCCGGAGAAAACCCACGAGGTTGGACAGGTGATCCTACTCCTTGTCACGTACAACCGGGGAATCGAAACCACGCAGTTGACTCAATGACAGGCCTTATGATACAACACGTACGTGCTAACCATTCGACCATCCAAGTGATCCAACCCCCTCCTCAGCTTCCCCTTAAAAGGACAAAAAAAAACCCAGCAACGTTGAATGCGGTTTGGGTAGCCCCGAATAGTTTTAAATAAAGGGAGGTTACAAAATTGACTGGATATTTCGGATACATATATAATATAGGTAAACACTTGAACTTACCTGGACAAAATCAAACTCAGAAATATAAAGCCTATAGTTTTTATCGCCATTTTAAATTGACTAATATACACAAATGATGTCGTTTAGTGTAGCAGATTGATTGTCTATCATCACCTGAGAGACGACTTAATGAAACATGACCAAATTTGATACTATCTTATATAGTTTAAATTTAAAAATTCGATACTATCTCTATCTGGTATTTTAAAGAGACAGGGGAAGAAATAGGGCTTTAAGGTCCGTTAATTTTTGCGTGTGTAATATAGTTACATGTATAAGGGTCTAGTTTGATTTTCTTTTTCTTTTTTATTATCATTTTTTTTTTTTTTTTTTTTTTTTTTGAATTAGTGGGATTGGGGTGCGGTTGGAGTATCAAAATAGTAATTGTTCCGATTTATTAAATTATCTATTTTATTTAAATTATTATTTGGTAGATAGCGGGAAGGGGGGATGAGGTGGGGGCGGTATCAAATTAGTATTTTCGAAGTATTTAGGGAAGTGATGTGAATTTGCACTAAGGGAGGTGGGGGTATTTACACTCTGATCTATTGTTATTCATACTTTTATTAATTATCAATGTATATTATTTATATTTGTATACATGTTTTGGCTACAGCAAACTTTTTGCTTCGCCTGTAATAAAGTTCAAGTCATTAGCGTGTCACTATTTCTTTAGCAGTGGGAGGAAAGCTGACGACCCGGATATAACACACAAGGTTCTACAGGCGACCATACTCCTTGTCACATACTACCTTGGGGATCACGGTGGTTAAGTCGGTAAGACGCTGGCTCGCTAGCCTGGAGGTCGGGTGTTCGATCCCTGCATTGGCCGAGAAAGTTCATCCAGATTTTCCGGCGTGGTTCCCCTTGTCAGTGATGAAGGACGGAGGGCCCGACAAGGACAGCTGTCTAGTCCTTCGGATGAGACGGAAAACCGAGGTCCCGTGTATACATCGGAATGCACGTAACAGATCCCTTGGCAGTTGGAATTTGATATAAGAGTAGGCGATAGTGCCGCTGCCCGGGCAAAATTTCCCTCATAGCCCACTGTATGACGTATGCCCGTCTTCATTAGCCCAGTATAGGAGCAGAACAGTAGGACGTTAAACCCCATTTCATTTCACATACTAGCTACAATTAAATGTATCGTTAAACGGAAGACATCAGTAGTGGAACCATTTCTAGTCACGTACAAGTGTGACTTAATGAAAGACCTTATGATCTGAAACACATGCGTTAGAGCACTCGACACCCCCCGCACACACACATATCTCAAACCTTGCTACTCATGGAATTAATCTTTTTATTCAACAAGGTATTTTAGTCCAGATACCTGTAGCTACTATAGTCACGATGTAGATCAATGTTTAAAGGGTCATTAAACATACATTATGACGTCACATTAATAATGACGTCATTGTATTAATCATATTAAACATACATTATGCAAGAGCTAAATCTGTCTATTACAGGTTATAATCCTAAATTTAAAGATACCGAGACCGGTAGATGGCTTGGTATTCCAAGACAACAGAGAACCTGCAATATCTGCACACTAACTTAATTCCTAAAAATATAATAAAATTTAGAAATATTATTTCATTCTATAACCTATTTAATAATTACAAATATAGTACTTTAAATAGTTTATGTAAATTTATATTTATTATTCAACAGACATTAAACTCCCTTTCAACTTAACACATTGTATATTATATTCATGTTATTATTATGTTACTCCCCCATCAACTAAACGTATTGTATATATATTTTTATTTTATGATTATTATGTTATATTAATTAGATTACACTATTTCTTCTCTACGCTGTTTATTGTAACGGTTATTTGAGAATAAAGTTATTATTATTATTATTATTATTAATATCGTCTCTAGTGTAACCAATCTGATTAAAATGCACATCTATATTTCGTTTCGTTTTGTTTATACTTTTGATTGCCTACACCACATTAATTTACGTTAATTTTGGCCCACTCTAAATATAATAGCAAATACTTAACAGGACATAATTCGGAATTAGTGTTTGCAATAATAACCCGGAAGTCAACTCTATAGATATCAGGTTCACTCGTTACTAGGGTAACAGGCATAGTTCCGCACTGTAAGCACGCAGACAGGCACACGGTGTACGTTTTTCGATACGCACAACGAGACACAAATAACTTATCATATAAGAAATGAAATGAAATGGGGTTTAACGTTCTACTGTTCTGCCCCGAAATGGGCTAATGAAGACGGGCATACGCCATACAGTGTACTTTCAGGGAATTTTTGCACGGACAGCAAGGATCTTTTTCGTGCATGCCAATGTGTAGGCCTACACGGGACCTCGGTTTTTCGTTCCATCCGAACGACTAGACAGCTGTCCTTGTCAGGCCCTCCGTCCTGCATCACTGACAAGGGGGGACCACGTCGGAAAATCTGGATAAAATTTTTCTCGGCCAATGCAGGAATCGAACACCCGACCTCCAGGCTAGCGAGCCAGCGTCCTACCCACTTAGCCACCGTGACCCCCCCCCCTCCATAATATAAGGAATTTAAATGTTCTGAAGTATATGGCCTTTTCTGAGAAAAAGAACAAGGTTAGCGTGTGCGCGTTGTATCATTAGGTATGTCATTGAGTTAACTGGCGTGGTTGTACGTGACAAGAAGTAGAGTCGCTAGTATATGGATTTTATTGGGCTTCCATATAGCCAAAAATCATTTTTCCCAGTGTGATAACGCCCACATGAATGTCAAAATACAAAAACAGACAACAAACATTTTCCGCCTAGGTTTTGGCAAATATTTGATTTTGGAAACACGGCTATATGTGACCCATGGTGGCAAGCTGAGTCGCAATAAGGAAATTTTGAAAAGTGAGTTATTGTTATTTTCCTTCTCAATACCTTCAAAAATTGATATACCATGCCCATTTAAAGCTGACGAAGCTCTCTCTCTTACTCTCTCTCTCTCTCTCTCCCGTCTCTCTCTCTCTCTCTCCGAAGAGAGAATAGTTACTGGTATCTGGATGTATGGTACAGACTTTATGACCCTTTAAATATCGATCTTAATGACCCTTTAAACATTGATCTTAACGACCCTTTAAACATCGATCTTAATGACCCTTTAAACATTGATCTTAACGACCCTTTAAACATTGATCTTAATGACCCTTTAATATTGATCTTAATGATCCTTTAATATTGATCTTAATGACCCTTTAATATTGATCTTAATGACCCTTTAAACATTGATCTTAACGACCCTTTAAATATTGATCTTAATGACCCTTTAAACATCGATCTTAATGACCCTTTAATATTTATCTTAACGACCCTTTAAACATTGATCTTAATGACCCTTTAATATTGATCTTAATGACCCTTTAAACATTGATCTTAATGACCCTTTAATATTGATCTTAATGACCCTTTAATATTGATCTTAATGACCCTTTAAACATTGATCTTAATGACCCTTTAATATTGATCTTGATGACCCTTTAAACATTGATCTTAATGACCCTTTAATATTGATCTTAATGACCCTTTAAACATTGATCTTAATGACCCTTTAAACATTGATCTTAATGACCCTTTAAACATTGATCTAAAGGTAGTTACAGGTATCTGGATTAAAATATCTTGTTGAATAAAGATTAATACCTGAGTAGCTAGGATTTTAGATATGATATATTTTACTTATTTCTATATTATATTATATTACAGATACTATACAAACATTGATCAACTGTGTTTAAATAGGTAGAAATATAAATAGGTCAAGGTGTGCTAATACTCAGGTGACTCTTATTTTAATATGAATAACATATCCTTTAAAATTGTTTACGCAAGTGATAATTCCCGTTTAAGATACCAAACAGAAATAGTAAATTTCAGACACCAAAAACGATTTGAAATTTATCGATTTTATCACAAATGATCTTTTGTCCGGAAACTATAAACATGACTGTATCTCTGTTAAAGCGGAAATTGCAAATTTTTAAGTTATATTTTTAAAATTGATTCAAATAAAGCCTGAAAATAGATGGTATCCATAAACAGTCCTACCTTGTTAAAGAATAATCCTATTAATCCTATAATTCACTATTGCCAGCTGAGAAATTGGCAAAAACATCATTTTCCTCTTCATTTTCAAACGTTTGAATATCGCTACTCCATGGTGGAGAATAGAAAACAAGGGAGGTAATTGGGAGGTAATTGTGTTATTATTTCCTGTGTAAATGAATCTTAAGTGTGAGAATGACACCTATGATCGTATAATTGTGAGTTGACAACCTATTGAGCAAAAGACAGAAATAATTACGTTTTGACTTTCTTAGAAAATTTGCAATTTCCGCTTTAACTGTGTACGTGTGTGTACGTGTGTGTGTGTGCGTGTGCGTGTGAGTCACTGAGTCAACTGGTGTAGTTTCAATCATAAGTATGTACGTGACAAGGAGTATGGTTGCCTGTAGAACCTCGTGGGTTTTCTCCGGGTCCTCCATCTTATCAAGCCCTTCACGTAATACTCACGTAATTACTGGCCCAGCTTGGGGGCCTATCAGATTCCTCGATCATCGCGAATACCAAGTCTCGCGCTTCCCAGCTAAAATGTCTGTACCTGTAATAATCGAGTTGCAAAGTTGGTTCAATGTCAAGGTTTCCGTGGAGGTCGCCATGTTTGATTTGAGTTTGTTTGAGTCTGTTCACGTGTCTACTGTAAAGGGAGATAATGTAGCTATGTATCAACGTCTAGGTGTTGTCAAACTCGCGGTTGTGGCTTCATTAACATGCCAGTCCTTCGACTAATAAAGACTACACGTAAAAATGGCTACACGTAAGCCAATTATTGAAATAAAATTGGCTATATGTATGCCTCGATCCCCCCCCCCCTCTCTCTCTCTCTCTCTTTAAAATAACAAACAGCGATAGGATTTAATATGCGATTATTAAATATGACCATATTTCTTTAATCCATCCGTCGCTAGGTGATGACAGACCACTAACCTAAAACACGAGACAACATTCGTTCATAATAATAATGGCGATGATAACTATAGGATTTATATTTCTGGGTCTGGTTTTGCCCAGGTAAGTTCGTGTGTTTAAGGACACACAGTTTACGCATCTTTTGGCCTATGCCAATTTTCTAACCTATCTTTATTAAAAACTTTTCAGGGCTCCCCAATCCGCGATCGACGTTGCTGTTTTCTGCCCTTTTATGGGTTTGGTACCCGTGCCCTTATGAGTTATGCTTTGTAGGAGTCGTGGTGATTCAATGCACGTCTCCCGAGTCAGATCCCTTTTTCAGCTGGGCAAGTTCGATGGGATTTGAAGTTTTATTAGAGTAAAAAGGAACCACGATTGAACCAATTAAATCTCATTTATTAAAGGCGGTTGGATGGACGAATGGTTAGAGCATGCGCGTTGTATCATAAGGTATGTCATTGAGTCACCTGGTGGTTTCGATTCCCCGGTTGTACGTAGGGTTGCCTGTCCCACCTCGCGGGTTTTCTTCAGGTCCTCTGCCCCCCCCCCCCCCACTGCTAAAGACCCCTAAACGCGAACGAATTATTGAAATAAAACTGAACCATATGTTAGTCCTGAAATGACCTGGTTTGTGTCGAGTCGATGTTAAACTCTTTCTCTCTCTCGCTCTCGCTCTCTCTCTCTCTCTCTCTCTATCTCTCTCTTAGAGTAAAAGAAACGGATTAAATCTAAATCTCTTATATATTAAAGCTATGGCCAGTTATATCAACCACGTGACATCACCAACGCAGAATTTCTCCAATATTATATTTCTGGTGCTGCCTTGAGTTATCAAATCGATGTGAAGAAGTGTCACCCGGAGCCCAACATAAACAACATTACCGTGTATTCATTCAGTGAAGATATTGACCATGGATATGTTACTGTTATCAAGGACGCTCAGTGGGAGATGAACTTCGGGGTTGAACGACAAGTGAACGGACAGAGATTGAACTTAACAGGTGAGTTGCTGAAGTGATTATTCTAGAGTTATCCCCCCTTGTCAATGCTGCAGGCGAAGGGGCTTGCAAGGGACTTCGTCTATAAGTCGTTTGGATGGAGGTGAACTTCGGGGTTGAACGGCGCATGAACGGACAGAGAATGAACTTTATACCTTGCTCGGCTACATAAAAAAAATTTGTAAAACAACATTTTATGAGAAAAGTGTAACGGTCGTGTGCTTCATGCTTTATCATCAGATGGTGGGATGGGATCGGCATTCACAGCGAGAAATAATGATACTAAAGATATGTGTGATATCACATTTAATACTTTCCATCAACAAAATTGAATCACAATGTAATCCTATTAATTCATAATAGAAATTAAGATGGAACGGGGTGTTGGGTTTCACTCTTTAAAAAGTGGATGCATGGCTACGTAATTAAGAGACGATGATGACATCATGCATTGTCAACTGTCAAATTTCCTTAACAGGAGCCTGGCAATTCCCCTCCGGCAAAAAAACGTGGATCCACTACTGTACTGGGTTTGTAAAGTGCTTATTTTAGAGTGTGTTCGCCATGTCAGTTATGCAGGACGGGTGCCCTGTCAAGGAACGGTTGTCTAGCCGTGTGGATGGGACAAAAAACCATGGTCCCCTGTAGACTACACATTGGTGTCCACGTGAAGATCCCTTGACATTTGGAATTCGATATGAGAGTAGGCTAAGCCGTAGAGCCGCTGTCTGGGCACAATTGTCCTCATAGGGTAGCGTATGTCCGTCATAGGGTAGCGTTTGGACATGAATCGACATAGCATGTTGTTTCTTTGGACAATTGCGAAACTAACGAAATTCGTTTCTTGATTTTACGTCACAATTCAAAGATAGCGGTGGTCACGCCCAATTCGGTTCCTGGCCCATGCAGTATTATCGTAGTTGTTTAGAGTTATTTCCCATATGGTGCTGGTGCATGACGTAGGGTCTGGCAAGGAACATTGTCTAGTCGTTGGGATGGGGCGACAAAACCGAGATTCCATATACTCTTTGATAGTTGGAATTCGATTAAGATAAGAGTATGCGGAATCACCGATACCAGGATAAAATGCCCCCCCCCCCCGCAGCAACACTGTATTAAAGAATTAGGATTACCTCAGAATACTTTTGGAGCATTGATTAAACATTGTAATTATTGAACTAAACTGAATTAAACATAATCCCCATGTTTGTTTATTGTACAGGGTGTCCTAAAGCCTAAAGTTACCCAAACCTAACATCCTCGTCATTTATGTTTTAGGGCCAGCCTTTCGTTATACGGGTTTCACTCTAGACAATACAGGCGAGGCTTTAATCGGCTTAAACGACGTTAATCCAATGAATTATGAAAACTTGGCTCAAGCTGAGTTGTACTGTCATATGGACCAGGGTGATACGAGGTAAATATACCTACATATATGTTTATTTTACCTGTATGCTTCTTTATATACATTTATTGTATTGGGTCCTACTATAGGCTACTTATATAAACTGTTATTTTGTTGTGTATAGCCTTCGAGTATATATTTGTTTCATTGGGTCTTGTAATCTACCCTGTAAGCATTTGTTTTAGTATAGTGGGTCCTATAGGTTTCTCCTCTCTGCTAAAGACCCCGACTCGCAAGCGAATTATTGAAATAAAACTATATGTTAGTCACGAAATCACCTAGTGTAGAGTGGGTGTTGAACTCCATTTCTCATTCTCCTTCTTTCTCTCTTTTGTTTTTCAGTGGTTTACGGATCGTAGCAACATCTCCACCAGGAACAGCTCTAGCAAACTTCGTACAACTACAAACCGCTTTGAATGTTGGTTATAGCCTTTATTATGCTATTGATATATATAGATGTAAACCTGTTGTATCTAGTGCGGACCATCAGTGGATCGCTGGCAGACTTACTGGTAGGTAGTACGTGCGGAACGCGAGGTACACCAGGAGGGTTCGGTGTGGAAAAGTGAGGGGCTGGAGGGGTGGGGCTGGGGAGATAGTTAGTGAAGGACGGTAGTGGGAAGATGGTATCCAGGAAGGCTTAGATATGAAAAAGGTCGGGAGAAAGGGGTTGGTGAGTACGGATGAGACGATCGGGAAGGTTTATGGGGTAGGTCGAGAGACTCGGGGTGGGCGAAGCAAGGAGGAGCTGGTAGAAACATTTGATGAGGATAGATAGGGTGGAGATGGAGGAGAAAATTGAGGATGGTAACTCGCGTGGGGGGGGGGGGGGAATGGGAGGTAAGGAGGAGCTGGTAAAGAAGATGGAGGTGGAGGTGGTGGAAACAGTTTGTGGGGAGATGGCGAAGTGCGGGAAAGGAAGGTTGGTGATGGGGAAATGGTGGGTAGGAGATGGTGGAGAAAGTTTGTGAGGGTAGGTAGAGAGGAGATGGTGGAGGCGGTTGGTGAGGGAAGGTAGGGAGGAAATGGTAGAGAAGGTGAGGGTAGCTAGGGAGGAGATGGTAGAGAAAGTTAGTGAGGGAAGGTAGAGACAGTTGGTGAGGGAAGGTAGGGAGGAGAGGGTAGAGAAGGTAGGCAAGGGTAGGTAGTGGGGAGATGCTGGGGAAGGTAGGTGAGGGAAGGTAGGGAGGAGATGGAAGGTAGGGAAGAGATGGAAGGTAAAGAGGTAACGCGGAGAATGTAGAGAGACGATTTTGGAGAAGGTTGGTGATGTAGATCGGAGAACATTGGCAAGAAAATTGTTGTCTGGGCAGCCAGCCATTCATTATCTTCAAAATGTTAGCATTGAAGAAACAAAAATAACCATATGATAGTCCTGAAATGACACAGCACGTTATGCTAGGTTACCACTGTCGTGCGTTGCGTTACGATAGAATTGTCCCTACGTTCGGATAGGTTTCGATACGGTCAACATGATTGCTACGACTGACAACAATATATGATAAGAAATACTGCAACTTCATTGGATATATGCAAATTGATTTTACTGGTCAGCCAATCGAACTGCAGTATTTCTTAAAATTTCGATTGTATCTTAGTTTAAGTTTTCGTGAATAAGGGCCCCGATTCGATCACAACGATTACTCCACGATTAAAACCACGATCTCATTCATAGCACGAATCGTGGTAGTGGGAACCAAGCATTACATATAATCACCATCAATATAAATCTATCTGTATCTTTAACAGGTGCCCGTTTTACTACTAATGGTGATATTGTATTTACTGTTTGTATATTTAACAGGTGCCCGTTATGCTCCTAATGGTGATGTCGTATTTACTGTTCAAACAGTGGATCTTGGTTTCACAACTATATTCAATGTCAAGGTTAAACCAGACAATTCGGTTACTGTTAAACTATATGTTTACAGCAAGGCATCAAAATCTTCTTATGGAAACCAAGATAAGAATTGTACTCTGGGTACCCAAGACACTGTCAGGATTTTTAGACAATAAAAGAGATAAAACTGGAACTATTTTTATTGTATTCTATAATTCATTAAAGGGGGTCGTAGACGCTTGGCAAGCAGGGTGTTGGCTCGTCGCTTAAACATACATTATGCAAGAGCTAAATCTGCCTATTTCGGGGCTTTCTTTAGGCCTAAAATGTTATCTAAATTATTAATTAGACATTAATTAACCTATCCAGGCCATAATCAACTCTAGATGGCAGCGCTAGCCTGCGATCTTTAGTGGATTGTAAGCCGATTTACTGCATAACTTTCCTTCTCGATTAAACGATTAAATGGATAATCGAGACTATGCTGTTTATCGTACTGACTTTTGTAATGATGACCGAGGCTTATGGGAAGTTCAGTCGCTTAGTTCTCGGTTCATAGTGGATCAATTTGAATGAAATTTTCAGCAAATTGCCTTTACATTATCTAGTTTTTAACTATTATAGTGAGAACTGCCAACTCGTTACCGAATCTCCTATGATGTATCTTTAACAGGCGATCCCGGTGTTGGCTGAGTCAGTTCCTTTGTATCACATATGCCCATCTTCATTTAGGCTAGCGGTTTAAGTTCATATTTACCCGATACTTCTACCTATGGTAGAACAAAAGTTATTTGGTATGGTTGGAAAGGTAATTTTATCGACATCGTAGATATCGACTGTATACGTAAAATCCAACTATTGTCCCGGTTGATGTAAAGAAATGTAGGTCTTATACCCCATTTCATATGATTACATTTCAATCAATGATACATTTCATCATGTCTTCGATTTCAGATCTCGGATTTTATGACACAGAACTTCGATCCCTGCATTGGTCGAGAAAGTTCATCCCGATTTTCCGGCGTGGTTTCCCCTTGTCAGTGATGCTGGACGGACGGCCTGACAAGGACAGCTGTCTAGTCGTTCGGATGGGACGAAAAACCGAGGTCCCGCGTACACATTGGCGTGCACGTAAAAGATCCCTTGGCAGTTGGAATTCGATATAAGAGTAGGCCGTAGCGCCGCTGCCCGGGCAAAATTTCCCTCATAGCACACTGTATGGCGTATGCCCGTCTTCATTAGCCCAGGTTAGGAGCAGAACAGTAGCACGTTAAACCCCATTTCATTTCATTTCATTTCATGACACAGGACATTACTAAGGTGTTCATACTTTCACTGAGAAGTTCTTTGTCTGTAATGACTGCATGAAATGGGGTTTAACGTCCAACAGTTCTGTGCCGACTGTTCTGCTCCGAAGACGGGCAAACGTCATATAGTGTGCTTTTAGGCAAATTTTTGACAGGACAGCGTCGTTACGGCCTACTCTTATATCGAATTCCAACTGTCAATGGATCTTTTACGTGGACGCCATTGTCTACACGGATCCTCGATTTTTTGTCCCATCCGAACGACTAGACAGTTGACCTTGTCGACACTCTGGTTTTATTACCAGCAAACACCCATAATACATTTTACAATATAAAAGATGGTGGGTTGCTTGGGCGTGAGGGAGGGGGGGGGGTATCGAATGCCGGATCGCAGTCTATCAAAGGTCTTTAATTTATGAATATGGTGCATTCGACTGTGGGTTGGTCGATTATTTTAACGCATGCGCTTTTGATATAAAACATGATTACTCGAGTCCCACCTTGTCCAACCTTTTGGATTTTCTCTGATTTCCTCCAACTGATAAACATCCTTTCCTATACGAGCAACAAGCGAATTATTAAAATATAAATGAACCACATGTTAGTCCCGAAATGACTTAGTTTATGTCGAGTGGCTGTTAAACATCATCTTTGTTTCTCTCAGCTAAATCTCTTTGTCAGTAAGACGGATTGTTCTCCAGGAGGTCTTGTTCGCCGAGAAAGTTACTGGGTAGGGCGGAGGGCTTGGCAAGGTCATATCTAGTAGGGGGCGGATCTAGAGGGGGTTGTGGTGGTGCTCAGGTAGGTCTACATAAATGAAAAAAAATGTAAAGCAACACTTTTATGAAAAAAAATATCGAGATCCCTTTATTGTCAGATGGTGGGATGGGCATTCAAAGCGCGAGATAATGATATAGATGTGATCGTATTGATTCATAATAAAAATTGATGTTAGATTTCTTTCTTAAAGGGACAATGACACTCTTGTTGGCTTGACAGCTCCAGTAAATAAATATTAGCCTTATTCTAAGTATTAGATATTTAGGTGTCCTACCTGTTGTGTAAATTATACATTACATCCTATTTTACTTGTCCAGAGGGTTCAAAAATATTTTTAAATCCAAGTCACACTTGAAAAGCTTTACGTCAGGCTTTTCAAATCATTTAGTTGCATTCTTCCAATTTTTTAAATTAGGTGTGTTAAGATGAAATTTGTATCACCAATTAATTGGAATATTGTAAAATAGTACAATTTGTTGACCAGAATAAAGATTGGGGCATATTATTCAGTTACAACAAGAGTGGTATTGGGCCTTTAAAAAGAGAGCGTCAATAATATAATCAGATATAAGCGAATATTTAATGAATTAGGCTAAGTGACTAGAAAGATATGTCTTTAAATTCCATTTAAAATATTCATGAGCAATGGCCATTGTTGGATTGGCCTCTGATACTTGAGCTTTTGAGGGAGTGTGTCTATTCTTCCCGTTCAATCAAATCGCTCCAACGTGACAGCCCTTCGTTTAATCTGGGTCTTCCCTAAATCTTTGGACAGTGATTTAAGGTATTAACAACGGTGAAAGTATTGTTCGTCTCCAAACAGTTCTGTTTACATTGTATTCTTTTTGATAGCCTCGTTTGTCACGCAATAAGTTTTTCTGCAATGTTATATGCACTGGTTAATGGGGCATAATAAAATCGTGAGTCATGACGTAACGTTATTTAAACATATTTAGTCCAATTTGGAGCTCTGTTGTAAGCGTAATGATATTGTTACACGGTTGGGTATTGGTTGTTAATAGGACCATTGACCAGACATAATTTGGAACAGAAATTTGCTTCCTTTACAGCAGTGTTAAGTGGGATTAGATCTAATCAAACGAAACACTGCAAGGAGTAGGCCTATGTTAAAATATACGCCTTCTCGTGATCAGCACATTGCATTTCTTCATTTCGGCGTGAATTTTCCAGTAGTTCTAATTTATTTTTGCAGCAGAATAAAAAATACGCGGGAAATAGAGGGAATCCCGATGATCATGTCTCATTATCCCTATTCGACGTTTTAAGAGAATCACGGACACCGATCGGGTCTTCTTGGAGTCGCCTTCGTCTACACAAATATGCAGGCCCTACAGGTGTCTAATCAATTTAAAGGGACAATAACACTCTTGCTGGCTTGACAGCTCCAGAAAGTAAATAATAGCCTTATTCTAAGTATTAGATGTTTAAGTGTCCTACCTGTTGTGTAAATTATCCATTACATCCTATTTTACTTGTCCAGAGGGTTCGAAAATATTTTTAAATCCAAGTCACATTTGAAAAGGTTTACGTTAGGCTTTTCAAATCATTTAGTTGAATTTTTCCAATTTTTTAAATTAAGTGTGTTAAGATGAAATTTGTATCATCAATTAATTGGAATATTGTAAAATAGTACAATTTGTTAACCAGAATAAAGATTGGGACATATTATTCAGTTACAACAAGAGTGGTATTGAGACTTTAACGCCATATGGGGTCTAATTCCAAAGGTTCTTCTTTTACGTGAACGCCAATGGGTTGTCGTCCAATCCGAATGACTAGACCATCTTCCCGGGTCACGTAATATGCCATGCAGTTGCTTGGAGAAATAGCCTAACAATTTTAATTCAGATCTATATAATATATAAAAGGCTATTTCTAGGCAATTTCATACTAATATAATACACGATCGATATTTTTTTGTGCCGCGATCATCGCAGTTTCTGTGCGGAACCCACAAGGCTGACAAGTCAAAATGATAAGGGGAGTGCCTGTGGTTTAAAACTATTTCCCGCCAATTATTAACTCCCACAATGCAACATCAACAAGTAGGAAGTGAGCGGAAAAGTGATTCATTCCTACAAAATTTGCACAATACTGGATCTTCAATCAGTTACTTTCTATTTTTCATTCGGCAACCGGCTGCAGATTTCACTCGGCCAACTTCGGTTACTCCTCTACACCAAACCATGTTTCCAAACAGAGTTATCTTTGCGTGACCCGCAAATTATATTTTTAACTGGTTTGCTTTTGGCGCAATATTTTGATGTTTAGGCTAACACTGTTTTTAACGGCGTCAGCTTCTTATATTTATTGGGCTACAAACACTAAACAGTTGTCTTTTATTTTCTGAGGAGATTTTCTGACCTTGGTAATGTAAATGAAGTTTGTTACTTTATAGTAGGCTAGTATTTGACTAAAACTGCATAAATCAAATCTTAATCATAGATGTACCGATTGTAAATAATTTTTTTTGCTGACGAAGTCTTTTCTAACTTTTGGGGTAAGACTACTAACTAAGTAGCCTACATTGAAATTAGTGCTAGTACAGTAGAAGTGGTCTTGGCGTCGGGTAATCGATATGAAAACAAGTCTACATTATAATTAGGCCTAGATATCTACCTAGTCCGACTTCATTTCAAGCATTTTATTTATACCCCTTAAGTTGTAGTAGTGACAGTTTAACTACAAGTCAGTACAACAGCAACCAACAGGGGGTCACAGTATCGTGACTCGTGGACTTGTCAGGAGTATAACTTGAGCCTGAGAATGATCAATGAGATACACACAAATGGATAAGTCTGATAATCAGTTAATAAATCAGATGTAACTTGTAAATAAAGGCACTGTATGACAGTGTATGTAGGCCTACATATGATATATATTCTAAATACTAATAAATAGGCCTAGTAGTATTGTTTTATTAATATTACCTATTTATTAATTAATAGGGTTTCAGGTCAAACTCAAAGTTTCAAATAATCAAAACGCTCTATATACCAGTCAATGCGTGGGATGGCACCAAAATAAGTGCTTTTCTGTCATATTTGAGTGACGTCATGAGTCATAAGCGGTATTT